AGTAGTATTCCAATTATTGATTCTATCTTCAAATGGACCTTTGAAAGGGGAGAAAGACATAGCTTAAGTATTTACAATATGTTCATCAAGTACTTATTGAATTTCATCATAACCTCTAATTATAAATGTAATTGATTTGTATGGTAACATTTGGAAATTGATTCCTTCCCACATAGTTTCCATTTAATCTAACATTGTTTCAATCATATATTCTTTTTATGCTTTTTCTCCTACTTCAACACAAATGTCAACATTTTACATTAAACCCATTTCTAATACCTTTGTAAATGTGAATTCACTCTCTGGTTAAGGTTTAACAAATCCAATTCTATTTTTTAATTCTAACCAATGTCTCTCCTTCATTCCTTATTTACGAAGTGCAACCAATAATGGAACTTTTGGTTTAAATTCTTCAATTTGTTATTTAATTGAAGTTGCAATTCTTAAGACTCCTTATAATTCTTTTTCTTTAAAAAATCTGCAAACTCCTGTTAAAATTCTGATAGCCTCTTCAACCCATTTTTCAGCAGCAACAGCATCAATTGTAGGTAATTCATCCTTCATCCAAGATTCAGAGTTTGTAAACCATTAATTTGTAGTTATCCATAAATTACTATAGGGTAAAAATTCTCTTTAGAGTAAAGTAATTTTATTATAATCTGTTTATTCTTAATCAAATAAGGCTTCTCTAGAATTAAATTTACGTGCTTGTTCTTAAAATTCTGCTAAGTATTTATTAACATCTTATGCAGTTTATGCAATTTCTGCATGACTTTTTAAAGTTTAATGTTAATTGAAATTTTGTATAGTTCTTTCCAAATTATCAATACTTTCTTTAAATTCTTCTTATGATACTTTCATTTCATCTTAAAATTTAACTTTCTCTTTTTCCATATCTTTTTATCTTTTTGCAACTAAATCAAAAGTATCTTTGGGACATCCAAATACATACCATTTTCTATCTAAATCTTCTTTTTAAAATCCTCTATAACTAAATTCATCTAATATTTTATATATATCAAAGCATTTCTAAGTTTCAACCTTTAATTTGTCAACTTCATTAGGTAAATTTTACATAAATTCTTTAATATCTGTTAATTTTTCAATGTTATTAGGATTTTCTTTAATTTTATTTTATATTCTCTAATAATCTTAAAAGATCTCCATTGTCTTCTTTCTTGCCTTTCTTGCTATCATATCAACTAATAATTTGCTAATCATTGAATATTTCTCACATAAATACATTTTTATTTCTCTACATTAAACTTAAAATATTGAAACTTCTACAATATCAGGAATTTAAGTTTTAAGTTCTTCTTCCATTTTATTGTATTTAAATATCTCTTCTTTAATTTAATCTATTTCCCAAGGATTATCATCCATTTCAATTCTTCTAATCTCATCATCAGGATTCATTTATAAAATAGGTTTAAATTTCTCAAATATTTGTAAATAATCCTATAAAGGTTTAATTCCTCTAATTAATTCATCTTTAATATGTTCAATTAACAACCATATCCATTTATTTTCATCTGGATATTTTTTAGGTCTTTCATTAGGATTTGGAGTTTAAGGTCTTTCCTTTGGTTTGACTGGAGTTTTAATAAAAGAATCTGTTTTCTATTTATAAAGATCAGTAAGTAATTTAGGTTCCAAATCAGGTACTTTTGTAATTTCATCAAGAGTTTTGTCAAATAATTGTATAATCATATTAACAAAATTTATGGGAGATGTTGAATAAAGAAATTCTTTATCATCATTAGTTTTAATCATATCAATTGTAAATATAGGTTTAACACCTACTGTTTTAAATTTATTGATGATATTTGATGGATCATCTACATTTACTTCATCAGGAATGAATTATTTCAAATAATTAACAAATCTTTTATAATTGTTTTCAACTAAACTCTATACAGTATCTTACATCATTAATCTTACAACAGTTAAGAATCTTTTCAATTTACCAAAATCATAAGTTATTTTATTTGATTCCTTCATATTAAACCATCCTTTACCTACTCCTGAAAAGTAAGTCTTCATTATTTTTAATAAATCTTAAATCCAAGATCCTCTTAAAGAATAAAGCATTTATGAAATTGAACTCTCTTATACATGTTTGAATTCTTCTAAAACCATTACTTTGTCTATTTGATAATTGAAGATTTCAAATTCTTACATCTTATTACATTCATATCTAATTTCTTATAATGCTCTAATAACTTCAGTTTTAATAAATAGAGTGCTAAAACAAAAATCCTTAAAGGTTTCTCTAAAATTCTTTGGATCAATTTAAGTTATTTCTCTTGGATTATACATTTCTAATTATTTCTCCTTACTCACTTAGAACATCCCATAATAAGGTACTTATTTAGATATATCTTCATCTATTTATAAATTTAATTCTTCATCTTCATATTCTAAATATCTATCAAAAATAATTTTATTCATTGTTCTCATATAATCATAATTAACTTCTGCAATCAAAGCTGTAGTATCTAAATTTTCTAATTTCTTAGTCTTTGCTAATTATTCTAATCTTCTTTTTTATTCTGTATCCAATTCACTTAAATCTTAGATTGGCATACCATCAATAAAATAATTATATCTAACTCTGCTATCAGCATGTTCTCTATTTTTTAATGCTGTTCCCAATCTTTTTACAAATTTACGAGGATCTTCAGCATCAAAACAAATATATAATCTATGAGTCTTAAAATCTCTTCCATCTTTTTCTTTTAATTTTCCATGAAATAAGCCATCTAAAAACTCCAAAATTTCACATCTTCTTGCTTCATAAATACCATCTTCCTTCAACAAACAAGTTGCATATAGTTTTCTATTTCTTCCTTCTTCATCTACTTTTCTCTTTATCCAATCCTCATTTGGATAATCATCATTTGAATTATCATCAAATAATTCAAGTGGTAACCATTAGACTTATGGGTTTGTCATATTTAAATCGATACCCTATAAATTTCAAATTTATATTCATACTTCTTAATCTAATAACTGCAGTATATTGAATGATGCATAAAGCTTCTATTTTCTATTGATTGCTACTTTTCTTGGAATATTATCTCCAATAGGCTCATATGGTTCAAGCACTTTAGGTTCCACCACCAATTCCTCAGAGACTTAATTAATTATTGATTCTATTACTCTTTTAAATTGAATGTGCCCCAGATAGTCTAGATGTATTTGTAGTTTTCTTTAATGAATAAGCCTTAGGAACTCTTTATTTCATAGTCGTATTCAAAGTTATATCTGGTAAATATGACATGTCCTATTATAATTTTACGACATTACTTAGTACATAACCGAGTTTTCAGGGTTAATCACTTCTGAGTAAATAGCCCTTTAACGAGTTTGAAAGAATGACATACTAGGTTGTGACATTCCCTCTTAAATAATTTTAAATAAATTTATATCAGGGTGTCACATCAAAATAAAATCAAATTCATAATTAAGAATATCAATATCATAATCTTTTAGAATATATATTAAAGGTATTTCATTTTTACATTATTCACCATACATCAATGTAATCACTTCTTTTTTTTATAATCAATTAAATTCATAGTAATTATTACATATTTAAATGTTTTGCTAATCATAAATTAATCATCTCTAATCTTTACATTAAAATTTTCATGTCAATAATTCATTCCTCTTAAATCTGGTTTGTATTCGATTATGATTTTGACTATTGTATTCTTCATAATGTAATTAAACCATTATATGAAAACAATATTATAGTTAATCCATAAAATTCTTAATTAGGATCAACCATCAAAAATTCAAGTTTTGAGGATAATTTTTAATATTTTTATAGCTAAATCATTCAATAAGAACATAATCATCTATAAAATATCATTCTAATAACTTTAAAACTCCATTATTTAAATTTTGAATATAAAATCTTAAAATTCAGGATAACTAAATATATGTAGCAAATTTCCAAATATTAAAATACAATTGGAGTGGAGCGAAGTAATAATTGTAGTCTCTGTAACCATTTTAAAATAAATTGATTTATTTTTGATATTTTCATTATCATTATTTTTAAGTTTATTTTAAGACCTAAATGTTGCATTTTTTATCTAAATCTGCATGAACTATAAATTGAATATTTTTTAATGAACTATTAGATATTCCCAAAAAGCTTTTAAAGTAAATTAAATTTAAATTCTCATTATTTTAAAGTACAAAAGTTATTTAAAATTTAAAAAGGATTTGGATAAACTTTCACACTATATATCTAAAGAATCATGTTTAAAGTAACTCATATAAAATTATTCTTATTTATACATACATTATTTAATTTTTAGTCTTAGTTTGATTTATGAAATTACACTTAATTGCATTTTTATCCTTTTAATTTCTTTGCCTGTTGGAATGATTGTTGATTTTGAATTTATTTTTCAATTTAAATACTATAACTCTCAATTTTAGAATGTGGTAATTATTATTTGGATCATTAGACTGATGTTTTAAAATTTATATTATATTATATATAAGGTTCTTCAACAAACTGAAAAATTTCTAATTATTGTAGGCTACAATATTATTCAAAAATTATTTTTATTATTGTGCTAATTAGTTCTTTTAAATGTTAAATTTTGAAGAAGTTTAAAAAAGTTAAAATAAAACTTAATTAAAATGAAAGATTTCAGATAAATTTATAAAGTTCTTTTATGAATTTATATGAATTAGAACTATAAATATTAAATAAATTAAAAAAAAGAAAAGAATATCTATAAATGCAGATTAAATCTGACTATCATTAAATAAAGAAATTCTATTTTTTATCAACGTTAATCAGACTCTAATTTTCAAAACTACTTTATTTTTGAATATGATTCGTCTATATTTATATAGTTCTTGATTATAATTCTTATATTTAAGGCTTATTAATCAAAATTAACATGAAAATAAAATATAATTACACATTAATTTGTTGATTGATTTAGAAGTTTAAGAAGATGAAAATAATCAGATCACTCAGATATATCTATTTAAGAGTATAGATTATTTATAAATTTGTTGAAAATTAATTCTAACTTTTATTTCTATTTCTCTTTTTATTATAGTATACGTTAAATATAATCTTAATGTTTTAATCCTAAAATTAGAGTTTCTGAGTTATTGATTTCTTTTGTATCCACCAATTATAATAGTTACTATTAATCATTAGTGATATATAACTTTCTAGAATATAGTTATTCGTCTTTATAATCAAAATTAATTATTGGCATATCTTTAAATATATTTATGTAAAACACATTAATTATGCTTGTCAATTTTAATACTTAAATTTTACAATTAAGATTATGATTGAAAGATTGATATGTTAAATTATTGGCTTAATCAAATAATTCAATTACAATAGCATTAAATAAAATATATTCAGAACATATTAATTGGATTTCTAAAATACTGAAAGGATAGTTATAAAATTTAGTTCTTTAAGCAAGAAATAATTATACATATTAATTATTTTCTTAGTATAAGGCATTTGACATAGCTTTTATAATTTCTTTTGGAATATTACCTTTTCTAGTGATTAGTTCTAAATTCTGAAATAGAAATTTTGCAAAGTTTAAAGTCCAAATTTATTCTTAATCTTTCAATTTTCTTAAATCTAATACTTTTTCATCTTGAGTATAAATTAATGTATTTTGGAGATGATAAAATATTTTTTATAGTGAGGGTTTAACCCATTCTCTGATAGATTTTGATAATGAATCACTTATATTTCTATCATATTTAAAGATTTTCCTTAGATTTAACACTTTTTATAATTTAAGATTATTTGTTATTTTTAATGGATTTGTATTAGACAAAGTTTTGAAATATAAAATGATAATTTTTCCAATAACTCTACAAATAACTAGAAATTTATTTATTAATATTTTTTAAGTTTATTTCTTCTTAATTTTTGGAAGGATTAATTTGCAATTCTAAGAATAACTCAATTATTTTTTTTAACTATTTTTAATCCGTTAAGAAAATATTGTTGAACAATTAGCTATACTTTCATATTTTATTTCTAAATCTTCATTTTAATTCCTACATATTGAATGATTTCTATTGGTAGATCTAACTTTTTAGTATTTTTGGAAACTCTCTTTATAAATAAATATATTACATATTATTCCTTTTATTTTAATTCATCAAGATTATTGCTAAATGAATTAAGTTATACATCTTAATATTTTTAATGAACCTGAGATTTAGTTGTAATTATTTAATCATTATTTTAATACAATATATTACTGTATTTAAATTTTTTTTATCTTTAACTCTATATTTTCAGTTGAGTTTATTAATTAGTTTAAACTCTTGATGTTTCATTAGTATTAGCCCATGAATCAAAAATATAATCATTATAACTTGATTATTTAATTTCTTGAACCTTGGAATTCAACATAATATCTGTATATAAAAATTTTGATTTAAATATATTAAAGTTAATAATACAAGAATAATCTACACAGAAAATGCATATATTGTTGTAGATTTATATCAAATCTATTAAATAATAATATTCACTTATTCATAATTAAATGTTGAAATTTCTTTAAAATCATTTTTCATTACTTATTTACTTAAGACAAATTAAAAAAGAACATCTCTTAGATATTAATCAAATCTACAATCTTAATCCCTTAACTATACAAAAAAATTTTAATATTTTTAATTAATAATGATAATGTAAAATAATAATCTGTTATTAATTATATTAGATTATGATATGATAATTATATTATATGATATTAAAAAATAAGAATAAATATTAATAATAATAATTAAACATCTAAAGTATATAGTATATAAAACATAATTTTTTAATAATTCTATAAAGAAATAATTAAAAGTTCAAAAATTAAAAATATCGGTAAGTGTTTATAAATATACAATGTAAAATCAACAAATTTCAAATCAATTTCCATGAATTCTAAAAAAAACTATTGAATATATTATGAATAATTACATTTAAGTTCACTTTCTTACTATGTAATATTTCTGGCTGATATTGGATTCTTTACCAATGGGGAACTAAGAAAATTATTTGCTATTTGATCAAGACTAACCTTTTTTTATATAAAATAATTGTTAGATTATTAAACTTATTGATTTGATTAAGATTAGTATTAAAATTGATTGTTTTATGGATTATTTTCTTTTTTATTCTAATTTAATGATTTAAGATTGATATCAATATCTTATTTTATATGAGGCTTTTTAGATCTATTTTATAAATCATCCTTTTTCTTGAGGATCGGTGAAAATTATGAATCCATTAATTAATCCTTATATTTCTAATTTGATTTATTTTGAGAAAAAATTAAGTTTCCACTTTTTGTTGATAAAGATTATTATATATTAATGACTTTTTCTTTAAGTTCTGCCATTCCATCTCTTAGTTTTTGCTATTTACAAGAACCTAAACAAAAATGAAAATTTGAAATTATAACTTGCAATTAGTTTAATGGTTTCAATGGAAATGTCTTAAGTTTTGTTTTTCATTGCTGATATTCCAATGATTACAAGGTATTTAATTAGTTTTTATGAAGGTTTGAGTTCATAATCAAGTATAAATTGATTCAGTTCTTTAATATTCATTGCTTAATATTTTTGTTATAATTTATAACAAAGAAAAATTAAGAATTCAAAAGATCAATTATTTAATTGATAGAATGTATAATATATAAATTGAGTCTGTTTTGAATTCATTAAATAAAAAAATAATTGATTAGGATTAGAGATATGATTTTATTGAGGATTTAATGAAAATATATATAAGATGCAATTTAACTAATTTTATAATAATGAGAGATATTATAAATAATTTTTAATAAAAAGATATATGATTGAATATTTATAGATGAATTCATACAATAAGATAAATGATATATATTAATAATATAAATTTTAGAAATGAAATTGTTTGGTTTTTTGAAAAGACAAACAAATAATTAACATCATGTCATTTACTCAAATAATGATGAATATCTTGGTATTTACTTTTTATTAATTTGTAAAGGAGAGATGAAAGACAACATGAAACATGGTAAAGGAATGTATAAGTTTGCTAATGGTAACCGTTATGAAGGGGAATGGCATTAAAATAAAAAACATGGAACTGGAAAATATTATTACAATAGTGGAGAATTGTATATTGGATAATGGTAACATAACAAAAAGAATGGACATGGACAACATTTTGGAGTTTATGGTGATAGATATGTTGGACAATGGATCAATAATTGTAAACATGGACGAGGTACTATTTATTATGCTGAGAACTCAATTTACTCAGGTATTTATATACAAGTATCAATGTAGGTGAATTTTTAGACAATAAGAAGCATGGTCCTGGCTATTTTTACAATTCAATTACTAGAGAGCTGACTTATTAATTATATGATAATGATAAATTAAAAGAGTAAAAAGCAGTTGATTAAGTTCCTTGTGATTTTGAAAACGTGTTTTCTGCTTTTTTAGTGATAGATAATAATAAATTATATCCTCAACCATTACCCAATACTAAATAAGAGGAAATACACTAAATCTAGCAGGAAACACATGGATTCGAAACCTTATAGGCATTGAATGAGACAGTGAGTTTGAAAGGGAAAAAGAAAAGTATTTAAATCTTATATTATATTTTAATTTAATAGTGTAGGAATGGAATATAGATGAGGTTTGTACTTGGTTAGATTGTTTAGGGTTATCATAATATAAAGAAAATTTTATTAAAAATCACATGATCGGAGATATTTTACACGATCTAACAGATGTTGAATTAAAAGAAGAATTAGGTATTGAGATATTGGGACACAGAAAACTAATACTTCAGTAAATTAATATACATAAGAAATATTATATCAAAAAAATGGCAGGGTAAATCCATAGAGCTGATAGTGAAAATTCAGGTGATTAATCATCAAAATATGATTAACTGTATTCTATAATCCAAAAGATTGAACCTACAGCAGTAGAAAGTCCTGGAATGGAAGTTCTCAAATAAAAGAAATCAAAACGTAAAAGATCATCAGGATCAGATGATAAGTAGACATCACCTGAATAATAAGAATAATAATAATAAGAGACTGCAAAATTCTCACCAAAATAAGGGAATTAAGGTTAAAGTTTAAAAGTAGAATCTAATAAGGTAGTAAGCAATTTTAATTTTAATAATGCTTCTGGCTCAGAATATTCAGATGTAAGTTCTTGCAGTTCTAATGAAAAATAATAGGATTAGTAATTAGAAAATAATTCACCTAGCAAATATAATATATTATAAGAGAAGAATCTATAATAGAAACATTAAGAGAAACTTATGAGTCTATTGAAGAATTTAGGAATTAATGAGAAATTGTTGATTAATTATTAAGAAATTAAACAAGGATCTTAGATTGGAAAGGGTAGTTATGGAATTGTTTTTAAAGGAATTTGGCTTGGTTAAGATGTAGCTATTAAATCTTATTGTAAAAGGAAAGATGAATAAAAACATAAATAATTAATGGCTGATTTTCTAAAAGAAGTTTAAGTTATCTCTAATTTAAGACATCCTAATATAGTTTTGTATATGGGTGTTTGTATAAAGAGACATAATTTTTACTTAATTACTGAGTAATTAACGATATAAATTTTAGATATATGGAAAATGGGAGTTTATATGATCATATTCATAAAAGGAAAACTAAAAATCTTAATTTTATATAAATTATTGAAGATATTACTTTAGGAATGAATAATCTTCATGGTAGAAGAATAATGCATTGTGATTTGAAATCATCTAATGTTTTGATTGATTAAAATTGGAATGTCAAATTATGTGATTTTGGACTTTCAAGAATTAAAAGCAAGAAAACTAAAAGTATGATTGGAACACCACATTGGATGGCACCTGAAATTATGAGAGGAGAACCTTATACTGAGAAATCTGATGTATATTCTTTTGGAATGATTCTATGGGAAATTATAACTGGTAAAATACCTTATGAAAATCTTTCTATTACATAAATTATTGGAACAGTTGGATGGGGACATACTTAAGTTGAGATCCCTTAATTTAGTAATCCACCTATTTTGGCTATTTTAGCTAAGGATTGTCTTTAAAGAGATTCTTCATAAAGACCAACCTTTGCTAAAATACTAGAAAGAATTTAAGAGAGTCAAAAACAGAAATGTTAAAACAAAGAGAAAGCTAAGAAATTTTTAATTGATTTTTTATCCAATTGACATTAATATAAATATATTTATATAACTGATGGATTCTAAAAAATAAGCAAAGGGATCAGAATAAGTTTAAAAGAGTAGAGGTAATATTGATATGTTGATTCGTACAAAAAAAGAAGAATTATATACAATCAAATAGAAAAATGATTAAAAATAAAAGGAAACAAGAGCATAAGAAGAATTTAAAAGAGCAGAAAGGGCAAATAAAATAGAAGATGAAAGTAAAAAAGCTAATTCTAAAAATGCTGAATTGGAATAAGAATGGTGTAATTTATAAGAGAAAGATGAATGTGAAGAACTTAATAAATTGATAAACTAATAGAAAGATAAATTTGGATAAATAATGCATGCTAAAGATGAATTAATTAAATAATTTTTAGATGAATTGAATAAGAAAGATGATGATTTTGGTAAAATGATAAAAGAATAAGCTATTGATATATAAACATTAATTTAGAAAATGAGATCATAATTTTTTTAATTAAGAGAATGTATACATGAAGATCTTGAATCTATAGAAAATGAATATATAGAAGAAGTATAAATATATAATAATAATTAAATTAGAGAGCTAATTTATTGAATAATTATTAAACTGAAATAAGAAATTTATTTGATAAAAGAACTGAAAAGGAAAAATCATTTGTTGATGAAAGAGAAAGAAAAGAAGAAGAATATACAAAAGATATAGAAAAATTAAGAATTTAAGGATTGAAATCTTATGCTGAACTCAAAATCTCAATGGAAACAGAAATCTAAAATCTAGAAAAGTGTTATGAAGATATGAAAGCATTATATTAATTGAATACTGAAAAATTAGATTATAATCTTAAAGTATTAAAAGAAAAATAAATATCACATACACATACACATGATGATCTAAAAAGAAAAGATTAAAATTTAAATAATAGATTAAGAAGTTTAATTAAAGATTATAATGAATTTGATACTAAATTTAAATAAACAAATAAAGAATTAACTTAAGAATACAAACGTATAACTAGATAATTTAAAGAATTATAAAGAAAATTTAAACATTTTGATAAAGCTGATTAAAAAGCTTATGCTGATATTCATTCCATGAATGAATTAGAAGTTAGAAAACTTAAAGCAAAGATTCTTAAATGTGATAAAACTATACATATTTAATAATTAGGAGTTGATTGGGAAGAACCATAAGACTAAAAAGAAACTTAAGGTATTTCTATTTATATTAATTTATAGAAAAATCTTAAATTATGGCAGAAGAAGAAGTTTAATTGCCTTTAAGTGAAGAAAAATTATAAGAAATAGTTGAAATATTAATTGAAGAAGTTGATTTCTTGATTGATGATAAAATGAGAGAAACCTTAGAAAAAGCAGAATAATAAGAGATTTCTAGTGTTAAATTAGGAGTTATAAAGAAATGTCTTAATATTGATTCAATAGATGAAATGCTTATATTTATTGATGAATTAATTAAAAATTGTGAATTAAAAGTATAAGAAGAACAACCATAATAAGAAGCTGTTACTGAAGCTATTAAAAAGGTTTAAATTGAATAACCTTAAACTGTTCCAGATGAAGCTCCTAAAATTAATTATGAAACATTTATTTTAAATTAAAATAGCATAATTAACTTTTTGATGCATTGGATGAAAACTAATGAATAGAGAAAGAAACAAATTGAAAAAATGTCATCAAGAAGAGCAGCTAAATAAGAAACTGAAAGATAAAAAAAAGAGAGAATAGCAAAAGAAGGTAAAAAGTATTGGGAAAAATTAACTCAAGTTCTACCTGAAAAAACATTTAGAGTTTGGAGAATTCTAGATAAATAACTAAGCAAATATTATGAATTACTTCTAAAAAGATCTAAATTAGTAGAAGAAACAGGATAAATTCATAATCATAATGAAGAATTAAAAAATCTACTCAATTAATATTTATAAGTATCTCATGATATTTAAATTAGATTAATCATGAATTAAAAATACCTCCTACAAGATTTTTAAAGTTGGAATAATAATAAGATAATGTCAAATTGCAAAATAGCAAATGAATAAATAGTCAATTAATATAATAAATATATATTTATAATTATTTTTATTTCATTTACATATTTATAAATCTTTTTTATTTAATAATTTTTTCATCTAAAATATTATATTCATTATTTAAAATTAATTTAAAAGTAATTATTTTTATAATTATTGATATTATAATAAAATATAAATAAATATTAATCAACAAGATTTTCTTAACCATCTCATCTAAATTAAATTGTTTCTTTATCCAATTTTTGTTTATCCATATGTTAATGTTCTGGTCTTTTGATAATAGAAATGTCTCAAATAACCAACAATAAGTTCATCACTTAATAATGCAAATTATTTTTCATCAGCAATATCCACTATATTTATTAATAAATAATATACATTTCTCAATTTATTCAGTTTCTTAAACTTTAAATGGAATATGATTCTATTTATAATATTTTCTATAATCTCTGTGGCTAATCTAATATTAAATTAAATATGATTACAATTTTCCATCTGGTAATAATAATTCACCAGTTTTTGTTAATGTAGCTTTATGTTTACTAATTTAATTTAATATGTTCATCATTTTTTAAATCATCAGTTTATTTTTATTTTTATTTTAATTCCTCTTCATAATCATCATCTGAATTAATATCTTTATCTTCATCATCTTCCCAATCTCCTTCATCTTAATTTTCAATTTTCTTTTCATTTTTATTTTCATCTTCTTTTTAATCTTATTTTAATTATAATTATTATTTTTTAGCTTCAATTTATAATTGTTATTCCTTTTACTCTGCCAAAATTGCTAATAATTTTTCTTAAAAATTGTAATATTTTGATAAAACCTTATATTCTTATTAAGGCATAAAACAATGTCCCTTGTCTAACATATGATCTTTTGTATCATGACTATTTTTGAATGTTTAAAAACAATGTAAAAAAGTATTATTCTTATTTATTTGTTCTGATAATGCTTTTAACAATCTCTCAATATTTATACAATCCTTTTATTAACGAATAATAAATCCATGATTACTTTAAACAATCTTCAATATTATCGCATAATTCATCAAAAAATAAACATACATTACTATTTAATATAGAATTTCCTGTTTAACTTCTATTTGCTGTGATAGGCGATTTTAATTAGTTTAATTAATGGCTTTTTGATATCAAATGACCTTAATATGTTTAACTTCATTTGAACTCTTTATTTCAACATTTAAATGTTTAAGATTTAATAGGAGTTATGATCTTCTACTCTGAAATTTTATCAAATTCTAATATAATTATTTAATTGAAATACTTTCTTTAGAAACTTCATATGAGACAGGATCTAAATTAATCATTTTTCTAGCTATATTATATCTATGAAAATCTGTTTTATAATGATCCTTATAGGTTGGTTCTTGTAGAAAATTAAGTAAACAAGAAGAACAAAAAAATTAACTCATGTTATATTTTTAATATTGTAAAATAAAGGAGATAGTAATCATTTCTTCCATGATTATCTTAAAGTACTTAAACTTTTTTGCTATTTCTTATAATGTTGCATTGTTTTCGAAACAATATCAAAGCTATTCCCCATAATTTATGATTGTCTAGTTGAGTTTCTCATCAATTTCGAATTTCTATTATATTTTTCAAGACTAGAAGATTCAACTCTTTAAGATTGAAACATTTCATTTTTATTATCTTCAGCACATCTTCTTAATTTTAAGAGACTTTATTCTTTTTCAGATTATTGTGTATCAACTCTTATATTCATTTATTCAATATTTTTCTAATCTTACATTTTTTTAAGTAATTGTTATGGATTTGAATAAATTTTTAATAGCTATTATGAATTGATAGTTGTTGCTGATTAAGTATATTATTTAGTTTTTGCACTTACCAATTAATTTAATCTATCATAAGCAGTTGGTGATTTCTTATTAGGATCTATAATAAAATTAGTTTAATTGAGATTTTAGACTTTATTTATTGATATTTACGAACACATATTTTCTAATTGCTTAATTTTATCATTTTAATTTTTGATTTCTGTTTCATATTTCTATTATTCTTCCTCTAGTTTTTAAGTAAGTGCTTCTATATGTAATCGTTATTATTATTCTACTCTTATATGTTATCGAATAGTATTTTCTAATCTTTGAATCTCTTATTCATATTTATTGTCAATGAATTCTTCTAACTGCTCCTTGAGATTCTAAACAAGAGTTGTGAGTTCTCGAACTAATTCAAGGATACATTTTCTTAATCTTTCATTAGAGACTTCTTTAAACTGTTATACATCAGCTGATTAGGGCTTGACAATTTATAAGAGGTCAGCAAAGAGAGAAGCTAAACATTAATTATCTTCCATAATAATTTAAATTTTTATATCTCATCCACTCTTGAACAAAAGAATTGCTACCTATCCCATATAGAAATAGATGAAATGCTTGGTTTCATGTGTAACATAAGATCCAAAGTTTCTACCCACAATACAATGCCAAGTTGGATTATATTTCTTGTCAAACTCTTTCTTGATGAATGCCTATTCAATCTATAAAGTTATATACAGCAATATCTTTCTCAATATTGAATTTCTCTAAAGCTTGATTAGCACAATCAATGGCATCTTGTTACATTTCTTCAGACATATCAGCATTTTTTACAACTGCTTTTCTATCAGCTTGAGCCATTATTTAATTAAATATTTTTAATAAATATCATAAAATCAAATTTTGATTACTGAAAATAAGTGACGAACAGTTGTAAAAATAGGTGAAACAGATCTCTTATATATTGTAGTTTTTTGTGTAGATTACATTGTACTTAAAGTCATTTATTATTATCTACTATTTTTTGGAGATTTTGTTTGAGAAGGCTATGTTAAAAATTTATTTTATCTTTATTTCTCAATTCTTTATTATGCTTTTTCTTTTTAACATTTTGATAACTTAGCTTCTATTTCATCTTTTTAATTATTTTAATTGTAAATGTGAAGTTCTTAATCAATTGTTTCAATTTAGGAACTTTATAAAATTTCTAATATTTCATTATTACTATTATCTTCATCATCAATCAAAATTTATGAAAGATTCTCTCGATGAGCAGGATGAGAACTTTGCACAGTTGATGCTAAAGATAAATGATTTTATTCATTATTGAGTAACAATTAATTTATTATTAATTATTGTATATTTGAGAGAGATACCATAGTTATTTAGTAAGACTTAAAGTTTAATTTGTTAAAAAGTTTGCCTAATTAATGACTACATATAATTACTAATCAATTCTCTTGGTACAAGATTTTTTCCATAAAGTTAATGAGATATCAATTTACCATTAGTATACTTATTCCATTACCATTCCTAAATATTATTATTATAATAAATGCCTTCTCCATCCTATTTTCCTTTTTAGATATTTCCATAATAAATATCTCCATTTTTATAATGCATAACTGTAAATCCATCATACTTTTAATTTTTAGCCACTCCATAACTTAATGGATTGATTTTAATGAATATTTTATTACCATAACAATTGTTCTTAAATGAAATAATTTTTTGTAAAAAACCAACATTTCCAATATCTTTAACATTCTTAATTTAATTATCATCTCCCCAGAATATCTTTAAACATGAATTTTTCAATTTATAAACACCTACTTCTTTAGGTTTAGATTTCTTAAATAATCCATAATAATATGCTAATAATTTAGATCAGAATTACATCCATCTGGATTGATTACTAAACTATATCCCTCAAAGTGTTATTAATAAAAAGATCCAATATATAGAGTACCATCACTTTACAGAATCATTTCTTTATCAAGCAAACAATTTTATAGTTGTTGCATTAATTTATTAATTAATTGAATATGAACACATTTTCGTTTTTAATATAATAATGTTAAAAAAAATTGTTTTGCTTTTGATTCTTATAGTAGCTATCCAATCTAGACATCATAGACTGAGACCAACTAAATCAGATGTTGGACATAACTTAGCAATGAAACCTGGAGATGCTTGTTTACCAACAACTAATTTAAGTGGATAGAAAAAAGAAGAAACTGCTGCCAATTAAGCTAGAAAACATTTAACTGTACATTAATAATATAAAATTAGAAATTTGCAGATGATTTGACAGAAGAAAATAGAAAAGCAACAGAAAAATAACCATTCCCAAATTTATACACATATTAAGATGATAATTGTGTTGGAAAAGCTTAAGATCCCCCTAAAAGAGATAGAAGAATGAGAAGAAGTTGATTTAATAAAATAAATTCTTATATCTAATAAATTACCTTTCATTTTTAATCCATATTAGAAATTCTAATTTAACTTTAAATATCATTATATTTTCTACTTATTTTAATATAATAAAAAATGAGCAATTTTGATGAAGAAAATTAAGAAAATCTAAATGAATTAGAATTGCCTATTAATAGATAAATTTTGTCATTTTTATAATTAGGAATTGAACAATTCAATTTAATTTTGGATAATATTCCTTTAATAAGAAATGATACTTTCTTTGAAGAAGAAGATAACTCAAGACTTTTCCCTTTGACAAGACTTTAATTAGGAAGGGATAGACTATCCCCAAGGTATATTTGAGTTCAAGATTTAGAGAATAAGCTCAAAATATTTAGAAATACCTTCAAAAGCGTACCATCCCAATATAAAACTATAAATTTGATCCAAGACATCCTCATATCAAAGTAACTTAACTTCGTAATATAAACAAAAATCATCAATATTTTATTAATGAGTTTGGGTATATTAAATTTCATCATTATTATAGACTAATAGATTCACAAAAAAATACTAATTCTATAGACATTTTAATTGGCCGATAATATCGATAAAATAAGGATATCATTCCTAATGATATAAGTAAGTATAAAATATTAATACTAAAATAGTTTTACCTGAAGATAGAGTCATATCTCGACTTCATTGTAAAATTGTCTGCAATGATTATTTCAGAAAAGATTAAATACTAGATCCATAATATGCAAAAATCTTAAAAGTAATTAATCTTCCATCTTCCATAAAGTTTAGAATTAGCTAATTTTTAGAGTAGAATATATTACTATCATAAATAGATAACCTAAAATCGTTTAAATATAAGACCTTGGTAGTATTTGTGGCACATACTTAAGAATCTTTAGATAAAAACCATTTTTATTAAATTAAGATCAAAAATTTAGTATTGGAAGTGATACTTGCTTTAATATTATTTTCAATCATAGATTGAATCTTAAATTAAAATAAATAGATGAATAATGGTATAGTATAATCAAACATTTATCTACTTTGAAATAACCTTAAAAACACGAAGTTCATGTGAGTGATGATTAACTTTTCCCCAGTATTGAAGAACCTCTTGAATCAATAAAGAATCTCTAGATTGATGAACTTTATAAAAAGTTAAGTGAATACTAAATACCTATACTAATTGTTAAATTCTTGGGTTAAGGAGTATTCTTTAATAGGTCCATTAACTTATTTTTAGGGAGCATTTAGACAGATACTATGGATTTTTTTGTAGGAAGAGGAGGTGAAAATGACATAAAGATCAATTCAAATACAATATCAAGAAAATAATGTCGTATAAAGTATTCTCAAAAGTAAGGGTATAATTTTAAGTAGATTTTCAGCATGGATAATAAATGATGGATTGTTTGATAGAGATTCTGCTAATGGTACTTGGATTAGTTTATAAACTGCTGAATAATCAGAATAGAAAATTGAATCAAATTTGATCGAAATTCATCATAATGATGAAATAAAGATAAGTGATTTTATTTTAAAACTGGAATTATTTAAAGGAACAAAAGAAGGGATTGGACATATAATAAATAAATTTCTTCATGATTGATAATTATTAATTAAATAAAAGTGACGCTATTTATTTTTATTCATAAAAATTATATCTTTTTTAATCTCAAAATAAATTTATTTATCAAAAAACAAAAATGAGCAACATTCCACCCTCTCAACATCCACCTTAAGCTCCATAACCTGGTCCATACTAATAACCAACATTCTAACCAGGATTCGCTCCTTAATATGCTCCTGCTCCAGTTACTTATGGACCTCCTCTTACCTCATCACCATTGAGATATTCACAACCACTTTATCAAGCTCCAGTTGTTTAATAACCAGTGTATACTCAACCAGTTGTTTAACAACCAGTATATGCTCAACCAGTTGTTCAATAACCAGTATATGCTTAACCAGTTGTCTAACAACCTATTGTCACACAATCAGTCGTTGCTCAACCAGTTGTTACTTAACAAGTTGTTGCTCAACCAGTTGTTGCACCCTAACCAATCTAAGGAGAAAGCAGAATCGAATATGTCCCATATGAAAAGACTGTTGTAGAATATGAAGAAGTCAGATAAAGAATTTAAGTGCCAAGAGAAAAATATGTTACAGACTATTATGCAGTGGAATACTAAACTGAATATGTACCATAAGTATTCTAAGAAAAATATACAGGTAATTAAATAATATTTAAATTAGAATATGTACCTGTTGATAGATATTAAGAAAGAGTTGAATATTATCCAGTCGAAAGATAAGTTGTTCATTAATAAGTCCAATAAGTCTAATAAGTTGTAGCTTAACCAGTTGTTTAATAACAAGTCTAAGTTGTTTAATAACCAGTCTAAGTTGTTTAATAACCAGTTTAAGTTGTTTAACAATAACCAGTCTAAGTTGTTCAACCATAACCAGTTCAAGTATACTAATAACCAATTGTTTAATAACCTTTGGTCTAATCAATCCCTGTTTAAACTGTTCGTCCACCTGCTTATGCTCCAACTACAACTCTTCCATTGGGCTAGACTGTTTCACCAAGACTTCCTGGTAATACAGTCCCAGCTAAACCATTGGATAAAACATAAGTAATTTTTTATTCTTATCTAATCTTTAGGGTCCTAATCAACCAGCCCAATAATAGAACAAACCAAAGAGCTTTTTGGATAGATTATTTGACAGAGATTGAAATGAACAATTATGAATATTTTTATAAATGCACAAATAACATTTAAAATTTTGAATTTTTATCATCTTCCTTATTCAATATTTTATTTCACTCATTTATATTTGAATCAATTTGATTATCATAGTCAATTGATTTAATTTGTTTGTAAAATGAATTCACAATTTTCTCAATTACCAAAATTAGAATAGGATCCTTAGCAAATACCATATTCTTTACCTCCTCTTACAAACCAAGATAGAATCTAATATTACCCTATTTTCTATATAAAACAGAATAAGTATTAATTTCTCCTTTATCATTTTTAGTTAGTCAATTCATACTAATATATAATAACTTCCAAATGATCAATTAAATGGTTGGTTTGTCTGTCATCCTGTAATGCAAAACGACCCTTTCTTTCCACAAATATCTAACTTTTCTCAATTTATTCATAAACCCCCAACCTTCAACCCAGATATACCTATTAAAATAGAAGATGATGAAGAAATTCCATAACCTTAACAATCATAATAATTCTAGGAGGCTAATTCTAATAAGAATAATGAAAAATCAAGGAGTAAAAAGCAAAAAGATCAAAATAAGTTTAAAAGAAATGTAGACAATATCAAAGACTTAGAAGTCTAACCATGTAATTGTTCATAGAGTAATTGTCTTAAGAGATACTGTGCTTGTTTTCATAGTGGAAGAATGTGTTTAGATGAATGTTAATGTAAAGATTGTAAAAATTGTACTGAATTTGCTGAGGAAAGAGATGAAGCTATAAATCATGTTTATAAAAAATGTCACCGTGATAAAAAGGTGCCAGTAAATGAATTACTATCTTTATAATTGAGTTATGGATGTAAATGTAAATCTACTGGATGTTAAAAAAAGTATTGTGAATGCTTTAAGAGAGGATAAATATGTGGAGATTAATGTTCGTGTGAAGATTGCCTCAATATTCCATTAAGTTTAAGCTAAAAGGATCTTAAGAGAAAGAAAACAGTGGTAAAATGAAATTGTTCATTTAAATTCATTATAAATATTTATTTTCATTTATCTTCATTTATATTTGCACTTAAAAAAACATCATTATTTTATTAATGCTAAATAGTTTTTAATTTTATTTAAATTACATCTATGGTAATAAATTAAAGCATATTCAGATCATTTGAATTAGTTTTTAAAAATATGGATTTGGGTTAAAATTTTGAAATTTATTCTTCTATCATTGATAATTGTAGGAAAATAGGTAAATATATTATTATTTTCATTAAATTTTAACATTTAAATGCATAATTTTATAAAATTAACAATACATAAAATAATTATTAATATGTATTAATTATGGGTTTATTTATATTGAATAAAGACTAATTAATATAAATTTTCTATACATAGTTTAAATATTATTATCCCATGAATATTAATTTTATCATATATAATTAAAATATTAATTTAATGAAAAAGCTCTTTTCTTCAATTAAAAATGCAACAACTCAGTTAGCTAAAGGACTTTTTTCTTCAAAAGAAGAAACATAATAATAAGAGAATAAATAAGATATGACTCCTGAAGAATCTAAATAATAATGTAATTTAGTATTTAGAAAATAGATGATGATTACATTAAAAGTTATTTAGATTCTCATAAAGAATTGAAAGTAAACATATTGACAAATCGAATATACTTTAATAATGCAGTGCTTGATTTATCCTGGAGAAAAATATTAGAGATAAAAAATCTATATGCTAATGAAAGAAGAATAAATTTCTAGCCAAAATTAGTTATTTTAGAATAATAACATTGGGAGAGAGTTGTAATTCAAGTTGCTGAATTAATTTAATCTTATTATAACATTCAAATTTATTATGATAGATAAGAATTAATAAGAATAGTAATTAATTAATTTTATTTTATAGATCAAATAAAAAGTTTTGGAGGAATAATGTATAAAGATTTTATTTAGTAAAGAAGAAATGAAAGACTATTTTTAATTTTATGAATAATCAGATATTATGCTTATTTAATTGAAATAATAATTTCCTCAATTAACATATGAATATTCTGAATCTTAAATTAAGGAAATATATAAGTAATATATAATTGACAAAGCTTTTGAATTATACAAATTTGATGATTGTGATGAATTCAAAGGAATCAAATTATTTCATGATGATGAAGAAGTTTTAAAATGGTTTAAGAGAAAATAAGCTATAGCACCTTGACTTAATATTGATGTATATATATAATGCTTTATTATCGAAAACAAGCAATTAATAATAATAAAGTATTTATCACAGTTAAAATGATAATGATGATTATGCTCGACTATTTTAAGTGCTACTTGGCATTATTTTCTTTGTTTTTTTTCTATGAGTTGCTCCAGTCATATTCTAAATAATTTTAAAATATTTGTCCTTTTAAAAAAACTGATTTAAATTCCTTTCTAAATAACCTGTTAATGGATATTGTATAATCTTATTAGTTATTTTATTTTATTATTAAATTTTAGGTGATTGCTATCTAATCTTAAACTAACAATTCTTTTAATCTCTTTTATAAGATTATCGATATTAATTAGAATTTGGTTAAATGTATTTTTAATCTTACCACGCCCCAAAATCAGTGTCTTCCACTATTATTATAAATATCTATTGAATTACTAACACTTTTAGCTCTTTCTTTTACTATTGGATTCGATATTTCTACTGTTTAAAATGCACTAATAGCTTCCAGATATTATTGTGCATCATTCTCAACTTTCAACCTTAAAGGAGAGATGTTAAATTATACAGGATTCTCAAATAATTCTGAAGTGATCTAAACTAAAATTATTCTTATACATTGATTCTTTTTATCTTAGATCTTAAAGCCAATGGATTTTCATTTTCGTTATTTTTTATTTTAATAGGTTTCATTTACAAGCAAAATTTTATATTCGTTAATAAATTATTAATAAATAAATATATTTCATTCTATCTCTATTTTCAAACTTTCCTTATTTATATTTTTTTGTTATTTTACTTATTATAATATTTATTCTTTTTTTGAATGATTGATTCTATTCTAAAATGTTATCATAATCTATAATTTATTTTATTATTTTTATTATATGTCTCAATTTTCATTCTTCTTTTTTGATCTTTTCATCTTATCTTATAATTTATATCTAATTCTAAATAATATGCATTAATATAATATATTAAAATATTTAGATTTTAGGTATAAATCTAATAAGTTGAATATAATGAATAACAATAAATTAATAAATTATATAATTGAATATTTGATCAAAATTAAGTTTATAATAAAAAATGAAAAATCAAAATATCCTATTTATGATATTATCCAAGTTATATTTTGGATAGAAGTATTCATAATTTTTAACTTGATCAATTTCAAATGATGTTTCATAAGGATCAAACTTGGGTTCTATTAAAAATATAATTAAAAATAAAATTACTTTATGGAATAAATACATTTTGTGCTTTGAATGGTTATTATTATTTAATACCCATTTTATTCATAATTAAATTAAGCATATTTTTAATTTCACCTATATCATCTTGATATTATTCTTGATTTTCTTCTTCTTCAATTTCCTCTATAATTTCAAATTAAATTTATTATTTCATAGATATTCTCTTTAACTTTCGTTCTCTTATATTATAATCCAATATTGAAAATTAAACTTTTTTAGAAATGAATACTGAATTGAATTATGATCGTTTTTTTCTTTCAAATTCTTCTCTTTTTTATCTATCATCTTTAACTTTGATATGAGAGAGGATATGTTTAGGATAATAATGAGTTACATCACATAAATCTGCTAAATGATCTTCAGATTAACATGTGTAACATTTTAATTCTAATTAATTAAAAAGTTAAGACTAATCAGTGTATTATTTTGAAATGAGTAAATGATAAATTTCAAAATCTTTAGGAAAGTTTACAATCTCTTATAAGAAATCACTTTTAGCCAATTTATACATATTACAACATTATTAAGTTTGTGCCTTATATGGAAATCTTTATTCTGTAAAGAATAACAATTGGCCTATACATTGTCCAGATTTAATTAAATCTATTCTTGTCTTTATATTAATAGAATTGTGAGCAGTATCTACATACTAATTATTGAAAAGTAAAGTACAATCAAAATTTCTCCATTTTAGAGAAACAACAATTAAGGATTGAGGATATCAAAATGTATATTTTCTCCAGGTCCATAGCTTTCTTCTTGCATATATTAAACAAGGGAACGAATGAACATTTCAGAAAAATCAAGATTCCAAAATATTTTGCATTTAACAAAATTGATATATGTCTCATATTACAATTATTGTCTTAATTCTGGTGCAAGTTTAGATATAAGTAATTGTTCTATTGGTCTATTTCTATTCTTCTCATCTTACCAAATATATTGATAATAATCAATAATTCTTGCTTAAGTTGATATTGAAATATTCTTGATCTTCATATAACGATTGATAACTGCTTCATAACTATTATATCTAATTTCTTAGGAATTCATTTCAACAATTACATCTCTAATTGAAGCTACATTGAATGCAAATACCATTCCAGCAATAACTAATTTCAAATTAAAAATTTTACTCATTGTAATTAATGTAATCCCAATTTCATAATCATTTTTAGGTGTAATATCACCATATCCAACAGTTGAAACAGTTGTAGTAGCCCAATAAAAAGAAACTACATATCTTGACCAATATGACAATTCCTAAATGGTTTAATCATTCTCAACATAACCATTATATTCAATCCAAGTTGGAAGATTAGATGTTCCTGCTTCATCTCTTTAAAATTCCTTATAAGAAACACCAAAGAAAAAACAAGCCATTAAATGATTCACAAACAAAACAACAATTATCAATTTTAATACTGTGTAAGCTGCTTTCCAATCTACAATAACTTTTGCATAAATACTGCTTCTTAATTGTAAAGAATGATCAATCTTCTCACTAAATCTTATTATGTAATACGATCTTAAATAAAATAGAATACGATAATAATCATTTTTAAGCAGTAATGATAACATTAATGATACTACTCCTATCAAATCTAATTCAAATTCCTAATATTTATATCATTCTACATGCAATACCCAAACAACATATTTCTCTGCTATCACTTTACGATCCAATATTACTTCTCCTTGCTTTTTTATACCTGAATTAAAACTAACTAGCAGGTCAACACCAAGCATTACTATTGAGAATATTAAATAAGCCTTCACTCCAGTAGTATCATTTGGGTTGAGACCATCTGTCTCATCCGTGAAAGCTATCTAAAATATCAATCTTCAAATACCTTAAAAGGAATATAGAATAGATAAGTGAAAATTATGATTACGACAATTAGTTGCCAAATCAATAATCCACTTGATTCTGGATGAAATACAGGAATAGCATTTAAAATTCTAGAGCAATAGCTCCTTCTTGGTTCTGCTTTGAACATTTAGATTTCTTTAGACAGCATTTATTAAGGAATATAATTCTCAAACAGAGGATCAAAATCCTGACTAACATCAAATAGTTAAATTTAAGCAATAGGTGGAATATCATACAAGATTTATGATTTACGTCTTGCACTTGCTCTAATGCTAAATTCCATTGAACTCTTGTCATCCAAAAGAGGTTTATTCATTAATCAAAAATTTTTATTTATTATAGTAATCATGTTTTTCTTTTTATAGAAAATTCATATATTCTCTAAGAACAATATAACTAAGGTCATAGATTATTTTTTTATGAATTGCTCTCTACAATAAATCTGTTAATTTACTATTTCTTCTATGTTCTCCAAATATTCTAAAGATCTTTCCTAACATTCATATTCTTTTATCTATCTCAATAGACTATCAAAATTTATTATAGATATATTTTTTTTCTATACTCTCAGGCTATTATCCTAATTTTACTTATGCCTAAGAAATTAGACTTTATCTTGAAAATATATTATCTATCATTTAATTCTAAATTAAAACTGAGTTATATTATTTTTTGAACTGTCTTTAAAATCAATCTCATTTGTACTTGTAATCCTTTAAATTTATCCTGAAAATCAAACATCTTTTGTTTTTATGGAACTCCCCTACCATGAAAGCACTCTTCCATAAAATTATATTATATTTATTAATTTTAAAAATAAACAAAATTTAAAGTTAATTATTCTTTTTAACATTTATTGTCTTAAATATCACTTTAAAATGACAATACTAATAGATAGTTATATATGATTTGGTTATTTTAACTTAAAATAGTTTTATCACTAAATATGAGTTTTACATTTTTCAAAGCCTATTTAAGGAATATCATTTCTTTGAAAGGGGAAATCATAAAACTACAAAGTTATTAGATTATTTGACATATAATTATTATTAAGCTTGATATCAGAAAAATAAATGTATTTTCTTTAATATTTAAGAAAATAATTTTAAAAGCAGTAAGATTAAACATTCATAAATTAGAAGATAATTAGGATTTCTAAACATTGTTATAATTATTGAAGTAAAGACATTGATTTTTAAGAATTTCAATTATTAATTTTTATTAATAAAATTTCCAATTATAAAATTATTAACGATTCAATGAAACAATTACCAAAAGGTGATATACCTATAAATCCCTTAACAGATTAATCAATTGATGAATATAAATATCCCCTCTACACTAACCAAAACTTAATGGAAACTGTTTAATCTCATTCATCCTTCAAACCATAGCTTTACAAACATCAGGATCTATATGAAGAATTAATTCGCAAAGCTGAAACAAATAAGCCAGAACAAAAGCATCTTAAATGGAGAACAAATATCCATTTAAGATTAAATGAAGAATACAATGAACTATAACAAAAGAAAGAATTATTAAAGGTTAATTATTAATAGTTAGAATTATAATAATGTTCATTCTAACCATCAATTAGTAATAAGAGTAAGTAAATAGGATCTTATTTTGGCTCTTCTCCTCGTTATATGTCACCAAAATCTTTTTAAACATAAACATTTCTCCCTTAAAATAAAGAAATAAAACCATCTAACAGGAAAAGTAATAAAGAAAACAATCCTTCAAATGTATGGGATAGACTATCAAAATAAAAAGAAAGTCGTCAAACTCCATAGTCTTTTTAATTATAACCACAATCAACAAGGACATCTTAAAGGCATACTCCTGAAAGAGTAGAAGCTGTTAGTAATCGACTTTATGAGGAAGCTTTTCAACCTAAAAAATTTAAGTTTAATTACTAAGAGATTCTAGTTGCATCACCAAAAACTGCGACTTAAACTTAACGATCAGAAAAACATTTGGTAAGACATTTTGTCAAACAATTCTATGAAAGTATAACAAATGCAAGAATTTGGACTTTAGATCATTTAGATGAAAACCTAAATAAAATTGACTTTAAGTTTGAAATAGAAAATGATCTTTGTTTATTGACAATAGATGAATTAGCAATAACATTAGATCATCTTGGATTTGCTCCATATTAAACTTATGATCATACTAATTAAGATAATATTGTTTTCAGAATATTTAGAGTATTATAATGTCCTGATGATTTAGATCTTATATTATCTAGAAATTTATTAACATTTCTATTAGCTATGTAAGGATTTCATGTAGATTTTTAATTGTTACCTAAATATAATAATAATTATAGTATTTAATTTCCAAAACAATATAAAAATGATCTTGTTGAATTTGAAGATGGGAATGTTATAATTTAAAATTAAGAAACAATATCCAAATAGTTTAATTAATTATATTTAAATTATTTAGCATATAAAAAACAAAACAAAAAACTTTAGGAATAAGATTCTAGTTAATAATTTTAATTATAAAATAAATCTAATTCATAAACTAATGAATTAGCTAATAAATATAGAGCAAGAGTATAATCATAGATAACAGAAACTAAACCAATCAATTTGAATGACTATGATCACTATTATCATATAAAGAAAGAGTAATTAAAATAAGAAATTGATACTAATATCAAATAATAATGTCCTTTTTCACCAAAAATAAATTCAACTTAAACTAGTCCCAGATATCATTTAAATAAAAAGAAAGTACTTTCACCAAAATAAGAAGAAACTCCAACATTCTAACCAAATTTAAATAAATCTTAATTGTCCTATATGAATGATTAAATTCCATTACCTGAATAAAGAGAAGCTATAAAAAGAATGGTGAAAGGTCGAGTTGAGAAATAATTGAATTAGATAATTATATCTTAAGGAACTTGTTATTAAAAAAAAAGAAAAAATATTGAACAATAACTTTATCAGGAAGAAATAAATAAATTAATTTAATAACCAATTATGTATATTAATGTAGCACTAGAGAATAATACTACTAAAAAAATTGCAATTTATTAAGGAGATTAACCAAGAAAATTAGCAGAGAAATTTATCAAAGATAATAGATTAGACCCTAATTTAATAAATTAATTAACTTAACTTCTTGAAGAATAATTGCTTATATGAAATATTATTGTTATCAAACCTTATTACTTTTATTAATTTATATATGATGTAATAATTATATTCAATTTTTTGTATTTTAACGATCAATGGATTATGATGATTTATTTCGTTTATTGCCTAAGCCTCCAAAAAAATGGACTACCTAAGAAGTTCTAGTCTGGTTAAAATATATAGGATATAGTTAATTAGATACTTATTTTGGTACAAATTTAAATAATACTTTAGTAAATGAATGTGTAGATGGTTCATGTTTAGAGATCTTAACAGATTAAGATCTATTAGATATAGGAATCTCATCTCCATTATAAAGAAAGAAACTATTGTAATGTAAATCTAATCAACAATTAAATATAGGGATTCAAATTGGATTGAAAGAATTTACAAATTATTGTAAATCCCATACAAAAAATGAAGTTACTTCTCAAATGATTCAACCATTCATGGAAGTTTAATAAATTTCATCCCCCAGGGTTGAAATACCACAACAAGATAGGTTACCTTTGAAAGTCATTCAAGATAGAATATTATAATCCAGACATGAATATGACATTGAAATAGATGAGAAAACAACTATGGGATAGATCCCAATTGAACCTTTACCATCACCTGGAGGAAGACAAAAACAATAATTTATATTGCCGGTACCAAAATCTCAATTGAAAATAACTGAAGAAGACTTAGCAAGATAAGTTTAATAAACCAATAAAAAAGTGAGCCTTTATTTAAATATTAGAACATATTTGCTGAATTATAGTTATAACAAATTTAAAAGCCAATTCTATTAAGTCCTCAAAAGAAATAATAATTATAAGAATCTGAATATCATTTACCTGAATTTGGTACTCCTAGATTTGATAGATAAGAAAAGAGAGAAATTGAGGAAATTCACTCAAATAATTAATAATAATAATAATAATAATAATAATAATAATAATAACAATAACATTTAATTTAATCACCAAACTAACAATAAAATTAATTAAATATTAAAATAAAAAAAGAAGGATTTCCAACATAAAAAAAGTTAATAACTAAAAATGCTACTATAGGAAGAAATCCAGAAAATGATATTTAGTTAAATCATGAATCTGTAAGTAGAACTCATGTTTGGGTAATCAAATTTATTAGTTTAGCTCACTTTTAAAGAAAAATAGTTTTACTTATAAGATAGAGGAAGTTTAATTGGAACATTTATTCTCTTAGAAACTAAAACATAAATTGTTTAAGGATATATTATAGAAATGGGATCAACTGAAGTAGTTATATAAAGTCTTTAACAAAATGGTTAATGTAAAATTATATTTAAATTGTTTAAGAATGCAATATTGTCTTAACTTCTCAAATGGGATCAGTCTAGTTTACTTTATCAATTGGAAAATCAAAAATGATTGGATCCTAAACTTTTGGTGATTAAACTATGGCATATGATCATGCTTTGTTAGAATTCACTAGTGAAGGTATAAGTATAGAGGATTAAAAAACTTCTAGTGGGTATAAATTTTAGATTGAATTAGAACATGGATGAGATTAAGCAAATCTGGTGTTTAATCTTTAAGTGTACCTTTATGTAGAAGGAGAGTCATAAAAATAGCAGAATATATACTAATAATAGAACCAGAATGATATTTATATATAAATTATTACCCAAAATTTAAAAAGACTTTTCATAATTTTTAATAATTTTTATTATTATTTAAAATAATGAATTAAAGTTTACTTCATCTAATTGAAATAGCAAAATAACATAAAAATTATTTTGATGAAAACTATTTAGATGATATGATTGCATCTTGTAGATAAAATGCTTAAAATGATCGATACTTAATTTTATTTTTGATCAAAATTTGGTAAAATAATGAAGAATTCTTGGGATATAGATTTAAGCAATGGGTATAACAACATAAAGTTTTTAATTAAAAATCAGCTATTGATTTATTAAAAAATGGTTTTGTTCATGAATGCATCTAAAATTTTGAATAAAATTTATCCCGCAATGCTTTTGAAGCTATTAAAAAGCATAATTTTTTTCCAAAAATTGATACTTTATAATAATAAGAAAGTTTTAAAAGAGTAAAAGAAAACTTAAAATAATATGATGATCAAACTTTAAATTAAATAAATAAAATTTTATTAGGTGATATAGAATCGATTCTTAAGGAATCTAAATCAGATTGGATCTCATTTGTTATGCTCTATGTTTAGTTTTGTGATTATAAAATTAAACCTTAAGACATGTCTAGGAATTTAAGATAATTACATTTCCCTATTGAATAAGAAAACAACAATCTTATGTAATTATTTGGAGAAATTGTGTTAAGATCAGAAAATGTATATATTATTAATTGTTTACTAAAATATGATAAACATTTAACTTATTTTCTATATTTGTATTTTGAAAATAAAGGATAAGATTAACTTAGATCATAATTTGAAATATATGTATTAAATTATGTTATTTAAATTTTAGAAAAGCAAATTTTAGTTAATCAGAACCATACTTGAAGATATTCCAAATGATATGAAGTTTGAAGATGAGTTCTTATACTTTTTTGAAGAAATTTCAGATATTATTAAAATGTTAAGAAAACTTAGAAATACTGAGTTTGAATAGGAGTATTAAGATATTTGCGATACTAAAATTAAAGGAATTATAATTTCATCAAGCAATTTTAGGAAAAGTATGGAATCTTCTAATTTTAGTTATGAACTTTGTTCAGAAAATTGAAAAATTTTAATAAGACTATTAAGCAGCTATAGTACTTGAAGCCTTATTATAGAAACTATTCAGTCAACATTTATTGCCATTAGAAGATAAAGAAAATGCTTTAAATATAATAATTGAAAAGTTTTTTTATTAAGAAACTTTTAGACATTTAATTAAATAAGAAATAAACTATCAAATCAATAATCCTTACTTTGATGAAGTATTTAAAGACTTTTTAAATAATTTTTCATTTTAACAATACAGAGAATATTTTTAATAAGAATTAATTAAGCTTTAATTTAAATTTGGATTAAAATTGTATGATTTACAATTAACAAATAATATTGAATATCCTGAGTTTCTTATCATGAATATATCCTAAGAATTTATAAGGAATGTTACATAATCTGATGATTCTTTTAAAATGAAGATGAAGATAATTTTGAGTACTTTGTTAGATTAATGTTAAGATATAGAAAATGAAATATTGAATAACAGGAAAAATATCATTAGACTCTTAATAAGAAGATTGTGATTTTAATGATTATTTAATATAAGTTCAACTTATATAATTCATTTAACTTTAATAAATTTAATTTTTGTGTTTCATCTATGCTCTTAATAAATTAAAACAACTTTTCAGATATCATAAAGTATTTGAGACTCAAGTATTGTATCATTAGAAGATTGCTTAAGTCTTTAATAATGATTAACTAAATTATTAAGAAAAATTACTTAATTCTTCATTCTATTTTCATTAGTCATTCTTTAAATAAATTCTTTTTAGATCTAGATAATTTATTGATCTTTTTATTTATTGGTTTAAGCAGTCTAATAAATAGCAGATAGGATTGGAATAATAGAATTTAAACTACATTATGACTTTGAACATTTTTATTTTTAAATAGTTTATCAATGTCTTCAATGATGCTGTTATAATCGCCAATTAAAAAACAAAACTCTATATTTTTTGAACATAATTATAATTCTTAAATATAGTTCTTCTCATAAATAAAATCAAGATTATTAAAAATCATAAGTATGATTTCTATATAAATACGATATAAATAAATTAAAAAAAAGATGTATCAATATTTTAATCTCCAAAGACAAACATCGAATGAAAACACTCATTTGCTATTACATAACTTAGATGATGTTAATAGTGCTATTTTTTTGATTAAATTACAGGATTAAAACTTATCAGAGACCATTATTAATATCTTAAAATCTAAATTAGGAGATAAAGACTTTGAATTCTACAATACTTAATCAGAAATAATTGAAATTAGTAGGATAAATAGAGTCGACCTTTCTTATAGAAAAATTTATTTCTAAGAGAAAAACCATCATATGAAAAACAGAGATGAAATATCTTAATAAATAGATGTTTTTACTTAAAAATATTAGAAGATAAGTAGGTTAGAAGGTTAAATTCAAGAATTATAATAATTAAAACATGAAAAATAATAAATAGAATAATAAAACTAGGAATTGGAAAATTAAATATCATAAATTAAATCTTAATCTTAAGATGATTAACAATAAATAAGCTAATTACAGTTTGATATATCAAATTTGATATTAAAAATGGAAAATTAAGAGTAAAATATATTATGAATCTAATTTAGGCAATTAATTAAAAAATAAAAAGAGGAATGTCATTAATTAAAGAATGAAAATAGTACATTATAAAATTCACTTAGAGAAGCTAATTTTAACCTATAAACACATATAGATTTATTAAATAAAGAAAAAGTTAATAAAATTCAACCTAAAATAAGAATTTAAAATAGAAATATAGAACCTAAAGAAGATGAAATTTCTATCTAAAATTCATAAGTATTCTAATATAATTACTAAAATTAAAGTATTATAAATATCATAACTATAAGCTTAATAATAGAGTAATTACAAAAATAAATGTGGTCATTTTTTAGATATTTCTTAAATACAATAATAAGTATATTTTGCAATAAGAACCAATACAATAGCTAAATGCACTAGTTGTTAAGCTTCTCTATAATCTAAACTATGTTTATTAATTTAAGATTATGGAAGAACATATTTAGAAATAAAAAATTAAATAGAATTTAGCAATCTTTTATAAAATTTATAAATGAACTTAAAATATAATGAAAAACTAATAAAATGTTCAAACAATAATTGTCAATTCTTTTGCATTTGGTAGAATAACTAGAGAGGAATTTAAGGATACAATGTAAGGCCTATAAAATAAAATAATGGATTTTGCCCTTCATGTCTTTAATATACTGTAATTAACGTTTAAATATAAACTCCCATTTTTAGAACATTTTAATGATAATTTATAATTATCTTTAATTTATATATATGAATTTATAGATTCAAAACTTTTTGTTCATTTATCATTTGCAATTCACAAAATTATGATAATTCTATTATTATAAATAGAAACTCATTTCTTATTATTTATATTTAATATATAAATATAGAAATAAATCTAAAATGTATAAAAATTTTAATTGAGAGTAGATAAAAGTAAAATTTATATTATACTTAATTGTTTGATAAAAATTTTAAATGTTTTTTTACTAATAATCTCAAGTAATTTATAAAAAAACCAAAAAAATAGATTAAATAATTACGTTAATGTTATTAGATTTTCTTTTATAATAAATGAAATATAAATTATTAATTTTTATTAAAGAAGCCTCTTTAATTTATTTATTTTTAATCTTTTTAAAAATAAAATGATTCAAATAATATTAATAAAAAATTTATTTTTATTTCTTTTTTAAGTTTAAACTAAACAAAGCTGTTATGGGCAAAAATACCTATCAAATTAATTAATAGAATTGATAAAATTGCAAAAAATTGATGATAAATAATTTTAAGCAAACAGTAAAATCTTTTTTTGGAAATAATAATTGAACTTAAAAATTGAACATTATTAGTCTTATAATACACAACTACTATAACTATTATATGGATTAAATTAAAAATATAAAAAGTACAAATTTTGTTCCAAAAGTATAAAATCAAATAAATGCAATAAATTATTTATGTCATTGATTGAACTTAATCATTCAAAGCTAAATAAAAGAATTGGAATATAAATGTTTTTTGAAAAGTTTATAATCTTTTATTGCAAAAAAATCTTTTAATAAAGGATGATGTCTTTCTACATCTTCCTAAGACTTGTAGCACATAAATTAATTATATTATCTCCAGCTATACTTGTACATCTCAAAAATCCAAAGTTTGGCAAATATTTAAATTTAAGAAAATTTTTTTGGGGATGCCAATCTATTGATTAATCCTGATATTATCCTATATGATCTTCTCTTATTCTCTTCTCATCTCAGACTATTTTTCTGTGAGATTTCGATCTTATTATCTTTTATTTCTCTAATTACTTACTCGCTAAGTGATTTTCTTAAGATACAACTTCTGGCTATCTATTCAGAAGTAGACTCAATATAGGCAGTTAGTTTGGAATCAAATGATCTCCTAATTTTATTACTTTATTAGCTCTTGCTTTAGATAACTTTTGAATCACTTTGATTGATCCTGTTTACACCTATTAACATTTTTCCAATTCTTTAATGCTTCTCTTTTCATCAATTATGCTAAATAATCAAAATATAGCTGAATATATCACAGCCAAAGTTTTGTCGTAGATCTCAAAGGCAAGATTCTATTTAAATTCTTGAGCCGATATCATAGAAAAACTAGCTAAACTTAACTATGTTTCATAAGTTGATTAATATTACCTCTAATATGTACTCCTTCATCTAATCCTTTTCAAATCAGTTTATTTGATCTTTACTAGTTTTGTATTCCATATTTATTTGTTAATATATTAATTAAAACTGTAACTCTTTTTTTATATTGGATCATATATGAATAACTATTCTTCTATCCATTCAAGAGCATATAGCTTATCATCTGTCTTTATACTTTTATTCCTACCTAAATTTTTAGAAAATTTGGTATCTATATATAATATTATAGGCATTCAGCAAATCTAAAAAGATTGCTATTTATCCTCTAATACTTCCTTTTAATAAACATTTAATTCTGCTATTATCTAATCAAGGTGTTAGGAGTAACCTAAATGAGAAACAAAACCAATATAAGAAGCATTTGATCTACTTGTACAAATTTCTTTAAATATTGGTACAAAGAAGAATCAATCCATTTTATAAATTACTCATAATCATAATAGGTCTGAGTTAACCAATAAGAGGGATTTAAGGATGCCATCAGTTGGATAAGCTTCAAACTGCATTGTTCTCATTCAAGTATGTTGCTAGTCTTTTTATTCTACTAGATAATTTGAGAATGCCTTCTTATTATTGGCAAAGTTATTTACAGTTTCATAATATATTCTTAGATTTTTTTGATTCTTNTTGGGGATGCCAATCTATTGATTAATCCTGATATTATCCTATATGATCTTCTCTTATTCTCTTCTCATCTCAGACTATTTTTCTGTGAGATTTCGATCTTATTATCTTTTATTTCTCTAATTACTTACTCGCTAAGTGATTTTCTTAAGATACAACTTCTGGCTATCTATTCAGAAGTAGACTCAATATAGGCAGTTAGTTTGGAATCAAATGATCTCCTAATTTTATTACTTTATTAGCTCTTGCTTTAGATAACTTTTGAATCACTTTGATTGATCCTGTTTACACCTATTAACATTTTTCCAATTCTTTAATGCTTCTCTTTTCATCAATTATGCTAAATAATCAAAATATAGCTGAATATATCACAGCCAAAGTTTTGTCGTAGATCTCAAAGGCAAGATTCTATTTAAATTCTTGAGCCGATATCATAGAAAAACTAGCTAAACTTAACTATGTTTCATAAGTTCATTTATATTACCTCTAATATGTACTCCTTCATCTAATCCTTTTCACATCAGTTTATTTGATCTTTCCTAGTTTTGTATTCCATATTTATTTTTTAATATAATAATTAAACTGTAACTCTTTTTTTATATTGGATCATATATGAATAACTATTCTTCTATCCATTCAAGAGTATTTAGCTTATCATCTGTCTTTATACTTTTATTCCTACCTAAATTTTTAGAAAATTTGGTATCTATACATAATATTATAGGCATTCAGCAAATCTAAAAAGATTGCTATTTATCCTCTAATACTTCCTTTTAATAAACATTTAATTCTGCTATTATCTAATCAAGGTGTTAGGAGTAACCTAAATGAGAAACAAAACCAATATAAGAAGCATTTGATCTACTTGTACAAATTTCTTTAAATATTGGTACAAAGAAGAATCAATCCATTTTATAAATTACTCATAATCATAATAGGTCTGAGTTAACCAATAAGAGGGATTTAAGGATGCCATCAGTTGGATAAGCCTCTAACTAAACTGAAATCGAGGTTTTTAGAAATTCAATTTTGACTGCATTGTTCTCATTCAAGTATTTTGCTAGTCTTTTTATTCTATTAGATAATTTGAGAATGCCATCTTATTATTGGCAATGTTATATACAGTTTCATAATATATTCTTAGATTTTTTGGATTCTTCATATATTTAAAGTTGATTATTCTTTCTAGATCTTAAGTAGATCTTCTATAGATAAGGATAGTAGTTGTTTTTAATAGCATAACTATCATCATCTATTTAAATAATATTCTTAAATGTTCTTTCTTTTTTTAAAGATTTTCGATATGAGAAATTAAATCTTGAATTCTTTTGGCTCTTTGGAGAATTATAATGATTTAGATGAATATATTGCATCTGATATGCTTCTATTTATTATTTTAAGGTATTTAATGAACTTTACTCCATGGAATCCATGGTGATTATATATTTACATACATTCATATTTTTTTTTGGTTATATTATTGAGTCTAAGTATTATTAAATAATTTTTTATTGAATACTAATAAATAATATAGGTCTTTTTTTTTTTTTTTGATTTGTTAATTGAAATGGATATTAATTTTTGATCTTAAAGTTTATAACATATCTCTGGTATCACTTTATATTTAATCAATCTTTTTAAGGATCCTAAAGTAGTCTATCTATTTCATTTAATTCCTTCTTTTTATCATCTAGTGACCTTCTTAGTTACCATATCATAATACTTAATATTTCCACCAACTATGATAGCAGAATATTAACAATTTTCAAAGTTTGTTTTCCTTTCTAATGTTGCAGTTATAGTGAGTATATGTTTAAATATCATAAGGTAAATCTTTTTAAAGATTTACTTTAAAAGTATTTTGAGCTTCTAAATTTTTCATTCTTATAGCTGGTGATTTGTTAAAAACAAAGTCATGAGTTTATTCCCATCTTTTTTTTTAACATAAATATTTAAAAATTAAACATCTTACCTTATATTAAATTGGGTTTCTTAGACCATTTACTTAATGAAAAATCTTACAATTACCTGGTCTAAATCGTCTCAGAACTACAGCTCATTCATATTTTGACCATAACCAAATAAGTAATTTCTAATTCTTCACCATCATATCCAGCATAAGCTTCGTAGATTAAATGTTTAATAAATACCTTAGTCTCGAATAAAAAGGTATGGATGAGAGATTCCTCTTTTAAATTTTTCAAAAGTGACTCCAATTTTATTTTGGTAGATAAAATATTATTATAATTACTTATACATGGCCATAAAATTAATAGAAAATTTCACAAGTTTTATTACAGCAATTAATGTTACTAAATATATAATTTGAAAATTGTATATCAAAAATAGGGGAAAAAAAGAATTAAACAAAAGAAATTATATATGTTGAAATTAATCCTTTGTTAGAAAATTAATTTACCATTTTTTAGAAAAAACAAGTAAAAAATTATCAATCGATTTAATATAATTCTAGTTGTCAAAATCAAATATATTTCATTTCGCCTTGAAATCCTTTTAGAACATTGGACATATATATAATATGAAAGATATTATACATTTTTTGTATATAAAAGTTAATAATTTATTTATAAATAATCAATTAATTTTATTTAATAGAAATGCAGAGGGCATAATCTCCAGATACAATGATGGTTACATTTTATGATTTAAATCGACCTTTAGACTGGCCTTAAGGATATAGATTATAATCCAATACATAAGTTTCGGATGTCTTAACATATATTAAGAAAAGTTTGAATAATGATTAACGAATTGAATTACAATTTGAAAAAAATAAGCCATTTGATGGAAGGCTTGACACTTAAGTAATTAATATTATGAAATAATTAAAAACCAGATAAATTTTTTATAGAAAAATTTATTCCTATACTATCTAAAAACTCTCATCGGTTGAATAAGGTAAGTAAATAAGCTTTAACTAATAATTTGATAACTAAATTCATCAGTTTAAATAAGAAATAAATTCGAACGAGTTGTATTATATAGATAATTTATAATTATCTTCATAAATTCCTATATTGAATGGAACCACTACATAAAATTATATCAATTTTGATTAAAGTAAAATAGAATAAAGTTAAAAATCAGAATAATTAAATACATCAGAGATCATAGGTAAAAAAAAAATTCATTATATTGAAAATCCAAAGTATTTTATTTATTTAAATAGAATATAAATTTACCCTTAAAATTAATAAATAATTTAGCAATAATAATAATATTCTTCAGAATTATAATAATTAAAATAGGAAAAATAATAAATAGAATAATAATACTTTTAATTATAAAAAGATTTGTCTCAAATAAAGTAAAAATAATATCATTTATTAGAAATTTATCACAAGTATATGAATAATAAATAAGTTAATCAAAGATTGAAATTTCAAATTTAACGAAAGAAATCAATGAATTAAAGTAAAATATATTGTAAATCTAATTTAGGCTATTAAATAATAAATATGATAAGGAATGTTAAAATTTAAATAATGAAAATCTCTCTTTATAAAATGAATTCAAACAAACTAAGTTAAACCTATAATCATAAACAGAATTATTAAAAAAGGAAAGAGATAATGAAAAGTAATATAAACAAATTTAATTTAGAAAATTAACTTAAGACGAAATTAAGAAATTGTAAGAAGAAAATCAAAAGTTAAAGAATGAAAATCTCTCTTTATAAAATGAATTTCAATAAGCTAAGTTTAAACTCTAATCATAATTATTATAATTAACAGTATTAAATTAGGAAAGAGATAATGAAAGGTAATATAAACAAATTTAATTTAGAAAATTAACTTAAGACTAAATTAAGAAATTGTAAGAAGAAAATCAAAAGTTAAAGAATGAAAATATCTCTTTATAAAATTAACTTAAACAAACTAAGTTTAACCTATAATCATAAATAGAAGTATTAAATAAGGAAATAGATAATGAAAAGTAATATAAATAAATTTAATTTAGATAATTAACTTAGAACAATATTAATAAATTGTAAGAAGAAAATCAAAAGTTAAAGAATTAAAATCTCTATTTATAAAATGAATTCAAACAAACTAAATTAAACCTATAATCATAAATAGAAAAATTAAAAAAGGAAAGAGATAATGAAAAGTAATATAAATAATAAATTTAGAAAATTAACTTAGAACAATATTAATAAATTGTAAGAAGAAAATCAAAAGTTAAAGAATGAAAATATCTCTTTATAAACTGAACTTAAAGAAACCAAGTTTAACTTACAATCATAATTAGAAGTATTAAATTAGGAAAGAGATAAGTAAAATAATGAATAATAAGTATAAATTGAAAATCTTCGTGATTAAAATACGTAGTTAGAGTATTAAATGCATTTAACTTAGAAAATCTTTAAAAAAATTTGAAAAAAACTTTATTACTATATGTGGTTTAATGAATATTCAAACTAAGAAGATTCTAGAAAGGAGAATAGATAATCATGATTGCATATCCAATTTAACTTTCAGAGAGATCAAAGATGTATTAGAAAGTGCCTTGATAATGTAAAAGTAAGTTCATTGCAAATGCTATAAGGAAAAATTATTACCACTTAATCTATTTCAGTAACTATTAATCCTTCTGGAACAATATTTAAAAATGATATACCAAAAATAGTTATTAACATTAATTAGAATATAAAGGAATGCTTAATTACCAATATATAAATGTAACTCAAAAAATTGCAACTTTATATTCATTTTTTAAAGTAATGAAGAAAATTAAGAAATAAAAATGAACTAGTAATTTTATTGCCAAAACTGTGAATAATTTTGCAAAGCATAAAAAATATGATAAATTAAAATCTTAATTTTAATTTTAATTAATTTTACTTTAGTGAATTTTAGAGAATGGCCATTTTACCAAAATTAGCATACTCTCCTTTTTAAAACTATGATGGTATTTAAACTTTTCAATTCCATCATTATAAAATAATACTTATTGTTTTTATAAATTGATCAAATATCTTTAAAGTTTAATTTATTAAGAAGTGTTATTTGTAAATTTTTAATTTTATTTATTAAAAATAAGTATAATTCTAGCAAAATAATAAATAATCTTATAATATATTAATCGGAAAATTTCAAATTGCTTCTAGTTTATATACAAAATTTATATATAATTTATCATTACACTTAATTTGTAAGAAAAGGGTTAGTTACGCTTTGTTCTTAACAAATCAAACAAAAACTACCTACTTATTAGATCTTTTATTCAATTTACTTTTATTCCCAAATACAAAAAAAAATGCAATTTTAATTTTTGCATTTTGCTAATTATTTATAATTTGTGTTGATCTTTAAGCTGATAAAATTTTATATACTTATAAGTTCAGATTTTTCTTAATTTTCTAAGTAAATTTTACCTAAAGATTAACTTTCTAAACAAAGCTTCTATTGTAGTGGTTATTGACACTAATCACATAAGGCTTTATATTTATTTAATTATGCTTAAAAGATAATATATTCTAATTTTAATTTTGAAAATTTATGGCCACATTTATTTATCAAATTTTAATTATTTGTATCTTAATTAGATGGCATATTTTCTTCCAATTTTTGGGTAATAATCTATATTTATTTAATATATTATGAATTATTTTATTATTCTAAATTTTGAAAAGTATTTACAGCATTTATTTATTCAAAGTCTAGTTGAACTTTGCTTAATATCAAATTGTAAGAAAGAAGATTTAGTTATTCTTTATGATCATTTATTATTTGATTAAGTTTATAATTTTCTTATTAGAGATTATCTAACTCACATTTTTCGCTTTATTTAATAAAAATTAATACAAAACAAGTTTCGAAATCTATTCTTATAATTTATTTTTTTCCATCAAAATTTATTCTGAGTTAAGTCTAATCTGATTGATTTAATCTCTAAAATAACAAAATAAACTACTTAATTTATTAATTTTCAAACTTAAGGTTTTCAAATTCAGATTAATTATACTTAAGAAGTGCAAGTTCATCAGTTAGTTTTTAATTTAATTTACTAAAGATATGAATAATAATATTACCTTAAATTTATATTTTCTTATTCTAAATCTTAAATTTTTAAACTATTTTTTAAGATTTACTTTTGAATTAATTTTTTTTCGTTAGCCAACTCTTGATTTTATTTTTCTAAATCATTATACTAAATTTGTAGCTTCTATAAAGTATTTCTTATATTAATTATTATATATTTACTTTAAAGGTTAGTTTTTTGGCGTATTAAAAATAATATTACCCTAATTATTAGACAATTAAGGTAAAAAGTTTTGAGGATTACTTTAAGCAGGTGTAATCATATTTTTTTAATAAACACTTGTTTATTGTTATTATACTTTTTATTCTTAAACAGTAATAACTAATTTTGGTTATTGATAATTATTGGAATTTTAAGGTTGTGAATTATTTCTTTTTTTCACAACCTTATAGTATATTATTCTTGTATTGGCTTATTTAATTTTGTTTAAAACTAACTCATTTAGATTTCCAATAAAAGGTTAATTTTGTTAAAAATATAATTCTATATTTTAAAGATGTTCAAGGTTATTTAATATTGATTATTTAACATCTTGAATTGTTGTTAAATGGTTTATTTAAAGTGTATTTTATTATTAAGTATTGTAATCGAGGTTTTATAATGTAATCAATATTTTATCGGCAGAGAATGGCCTTGAGGTAATTCTATATTTATTTTATAATTCAGACATTTAATAAATTTTTATAAATAATAAAATTTGTATTTCACGCAAAATTATTCTATTTATTAAGTGATAACTCTTAATTATTTTATGCCCTAATATATGAAAGGGGTTTATATAAAATATTTATATTTAACATAGTTTTTAGTAGGTATTTTCTATAATAAAATTAAACAACAAAGAATTTTTATTATTAATTATTTTATGAATAATTTTATTGATTAAATGTCAAATAGGTCAATTAAATAGGCAGCTTAACCATAATTTAGAATTCTAAGTGGTTAAAAAACAAGTCCAAATAAGTTTATTATGAAAAAATGTACTTCAATCTGTGATTCATAATTGACTCTACGAGATTCTAAAAACATTAATCTTAAATCATATAATTAGAATACTCCTACTAAAAATACTAAATTATTTTTTTCAGACTAATAAGAAATTTAAGAAAAGCAACTCTTATAGTAGTAATAACCAAAACCTTGTAGAAAACCTCCCAGACCATAGACATACTATAAAACAGAATTTGAAGAAATAGAATTCAATTAATAAGACTTTCAAAATGAATAAAAATAAATTCATTTGCAATAAAAATCAGAATAAAAAGGAGAAATAAAAAATACTAAAATAAACAAATTTAACATTAGTTTATAAGATCCATAGTTCTAAATCAGCAATAACAATTCTAATTACACTGTGACTAGTATGAGGAAATAATTTAGCACAAAAATGTTAAAAAAAAATCAAATTTCCAATAATCCAGAAGATCAAAATTATGAATTCAAAAAGAGAAATTGTAATTCATTTCAATAGTAGGTCAAATTAAAAGAAACTAATTCTGAAAATTCATTCGGGAATATATAATAAATCGAACCCTATAATTAATAAACATAGTATTAAAACGATTAATTAATCTAAATCAATTAGAATAATTAATAATCTAAAAATTCTGAATAGTAAGATTCTTATGATACTTCAAAGTTAACTACCCTACAAAAGTCAAAAAGCTTCAGAAAATTTAATTTAATAAAAAAAGTATCTTAAGCAAATTTTCAAGATCAATAACATTTAGAAAATATTTTAGAAGTAACTAATGGATAAGAGATTTCCTAAAATATTATTTCAAATTAAATCAATCATAATCAATAAGATGTTTTTAATTATTCATCTGAGAACAGCTAACAAAAGTTTATTAAATAACTTAAATAAATATATTTACATAATACTAAATACTTATTTTTCAATTGTAAAAATGAAAATTGTAATTATTTTTGTATATTGACATCATTTCATAGACAAGATTATTATTGTTAATAATGTGAAATGTTAAGTGTTATAGGTGATGTTTCCACAAAAAAAGTTATCAATAAATGCAATCACACTCTTAACTATAAAGAGATTATTTATATAGTCTAAGATGCAATACAATTTAAAAAACTTGCTCGTTGTAGTTCTTGTTAATGGGAAATAAGTTATACTCTTATTAAAAGCATCGATTTGACAAAACTATATATTTATTTAAAATTATAATTAGAGATTAAAAACTTAAAGAACTCTATACTTAAGAATACATAATTTTAAATTGCTGAATGTACAGGACCTGAATGTGACTTCTTTACCTTATGGAATCCTAACTAACCTAAATTAAAATAAGGATTTTGTATTTTTTGTGATAAAAGAATTGCTTTTAAAATGGATCACCCTAGTTAAAATATTCTTTATTAGATTAATTGTGGACATGAGTTTACAGCTTAAAAATTATTAGGGTTATCTTCAGATGCATAAATTTTAAAGGAATTTGCTAAATGTCCATAATGCTAGGTTATAATATCCTTAAAGTAATTTAAGTAATTAGACTCATAGGGTGAATAATACATTTAATATGCAATCAAAAAATAATTAGATATACTGAAATAATAATTTAATAAAAAAGAAGAGATTGTACTTTGTTAATGTAGTACTAATTCATGTCCATTCTTTTATGTATTTTAAAATAAAACTATTTGTAATTCTCAAAATCAGGTTGTTTATTCTAAACAATTCAATTTTTAATATTAAAAAATATCTAGCTTTTGTCCTAATTGTAATAAAGTATCAATTTAAAGTGAATTTATATAAAGAATAAATATATAAAGAAGAGCAAAAATACAGTTTAAATGATATTGATTAAATTTAAAGTGTGATTGTATTAATTTATACTTAATTTCTATTACAAAAATAAATACATTATTATAAGAAATTTTACTTTTAATCAGATTAATTTTATATACTATATTATAATTTGTAAAATAAAAATTTTAAATATAAAGAAGTATTAATTAATCATATTAATATAATCAGAAAGAAGTAACTAAAATAAAATAATCATTAAGTAGTTTTAATTAATAAGAATAATAATTAATATACTTTAATCAGAATTTATTTGAACTAATGTTGAGTCTTAATAAAATTACACTAGATGTTATAATTTACAAATTAATATCATCGTGAAATATCTAAAAAAGAATTAGAAAGAGAAATGATATCAGGACTAAGATAATTAGAAATAAAATAAAATGATAAATTGAACTAGCATTAGGATAGCTTAGGATTAATAAACAAATTATAATTTATTTAATTATCGAAAAATATATATTATTCATAATTATTAGACAATATCATGAATTAGATTTTCTATTAATTTAAATAATTTAGATTATTAAGTATTAAAATTCACTGAAGTATAAACCTTCATAATTAGAACATTGAACATATATATAATATGAAAGATATTATAGATTTTTTGTATATAAAAGTTAATAATTTATTTATAAAAAATCAATTAATTTTATTTAATAGAAATGCTGAGGGCAAATTCTCCAGATATTATGATGGTTACATTTTATGATTTAGATCTACCTTCAAACTAGTCTTAAAAAGGATTTAGATTATAATAAAATTCAACAGTTTTGGATATCATAACATATATTAAGAAATATTTGGATGATGATTAAGAAATTTAATTATTTTTTGATAAAAATAAATAATTTGATGGAAGCCTTAATTCTTATGTAGTTAATATTATTAAATAATATTAAACTAGAATAATTTATTATAGAAAAATTAAATCTAAACTATAAAATTCTAATTAGATCTAAAAATCCCAAAAGTTTGATTATGGTAGGTCATTAGATAATTTTTAATAAGCTACAAACTAATTAAATAATTTTGATTAACAAAAATATTAGAGTGAATATTAACTTTTACCAATTAATCAAAAGAATTAATAAGAACAAATTAGTTGGAAACAAAATTCAGAACACTCCTCATAAATTGCTATAGTAAAGGGACCCAGTTAATAAAATTATATGAATAAAATAAAAATAACAGAATAGATTTAAAAATTAGAATTATTAAGTCCATAAGATCTAATTAATCAACACAAAATTAATTAGAATTCATCAAATATTGAAAATCCAAAGTATTTTATTTATTTAATATAGAATATAAATGAATCCTTAAAATTAATAAATAATTTAGCAATCATAATAATATTCTTAAGAATTATAATAATTAAAATATGAAAAATAATAAATAGAATAATAATATTTTTAATTATAAAAAGATTTGTCTCAAATAAAGTAAAAATAATATTATTTATTAGAAATTTATCACAAGCATATGAATAATAAATAAGTTAATCAAAGATTGAAATAACAAATTTAACGAAAGAAATCAATAATTAAAAGTAAAATATATTGTAAATCTAATTTAGGCAATTATATAATAAATATGAGTAGGAATATTAAAAATTAAAGAATGAAAATTAAACATTATATAAAGAACTTAAAGAAACTAATCTTAAACTATTATAATAAATAGAAGTATTAAATTAGGAAAGAGAGAATTTAAAGTAAGACAAATAATAAATTTAGAAAATTAACTTAATATAATATTAAATTACAAGAAGAAAATCAAAAGTTAAAAAATGAAAACTCATCCTTATAAAATGAACTTAAAGAAACCAAGTTTAAGCTATAATAATAAATAGAAGTATTAAATAAGGAAAGAAATAATTAAAATACTCAGCCAAAGGGGAGAATTACATAAATAAGTCCTGCATTAGAACCTAAAAAAGATTAATTTTCTATCTAAAATTCATAATTATCCTAATCTAATTACTAAAATTAAAGTATTATAAATATAATAACTATAAGATTAATAATAGAGTAATTACAAAAATAAATGTGGCCACTTTTTAGATATTTCTTAAATACAATAATAAGTATATTATGCAATAAGAACCAATACAATAGCTAAATGCACTAGTTGTTAAGCTTCTCTATAATCTAAACTATGTTTATTAGTTTAAGATTATGGAAGAACATATTTAGAAATAAAAAATTAAATAGAATTTAGAAATCTTTTATAAAATTTATAAATGAACTTAAAATATAATGAAAAACTAATAAAATGTTCAAACAATAATTGTCAATTCTTTTGCATTTGGTAGAATAACTAGAGAGGAATTTAAGGATACAATGTAAGGCCTATACAATAAAATAATGGATTTTGCCCTTCATGTCTTTAATATACTGTAATTAACGTTTAAATATAAACTCCCATTTTTGCAACATAATATATTCCTAATAATAGAACAGCTTATTGATAATTTATAATTATCTTTAATAAATATAAATGATATTAAAAATTCTATATAAACTCATTTCTGATTATTTAAGTTTAGTGTTTCTTTATTTCCCTTTGATAGAATTAATAATAATTCGAAATCATGGCAAATTAGTTCCAAATTTTGTATAAAACTTAAATTGAACTATCTTTCTAATGTTTAAAACATATTTGCTTTATGAAATTTTTATATTAATGCTAGTTTTTAATAGCTTTGAATTTTGCATGTGAAAAAAAAATAATAACCATATATTTTTTTGTAAAAAGGCACAGTTTTTGCTTTAAAAATATTTAGAAGTTTAAAGTTTCTTTTTATATTCTTTCAATTAATTTATATTCATTATAATATACTAAATTAAAACTATTAAACACCATCCATTTTAAATTTTCTCATTTCTTCAAAATAATTAAATATTTAAGTTAAATTGAAATAATTTATTTTTCACATCATATATTGAGCCAGCCTTTAATTTACTTATAATATGAAAAAAATTTGTTTGTTACCCCTAAAAACTGAAAATTAATTATTCTTAATACAAGAGATGATTAAACCGCATTCCTTTTACTTTTCTATTAGATTTTAAATGAAAATATTTAAATTATATCATAAACCTGATATAATTAGTTTAACTAATTTAAAACTTAGTTAAACTAATATACTATTATCAGTATGTAGAGAGAAATTGATTTTAAAATGAGATCAATATTGTAATTGCAGATTAATCTAAATCAAAAGATTAGAAAAAATGAATAATTAATGAATCATAAAATTTATAGATTTATTAATTAAAAATAGCCATTTAAGATGAAAATACAAAAAGCATAAAATCCTAACATTAAATAACAAAAAAAATTATGATTAAAAATTATTTTCATCTTTTTCTTTTATAATGAACTCATTCAAACATTTAATAATTATCTTTTCCTTAAATTGTTTGTAATTTATTAATTTATCTAAAAGAATGAGTGAAAATCAGAAAATATAGTATCACTGTGATGCGAATCTTTATTTTCTAATTCCAATAAATCTTCAATTTTCTATTACAATTCTTCTTAACTCTGTTAACTTTATGATATTGATTTTTGGACTAACTCTTAACGAATTAATTGATCATTTTTAGTTTCAATAAATCCTTAATCTAATGACAAATCGAAGTATGCTTATTCCATTTCATATTCTTATGGAAGTATTGCTTCTCTTATTTACTCTTAATTTAAATTTTCAAATTAATTATTAATATCTTAAAAATATGAGGCTATAAAAAAATAATGAAAATGATTACTTTTCATGTTTTTTTATATATTGCTAAACTCTACTCTCTTATTTGTCACTATGGAGTTAATCTCACTATCTAAATTTGATGATATTTCATTAGATTATTTTATTTATACCACATCATTAAGTTCAACTTCTAATTTTTTATCATTATATAAATCTTCAGTAAATACTTATAATAATTTATTAGCTTTTTATTCATCAATTTCATCTTTTCTTTTTTTAACTCTATTAAATGATTCCAAATCTTTTTCTAAATGACTTTAACTTTCTAATTTTAAGCTTGGAATATCTTTTAAATCATATTTTTAATCTTTACTATTTTAATCAAATTAATCTTAAATCTGAGTTTCTTCTTAATTTTAGTCAATCTATAATGGTTTTAGATTTTATTATGTACTCTAGTTTTAACTTGTGTTACTTTACAATTACTATTGCTTTGAATCTTCAATTTAATTTTAATTTTAATCTGCTTATTAATCTAATTAATTATTGGTTTATTTTTCAGATATTGTCTTAATCTATTCTTCAAATAATCTTTAATATTGAAGAATGATTTATTATTATTATTCAACCAATTATTTTTATTATTCAACTATAAATTATTGTGATTAGATTATTTTGAATGGATCTAATTCAGATGAAACATTACTTTCAGAATTCTATTAGAAATTTAACATTTCTTATTACATTTCTATAATTTAATCTTACAGATTTTCAACAACATTTTGTTATTATGCAGAATCAATCTATTCTTCAATTTAATTTTCAATTTTAGTTTCAATATCATAATCTAGAGTTGAATCCATAGTTAATGAGTTGTCATAATTCAATTCTTAATTATTTATAACTTTCTTTTAGTTTTCATTAATAATTTTTTAAGTACTGTCAACTATTGCAATATTCATAGGTTATATATTTTAAGATTAAAAGTCTTCTTATTCCATAGAATTTGTGTTATAGTCTTGAGGTTTAATTAAATTTGTCAAAAATTACTATCCCTCATTAATTTAAGCTTAATTACTATCAAGAGATTCTTCAGATTAATCTAGAACTGATAAATCATGCTACAACCAAGATTCACTAATTGTCATAACTTCTTAAACATTTTCTTAAACCTATTATAGATCTTGTTCTTCATTTTCAATGTACAGTTAATCTTCTTATTCTGGATATATAAAAGATATAGAATTTATTTGAGATCCTTAATCCAATTCATTTAAAGGATTATTTATTTTTATTTAGTTGTCAGCTTGTTTTTCTTATTATTCATAAGTATTTAACTTATCTTAAGAATAAACTGAGGTAACCGTATTTTTATTGTTATCCTCTTCTTATTTGGTTATGTGTTCTGTATTAATATCTACAAATGTCATTACAATGTCTAACAAATTTTCAACAGATTTTTAATTTAAACTTAATGAAATTCCATCATTGGTTACTCCTTTTAAAGATGAAATTCCATAAAACTAATTATTTGGTATTTATTGAGATATTTGCATAATAGATAAATCCTTTTTACTAAATAAGTTCTAAGGCCCTATGAGTAAACATAAACCAAGGGAACTTTCTGCCTTTGATTTTGTAGATAAATGAACTTAATTCTTATCAATTGATTTTATTTCTAAAATTATATCATCTTAATTTATTCTGTGAATTCCTGTTAAAAAGGCTGCTACTTATGGTTATTCCTCAAATGGAGTATTAAATTTAATATCTATTTAATCCTTTTAAACTTCAATATTATTGCAAATAGTTTAAACATCCTGATGTTCTGTTGCTAAGTAGTTAAATCTAATTTGATTTATATCAGAATCGCTTATAACTTAGAGCTAAAATCCTTTAATTATAATAAAAGTATAATACCCTCATTAGTAATGTCAGTTACTTTTGAAAAAAAGTCTAATGTATTGAAATCAGAGTGGTAACCAATCACACTTAAAACGATTTTTGGAATTTCAGCAAAATTATTATTAAATTTTATATCCTATCATAGTAGTTATTATAATACTTATCTGTATATTTTATGGGCTAAGATTTTTTCTGAAGACACATATCCCTATTCAAATTATGCACCTATTACTATTGTANAATTTGTGTTATAGTCTTGAGGTTTAATTAAATTTGTCAAAAATTACTATCCCTCATTAATTTAAGCTTAATTACTATCAAGAGATTCTTCAGATTAATCTAGAACTGATAAATCATGCTACAACCAAGATTCACTAATTGTCATAACTTCTTAAACATTTTCTTAAACCTATTATAGATCTTGTTCTTCATTTTCAATGTACAGTTAATCTTCTTATTCTGGATATATAAAAGATATAGAATTTATTTGAGATCCTTAATCCAATTCATTTAAAGGATTATTTATTTTTATTTAGTTGTCAGCTTGTTTTTCTTATTATTCATAAGTATTTAACTTATCTTAAGAATAAACTGAGGTAACCGTATTTTTATTGTTATCCTCTTCTTATTTGGTTATGTGTTCTGTATTAATATCTACAAATGTCATTACAATGTCTAACAAATTTTCAACAGATTTTTAATTTAAACTTAATGAAATTCCATCATTGGTTACTCCTTTTAAAGATGAAATTCCATAAAACTAATTATTTGGTATTTATTGAGATATTTGCATAATAGATAAATCCTTTTTACTAAATAAGTTCTAAGGCCCTATGAGTAAACATAAACCAAGGGAACTTTCTGCCTTTGATTTTGTAGATAAATGAACTTAATTCTTATCAATTGATTTTATTTCTAAAATTATATCATCTTAATTTATTCTGTGAATTCCTGTTAAAAAGGCTGCTACTTATGGTTATTCCTCAAATGGAGTATTAAATTTAATATCTATTTAATCCTTTTAAACTTCAATATTATTGCAAATAGTTTAAACATCCTGATGTTCTGTTGCTAAGTAGTTAAATCTAATTTGATTTATATCAGAATCGCTTATAACTTAGAGCTAAAATCCTTTAATTATAATAAAAGTATAATACCCTCATTAGTAATGTCAGTTACTTTTGAAAAAAAGTCTAATGTATTGAAATCAGAGTGGTAACCAATCACACTTAAAACGATTTTTGGAATTTCAGCAAAATTATTATTAAATTTTATATCCTATCATAGTAGTTATTATAATACTTATCTGTATATTTTATGGGCTAAGATTTTTTCTGAAGACACATATCCCTATTCAAATTATGCACCTATTACTATTGTACAAATATGAATCAAGATTATTAATTTCATATTTAATTATAATTAATTAAAACGGATAGATGAATAGATAAATTAGCATAAAAACTATACAGAACTATCAAATTTATTTGGCTAAAAAGGAATATTATATATGCAATTATTAAATAAGATTAATTTTGATTGTCTTTTATTTATGGATCAAGAATAAAAATAAATTTTATTCACTAAAAATAAAAGATAGCTTTTAGAAATTAAAGCACTTGGATTTTAGATTATAAATAAATAAAAATATAATGAATCAATAAAATATTCCTTAAGCAAAATATTAAAATTTATCGTACCTGAAATATTATAATATAATATTACCATCTTGCTCTCCAATTATCTAGAGACTTATTGATTAATCCTTAGACATATACAAATAATTCAGCATCAGAAGCTACTCTTGGGTTAAATCTATCTTCTAATTCTTTCAAAGCTAATTCTCCTTTTGCAAAACAAGGCAAGGTAGTTCCATGACCTGTATACATCATTTCAACCAATAATAAAATCTCTTTTTAGTGTTTTTAACAAGCTTTAAAGCCTCTACCTAATTTAAATGCAATACTTATAAAATAATTTTCTAAAGTGATCCTAAAATAAGTACCCTTTGACTCCACCCAAAACTTTTATATAGTCTGATAATAATTTAAAAGGAACTTTTCCTTCAAACTCCATACCTTTTCCTGGTGCTATTGATAAAAAGAAACCAAAATCTATATGTATTAAATGACCCTAATCATCCAATAATATATTGCCATTGTGTCTATCTTTAACTTATAAAAAATAACACACTAAACCATAGGCAACAAGTGATTGAACATAATTTTATAATGCTTATTCTATATTATCTCTAAAAAAAGATCTAAAAAAATCAGAGAAATCTGAAAATTAAGTATATTTAGTTTATAAATTTTTTTGTAAACTATCGATTGTAGTTGCATTTTTTATCATTTCAATCATTCCACAATCAGGACCTAAAGATAAAACTTCATAATATCTTAATTATAAAGGTAATCCTTCCTTTTTGAATATTTAATCAAATTAACAAATTAATTGTAATGCAAATTGCTCTTATTTCAAATTATCACCAGTCTTTATAATTAAATGAACTAACTACCATGATTTTAATTTTTAAAATGGTGATGATTTTTTAATTCTTTCCTATTATGAAATTGAATTCTCTCCAAATATTGTTTTTTTGATTTATAAGTATTCATCTTCTGTCAATATTACACCTTTCCCATTCTAAAGATAGCTTACTCTACTATTTAAGGTGCTACTATCCATCTTAGAATTTTATAATTCATTTTATGTTTGAGGATTTTAACTTTCTAAACTAAAGGCTAATTATTAATTAGTCTATTTAATTTATTATTAATCGACCATTTCTTCTGAAGAAATATCTATATCTGATTCATTTTTATTGCTTTCTAATCTATTTCTATAGAATTAACCAATTCCATTATTATTTTCATATGAACCTACCATTTTTGTATCATTTAATTTCATTGTTTAAAATTCATTATGGAATGATATTTCAGCATCTGCTATAGAAAAAGTTCTTTGTAATTAAATATTAATGTTGCTTTGATTTTACATAATAATTTGACTTTAAGATATGGACTATGATTTAATCATCTATAAAAAAATGATAAGGTAAATAAAATACATTAATTTTAATTGGCTTAGAAATTTGAGTATCAAGCTTTTATTATTCATTATGATGACCTTCTATTTCTGGTCTAAATATTTCCAAAGTCAAACTATAAGGACTTCTCATTTTTGTTGAAAATACACGACTTTCTTTAGAAACAATATTTAAAATAGCATAATTTCTGACAGAATTCTTAACAAAAGGAACATAAACAGCAGCAGGTAAATTTTAGTTTATTTTATTTAAGAATTGATGTAATTATTCAGTTTTTTTTTAATGTTTTGAAAGTTCTTCTGATATTGTAGTGATATCATTCCAAAAATTGATATTTGATTAAAATGCATAATCTTCTTATAAATTATTGTCTTCTTTATTTTAAAATATGGAAATATAATCTTATAGTTCTATTTCTTCATGCTTAGTTACTAAAAAATCCTATAGATTTTTATCTTTGATATAATCAATCCAATTGTCGGTTCCATATGTTTAAACAATTTCATTTTATTTCCAAGACTTTATTCTTAATGATCCTTAATAAACTGCTTATTCTTATTTATCCTTTTTGTTTGACAACATAATTGATTTTACTAATACGTCATCTTAAAATGAATCTTCTAAATGAATCTTTAATAATTAAGCAGCTATCAATAGATTACCTTAATAATTCATTGTCATTTTATCTTCAAATTCCTTAACAAATTGTTAAACAATCTTGAACTCAACTTTATTATTAGGAGATATGATTTTTGAAAGGCTTTTAAGCTAAAAATAAACAAGATGAGCAAAAAAGAAATCTATTGAAGAAGCCTTAATTATGAATTCAATAAGTCTATCATCCTATAACTATTAATGGAAAACCATAAAATTTATAAGTTAGGGTATATAATACTCCAGATCATTTCTTATAAGATTCATTTAAAAATTGGGGTTGATACGACATCTTTAAAGCATCTCTATTGCCTTAGTTTTATTATCTGAAATATATAAACGAATCATGACTTCCAAAATGGCATCATCTGAAATCTAAAGGAATTAAGATAATATACATCAGAATTGTTTTTAGTATATTTCTTTAATATTTTATTAGATTTTTTAAAGGTTTTTGGAAATTCTGATTTACTTTATCTACTAAAACATAAACACCCTGTTGTTTTTGTTTATTCTCCTTTTTACATTTTTTAGTTTAAAATAACTAATTATTTAAAAATATATTGTTTATCGTGGTTTAATTATTGGAATAAATTGATATAGCAAATGATAAAGATGTTAAAGTAATATATAATAATAGTTATAATAATTTGCAGAACATTACTAATATAAAAATAATAGAATAATAAAAATAGATCAATCATTCTATAAACTAAAAAATTGCAAAGAATAATAATTTGGTACATCATAAATCATTGTCTTCTTCACAAGATTGAAAGTCATCTTCAGACTTTTATTATTATTTGATTTATTGGTTATTTTATTAAAGTTACTAAAGTTTGATTAATTCTTAGCACACTATATTTTTATTTAATCTTCCTTATTTAAAGAGTTCAATATATGTTAATTAATCTATCAACTTGATATTGTCTATAGCAATTTGATAATTGGGACTTATTTCTTAAGGTGGCCTACAATTACTATGAAATGAATTACCAAAAATTTTCTGATTTGTCATTGGCTATACCTCCATATTTCTTCTCTAATTATGAAGGATTTGCATATTATAATAATGAAATAGGACAACTTTCAAAGAGTATTTTATACACCTATTATTTTCAGTTTATTGATTTACAGTGATATCTTCCAAAAATGTTTTAATCATAGCCCAGGTAATGCTTAAGGCTTTATTACAATTAATAACATAACATTTATGCATTCTTGATCTGTAATTACTTGATAGATAATTCATTATTCGATAAAGATCTTATTTAGGCAACCCCATTATACCAAGTCCTCCTAAATCCATAATGACAATCCTAAATATTGAAATAATAATTACCAATTTTCTATTTGACCAGGTAACATACAATTTGATAATATATAATCAAGAAATACAGTCATTGATTATAATAAGAGATCTATTTCTTTAATTCCTGCAACTTTTCTAGCATTTACAACAAGAATTGGACGAAATCTGTTGTCTCTTCCATGCATATATATTACTCCTTATTTCTATTGAATGAATTTAAATAATACCAATAATTCTTATGACATAGGATTTACTTTAGAATCTATACTTTATCTCCATTCATCAAAATTTTTAATAGCATCAAAACATTTTTCAAACTTAAATTTAGTTGCATATAACATTCTTAAAATAAAGGAATCCTCCTTTTAAACTTAATATTTTTGCTTAAATTATTAGATTGAGTGCATTTCACTTTATGTAAATTGAATTTAACCATCAAAGAATTTTCTTATTTCATACTTCTTAAACTTTATCAAAATTTCATGTTCTAATGGTTATTACAATAATATTACCCTCTGGAAAATAAAGATAAAATTCTTTATTAAGAAGCATTATAATTATTTAATTATTTAACCGTCATATGGGTTAAGCAAATTGTGCATGTGTAAAAACAGTTAGTTTTGATCATAACCAAATTGAAAGTGATAAAAGATTAAGAGTAAGTAGAAAGGAAAACTCAATTGAAGATGAAGAAATTAAACTATTGAAAAGCATAATAAAAATATAAGCACTTTTAAGAGGTTGGATTGTAAGAAAAAAGTATCATTATGTATAAGTCTAATTATACAATACTAAAGTTAATAATATTTTGAAATAGTTCTCATTAACTCATTTGTCAAAATTTAGTAAAGTATATACATCAACAAATATTTCATAGATGCCCCCATTTCCATTTTCTGAGTATCGATATTAAGATACAGAAAGTGATTCATATGATAATAGATTCTTTAGAAATGCAGTCTTATTAGAGAATGGTGCAATATATATAGGAGAATGGTCAGGAGATAAGAAATTTGGAAAAGGTATACAAATATGGAAAGATGGTTCAATTTATGAAGGATTCTGGATTAGAGATATGGCAAATGGTAAAGGAAGATTATATCATGCCAATGGAGATATATATGATGGAGTATAAATATCATAATATATAATTTAATAGGATTGGGAAGATCATAAATCTAAAGGATAAGGAGTTTATATCCACTCAGATGGAGCAAGATATGAAGGAAGTTGGAATAATGATTTATAAAATGGATAAGGTGTAGAAATATGGCCAGATGGTGCAAAACATGAAGGAGAATATAGTAATGGAGTTAAACATGGAAAAGGAAGATTTGGTATTTTTATTTAATAATTATAATAAATAGTATGGGCAGATAAAGCATCTTATTGTGGATAGTTTTTAAATAATCAAATAAATGGAGTAGGTAGATATGTCTGGCCAGATGGCAGAAAATATTGTGGAGAATGGTTGAATAATAAAATGCATGGAACTGGTCTATTCTCATGGAGTGATGGTAGAGTATACATAGGTGAATATCAAGATGATAAAAAGCATGGTTAAGGAGTATTTGAATGGTAATTTTATTATTTTATTTCTAGGCCTGATGGTAGAAAATATGTTGGGTATTGGTTAGAAGGAAAGTAACATGGTAGAGGACTCTTTATTGCTGGAGCCTAAAGGAAACAAGGAGAATGGAAGAGTGGTAATAGAGAAAGATGGATTATCTTTGAATCAGATACAGATTTAGATTCTATTGAAAAAAAAATGAATTAACTCAAGATCTATTATTCATCTATTGATGATTCTCAACTCTTGGATAAATCCAAAAAACCATTGCCATTGCCTAATAGTTCGCTCATCAAAGGGGAAAAATTCAAACCTTTATAAAATCATAACTTTTGATTATCAACTATATTATACTAATAATTTTATTATATTTATTCATAATTTTATTTTATTCATTAAAAGGTATAATCTTTGTGAAATTTATTGAGAATCAAACATCCATTCGATTATTTAACTTAAAATTAATTATAATAATAAAAATATTGAAATAGAATTTGTAAAAATAATAGATCTCATTATTAAGAAATACCTATAGATATAAGATAGAAAGTCTTTAAATGTGTATGATAAAATATTAATTAATTATATAATTATAAAAATTATTACATCTATTTAAATAAACTATGATTTTAAATTTATATTTTAATCATTATGGGGTAATTTGAGTATATTCTTATTTTCACACCATATCTCTAAGTTTTATTTCAAATCTCCATTTTATTCTTTAGATTAAATTCTATAAACTCTTCAACATATTAATATATTTCTAATCTTTTTTACTAAAAATTTTAATAATGTTCTAAAATTTTTGTTGTATGAATGAAATTTGAATCACTCAAAGAAATTTAGGTAATTAATTTTATAGGTTCTTAATTGATTCTCCACTTAAATATTAGACTTAAGAAATCTAAATGAAATGTACCTATATATTTTGAATATTGAAATCATAACCAAGTACTTATTTCCCTTTTATATTTAATTTATTTCTAATGATATAATTAATTAGAAAATCTATACTTTTGGATTTAATTTGATGTCTACAGATTCAATATTGATTAACTTATTTTTCAATTCAATTAATTATTTGGTAATTTTTATTTAAGTCTTTTCTTTCCAGTCATATGGTTATTTATATCATCTTTATTAAATCTATTTAATCTTATGAATAAGTTTATTCTGTAAACATCTAATTCTAGAATTAATGATAGTAGTTTATGCCTATAAATAAATAATGGATTATATATAATTACTTTAAATAAAAGGGTCTTTGAATAATTAAAGAAAGAACAAATATCTTTAATTATATTTTGCCTATTGTCAGATTAATTTTTTTGGAATTTTTAAAACTTAAAAAAACAATGAAAAAAGGTTTTACTTCTCACAGTCCCAGTTCATAACATTATTATATTGGTCCTAGAGAAATAAAATTGCCTAAATTTGAATTTGAATATCCTCATTCCTGCTATGGATTAGTGGTTTAAAGCACAAAAAATTCTAATAAAACTGAACTAATTACAGATTCATCTGGTGAATCTCTGCTTCCACCTTTAATTTATTTTAAAATTAAGGAGAGAAAGGAAAAAAAGGAACAATAAGAAAAATGTCTTTTAGTCGGAAATTCGTTACATCAAATGCCAAAGAAAATTATAAAACCTAAAATTTCATATCAACCAAACATATTTCCTTTGAAAGCTTTAAAAAAGAAAATAATAAAATATAAGTTTAATGGCATTTATTTTGAAGATGAAAGATACTCTTAAGATGTTGAATTTTAACTTAATTATGCTAATTTAAGAACCTATTATAATTCAATTAACTTATCAAATAACTTATATATTTAACCTACCATCAATTCATATAAGGCTTATATTGGTAAAGGTAATAATGGATAACTAGTATAATGGATTTTAAAAAGAAGATGGTGGTGGTCGATAGTTGATAAAGATAAAGAATAAGTAAACTTCCTTTGGTAATAATTGAGAAATGACTCTTATATAGAGTTGATTCCTGATTCAAATTAAGAGATCTGTTAATAAGATATTTATATTTAAGAATAATTAAATATTGATAATATTTAATATCAACATTTATTGCCTTAATAATTAAACGTTGAATTATAAAAACTCATAAAAAAAGTAGGAAAGAATTCCAAAATTATCTCATATGATCAAGCAAAGAAATTCTATTAGAATCTAAGAATATTTGAAGTAAATAATAACACTAAACTTCATAATCATATTTAAAATAATACACATTTAGGTAGCAAAAAGAATCTCTTCTATAATATGAAAAAGTATTATGAATAAAAAGGATTGAATGTTTTTGATTTCTTGCCTTAAACATATCATATAAGAAATAAAGAAGATTTAAATAATTTTATTCAATAAAATCCTAATTAATCTATTTGGATTGTTAAACCAGCTGAACTTAGTAATAGAGGTCATGGAATTCATATATTTTAGACAATTAATGAAGTCTAATAATTTTTAAGAAACATCCATCATCATAAGAATGGAGTTTAGAAGACTTTTATTGTTTAAAAATATATTGAAAATCCATTACTATATAATCAAAGAAAATTTGATATTAGATGTTATATCTTATTTACTTCTATTAATGGATAACATAAAGGTTATTGGTATTAAAATGGATATATAAGAACTTCTAGCTATGAATTTAGTTTGATTAATTTATAAAATAGATTAATTCATCTAACTAATGATGCTATTTAAAAGAATTCAGAGGATTATGGTAAATTTGAAAAAGGAAATAAAGTTTCATTTGATGAATTTAATAATTTCTTACCAATTGATTTTTATTAAACAATTTATAAATAAATGAAGAATATAGCATTAGATTAATTTAAAGCAACATATGGTAAATTAGACCCTAAAAGAAAAGAAAATACTTTTGAATTATTTGGTATAGATTTTATGATTGATGATAAATTTAAAGTTTGGTTGATTGAAACAAATACAAATCCTTGTTTAGAATGTTCAGGTCCTCTTTTATCTAAATTAATTCCTTAATTAATTGAAGATCTCTTTAAACTTGTATTAGATCCACTTTATCCTCCTCCTTAATTTTATACTTCTAAAAAATTTATATATGATTCATTTGAAAATAAATTTGAATTAATTTTTGATTCATCTATTTTAGATGTACCATAAATATTTACATAAAATTTAATAGATGAGCAATGATTTATTTATTATCTATCAAATTATATAGAATAATCAAAGAAAAACAATCTAATTAATTACAAAACATATTTTTAATTTATTGAATATTATATCAATAGATTAGAAATATAATTTTAATACCTAATCAAAAAGTTAATTTTGACATTAATTCTTCAAATGCATCTTAATAGACACTCTCAACTTAAATGTGTTATTAAAAATTGGATTAAATTATATTCTATAAATATTCTTTATTAAATATATTCTATGATCTTTTTATATATTTTAAAGTTACAATCATTATCTAAATTAAAAATCGACAGGTAATATTATATTAGTAATATGACAATAATTGATATTTGAATTATTAAGACACTTTTATAATAGTATGTGAAGATGCATCATTTTATAGTAAGAATAGCCTGATAAAATAAAAGTTATGCTTAAAGTAATAATATGCAAATCCAAATAAAGAAAAATTAAACAAGGAAAGAGTTTTGATCATTGAATTATCTCTTAAAAAGTTGTAGGAAGTATATTCAATATTTAAGTTAAATGAATATTGTAGTGTATCCTTTGTATGACCCAAAAAATTGAGTTCATTTTTGTCCAAAAGCTGTTATGCTAATATTTTGAAAACAGGCCAAATGAAACATTTAAAAATTTATATTTTTCTGTAATAAATTATGAGATGGCTAAATTCATTGATTACGTACCTTTACTTGAAATAATCATCAAAAGTGTAGAAACTGATTCAATAAAAGACAGAGAGTAATTTGAAGAAAGTAATTCTTGGTATTTATTTGTTAAGATTGAACTTGTGAATGGAGAAGTAAAGGCTCTTACTGGTTACGGAAAATCATACATAGGCAATAAGGTCTAATCTTTTACTTTTAAATAACATATTCTAGAATTACTATCCTTTCTATGGAGATTTGAAATACTAATGATAATGGTCTACATCATTATTAGTTGGGCTCTTTAAGATGATGCAGCTAGGTAATTAAAATTCAAATATTTGAAAGTAATTTAGTTGTTTTGTTTCAAAGCATTGTATTATTATTAGATTATTGTCTATATGTAATAAAGTGTGTTCTTAAATTTCGTAATTTTAGAATAGTTGAATCACAATTAAATGAATAGAGATATAGTATTTTAGAGAACTTTATTCATTCTAAAGAACCTTTGGCATCAGATTCTTCTGAAGATATTAATACTTATTTCTATCCATAAAAATAAGTATTAAGAGAATAGATAAAAGTTGGCGATATTGTTATTTTATAAAAATCACATGAATGTCCTGCAGATGTATTACTTTTAGAATCAAGTCATCAAGTTGTGTAGATAGATTAAAATGAATTTGGTATTCAAAAACCTAAAATTACAATACCTTGTTAATCTACTTTTAGTAATTTATATATTTATTTTAGTTTAACCAAAAAGTGATACAAAAGGTTTATTAGTGGAATTCAAATTAACTTTAAATGGATAAATCTAATATTCCTATTAGTTTGGTAAGAAATCAAGTTTGATGGGAATGATAAAATTAAAGAATGATCCAAAAGTGTTTAAATTTAATTAGGATAATATTATTTATAGTGGTGAGAAACTATTAAATACAGATTGGGCATTAGGAATTGTTTTAGTAGCAGGAAATAATTGTTTACGTATTTATAAACCAATTAAACATAAAAGATAAAAGTCATTCTTTTTTATTGGAATGATAATTCTTGGATATTTTATAAGTTTGGTATTTGATAAGGTAATTTTAGCTTGCAAATCTAAGTTATAAAACAAATTATGGAATTCATTTATGTTTTAATTCTATGTTACTTCCATTATATACTATATTCTATAAAGAATTTGTTTAGATATTTCATTATATAAAATAACCAAGTATTCAAAAGAAAGTGAAACCAATGAATGCTATAGAATAAGGAAATAATTAAGGAAAAGATAGTATATATATTATTATTATTAAATTATAAAGTTGTTTAAGATGATAAACATATATGGATTGAATTCAATAAAGTAAAGAATATGACTGAAATATATTCTTAAAATAAATTATCAAAATATGAAGAAATTAAAGATTTTTCAATTATGATGTAATAAACAAATGTAATAACAAAATATAAATTATTTTAGTATTGGAAATGTTCAAAAGTGAATTTGGTATGTTTAGAATTGAATCAATAATATTTTCAAAAGAAAAGAAAGATTTAATCAATTTATATTGATGATAAACAATATATATTCAAATATAAATAATTAGTAACAGTAATGAATAGTAATCAAATTTAATTTGGGGATAATTACTATAAAACTTTATTAGATACAGGTAGAGAAAATGATATATTTGATGAAGATAAGAAAGATTATAGTGAATTAATTAAATCACATCCTTATTCACCTCATAATTAAGAGGAAAGATAAAATTATGGTATGAGTACAAATTTATAATTTTCACTTTCAAAGAAAACAATTGATGTATCTCAATAGAAAAAATTAAAGAATTCATTAAATAAAACTATATCTTTTAGAACAAAAATTGTAAAAAGTGGAAGTGATTAGAGTTCATCTATTAATTAATTATAAAAATAATAATTGAATGAATAATAATTTATTACTTAATTATTTGATGATTTTGATAATTAATATCATGAAAGAATTGTTGCATTATTATTATTATGTGAAATAGAAAATAAATATAATGAATAGAAAAAAACAATAGAAACTTATTGTAAAAATCCATAAGATTATATTTTTATTGAATTTTGTAATCTCTTAGAATACAAACTTAAATGTAGTATTGAAACTGAACGTTAAATTTATGATATATATCTAAAAAGTTAACTTAAAATCATTGAAATATAAGGCAAATTAAAATAATATAAAATTTTAAGTGAAAATAAATAAACAAAAAATAGAATTGGAGTTTATTCAGTTCTCTTAAAAGATCCAGAAGAATTTAATGAAGATGAAGGTGCACTTTTATATATAAAAATTGAAACTTCATAAATGTATGAAAATACTAATATGAATATAAATGTATTAGAAACTAATTCAACTTTATATTATATGTTGAAACATGGACAATAACCAACTTTATATTTTAAAAAATAACTCAAAAAAAATGAAGCAAAATAATTCTTGTTAAATAAAATGAATATTATGAATTCATATACAACAGATGAAGATTAATTAGAATTATTATATTTATAATTGGAATCTTAAGCTGAATTACTTATGATTATTGGAACTCATACAAAAATAGATCAAAGTACACTTTTGACTATAGATGCATTTTCATAAGCAAATGTATTATTTTAATAAATATTATAGCTTAATACATGGTTAGTATCTGCTGAAAGTCAATTTGTAGTTTTGAGATTTTTGTTTGATGCTAAATTTATTGAAAATGAAAATGATTTAAATTAATTTAATTCTGGAGATGAAAGAACATTGAAATTTGCTATATAGAGTGCCTGTTCAAATTTAATAAAATAATAAAGGTAAATTTAAAATTAAATATAAGAATATTTGAAGCTTAAGATTTTGATAAGAAATATATTCTTCTAAGTTGTGAAGCCTTATTAACAATTATTAAAGATGAATATCTTTTAAATCATTTTGCAATAATAGTTTGGTTTAGTAGAGGTTTAGCATTATATGATAGTTAAGAGATTTCAAAGGTAAAATTATTTAAGATTGCCAAAAAACTCAACATGTAAATTGGATATATAGGAAGTTGTGCAAATAATCAAAGAGTTTATAATATGAGTTAAATATCAATTGATATCAATCCAAAATGCTATACACAATCTAAACCTTGTTATTTAGTTAATTCTTTAAGATGTGCAGAAACTATTCTGATTACTCAATGTATAAGTTCATCTTTGTTGGCTTAATAGATTCTTTATTTTTGGTTATACGAAATGATTCTATTTGTACTCATTAACTTAATAAATTAAGGATAATTCTTAACTTAAAGTTGTAACATTCTCCTTTTATTGAGTCAAACATTTACAGTAATGATTTAATTAATATCTCATAATCAACGATTCAAAAATACAGAGGTTCATTATAAAGGTTTAATACCATAAAGATGTTTAGTTAAATCTTTATTTAATAAAGATTCATTAATTAAAATATTTCTAGTTGGAGTGATTGATGCAACAATAGTGAGTATTCCATTATTTGCTACAAAATACTTATATGGAGATTCTAATTATTTGCCAATATCATAATTTGCTTTTATTATCACATTAGAATTAATAGTTAAAATATAATTGTATTTCTAAATATTTGAATAATAATATAAACAACTTTTAGGATTATTATTATTAAGTATATTTGTAGTTGCATTGGTGACATTTCTAACTATTCCAGATTATAATGATTATGATGTATCTTACTCAGATTTGTTTTATAGTCCAGGATTTATAATAAGAAGTTTAATATTTGTTTATATATTTGCATTTGTATTTAAATTTGCAGTAACATGTATATTATAATTGTATAATTTGGAGATGTTTCAAGATTTATTGATTACAGATGAATCAAATTTTAAATATATTGAATAGACAAAGAAATAAAGATCTACTAAATAAAGTTTATAATTATCTATTTAATCAAGAAAGAAATTTATTAAATCTATTTTGGCAGATAATAATTAGATGGATGATTCAATTTATAAAGCATTAAATAATAATATTCATAATGATGAATAAATAGAATTAAAGAAGAATCTTACTTTCAATTAAAAAGAATTTGAGATAAGATATCAAGAATCAATGAGTTAGAATTCAATTTTATATGTAATATTTGAGGCTACTATTTTTATTAATCTACTAATCTAAGTTAATTAAATTGAGAATAATATAGCAATCTATATTCTATGGGGTGTGTAACTATTTTACAGTATTACAATATATATTCTATAATATTTAGAAATAACACCTCGTATAATTTAATAAAATTTATAATTGATCAGTATTTTAAGTAGATTTCTATTTTAATTTATTACAATATTCTTATTAGATTAAGATTATATTATGAATTAAGTAATTTTTACATCAATATTTATGATAATCCTGTTAAATTATTCAATTAAATTAAGTTTGAGATTTAAAGGTACAATAATCCTTATGAGTTTAATTAGTTTGGGAGTAGTATTGAAATTTATAATACCCAAATATCCATACTTACCATAAAAATAAATAATGTTTGTTTTAGCTTTAATAATTATTTGTAGTTTATCAACTGTAAGTGGTTATTACTTATGTTATGTAAATGAATATTTAAGGAGACAAAACTTTTTATTATAAGAATAATTGGAAAAGGAATAGAAGAAATTGAATGATGCTTTGGGAATATTGATGCCTAGATTTATTAAAGAAAGGATGGCTAGAGGATATATATAAATACAAGAAGACTAAGGACCAGTTACAATATTATTTTGTGAGATATGTGACTTTGATGATATTATTGAATCTGAAAAAGTGTCAATTATAAGTTTTCTAGATTCTATTTATAGAACCTTTGATACTATATGCAATCAATATAATATCTAGAAGATTGAAACTGTAGGATAGATTTATGTTTGTGTTTCTGGATTAAAAGACTATGATATTATTGATAAACAATCAAAAAATTCAACTTAGAAAATGATAGAATGTGCAATTGCCATGATGGAATCAACTAATAATTTAAAATATTAGGATAAATAAATAGTTATTAAAATTGGAATTAATTATGGAAATGTGATGGCAGGAGTAATTGGTTAACATAAACCATAATTCTCATTAATAGGAGACACAGTAAATACAACTAGTAGAGCATGTACAGTCTGTGAACCAGGAAGAATTTCATTAACTGAAAGTGCCTTTATTAGAGTTAGACAAATGAAATATTAATTTTAAGTTAAGGAAATTAATATAAAGAATATTTATGTCCTTTATTAATTAGTAATTAATAAGAAAAGTACTTTTGCAACAAAAGTTGACAAATCACCTATCATTAAATTGGTTAGTTCAATTTAATTTAAAAGATTGGATTCCAATGATAAGCCAATTAATAATGATTTAATGACAAATGCAGTTAATCCTGCAGGATTCTAATTTGAAATAGCAAGGAAATCATCTATGTCAAGAAATAAATCTGTATATTAATTACCTGTTGAATAATTTGGTAAAGTAATATAAGATGTAATCACAGCCAATAAATTATTATGTAATTATTTAATATTATGTAATAGAGGATATATCTAATAGACGTATTACTATGCATAGAAAGAGTAGAGTCACTAGATTTAAAGAAGTGAATCCTTAAATGATGTCATCACATGATTAAATCTAATAATAATAATAATAATAATAATAATAATAATAATAATAATAATAATAATAATAATAATAATAATAATAATAATAATAATAATAATAATAATAATAATAATAATAATAATAATAATAATAATAATAATAAAAGAAAGAAGATCCATTAGGTGATTAATTTGGTGATCTCTTTGATAATATGAAAATAGCTGATTCTTAAAAAAATATTGATGATTTAATTCCAAAGAGCCCATAAAATAATGTAAAAAGCTAAAAATCTATATAAAACAACCATTTATTTGATTCCACTCTTCAATAAGAAGAAAAGATTGAGATTCCAAAATTATAATAATTAGTTGGAAATTAAGAGAAGATTGAAACAGATATTATGTAAGAACTGATTAGAGTCAAATGTGATTTTGGTACAAATTAAGCGAGAAGAGGTAAATAAACATAAATTAAACTTAGTATATTTTCGATAATTCAAATATAAAGAGATGATAAGGATATATAATCATAAATTATTTAAGGATATGGTTTAGTATTGTCTAATTCTCTTTATTTATTTGATGATCTTTTAATTGCCTATTTTATTTGCTTTAATGGAATATAAGCAATATTTAGGAGTGAATCTAACAATAGAAGGATTAAAGATTGCATTTTATTTAATGAGTTGTATTGTTGTTCCATTTTGCTTAAGAGATGCTTATAAGTATATCTTCTAAATAGGGATGATTATAGGATATTTCATAAGTATATTATTCAACATAATAACAATCATAATTAATGATCCAATCGAAAGATCCTACATTACTTTAATCCTAGCTTACACTTTATGTTTGGGATACTTTTTGAGAGCTCTACCCTATTTCACTTCTCGTCATAGAAAATTGCTATTCATTTTAAAATACTCTCATATAATTTTCATCCTATCTTTCGCTAATGAGTGGAATGAAACTATTATTTTTATTCTTACAATAGAAATCTTTATTCTTGTTTAAAGAAATCAAAATGAAGATTTACTTTATTAGAATTATAATATTCATGATTAACTTTTGTAACAATAATAAGAATAAAACAAAATTATCAGTCATCTTTTACCTTCTCATATTTTATAATAATATTTTAAAGAATAAGATACCATACCTGATGTATTTGAAAATGCAACAATCCTATATGCAGACATAGCAGGATTTACTAAATATTCTACTAGTGTTGATGCTTAATAAGTATTATAAATGTTAAGTTCCCTTTTTAATAAGTTTGATGTAGCTTGTACTGAAAATAATGTTTATAAATTGTATTCAATTGGTGATAGTTATGTTGTTTTAGGAGTTTTAGATGCTAATAATGGAATAAGAGAAGAAGAAGCATATAATGTTGTTAATCTTGGTTTTCAATTACTTGATATAGTAAATTTACTTAAGAAAAATATTTAATATCCTGATATCAATATGAGAATAGGAATACATACTGGGAATATAATTGGTGGAATAGTAGGAACAGATATTGTGAGATATGATATATATGGATCAGATGTTGCGATAGCGAAGAAGATGGAATAAAATTCATAAATTGGTAGAATTATGGTTTCAGAAGATACAATGAAATTCTTAGATGCCACTTACACAGGAGAATTCAGTTTTGTTTTTGCTAATTAAATTGAACATCGCAATAGGATAATTTAAGGTTATTATATAGATAGAGTATAAATTGAAGAATGAAAACTTCGTTTAATAATTATCATTATAAGTTTAATCCAACTTTTATTCTTTAAATCTAATTGTGTTATATTTCTTTTCTAATTTAAATCTTATTAGATATATCATTAAATATTTATTCAATTTCTAAATCTTACTTTATATAATATATTTTCAAAATGTTTAGTGATTTTTTAAATTATCCTATTTCTTTATAATATTAAATAGTAATAACAATAATCTATATTTTTTATTTATAGATTTATATTTAATTTATTATTAATTATACTAAAAAAATAATATCATAAAACTAAATGATATGATTTATAATAATATATTTAAAGTAATAAATAATCTCAAGGTTTACGAACATTTACTGATTTTATTCTTTTTCTACTTTTAATAAAATCTTAAAGTGATAATACACCTTCTTCAGTAGTAATCATTATCTTATTTTCTTACATAAATAATTAATATTATTCTTCACCTATTAAATATAAACCCTATTTTAATCTAATAAATTAATATTATTGAGTATGATCTTTAGCAATCACTTATGCTAATTTTGAGTCTAATTTATCTTCTTTTATTGGAATGTATTAAGATCCAGTTGCTCTCATTTTTAATATTTATTTAATTAAATTATCAATTATCTCATCATTCTCTATTGGTTATGCAATTTATAAGTTTAATTAAATGTTTTAACTTAATCCATCTATTTCAAATTATGTTAATCTGCTTTTTAATTGTGTTATTTAACAATCAAACTAACTGATAGTTTATTTTAATTTTGTAACTTCTTAATCAACTAAAGATTTCTTTTCTAATAAATCTTAATAGTTAACATCTAAATCCATCAATTATTTTAGTAATTGTTTATTTTCTTGAGCTTATCTTTACTATAATTTTAATAGATTTTAAAAATCAATTCTAAAGTCATTTTATGATGTTTCTTATTTAGGTTATTCAACATTCTCATTTTTTTATTTATTTTATTCCTATTATAATATTACAATCTAATTTTCAAGTTCAATTACTCTTTATTTTAGTTCTTTATTCTCTTATTTCAATTATTCCATTAAATTATCTCCTAAAACAAATGATTATATTAATTTTTAATTTGATTCAGATTTCTATCTATTTGTAGGAGTCTTAAAACTAAATTTTTTTGTACTAGCAGTTAAACTTCTTTCTGTTTCATTTTTTCTAAGTGGAGATTCTGATGTTTATGCATTTTATTTTATATTTAATTTAGAGGGTTTTTCAATATCTTGTATCAATACAATATAATATTATCCACTTATATTTGTAAACTTATATTCTCCTGTTGTTTCTGTGATATCTTCATTCATTTGAATTTTAAAGATTTCATCATTATATTTTAATTGAATTGAACTCAATGAACTTATTATATATTAATTACAATACTTTACATTAAATGTTAAACCTTCTGTCTAAGGTAAGGTTACTACTTTAGTTTTTCCTCCCATTGTCACTGAACACTTGAATTGTTATAATGATTTAAGTGCAATAAGAACTTTATACATATTTGTCTGTTATAATAAAAATTATAAATATAATCAGTCCAATTATTATTAAATAAGACTATACAAGTTATATTAAATAATTAATTTAAAAGCTTTCAAATAATTATATCTACATTATTTGACTAAATTAACTTGTGATTATTTTTCAATAATTTAAATAAAAATAAACAAAAGATTTTGCAAATTGCTTAGTCATCGGGGCACATATACACGAATGTAAGCAATTACATAAACAAACCCTGGGGTTAAAGTCCTCCTTTCTTTTGGGACAGAAAGTGTCGGCATAATATGCTGGTCTGAGAATTGTCTGTTGCCCTAAGAAGAGAATCAAGAATTCCACTAAGGATTGTAATTTAACAGACTACACTAAGAAAGTGTAGTTGATGTTTAATGAAATTTTCACTCCTCAGATTAAGACTGTTGTGGAGACAAGAATGTCTAGGGGTGGAGTTAAATTTCTTAAATTTGAGTTAAATTACTAATTATTAGATTGTTTTCTTGATTTGATTAGAATGGCCTGACTTTCTTAAGACATCCAATAAATATAAGCTAGTTATACTAACCTATAAACACAAGGGGGCTTATGATTTGCAAATCACTTGGTTTATTTTTGTTTAAATTTTCTATTTCCACTATGTAGATAATAAAGCCAATAAAAAAGCAACACAGAAATTATCATATATCTGTGTTGAAGATATTTGGCAAAAGTAAATCTAAATTGGGCATAAATTTCCTATTCATAAGGACTTATATTAAATCAGTTTAGAGACATACAATCTTTTTTATTATTACCACTCATTATAATCTTATTTTAAATAAATTCAAATTCTAATGGAAAATTGGATGTAATTGTATTTAATAAAGCTTATGCTTAATTACTTACAATTTCTCCATATTTTCATTAGGTTTATCTTTGATATAAATCTTAAAATATTATTATAATATATAAATCAAATCTTTTTTGGTTTCTTTGTCAAATGTGAACACATATACTCTAAAATTTCTGATTAAGTTTTTTTCAATTCTTCAATCTATCTTTCCTGATTTCTAAGTAAGGATACTAAATGGTGTATTTCATCATCCTAATCTAATAATAATAAAAGGGCATCAAAATTTTAGAGTGAAAATTTTTAGGACTATTATATTTGTTTATCAATTTTCATTGAAAAAAAATCTTCACTATTCAAGGGCTTATTTGTTTATTATGGTGTTGAATTTACTTTTTATTAAGGTTTTGCAGATTCTTATTAAATCAATAATTTATCACTTTTTAAGAGATCCATACTTGTGATTTCATAATGATAAGCATCAGAGTTTTAATTAAAATTTCTTTCAAAATCTATAAGATCTTTATCTGCCTTAGTTTTTTTGCGATTACTTTGATAATCTTCTTCTGATTCAGATGCTTTGCTTTAATTTTAATATTGTTATTTTATCCAAGACTTTATTGTACGTGTCTTAAGATCATATTCCTATGCCATATATTCAATATGTTTATCTGAAGGATTACTTCCTAAAGCTTTAAGTATTTATTATCTATCTACACTGGAAACAGATCTCTTTGGATAATTGTATCTAGGATTCATACTAGTTAATAAAAATTCAAGAATCCCTAATGCACATTAAAATCANAAATTTTCTATTTCCACTATGTAGATAATAAAGCCAATAAAAAAGCAACACAGAAATTATCATATATCTGTGTTGAAGATATTTGGCAAAAGTAAATCTAAATTGGGCATAAATTTCCTATTCATAAGGACTTATATTAAATCAGTTTAGAGACATACAATCTTTTTTATTATTACCACTCATTATAATCTTATTTTAAATAAATTCAAATTCTAATGGAAAATTGGATGTAATTGTATTTAATAAAGCTTATGCTTAATTACTTACAATTTCTCCATATTTTCATTAGGTTTATCTTTGATATAAATCTTAAAATATTATTATAATATATAAATCAAATCTTTTTTGGTTTCTTTGTCAAATGTGAACACATATACTCTAAAATTTCTGATTAAGTTTTTTTCAATTCTTCAATCTATCTTTCCTGATTTCTAAGTAAGGATACTAAATGGTGTATTTCATCATCCTAATCTAATAATAATAAAAGGGCATCAAAATTTTAGAGTGAAAATTTTTAGGACTATTATATTTGTTTATCAATTTTCATTGAAAAAAAATCTTCACTATTCAAGGGCTTATTTGTTTATTATGGTGTTGAATTTACTTTTTATTAAGGTTTTGCAGATTCTTATTAAATCAATAATTTATCACTTTTTAAGAGATCCATACTTGTGATTTCATAATGATAAGCATCAGAGTTTTAATTAAAATTTCTTTCAAAATCTATAAGATCTTTATCTGCCTTAGTTTTTTTGCGATTACTTTGATAATCTTCTTCTGATTCAGATGCTTTGCTTTAATTTTAATATTGTTATTTTATCCAAGACTTTATTGTACGTGTCTTAAGATCATATTCCTATGCCATATATTCAATATGTTTATCTGAAGGATTACTTCCTAAAGCTTTAAGTATTTATTATCTATCTACACTGGAAACAGATCTCTTTGGATAATTGTATCTAGGATTCATACTAGTTAATAAAAATTCAAGAATCCCTAATGCACATTAAAATCATTTATAATCACTCAAATATTTTTCATTGAATGATAATTATAAATTTGATTTTTAAAAAGATTATTAGTTTTAATTCATTTTAATAATATCATATTTTAGGAAGGAGGAGGATAAAATTAATATTTAAATAGAAAAATTATAGATTATATATTTAATAATTTATTAGTATATCGATCTTATTCTATTAATATCCATTAAATTGATAGCATATTATTCTTTTGTAAATATGTATTTATAAAATTTGATTAATTATTCTTGTTTAATTTCAAATATATTCCCTTAAGTATTGTAATCTTTAATATAATTTTGATTGATTGTCTAAAATAAAATTTAAATATCAAACTTTTCAATTCAAATTTTTTTGCAACTTTGATATAATTATTATGATTAATTCTTAAACTATTATTGTAAATGTAAATAATATATTTTTATTCTACTTTTATTAATGTAACAATTATAATTATTTATCCCTTTTAATTTTATACATTATATTTACATAAAATATATATATGATCACTTTTAAAATATCTATTCATGGTCTCTCATACTTAAATACAGTTTAGTAGTATAATTCCTATTGGTCTGTTTTAATTAGGGTAGTTTTACAATATGTAATATTTATATAATAATTTATTAAAGTATATTTATAATAATAATTATTATTCTTAATTTAAGAAATATAAGAAAATTATAAATCATATGTATTATTTAAGTACTACTAAAATATATCTATATTTACTCATTCTCTTAAATAGTTTATATTTAATCTAATTCTGCTTTGAATTTAAACTTAATCTATTTTTATTACTTTATAATTTTTAATTTTTCAAAATGTAAATGAAAGATGAAGATTAAGAGATGTGTAAATTAACACATCTTAATAGGAGTTTTATTTGCACAAACATTGAATGTATTTAAGCTAAAAGATTTTAATTGGTATGTCATAAATGTTTAACATTATAACATACTAATTAAAAAGGAATTCAGAAATTTAAAAATACTAAAACTGTTCGTCATTTGGATGATTTTATAGAATTAAAAGAATTATAAAATCATTTAGAATAGAAATATCAAACAAGATTTAATTTTCTATAAGATGTATAATAAAAATGCTTTGATTTTCAGAAAGAATAAATATAAAAAATTGAAAAATTTCCGTTTCATGATTAAAACTTCTTAAAATAAGCAAAAGCTGATGTTGATACTCAAATGTAGATGTTTATCAATGAAATAGGATATCATTAAAGATTGTTGAATGAAACAAAGTAATACAATAATTAAACAAATAAATTTATCTTGGATTTGTATAAAAGAAATGATGAAAAATTTCATAATGATATGATTAATAAACAAAATTAAGTTTTTGATAGGATTAGAACAAATTTAGCTAAAAAGGGTATTGATTTATAAAAGATGTTTGCAAAGTAAGAAATATATTATTCTATTAGTTAAGAAGATAAAATAAATCAAGCTGATGATAGATTAAAGAAATTAGAAAATCCCTATGCATCAAATAAGTTATTTAAATATACTTTAATTATTGCAATTCTTATAATGATAAGTAATTAATTCTCAATTTTAACATCAAAGGATTAAAAATAAATTCAGATAAAGGAATCACTTATGTTTGAATCAGATATAAATTAAATTAAAGAATAATTGTCTGAGTTTTAATAAGAGAATATAATTAAAATTGAAGAAATTAAAAACACATTAGAAGGTAAATTAATGAATGAAATTGAATATTTAAAATTATACAATTAATAATTAAAAGTAGAAATGATAGAGTTGTAGAAATAATTTAAAGAAATATCATTATTTTAGAATTAAACTATAAACATACTATCTTAAGAACTTTCTAATTTGAAAGAATAAGTATCAATTTCTCAGAATTAGATTTCCAATATGAATAATGTATAAATAATAAAATAATCCAATAATTCTAATTAAGATAATAATAATAATAATGTAATTTTGATAGATAAATTTAATAAGGTAGATGAGGATATTAAATAAATAAATTTTAATTTTAATAATACAATCTAAGAAGTTAGAGAATATGTTGATAATAGAATTTTATTAAATAAATAATTTTTCAATGCTCAAAAGTATCTATTAGGAAAAATTGAATTAGATTATCCAATAGTATTGTTATAGGGTTTTAAAATATATTTAGATTAATATTTAAATAAATCTTTAACTCTTGATTAAATTGCTAATTTGACTGATTCATTCAGTTCAACTGGAATAGCTTGTTTTGGAGGTATTTCTGTTAAAAAACCAAGTCATTTTGTATTAATGGCATGTGATTATGTATATGAAATTTTCACAATTACAACAAGTAGAGATAAAGCTAGAAAAAGTAGATCAGGTGATAATTTGTACTGGTATTTTGTACCAAGAATTTCAATTGGATTTGCACCGAATGAGAAAGTTCATCTTCAATTAGCAGATAATTATGATCCATTAGATCAAAATAGATTTAGTATTTGGGTGGATCATCCATAAGGAGGTAGAAGAATTGGAAATCAAACATCTTTAATTGATACAACCGAATATAGAATAGTATTGTATGTAATATAATGAAGAGTTTTTTTATGTAAGTTTATGTAAAATAATTTATGTTTATTATTTTTAATAATTAATCTAAATACTTAATAATTTGAATTATCAATTCAAATATAAAAAAAGATAAAAAGAATTACTTAAATTTAACAAAAGGATATAGAATAATTATGATTGATGATCGGTTATATGAATATAAAAATATAAAATTAATTTGAATAATTAAATGAGGTTAAAAAGAAGCAATATATATAAATAAATTTATTTGCATTATTTAGATAGTTATTAACTGAAAAGAGTATATTATTGAATTAAATAATAGAGTATTTATTTAAATTATTATTATTATTCATTAATTAATATAAACTGATTGAATTGCTATCCAATTATAATAAATTCTATATATATGACAATGCTACAGAGTCTTAAATTGCTTAGAATATAAAATATCTATTGTTAAATTCAATTGAATTAATTCTAAATACTTTACTCAATTTTAAGTATTAATCCTTAAACTATTTAATACAAAATTGCTCTCTAATATTACTTTTATTTTCTACCTTTAAATAAAGTCAAAAATTTCTTTCTTGCTTTATCAAAGGATTAAGCCTTACACTTACACTATACATTCATAAATGACTCTTCTTTCATTAATGAAATTTTTTAAACAACTCCATTATAGAATATATAATTTAGTGGAATTTCAGTGTGCATTCTACTTTTTGAAAAGAGTAGTGTTTATTAGAAGAGTTGTTAACTTTTTATATATATATATAACCTATTTAAGAATACAATGAAAGAGAGAGTGTTTTAAATTATTATAATAAAGATGGTATTAAGTTAATGAATGTCTGCATCCAAATAATTTTGTATTAAATATTTTTAAATTCTGTGTTGGATATATGCTTAAGGAATTATTGAAGAGCAGATTGAGATGAATATAAAGTTCAAATAATTAAATTTGTAAATCTATATTTTATTAATAGAAATTCTAGATTTCTTATATAACTATTTTTATATAATAATTTGGGAGAATCCACCGATCTTGTTTTAATATAAATGAATTAAAAATTTTTTTAAATTTCATAAATAAATTCAATGAACTACATAAAAATAATTGATATCTAGCCTTCAGAAGTTGTGATTAAAGTTGATACTTAAATTTATTAGATGCTTCTATCAATGATTCAATCCTAAGAATCAAAGGAAACTTCTTAAGTAACTCCAGATTTTTTAAGAAGAATTGTGCCATTCTTTATGAATTAATTCTATATTTGGACTATCTTTTAAAAGGATGGAAATATAAATTGTGTTAGAGAAACATTGGAGAAATTAAAAAACAATAAGATATCAAATTAAAAGAAGTTCGAATTAGGAGATCTTAAGTTGATTCATAATTCAAAAAGCAAAAAGTATATATAAATCAGATAAGCTTGGTAAAAATTCCTATACTCTGATGATATAAGGAATTGTATTTAAAATAGCAATAAAGTCAAAGAAGATTCAAAAATAAAATATATTTAGTCTATCATAATCTTAAAAAATGAGCTCGAAAAACAAAGACCATATGCTAGACTATTATCAAAATATAGAAAAGGTTTTGATGAAAAACCTTAGACTGATACTAAATCATATATAGATGATCATATATAATATGAAGAAGAAAACTCAACTTGTATTTAAAGCTATTTTTGTCAAAGTTGAATATTTAGCATTTTTATTGTATTTATTAATTACCTACAATCATTCATTCAATTATATGTCTATATACATTTAAAGAAATTAAAAAATTCTTCAAAATTGATATGGACACCTTTACATTTATTTTCAAGTAACATTAGTTGAAAGAAATAAAATTAAATCGAGATTAAGTATATAGAGAGTTCTATTTAATTCTAAAACTATTTAGAATTAAATAGAACTATCAAAAATATAATAATTATATTCTAATAATAATAAAATATATTACTCTATAATCCAAATTAATCTTATTTGTAAATTCAATGTCAATTTATTTTATTTATTATGTAATATTTTTATCCTTATATTATCCTTTTATCTATTATTATACTTTAAAATAAAATATTCAAAACATTAAATATATATATATATATACAGTTGATTATAATAATAAAATTAACGATCCTTATGTATTATCCATCATCTACAACATATACAACATAAAGTTATAGGAAGTTCAAAAAGTAAGAGGATAGAGTTGAAAATACTAATGCAATATAAGATTATCACTTATAAAGAACACTCAAATAAGTTGAATAATTATAAAGAGATTTAGAATAAGCTAAGATAGAAGAATAAAGTATTGTTATTATTAATAATATAGATAGTTAAAAATAGAGAAGATTAGCAGAAGAAAAGCTTTATCACTTTTAATTAAAATATGATGATATGAATAAAGAATGCATGAATTTAAGAGAAAAAATAGCAAAAGCAGATGGAGATAGATAAGTTATTAGGGCATAAGGTGAAGGTGAGGTAAAGGCTCTAAATGTACAAATAAATTATTTGGAAAAATAAATTTCAGAACTCAAATTAGAAAATGAAAAATTAAAAAAAGAAAATGAATAACTTCATCATTAAGCATTAGATGCAAAAAATTAGTCTAAAAGACCCATCTAAAATATACCTTAAAATACTTAATAACGTCCTTAATCATATTATTGATTAAATTTAAACTTTACGTTTATAATAGTAATTTGAAAAATATCAGAAAGAGATTAAATTATCTTTTTTCATTTTTATTAAACTTTTTAAAGTTAGTATGACACATATATAATTTAATCATATTTTTTATACATATGAGAGATCTTCTGTCTATAAAATAATCAATTAAAATGATTATAAGAATTTTGTTTATTAAATAAAATATTTAATATTTAAGGTTTCTATATAAATTATGAAAGGTTTAGGAGTTTTTCTAATAGGAATTTACATTGCAATTTATGGAATTGCTTTATTGACAGACCCATGGACATAATTACATTATGATAGATCAATTCGTTAATTAGGAATGAAAAACCTATAATAATTTGTTGCTTTAGCTTTGAAAGTAAGATCTTTATATGGATTTGCTCATATATTTGCAGGATATTGTTTAATGAATAAGTATATTTAATAATAATTATTTAGAATATCATCTATGAAATTAATTATAAGTTGTATATTTGCAATTGATATTATAATACAAATTGGGTTTTAATCAATTCATTAAATATTTTAAGATGTAATTTTAATTGGAATAGTCAATTATGTTTGAGAATTAGATATATTCTATATCTGTTTATAATTCAATGATATTTTTCAATTTAAAAGAATTAGTTTTGACTTATTTCTATTTTTTGTTTATCTCTATATTTTTAATGAGTTATATCTTAACAACATCTACTATATATATTGTTGAGAATTAAATAGTTATTTTAAATCTAAATTAGAAATTAAGTAAAATATTTCAAAAGCTAGCATAATTTAGAGATATTTGCTTGAATTTAGAAATTATTGCTAATTAATTAAATAATTTTTATATATCGTACCCATTAAGTAATTAATATTCTAATAATCTAATTTTATTATATATTTTAAATCATCAGCTTGTTAAATTGATCTTAAAATATAAAATATAACATAATTAGAATTTTTATAATTATTTGTAGATTAATAATTTATTAAAATATATCATAAAAAGTTTGGAAAATGGTAAGATCTCTTTTTAATATACAATTTTAGGAAAATAATTAGTAATAATAAATAATAATTAATGTTTGAGATACAATTATCAAAAGATGAATAAAATTTACTATTTTATAAATAATAATTATATATATTTATAGAAATGAATGATTATTTCTAGATAATAAATATATCAATCTTTTTTATTAAGGATTTATTCTTTAGAAGGATCATATTTCTTTTTCTTATTTTCTAATTCAGTCCAATTGTTAAAGTCTTTTTTTTTCATCTAAACTAAATAATCAGAATATGTAATTTCTTTTTCTTATCCATCAGCTGTCTTTTCATCTTAACCAAATATTTTGAATATTTCTCCATCTAGATTTTATCTACCACATCTCACATATAATAATTCCAAAGTGTCTTCGACAGTTATAGTATTTTTTATAGCTTCTTTGTCATAAGCATACATTAAAAATTGTACAAAGTTAAATAAACCTCTTTAATTTAATTAATAATATACCTTGGTTCTAGATAAGAAGTATCTTTAATGCATCTTTTGAACATTAATTGAAATTCATACCAACTAATTTATTCATCCAAATCTTCATCTATTTCCCATATCATTCTTTCTACTTCATCACCAACAGGAGTATATTTTAACTTTTTCATCATTGCATAAATAGCTTTAGCTGAAAATTTTGGTTCATTGGATTTCTTTCTTTTTTATTTTCCAAGTTTAGTATCACCATCTGTAGTCTTATTCCCATCCATTTCTTATTCAATTCTTTTAGGCTCTAATTGAATTAGTGCATTAAACACTTTAATTAATCTATCCTTTTCAACAGCTTTGATTTTTTTACTCATTATCTTTTCTTCTAATGTTCTTTCATAAACTGGTAATTTCTTTCTTCTTTCTTATTCTTCCTGACTTAAAGGAGATTCACTTCTACTTCTAGATGAATTATTATCCTCTCTATTCTTTTAAGTGCCTTGCATTTTTATTTATTAATATAATAAAATTCATTTTATTGGATATTTATGTTTCATTATTATTCGATTGAATATCCTAAAAGGAAATTTAATTTATTGATGATTAAAATGATAAATGTTCATTTAATAGTTTTTAATTAGATTCTTAGGTGTATATAGAGTAAATCTTTGTTAAATATAATATGAAATCATTTATCCTTGAGTCTATGATTCCATTTGGCTCTCTCTGCCAAAATTTAAGGATTTGAACAAGGGGTGGTTTCTCCGAAATTACCCAAATGATTCTGATATTAAGTTACATAATGCTTAGTCATTCTTTAATTTCTAAGATTAGTATTTTTTATAACCTATCTCCTATTTCTATTTGGCAAAAATTGTTTTATGAAATCCTTAAACTTTAATCTGCCAATCTGCTTCTATGTGCTAAAGGGTTGTATTGAGATAATGGTTTGTTTCTCATACTAGAAAAGCATCTTCTTTTATTATTATAAGCATCATGATTTGTTGATGTGGAATACATGGATTTACTATTTCAAATACTGTATATGTTATACTTCAAATAATCTAGATTTCTTTAATTTGGTTTATAGTAAAATGGAATTGCAATGAAATCATCTCCTTTTCTTTTGATATAACTACAGGTTGAGACTTTAGTGTTTTTGAAGAAATCAAAAGATTATTCAGTTTTTCTATTTGGTCTAGCCTATAATTAACGATTATTGTTTTAAGACATTATAAAATATTAAAAATAATAATAATATATTAAATACTCAAGCAAAGTTATTTAGTCTTTAAGTTAAAGTTTCTTTATATTATGCCAATGATGGTAATTACTCAGTAACTTCTTTTCTTATTAACTTTGCTGCCCATCTTCTTTCAGCATCTTTACATATATCTGATATATTTCTTCCACTCATTCCATTACTTAATTGACTTAGTATATCTCTTTCTTTATCAGTAAGATGTTTAGCATATCTTTAAAAGATTTCTTATCTTGCCTAATGATCTGGCAAATCAAATTTAACAGATAAATCTATTCTACTTAACATAGCAGCATCAAGATCTTATTTTCTATTGGTTGCACATATCAATAGTACATTTGTATTACTTTCAAATGAATCAATCTTTCTTAAAAGAGTTGATAAAATTCTTCTTGATACTTCATGCATTTCTCCACCTCTTTATTATGCAATAGCATCTATTTCATCAATAAAAATTATCACTCTTCCTAATTTTTAACAACTCTTCCAAATATCTGCAAATTGTCTCTCACTTTCTCCATACCATTTAGACATAAAACTCTCTATAGGTAAATAAACCAATGGTATTTAAACTTATTAAGCCATAATTCTTGCTGTTGTTGTTTTACCTGTTCCTGGAGGACCTTCAAATAATATAGCCTTAGGTCTATTTGGTTCATTTTTAACTCTTGTCAAGGCTGTAAGAGATTCATAGATTTCTGGATATTATAAAGCCAGTAATACTGTATCTTCAATATCCCTTTTTTACTTTTCATATCCTGCTAAATAATTCCAATCTAAGTTCTTCTCTTTACTATCAGGTAAAAATATAGTTACACCTGTCTTCTCTAATTCTTATAATGTTTTTTCAGTCTTTATTTCTTGCTGATGTTTAATTTCTTCTTGAATTTATTGATTGCTTTAAAAATTTTTAGGATGAACCATAGACCTTGGTCGATTTGCTTCTATATAACAAGCCATAAATGCTTCTAAATCTGTGTTTGAAAATTGATCTGTTTTTTCTAATATTATTTAAATTGATGGTTTTTCATTTGTCATTTCTCCATAAATATAGATTGTTCCTTGAGTTTTTATTTTACTCTTTGGATTTCCTACACTCTCTTCAAAATCTATTTACAAACTATATATTTAATTCTCAAATGTAGAATGAACTTCTTTTATTTTAAAGCTACCATCTAACTTTTATAATGAACTCAATATATTGACTAATAGTGCAAATATATCACACTTTCTTTAATCTGCTATGAATGTGATTGAATATCTATTTCCCTTAGTTCCATACCTATTTACTTAATAGTACTACTTAATTACTTTACTTCTGGATAATTATCTGCATCAGATCCAAATTAAGATTTCATCTTTAAAATGTCTTATTCTATTTTTTTCCTAGCTTCTAATATATTTTTGTCTTCAATGCAATAGAAAGATGTTAAACTAATAAAACTGGCAGCTAATATAGGTTTCTTATATTTGATTAAAGGTAGAGTAGCTACATTCAAAAATCTTCTAAACATTCTTGAAAAAATATAAAAATATTAATTTATTATATATATTTGTTTTTTAAAATGAATTAAAGAGATTAGTAATTCTTCATTAAATTCAATTCTTTCAAATAATATCAAGAATATTTAATTTTATTTAATAATTAAAAGGAATTTCTTACTTTATGATATCCTTATTTATTTAATTAACATATTTAAATAATAAAATAATTTATATAATGCAATCAATAAAACCAATAGTTCAATAAATTTCATATGCCAGACAAGGAATAAATGAGAAGAAGAACATATCAGAAAATATAGAAAAAATGAAGGCTGCATTTGATCAATTGGCACCAGCAATTAGAAATTAGTAAGAATATATCTAAAATATGAATCCATCTTCTATTCAAGTGAAAGATGGGGCTGAGAAATTATAGGAATAGAAAAGATATTTCTTAAGATTTCTAGATTTAATCAATTATGAATTATCTGAATTAATAAATATTGCAAGAAATACTATGGGTTTGAAAGATAAAATTACTAATCCTGATCCTTTTTGGGAAAAGATTCTGTATTAAAAAGTTAAGTTTATAGAATCAATAAAGGATTAATTGACTCCTGATACAAATTATTTTGTATTACTCTTTAAAACTTTGAATCTAAGAGATAATCTAATCATACAATTTGTTAAAGCATTATTACATAAAAAGCTACTCTTATGGAAAGATATGAATATAAGAAATGAGCCATTTGTTCATGCTCAAATTAAAGCTTTGTTAAATAATATTGAATCTAAATAAACAAAAGGACAAATAGTTAGTGAAAAATTAGAGTTTAAAGAAATTGATTTTATGAATGAAACAATTCCAGGTGTTTGGAGATATTAATTAGAATCTAAAGAAGAAAGTTATTCAATAGGAATATTTTTTAATTTATTAAAAGAAACTTATGATGATTTGATTACTAGTTTATTAAATTATTGTAATTTATCAACAGATCCAGCTGCATTAAAGTAGGTTACAAATAATTCAAAATAAGTTTAAAGTTTAAGACAATAAATTGAAATATTAGTAGAAGAAAATGAAAAATTAAATAAATAATTAAATGAATTGAAAGTTACTAAAAGATCTAATGAATTTGTTGAAATTAAAAGGTTATAATAAGTAATTGAAGAATTAGAAGTTAATTTATCTAGAAAAACTAGAGAAATTGATGAATTAATGGCTAACTCAAAAGGAAGTCTCAGTTTAATATAAAATCTAAGAGAAAAACTAAAAGATGTTGAAGAAGAAAACCATAGATATAACAATATATTCTTTCCTAAATAAAAGGATATTGAGTAATAGACAGCCAAATTATTAGATGAGTTTTTGTAAATTAAAAAAGATATAGATACATACAGTTCCTTATTTAAAATGGAAAGTTAAATTAGAGAAAAAGCTTTGAAAAGTAAAGAATAATCAGAAGATTAAGTCTAAAAATTAGTTGATATGTTAGGAAGATCTAAATAAAAAGTATTATAATATTAAATAAATAAAAGAATAAAGAACTATAAGAAGTGATAAAGTAAAAGGAATCTATTATTAACAAAGTTTTAGAAGCTAAAAGATAGAATATGGATGAAATTCAAGTTTTGAATAAAGAAATTACTATCCACAAAGACTAAGTTCTATATGAAGTAACTTTATTATGATCTTAGTAAAATAGAGTCAAAGAGGTACAAGTACAATTTGATATATTGGAGAAGAAGTATTAAGATATGTTCGAAATCAACACACATTTTAATAAAAGAATATATGAACTCGAAAGATAGAAAAAAGAGTTATTAGATATCTTAAAGAAACACGATATTGAACCAGATCCAACTAAATTAAATTTTATTAATGAACCATTATAATCATGAATTATTTAAATGATGTTTACATATTTTTATTTATCTAAGTAATTTGATTCAATTTANCATAAAAAGCTACTCTTATGGAAAGATATGAATATAAGAAATGAGCCATTTGTTCATGCTCAAATTAAAGCTTTGTTAAATAATATTGAATCTAAATAAACAAAAGGACAAATAGTTAGTGAAAAATTAGAGTTTAAAGAAATTGATTTTATGAATGAAACAATTCCAGGTGTTTGGAGATATTAATTAGAATCTAAAGAAGAAAGTTATTCAATAGGAATATTTTTTAATTTATTAAAAGAAACTTATGATGATTTGATTACTAGTTTATTAAATTATTGTAATTTATCAACAGATCCAGCTGCATTAAAGTAGGTTACAAATAATTCAAAATAAGTTTAAAGTTTAAGACAATAAATTGAAATATTAGTAGAAGAAAATGAAAAATTAAATAAATAATTAAATGAATTGAAAGTTACTAAAAGATCTAATGAATTTGTTGAAATTAAAAGGTTATAATAAGTAATTGAAGAATTAGAAGTTAATTTATCTAGAAAAACTAGAGAAATTGATGAATTAATGGCTAACTCAAAAGGAAGTCTCAGTTTAATATAAAATCTAAGAGAAAAACTAAAAGATGTTGAAGAAGAAAACCATAGATATAACAATATATTCTTTCCTAAATAAAAGGATATTGAGTAATAGACAGCCAAATTATTAGATGAGTTTTTGTAAATTAAAAAAGATATAGATACATACAGTTCCTTATTTAAAATGGAAAGTTAAATTAGAGAAAAAGCTTTGAAAAGTAAAGAATAATCAGAAGATTAAGTCTAAAAATTAGTTGATATGTTAGGAAGATCTAAATAAAAAGTATTATAATATTAAATAAATAAAAGAATAAAGAACTATAAGAAGTGATAAAGTAAAAGGAATCTATTATTAACAAAGTTTTAGAAGCTAAAAGATAGAATATGGATGAAATTCAAGTTTTGAATAAAGAAATTACTATCCACAAAGACTAAGTTCTATATGAAGTAACTTTATTATGATCTTAGTAAAATAGAGTCAAAGAGGTACAAGTACAATTTGATATATTGGAGAAGAAGTATTAAGATATGTTCGAAATCAACACACATTTTAATAAAAGAATATATGAACTCGAAAGATAGAAAAAAGAGTTATTAGATATCTTAAAGAAACACGATATTGAACCAGATCCAACTAAATTAAATTTTATTAATGAACCATTATAATCATGAATTATTTAAATGATGTTTACATATTTTTATTTATCTAAGTAATTTGATTCAATTTACAGTAATATTAATAGAATTTAATAATATCTAAATATAAATATAATTAATAATATTAAATTAAACTATTATCTATAAAATTGTATTCTAAACTTATCGATTATTATTTTTATAAACAATTTATTATAAAAACTGTGATTTCATATGACAAAATAGAAGAAGTAAACAATTAAAATTGACAAATATTTAATAATAAAGAGTATTTCAAATTCACAATAATTATCTTATTAGGAATACATTTTGATTTTTAATTAAATAGAGATGAAATTTGAATTTTGATAAAATAAATAAACCCTTCATACTAGATAAAGATGAATAAATTACTATTTTAATAATATAGCATAAAATATAAGATGAAACTGAAATAAATTAGATTTCAAAAAAAAAATGGATAAAACTGCATATTACATTTAGCCAATAATTACAGCCATGTATATTTTATATCAAACAACAATAATTATATTGACATGAATTAAGAGATAATAATCTTCATAGTAGTCTGAAGTTTATAAATCCTTAAAATTCTTAAACTTAAATATTTTAAAAAAATAGATAGCCAAAATTCAATATACATTTTTAGTTTTTTGATAATTAATTAAATTGGTCAAGTCTATCATATCGAAAATCTTTAAAAAAGAAAGAACATTTAAGAATATTATTTAAATAGATGATGATAGTTATGCTATTAAAAATAACTACTATCCTTATCTATAGAAGATCTACTTAAGATCTAGAAAAAATAATCAACTTTAAATATATGAAGAATCAAAAAAATCTAAGAATATATTATGAAACTGTAAATAACTTTGCCAATAATAAGAAGGCATTCTCAAATTATCTAGTAGAATAAAAAGACTAGCAACATACTTGAATGAGAACAATGCAGTTTGAAGCTTATCCAACTGATGGCATCCTTAAATCCCTCTTATTGGTTAACTCAGACCTATTATGATTATGAGTAATTTATAAAATGGATTGATTCTTCTTTGTACCAATATTTAAAGAAATTTGTACAAGTAGATCAAATGCTTCTTATATTGGTTTTGTTTCTCATTTAGGTTACTCCTAACACCTTGATTAGATAATAGCAGAATTAAATGTTTATTAAAAGGAAGTATTAGAGGATAAATAGCAATCTTTTTAGATTTGCTGAATGCCTATAATATTATATATAGATACCAAATTTTCTAAAAATTTAGGTAGGAATAAAAGTATAAAGACAGATGATAAGCTATATGCTCTTGAATGGATAGAAGAATAGTTATTCATATATGATCCAATATAAAAAAAGAGTTACAGTTTTAATTAATATATTAACAAATAAATATGGAATACAAAACTAGTAAAGATCAAATAAACTGATTTGAAAAGGATTAGATGAAGGAGTACATATTAGAGGTAATATTAATCNAGAATCAAAAAAATCTAAGAATATATTATGAAACTGTAAATAACTTTGCCAATAATAAGAAGGCATTCTCAAATTATCTAGTAGAATAAAAAGACTAGCAACATACTTGAATGAGAACAATGCAGTTTGAAGCTTATCCAACTGATGGCATCCTTAAATCCCTCTTATTGGTTAACTCAGACCTATTATGATTATGAGTAATTTATAAAATGGATTGATTCTTCTTTGTACCAATATTTAAAGAAATTTGTACAAGTAGATCAAATGCTTCTTATATTGGTTTTGTTTCTCATTTAGGTTACTCCTAACACCTTGATTAGATAATAGCAGAATTAAATGTTTATTAAAAGGAAGTATTAGAGGATAAATAGCAATCTTTTTAGATTTGCTGAATGCCTATAATATTATATATAGATACCAAATTTTCTAAAAATTTAGGTAGGAATAAAAGTATAAAGACAGATGATAAGCTATATGCTCTTGAATGGATAGAAGAATAGTTATTCATATATGATCCAATATAAAAAAAGAGTTACAGTTTTAATTAATATATTAACAAATAAATATGGAATACAAAACTAGTAAAGATCAAATAAACTGATTTGAAAAGGATTAGATGAAGGAGTACATATTAGAGGTAATATTAATCAACTTATGAAACATAGTTAAGTTTAGCTAGTTTTTCTATGATATCGGCTCAAGAATTTAAATAGAATCTTGCCTTTGAGATCTACGACAAAACTTTGGCTGTGATATATTCAGCTATATTTTGATTATTTAGCATAATTGATGAAAAGAGAAGCATTAAAGAATTGGAAAAATGTTAATAGGTGTAAACAGGATCAATCAAAGTGATTCAAAAGTTATCTAAAGCAAGAGCTAATAAAGTAATAAAATTAGGAGATCATTTGATTCCAAACTAACTGCCTATATTGAGTCTACTTCTGAATAGATAGCCAGAAGTTGTATCTTAAGAAAATCACTTAGCGAGTAAGTAATTAGAGAAATAAAAGATAATAAGATCGAAATCTCACAGAAAAATAGTCTGAGATGAGAAGAGAATAAGAGAAGATCAGATAGGATAATATCAGGATTAATCAATAGATTGGCATCCCCAAAAAAATTATTCTTAAGTTTAAATATTTGCCAAACTTTGGATATCTGATAAGTACAAGTATAGCTGGAGATAATATAATTAATTTATGTGCTACAAGTCTTAGGAAGATGTAGAAAGACATCATCCTTTATTAAAAGATTTTTTTGCCATAAAAGATTATATAAATCAATAAATATAAATTTTTCAAATAATATTTATGTTCCAATTCTTTTATTTAGCTTTGAATGATTAAATTCAATCATAGACATAAATAATTTATTGCATTTATGTCATTTTATACTTTTGGAACAACATTTGTACTTTTAATATTTTTAATTTAATCCATGTTATAGTTAAATTAGTTTTATATATATAAGACTAATAATTTTCAATTTTAAAGTTCAATTATTAAAAATAAAAGACTTTACTGTGTGTTTATTATTATTTATCATTATTTTATGCAATTTTATCAATTCTATTAATTAATTTGATAGATATTTTTGCCCATAACAGCTTTGTTTAGTTTAAACTTAAAAAAAATATAAAAAATAAATTTTTGATTAATATTATTTGAATCATTTTATTTTTATCCTTGAGGATATAAAAACAGCAATAAGCGTCCTTTAAACTATTCAATTTAGTAATTATACTTTGATAATCTTGAATCTATCCATATTATAATTTTTTATATTATAAATAAAACTATGTGGAAATTTTGACTGGTAATCTCATTTTTTACTAATGCTATCAAATTTAGAAATAATTTGAAATTTTTTGTTCAAAGAAAATTAAAAAGCATAAAGGTTAGATAAAAAATATCTATTTTTATTGACAAATAAAATAAGTTGGATAAAAAATTTAATCCATCAAATTACTTTAGATGAATGAAGGAATTAATATGACAGATATGTTAAGAGAAAGTTAATTGAGGTTTTCTCTGAGAAAATTATACCATAGATTAGATGGAGAATATTTTAGAATAAAGAATCAAATTTTGGATTAAAGTAAAAAGTAGAATAATTAACAAATGAAATTTTTTTTATTTCATTAAATAATATTGATGTAAAATAAAATAAATTTATGATGCCTCTTTAATAAAAATGAATATTTATGTTTCATTTATTATAAAAGCAAATCAAGTATCAGAAATGAGTTTCGAATAAGGCATCCATTTCTAACTAACCAAGAAAATATAATTGTTTAATTACAATATATTCTACACATTAAGGGCAAAATCCATTTTTTTATTGTGTAAACGATCCAAATTATACTTTCTAGTTATTCTACCAAATGCAAAAGAATTGACAATTATTTTTTGAACATTTTATTAGTTTTTCATGATTTTTTAACTTCATTTATAAATTTTATTAAAGCTTGCTAAGTTCTATTTAATTTTTTATTTCGAAATATGATCTTCCATAATCTTAAACCAATAAACATAGTTTGGATGATAGAGAAGCTTAACATCTAGTGCATTAAGCTATCGTATTAACTTTAATTGCAAAATCTACTTATTATTGTATTTTAGAAATATCTAAAAAGTGGCCACATTTGTTTCTGTAATTAATCTATTTTTTGTAATTAGATTAGAATAATTATGAATTTTAGATAGAAACCTAATCATTTTTAGGTTCTATATTTCTATTTTAAATTCTTATTTTAGGTTGAATTTTATTAATTTTTTCTTTATTTAATAGATCTATATGTGTTTATAGGTTAAAATTAGCTTCTCTAAGTAAATTTTATAATGTACTATTTTCATTCTTTAATTTGAGACATTCCTCTTCATATTTTTTAATTAATTGCCTAAATTAGATTTATAATATATTTTACTCTTAATTTTACATTTCTTTCATTAAATTTGATATTTCAATCTGCAATATCAAATTTAATAGTAAATCATCTTAAGATTAAGATCTAATTTATGATATTTATTTTTCCAATTCCTAGTTTTATTATTCTATTTATTATTTTTCATGTTTTAATTATTATAATTCTTGAATTTAACCTTCTTACCTACTTATCTTATAATATTTTTATGTAAAAACATCTATTTATTAAGATATTTCATCTCTGTTTTTCATATAATAGTTTATCTNAAGTTCAATTATTAAAAATAAAAGACTTTACTGTGTGTTTATTATTATTTATCATTATTTTATGCAATTTTATCAATTCTATTAATTAATTTGATAGATATTTTTGCCCATAACAGCTTTGTTTAGTTTAAACTTAAAAAAAATATAAAAAATAAATTTTTGATTAATATTATTTGAATCATTTTATTTTTATCCTTGAGGATATAAAAACAGCAATAAGCGTCCTTTAAACTATTCAATTTAGTAATTATACTTTGATAATCTTGAATCTATCCATATTATAATTTTTTATATTATAAATAAAACTATGTGGAAATTTTGACTGGTAATCTCATTTTTTACTAATGCTATCAAATTTAGAAATAATTTGAAATTTTTTGTTCAAAGAAAATTAAAAAGCATAAAGGTTAGATAAAAAATATCTATTTTTATTGACAAATAAAATAAGTTGGATAAAAAATTTAATCCATCAAATTACTTTAGATGAATGAAGGAATTAATATGACAGATATGTTAAGAGAAAGTTAATTGAGGTTTTCTCTGAGAAAATTATACCATAGATTAGATGGAGAATATTTTAGAATAAAGAATCAAATTTTGGATTAAAGTAAAAAGTAGAATAATTAACAAATGAAATTTTTTTTATTTCATTAAATAATATTGATGTAAAATAAAATAAATTTATGATGCCTCTTTAATAAAAATGAATATTTATGTTTCATTTATTATAAAAGCAAATCAAGTATCAGAAATGAGTTTCGAATAAGGCATCCATTTCTAACTAACCAAGAAAATATAATTGTTTAATTACAATATATTCTACACATTAAGGGCAAAATCCATTTTTTTATTGTGTAAACGATCCAAATTATACTTTCTAGTTATTCTACCAAATGCAAAAGAATTGACAATTATTTTTTGAACATTTTATTAGTTTTTCATGATTTTTTAACTTCATTTATAAATTTTATTAAAGCTTGCTAAGTTCTATTTAATTTTTTATTTCGAAATATGATCTTCCATAATCTTAAACCAATAAACATAGTTTGGATGATAGAGAAGCTTAACATCTAGTGCATTAAGCTATCGTATTAACTTTAATTGCAAAATCTACTTATTATTGTATTTTAGAAATATCTAAAAAGTGGCCACATTTGTTTCTGTAATTAATCTATTTTTTGTAATTAGATTAGAATAATTATGAATTTTAGATAGAAACCTAATCATTTTTAGGTTCTATATTTCTATTTTAAATTCTTATTTTAGGTTGAATTTTATTAATTTTTTCTTTATTTAATAGATCTATATGTGTTTATAGGTTAAAATTAGCTTCTCTAAGTAAATTTTATAATGTACTATTTTCATTCTTTAATTTGAGACATTCCTCTTCATATTTTTTAATTAATTGCCTAAATTAGATTTATAATATATTTTACTCTTAATTTTACATTTCTTTCATTAAATTTGATATTTCAATCTGCAATATCAAATTTAATAGTAAATCATCTTAAGATTAAGATCTAATTTATGATATTTATTTTTCCAATTCCTAGTTTTATTATTCTATTTATTATTTTTCATGTTTTAATTATTATAATTCTTGAATTTAACCTTCTTACCTACTTATCTTATAATATTTTTATGTAAAAACATCTATTTATTAAGATATTTCATCTCTGTTTTTCATATAATAGTTTATCTCTTAGAAATAAATTTTTCTATATGAAAGGTTGACTCTATTTATCCTATGAATATCAATTATTTCTGATTAAGTATTGTAGAATTCAAAGTATTTATCTCCTAATTTAGATTTTAAGATATTAATAATGGTCTCTGATAAGTTTTAATCCTGTAATTTAATCAAAAAAATAGCACTATTAACATCATCTAAGTTATGTAATAGCAAATGAGTATTTTCATTCGATGTTTGTCTTTGGAGATTACAATATTGATACATCTTTTTTTTAATTTATTTATATCGTATTTATATAGAAATCATACTTATGATTTTTAATAATCTTGATTTTATTTATGAGAAGAACTATATTTAAGAATTATAATTATGTTCAAACAATATAGAGTTTTGTTTTTAAATTGGCGATTATAACAGCATCAATGAAGACATTGATAAACTATTTAAAAATAAAAATGTTCAAAGTCATAATGTAGTTTAAATTCTATTATTCCAATCCTATCTGCTATTTATTAAACTTCTTAAACCAATAAATAAAAAGATCAATAAATTATTTAGATCTAAAAAGAATTAATTTAAAGAATGATTAATGAAAATTGAATGAAGAATTAAGTAATTTGTCTTAATAATTTAATTAATCATTATTAAAGACTTAAGCCATCTTCTAATGATACAATACTTGAGTCTCAAATACTTAATGATATCTGAAAAATTGTTTTAATTTATTAAGAGCTTAGATGAAACACAAAAAATAATTTTATTAAAGTTAAATGAATTATATAAGTTGAACTTATATTAAATAATCATTAAAATCACAATCTTCTTATTAAGAGTCTAATGATATTTTCCTGTTATTCAATTTTTCATTTTCTATATCTTAAAATAATCTAACAAAGTACTCAAAATTATCATCATCTTCATTTTAAAAGAATCGTCAGATTATGTAACATTCCTTATAAATTCTTAGGATATATTCATGATAAGAAACTCAGGATATTCAATATTATTTGTTAATTTTAAATCATACAATTTTAATCCAAATTTAAATTAAAGCTTAATTAATTCTTATTCAAAATATTCTCTGTATTGTTAAAATGAAAAATTATTTAAAAAATCTTTAAATACTTCATCAAAGTAAGGATTATTGATTTGATAGTTTATTTCTTATTTAATTAAATGTCTAAAAGCTTCTTTATAAAAAACTTTTCAATTATTATATTTAAAGCATTTTCTTTAGCTTCCAATGGCAATAAATGTTGACTGAATAGTTTCTATATTAGGCTTCAAGTACTATAGCTGCTTAATAGTCTTATTAAATTTTTTCAATTTTCTGAACAACGTTCATAACTTAAATTAGAAGATTCCATACTTATCCTAAAATTGCTTGATGAAATTATAATTCCTTTAATTTTAGTATCTTAATATTCCTATTCAAACTCAGTATTTATAAGTTTTCTTAACATTTTAATAATATCTATTGCTTCATAATAACAAAGACTTTTAATAATATTTTTGATATTAGAGAATTGAAAACTCATAAAAAACGATAAGAAATTAAATACTTTTTAATTAAAGGAAGAATTTTAATTATTAATATATATAAAAAGAAGTCTAAATATTGAAAATGTTTATTTAAATGAAAAATTCTTGATTAAATGAATTAATGATTCTAATAGATAATAACATATAATTAGTTCTATGATATATAAATGCTGAGTTGAGAAATCATTGTAAAATTTAGAGATAATTTTTTTAAAGGATAATTTTGGAGCTACTATATCAAAAATAAAAATGTCAAGAGGGTTTCATGAAGATTAGTAGTTTAAAAAAGAATTTTTATAAATAGTTGATGCTCATGGTGGAGAAAATTGTAGGCATTGGACAAAAGTTGCTAGAGTCTATTTTGAGACAACTGGAATCTAAGTGAACTAAACATATAAGTTAAGAAAGAGATGGGAAACATTGACTGGATATAAGGAGAATTTAAGTGAGGAATAAACAAAGGTTTTATATGAAACAGGTATTAAATGTAGAGGGAATAACAAAGGAGGTTTATAAAGTTTTACATAACAAACAGGAGTTAGGTATGTATATATAGATATATTAGAATGTATTTAGGAAGATATACAAAAACAATATCTAAATGGTTAAGAGGAGCAATAAAATTATTTTCGGAGATGTATATACATGATAAAAAGACAAGATATAGAAGGTTAGATGAAGATAATTATCGTTTATCTTATGTTTCTATTCATATAATGTTAAGAGCAGTTGATGTAAATGATATTGGAGATGATCCAATATTTTAGGAATTAAAATAATGTGCAATAAAATTAGAGTAATTATTATTATTGCATGCTAAAATTCATAGAGAATTTGATAAAAGGGAAAATTATGAGAATTATGATACATACAAAAATTTTTTAAAGAGATGGTAATTTAGAAGAATAATGTTTTTTTTGGATTATGTTAATGAATTAAAATAGATTAGTATAAGTTATTACAAGGAATTAGTGATATTGGCTCATCCTTTATTGAAGAATACAATAGAATTGAATAAGAAGACAGAAATATATTAGAAGATCATTTTAGAATCTGATTGGCAATCAAAATATCAATTATATAATTTATGTCAAGCTTTATAAGAAAATTAAGAATATTCTATGTTAATTAAGAAGGCATCAAAAAAGTAAAAGGATTAACATGATAAAGAATTATAAGAGAATTTATAAGATGTGGAATAAAATGTTGAAAATGATCATGTTTTATAAGGATATGATGTAGTTTCAAAATCTGTTCATAAAGTATGTAATAAATTGGCACATGCAAGAATAACTCCAACAGAAAAATAAAAATTAAGAACTTTTCGTGGACATTATGTTAGGCCAGGGTAAATAAAGTCAAAGGGATGGACTACAATATTGTTTGATCATGATTTACCTTCAAGTTAGGATGAAAAAGAAATAGAAGATTAACAGAATTTTAGTAATTTAGATATGAAAGAACTTTCTAGAATTTACAATAGCAATTTTGAAAAGGATATTGGAAAATTATAAGGAAAATATAAAGAAAAAAAATAGAAGAAAAATAAACCATACGCATTTTGAGAATATGTTAAGAATTTATTTTATATAAAAAATTAATATAATATGATTGATTTTAGTTATTTGCGACCTCCAGCTGATGTTTATTAAATAAAACATGATAGTAAATTATGATATGTTATCTAATAGCATTTTATATAAAGCATGGTGAAGGGAAAAATCATGTTAGAAAAATATTCTTTCACTAAGAATTTGATGAATATGAAAAACAAAAAATTAAAGAGTTAATGGCAAGTATAGTATAACATAAATTAACATTACCTCCTGAGTAATAATATATTAAAGTTTTAGTTGGTGCCAAGAATTGACTCTTAAATATTGTTATTCAGGAGGTTTTGAAATCAGTAAATGTATTTAAAGGTTACAAAAACATTTGGAATGGATTAATGATGAAAATTATCAAGTCTTGTCTCCAGAGGCTGAATAATATTTAGTTTAAATTAATAAATATTCAATTTAGAAATAAGGCTACATATATTAATTTGGAAGAGATCATCAATACCGACCTGTTGTTTATATATAATTGCATATGATTTCGAAAAATAAAGTTCATGTACCGACTCTTTTAAATGCAGCAACAGCTATTGGAAATATAGTAACTAAGTTTATGTATACTCGTGGTTATGTTGAAAATTGGATAGTAATATTGGATAGTGGTGGTAGTGGATTATTTGATTTCCCATTCTCCACTCTCAATATGATTAATGAATTCTTTTCAATCAACTACACTAGTTCATTGCATAAAATGTTTATTTTGAATCCTTCCTTCTTTTTTAATTCATCATGGAAATTAATTGAAAGTATTTCCAATCTTAATAATAGAAATCATTCACCCTGAAACTGCTTCCAAAATTAATTTCCTTAAATCTACAGATTTCTATAAATTATAGGAATTAATTCCAGCTGAAGAAATCGAAATCAAATATGGAGGTTAACATCCAAATTTAACTACTTTTTGGCCTCCAATAAATACTAAAGCTTAAATCAATTAACCAAATGATGAATTTCAGTCCAATTAAAGACCATATTTTACTAAACGTACTTAAAGTGTCAAAGAATCTGAATATTTTAGTATTGATAATAATTCCAAAGAGTTTTATAATAATTCTAAAATGAAAGGTAATCTATTATTATAGTAGAATATCGAATACACGAACAGTTTCAAGAAATTGATTAATAAAACTCACAATGTTGTTCTTGTAATATAATGTGAAACAAAATAATTTATTTATTATATTAAATATTAAATGGATAGAGATCTTATTAAAGGAAATAAAATATGTTATAATTATGAAAAAGAACGATTAAGATAAATTCATAAACACAATCTATAAATAGCACATCCTTTAAGTATATTACTTAAAAACAATTAACAGTTAGAACTTAAATGGAAAGGTTATCATAAAACTAAAATAAGAAACTCTAATTATAAGAAGAGAGATTTACTGAAATTGAAAGAGAAAATCGTATCTTATTAGAAAAGATTCAAAATATAATGAGTAATATTTCTATATATAACTAGATAATGAACGTAAAAGGGCTACATCTAATTGGTAGAATAATAATAATATGACTACTTCTAATTTTAATTAATCTTAATCAGTCAATAGGAAATAATCACTAAATAAGGAAAAAAGGAAAAAAGAGTTGGTCAGAATTACTATTGAAAATTAAAGATTAATGAATAGATTAGTTACTAAAAAACCTAATTACAATACTAAAATTATTTTAAAACAAACATCATAATAATAATAATTAGTTTAATAGATAGCTGAATATCCACTAAAAAGATCTAGAATTCAAAGTTCTAATAGATAAAAGAGTGTTGATCTTTCAAGTAAATATAATGTAATATAAAAGAGAGTAGTTTTATGGGTTGTTTACCAACTTAGACAAATTATACACCAAATAATTAATAATCAAGAAAAATAATTCTTTATAAATAAAATAAAAAAATAGATGATAAATTGTATTATATTGAGGTTTTCTATGAAGATGAGTAAAAATAATAATATATTATTATTAGTTTATTTAAAATTACTGTTGATGATGAATAATGTCCAAATACAAAAGTTTTTGAAATGCCTTAAGAAGATGGTTAAATTGTTTTGAGGGAGATATATAATAATAATATTTTACAATTAGTAGATGCTATAAGTGTTGATAATAACATTCATCTAGCAGGATTGGAATAATTTGAACAATCTTAATGATCTATCTATATTTTTTTGAAACATTATTCTACCAAATTTATTATTTGATAATATTTTATTTGATTTCTATTAATTTGCTATATTTATTTTATAAATCTTAATTATATTATATAATATAATAAAATATAAGTCTAATTAGTCTTGATTAATAGGGTTTTTATATTAATAATAAATTTCAATGAGGTAACAGAATCAAACTGAGAATCAAGTGACTCAGAAACTTAGCATACATGCATGATACAACTTTAAATGTAAATACTAATATATCGAATCTATATTTTAATATATAAATTACTGATAAGTGTAAGATAAAAATATTTGTAAAAACATTCCGAAAAATGATAAATTTCCAAAGGCATCAAGGATTTTATAAGATTTACTCCATGCACCTGTAATACCTGATGCATAATATATGCATTAGTATAAAATGTTAATGCAAAAACTTAAGATTATCATTTAATGGATATCAATCAAAGGAACTTTATTATAAATTAAAGCTAGCTTATTTAAATTCTGAAACACTTACTTGTTTTTCTATTTTATCCTAATTTATCCAAACCATTGAATCAAAGATGATTTCAATTATCAACTAAATACACATAAAAACAAGAAAAACTCTTGAACGTGTTATATAAGTGTCTAAAACTTCATCAACAAAATCTGGTAAATCTTAAGGGTTAATATAAAATGCTTTTTCATCATTTCCAAACATTGGTAATATGATTTATTGTGGTTCTTAAATTACCTTCTCATTTTATATTATTGATTCATTTTTCATTGGACAAACTAAAATAAACATTATTTAAACTATATGCATATGATCCATCCTGGTTCACAAATACAGCCCCTCTAGATGATCTCAAAGTTGTGACTGTCCCTCTTAATGATCGCCTCTCAGACTTATCCATTCAATAAAACGGATTTAATGTAATATAATGATAATAAAATAATTCAAGTGTTAAACTAATGAGATGTACTCATTCCAAAAGTAATCTATCTAATTTATATAATATTATAAAAAATTGATATTAGATTTATTCAAAATACTATTTTATATAAATCTAATATCAATTCAATTTCTCTTTTACACATTATTTGTAGCAAAAATACATTGTAATAATTTTATAATAAAATATAGCTTCTCAAATGTTTTACATTTTCTTAACATAATTGGATTAAAATATAAAATATAGCTGTTGATAAATATAGATCATAAAGTTAAAGTAAAACAGTTTAACCTTTTGAAATTAAAAAATAACTTATACATTTACAAAGAGACCAATAAATTTTAGATGAAATTCATTATCAACTAAATTTTTATAATAAAATCATTTTTTTAAGAAGAAAGTAATTCAATTTTTAGAATCTATACATTTTTAATTAAAATTATAGAACTTTAATATAAATAGATTCTCTATTAGAGATAGAGACTCTATTTTCTCGAATTTACACATGATTAACAAGCTATTTTAGAATATTTCAAAAAAATTATTTCAAACCCAAAGATTCATATAATTTTTATTTCAAATAAATACAAGGGCAATATTTATACTTTTAATCAAAAAATTAAAGAAATAAAAAAGCTTTTCATAACTGCAACTAATAATTAAGCATTTTGAAAACTATGCTATTTAATTTTTAAAGTATAAATTAGACAATATACTATAATAAAAATTTATTATTATATATATTTTTCTAATAATATAATTACTAAATATCTATAAAATGAAATATTAATTCAATAATATTTACTGATTGAAATGTAATTATTTTTTTATGAATTAATATGTAAATTCAATAAAAATATTCATGCAATATTAAAAGATATTTATAAATAATTATATGAACTAGATTAGCAATATTAAATATTTAGTAAACAACTATAATTTAATATTAAATTAAAAAAAATGATAAGAACTGATTCTTTAGTTAATAAGACAAATTGCTTAAGTATATTTCTAATGATTTGTATCTTTGTTGCTCTTAATCCTCCATAAAAAACTATTAATAATAACAGCTTTGAAATTTTTGAAGTTGAAGTGAATGAATTCGAAATTAATTACTTTTTAGATTATGATATTGTTTACAATGACACTGATTAATTTGGTCTAGAAACTGTTCAAAATTGGTTACCAATCTAATCAGAATTAGCTCAACTTAATTTAGCTTTAGATTATTTTTCGCGATTAAATTTAGACAAATTGATTAAATAACACAATGAATTTTAGATTTAAGTAGATAAATGTCTCTAATTATCATTGAATTAAGATCTAGAAAATTTTCTAAATAAATTTAATTCAACAATCAATAATGATAGTTAAATAGCTGATTATATGAATAATTTATTAAATAGAAGAAATCAATTACATGAATTTTATATGGAAAAGAAAAATGATCTAGAAAATCTTAATAATGAAGAAAGAATGTTAAAATCATTAATAATAGAATATCAAATAAATGAATAAGATTCTACAATTTTAAATAAGAAGATTTTTAATTTAAATAAGTTGAAATAAATGATAGAATAATCTAATGAAGAATAAATTAATTTGATTGAGAAAATCAAATATCAAAAATCACTTGGAGAAGAAGAAGATTTAAGTGAGTATTATAGAAAAGATTAAGATCAAGCAAAAAAATTAAGACAATTATTTAAACCAGCTGGTACAAAATAAGTAGAAATACATAATGAAAAATTGTATGATCTAGTAAATGTATTAGATTAAAATATTAAATAATATTCAAGTCCAACAGAAGTATATTTTAATGGTTTGAACTTTTCTCCAGAACTAAGAAAAAATGCTTTGGAAGAATTACAACTTTAATATACAAGATTATAGATGAAATTAGAATAATAATTGAAAAATTAGGAAGATTTAGAAAGAGAAATTGATGAACTTGAAAGGAAAAAAAAAGCAAAGGAAAAGAGATATGCTGATGTGTTAAGTAAATTAGAAATGGTAAGAAATATTTAAAAGAATTTAGAGAAAGATTATGACATTGTAAAATTATAGATAGAAGAAATAACAAAAGAAATTAAGAATATTATGCCAATAAATAATATTGAAAATAATTAAAGATTAAATGTACAATAACAATATAAATGTAATTATTAATATATATAATTAAATAGAATATATATATGAGCATTTAGATTAAGATTAAAAATGTGTTGAAAAATGTGTTTAATATGATTCATTAAATTAATAATTTTATATGGGTAGATATAAATAATCATTGTATTTGATACAAAGACATTTTTAAGAATTGGACAAACTTTTCAATGAATTTAAAATATGAAAAAATTTATCAAAAAGGTTCTTTGATTTGATAACAATTTATATTATTTAATTATAAATCTTTACTTAAAAATATATATAAATAATTATAATTTTCTAAGAATTTTGATATAATTTGCAAATAATGTATTTGTATAATTAATTTATTAAATAATTTATTATGAGGTAATTAAATGAAGAAGAAACAAAAATATTTTTTGAAAAATTAGGAGAATATATTGGAGCAAATATAAAATTATTAATTGAAAATGAAGAAGATCCTCATGTATTTAGATTGATCAAAAATAAAGTATATTATATGTCTTTATAAATTGCAAATTGGGCAACCAATGTTGGAAAAGATGAATTATTACAGTATATATATTATAAAATTTATTTAAGTGTTGGAACATATTTTGGAAAATTTACAAAAACAAAAAAATTTAGATTGAATATCACTTGTTTAGAAATTTTGGCCAAATATGCTAAACATAAAGTTTGGTTAAAATCAAGTGGAGAATAATCTTTTCTATATGGAAATCATGTTATTAAGGGTAAATAAGTATTTTAGTTCTTTTTTAGCACATTTAGCAAAAATGTCTGAAAATATTCCATAGTATGCTAATGTTATCTTATTCTCATTATAAGAGAATCCTTTAGGTTTTGGTGTAGCATCAAGATCAACATTATAATGCAAAGATTTAGATCCAACTACTGTTGTAGTATTTAATTAAGCAGATTTAGGAGAATATTTAAGAGCAGAAGATGATAAAAATATAGAAAAATGATGTTTACTATAAGTATGTTAATTTTGTAAATAGAGTTTATTGGAATTTTATATTAAAATAGTAATATTAATGTTGTTTACTATATATAATTGATAGATAGATAGATTTATTCAATAAAATTTAATATTAAAAATATCTGTTAACAATCTTTGTTATATTTGTAAATGTCCACAAAAGTTAGAATTTCTAAAAGAGGATAATAATACTTTGTTTCATAAAAAGAGAACTATACTCCATTTTCAAATTTATCACTATGTCCAAAACCAATAATTGCATTAGCTTAATCCTCTTATGATCCAAATTTAATTGAATCAACTCTAAATTAACTAAAAATACCTTCATAATTAAAACATGAATCTCATTTAAATAGAATGAAATAAATAGCTGATAAATAAGAATATTATGTTCATGGATAAATTACTTCATGTAGTCAAATTGAAACTATTGGATAATATAGTGATCATTCATATTATGATTAATTAGAAGCAAACCATACAAAAAATTAATAGAATTACTTTGAAGACTCTTATTAATTATTTTGATATACTTTATATTATTATATACTATATGATTATATATATACAAATTCTAAGTATTAATTTCTTTTATATGTTTAAAATAAATTAATTAATTAAAAATGTAATAAAGATAAAGAAAAATTTCTGCTATTTTTAAAAGAGTAAAAGAACGTTCAGTATAAATGGCTGTTGAAAAAGTAGAAGAATGGAGAAATTTATTTTAAAATGGTAAACTTGATAATTAAGGAAATCTTAAAAAATTATCACTTTAATAAGCAGCTGAAGAAGTTGGAATTCCTAAAAAAACATTAGAAGATTATTATTAATTGATAAAGTATACTTTAATAAAATATAAAGAAAAGCAAAAGAAATTTAACCAATTGAATAGTTATATGATCATAAAATGGGTTATTTAAGATAACTTATAAAATAGAGTTAAAATTTTAAATAAAATGTTATTGAAATAGAATCTGAAGATTAATAATAAGTTGATTCTGATAGTGATAATGAAATTCAATATCCAATAGAATAAACTAATTTTGATTATGAGGAATACTTTAACCTTGGGAATGATTATAATTTGGATCAAAACTCTGTTGTAATGACTGTTCACACTAGACCTTAAATTATATAGATTCATTCAAAGAAAGTTGACCCTTGGGAAAATGAAACATTGAGTTGTGATTCTGGTTAAGAAACTGATGATGAAGAATTCTGAACTTTTTTAATTTAAAAAACTTATATATATATATATATATATACATGTATTAATTCAATAAAATTATCAATAAAAAGTAAACAAACAAAAATTTACACTCAAAGATCATTATACATATTACTTTACAAGACCAATAGCTTCTTACCATTCATTATGATATTTAACAACTCAAATAATCTCATATCATTATCTAATTTTTATGTTTTGATTTTTCCTATTAGCATTGATAAATAAGGGTCTTATAATTCTATAAATTCATAATTAACAAATTACAAATCTTTGTTAGTCCATAGAAATGAGTTGATAAACTTTTGGTTAATTGTTTAATTTTGGAAAAACAAGATAATTTAGATATGTTGAACACAAACTCAAATTCTTGATCTGGTTTCAATACAATAATTGATAAATTACTTTATTCATCCTATAATATAGATTTATATTAAATACAATATATTTTTATGAACATTTCTATATCCTCTCCCAAATCTTTTATTATAATAAATTCATTCCTATATATTGATTGGGACTAAGATTATTAATATTTAATATACTCTTGAATATATGTTATTCTATGAATTTAACTTGATTCATTAATCAATTCCTATGCTAAAATTGAGCTATTTCTTCTAGTAGTTAAATCAAAACTTTTCTATTTTAATATACTAATTTAATCTGTCTCTGTATCATCATGTTTTGATAGTGATTATACTTTTTTTAGTATTGAATAATCCTTAAAACTCTTGGATTTTCCAGATTTTCCTAATTAATGCATTTTTATCAATTTATTTATTTATTGTAATATTATAAACTATGTATTAATCATCTAAAATAAGAATGATAATTCAATTCTTAAAGATTACAAACAATTTTTTGTATAATTGATATTTAATTGTATAAAACCTTTAAGTAAGTAATCAAATTAAACTAATTTCAATTAAATTATGATGAACATAATTCATCATCACATATTTATATATAATTTAAACATATATTTATACTTTAGGAGAGTTAATATAATGATAAATTTATATAGTTCTTTTTTTTTTTGATTTATATTAGATAGATATTTTGGTATGAAATAGAATGTCTATTAGGATAGATTATTTTTATTATTGGAATTTAAATTTATGATATAGATTTAAATTTAATGAAAGATTATTCTATTTTAATTAGATATTGTATTTCAAATGAATAAAATAATGCTTTTATTATTTAATTGAATAATAGTTATGTTTAATTATTAGGGAATAACATAGTATTCAATATAAAAATAGAATGTCATTAAAATTACATAATTTAAATTTTTAATTAATATTATTAAACATTATATGAAAAGAAGCATTGCTTCTGTTAAGGATTTAGCTGATTATTTCAATGTAGCAATTTAACATAGAGCAAACAATACAATTGTGGCTGGATAATATGTTGCAAGAAAAGTACTGATATTATAGTTAATATGAAAAGGTTTCAATCGTTTCCTTATTCATGTAAACAACAAAGGGGAGAGATAAGATTTGTTGTTTAATTTAGTATTTAGCAGATTTATATGAAGCTTGCATTAAATTTTCAAATATTCCTGAAATTTAAGCAGCATCATCAGATATGTTTTCTAAAAAAATAGCATCTCGAATCAGAGAGTCTATGAAAAATGGTAGAAAGATATTCAAATTCTTAAAATTCTTTGATTCTATAAGATGTTTGAGTAACATCCATGCTAAAAATAAACCTAAATATTATAAAATCACAACATCGATTATGCATATATGCAATTTCTTTTATTATATAATGGATCACATTATTTGGGGTATTAATATTGGTGTTCTAAAGTAAGTAATGTGAATATATTTATAGTGAAATTGTTTCTTTGAAAGCTAAATCAACGATAAAAGGATATAAAGATTCATTTTCATTAGCAAAAGCTTTACTTAAATTATTAAAATCATTTTTTGATTATAAGATTATATATGATAAAGAAATGGATTTAGTAAAAGAAGTAAAAGAAATACCTGATAAATTAATTTATGAAGATGCAATAGCAGTTTAATGTGCTAATAGTTTAATTAATAGTAGATAGAAAAGAAGAATTAAATAATTAAATTTTATAGTTACATCTCTTAGAATTGTGATGTTGTTAAGAAGATTAAAATTATTTGGATTGAATAAAAAAATTAGCAAAATATTTTATTCATGTAGTGGTTTAACTATAACTATAATAAACATAATGGTTTAATTAATCAATAATAATAATTTAATTAATTAAAAATTAGAAAAGAATGAAAAAGAGAAAGAAAAAGAAAAAGAGAAGAAACTTGCAAGAGTGAATTCTTTCATTCCTTAAAATCATCAATTAAAGAAAGTTAAGTCAGAATTAGAAAGAGTCTTAGGAGAAGACTCAGAAAATGAAGGAGATTGAGATGATTTAAATAATAAAAGAAATCTCTATTTAAAATAAAAATTATATAACTAAATTTTATTTAATTATTATATTTATTATTAAGACTTATTTCTAATAAATTTAAGAAGGTTTACAAATTTGAATGTTCAAATTTTATTAAAAATAAATACTTTTTAATTGAATAATTCAATTAATTTATGTGAATTATTCAGTATATCATTTAAATTATCTAAAGAGATTTATGCAATATATAAATAGAAGAGATTAATATCAATTTATACCTATTTTTTAAATTTGAAAATTACTATAGCCAAACAAATTATTAAGATTATTCTTTAATTATTATACATGATTAGTTTATATCATATTTAGCCAAGGAAATCATTAATATAATAAGAATTGACAAATTTAATTTATTGAGAATTGTAAAAAATAATGTTGTTAGTAGGCAATCAATTTTACAGAAGTGTTGAAAGAAATCAATGTTTAAAAATTAATGAATCATGTGAATTTATTTTTCTTTTATTGTAAAAATCGAAATACTGAAAATCCAAGATTCTCGCTCTAGCTTCTAATTCTAATATTCTTAAGTTTAATATTTATATACATGTTCTTTTAATGCTTTTTACAATTATATATGATTGAGAGCTTTGGGTTTTTCATCATTCTCAGATTCCTCAAAAATTACATCATCAGGAGAATAAACAGTCAATTTTTATTATTAAATTTTAGGACCTTTATGTCCTTCTAAGATTAATGGTTCGAGTAATTAAGGGGTTTCTTTAGGTCTTAAATTAATAAGTTAGCAGAATACCTAATTTAAGGTTTAGGAGGAGGTTTATCATAAGTATCTAAGTATTCTTAATAAGTCATAGAAGAATGATATCGCTATCTTATTTCTTAAGCGTAAACATTATCCATAATTTTAAATATAATTAATAAAATCCAAATAATACTCATATATATTTAATACATCAAATGATATGAATTCAACTTCATTTAATGCTTAATAAAATAAAAAACAAATCAATATATCATTATTGAATATTATATAAGTCTAAGTAAATAGAAAATCATTTCTAGTCATAGTATTATTCTTATGGTTATAAGTGCAGACTAAAAAATGCTTTGCCAAACTTAAAACATTAAAATTAATTTTTTAATATGAAATTATTCTGGATCAAGTACAAATAGAATGTAATATCAAATATCATATAAAATGTAATTCAAATCTAAATTATTTACTCTAAATAATTGATAGAAGAAAAGTACAAATAATTACCAATTCCTTCAATGAAAATTATTATTATTATTAATAATATTATTTATACATTTAATTTAATCAGAATTCTGTAACTTAATTATTATTGCAAGCTTAGAGTTCTTAATACTAATTAATATTCATTAATAATATTAATAACTGTATTTTTATTTAATTATTTCAATCTATGGTTATAAATATGAAAAGTATTAGGATATGATTATTTGAAAACAGGTTTTAATAATGTCTTCTACTTTTGAATATCTATTCATCATAGAAATCCAACTTATCAAATATATTATTTTATATATTTTTAACTCAATACTTATTTATTTTTTATAACAAAAATTATCAAAGCATCCAATAAATCTGTTCTAAATATATACACTGAATATGTATATTTCCATATATTTTATTACTTCATTTAATCATGTATCTTTATTCATATTTAAATGTTTGATTGATATATCAAAACCAATTGGAGTTTGGATACATAAAGGTTCAAGATAGAAACCCTGGTAATTAATATTGATACAATCAAAGATAATTGGAAACATTATTAATTATTTGATTAATTTTAATGTAATAATGTATTAATTGATTTTAAACCTATATATCATATTAATATAAAGAATAACAGATCAATTTTTATACTTTTGGATGTATTAGTCTTCCAATACTTGTATGGTAAGTTAAATATTCTTAACTAAAAGTATTGTGAAGAAAAAATGATGTATTTTTCTTTAAAAAAATTAAAGATCGAATAGTAAAATTTATTGAAATATTTAGAATTATTTATATAAATGTAATCTTTAAATATAAATTGTATTTTTTTAATAAATCCATATTTAATAATAATTCAAAGCCTACTTATATTATTTATAACTCTATTTTAATTATATTAAGAAACATTAAGTAAAATACATTTTATTATATTAAAGTATATCTATTTATAAAAGGATCTATTGAAAAAATTCTGTTATCAAAATTAAAATTGACCGAATAATTGTACAATTATATATTTATTGATTAAAATCAAATACTATAAAGGCATTTTTATCATATTCAATATTAGAAGTAGATTAATGAATTATCTGTAATTAAATTTTTATGTTAATTTATACAACCTCTATAGAATACTTGTGTAATCAAAAAATTTATCAAATAGAAAATTGAAATATATTATTATAGAACAAATGGAATGAGAGAATAGATGTATTCTAATAAATGGTAACCAATATTTAAATGAAAAATACATTTACAAACTGAGGGATAGACATAAAGAAATAAAATTTATGTTAGTTCAGAGGCAAATATAAATAATACTCATATTCTATTCAAGCAATTTTATTAGAATACTAAACTTCAGTACTTAAACTATTCTATTTTTTTTATTTTTCTTCTTCTTTGTTTTATACAATAGGTTTAAGTTTTCCTTATTGATTTAGAAAACAATCAACCTTATTTAAAGAAGTAATAATGGATTTATCGATGTACTAACAATGTAATAGATATTTTTATAATCTGACTTCAGGTATTGGTTTCTAAATAAATAAGTCTAAATATTACATATGTTTTAATCCATTTTTCATCATCATCAATATTTAGTTGCAGTGCTTAGATTTTCATTAAATTACTATTTTCATGCATGAATTCAAATTAAGGCATTCCAAGCATTTTTCTTAATTCAAGAAAACCTTTCTTAGAAATTGTATTCTCCAATCTATATCCTTTTTATTTGTGAACCTTTGCCATAAAATATAATATTTGACGTAAATAAAATATAGTTAATTTAACATATGCATTCTATTTATATAAATAGCAAAAAACCGAAGAACTGTTAATGGCTAAGTTAAATACTAAATAATATATAAATGTCATATATTTATAGCAATTTAAAATATCTATTGAATAGTAAAATATATAGTTTCTCCAAAAATTGAATAATGCTGCTTAAACTCATTTTAATCTACAAAGATTAAGAAAAATTCAAAGAATTTATACTATGATTAAACTAATACTTATATTAAGCTCTATTTAATTCAATCTTATAGCATATTTCTCATAATGTAATTCTCATAAAAAATTGGGAATTTAAAGTAGAATAGTTTTGGATAAATGATACAAAAAATGTTTTTATATATTAACCTTAGAGATATAGATAAACTAAAAAATGAACTTTAATTAGTATTTTAAGTAGATATTTATTAATATTCTAAAATTTATTTTTTAATTTATAAAAGTAAAAAATATAATGTAAGTTATAAAATAATAAGACAAAATCAGAGCTTTTATTTGAATTTAATAATTTTAGAAGACATATGAGTATGATAATTAGTATATTAAATAATAAATATATTAAAATCATTAAAGCCATTCATCTAAAGCTACTTCCTTGAGTGGAGGTCGTTCATTCTAGTTAGTATTCAAAATTTTCTTGATTAAATTTCTTAATTGGATAGACATATATTAAGGATATTCTATTTTTCCACTATTGATTGATTTATATAAATCTTTATCATCATTACCTCGAAATGGAAATTATCCTGTAGTCATTTTAAAAAGCAATATGCCCAAAGCCCAAACATCAGCTGGAAAACTATACGTTTATTTATTAACTATTTCAGGTGCCATATATGATGGAGTACCACAAAATATGTTAAGTCTACTTGAAGGGTCAATAGCTATTGAAAATCTATAGGAAGGAATAAGAACTATTTTACCCAAAATCAATTATCTTAATTTTATTATTCAATGGATCAATAAGAATATTCTCTAATTTAAGATCTCTATGAACTACACTTTTATGATGACAGTATCTTAAGGCATCTACAATTTAGATGAATATATATTTAGCTTCATTTTCATCAAGCTTCTTTTATGGTTGTTATTTAATGAAAGAATTTAATGAAGTTGCACTGTAATATTCCATAATAACATGTAATTATACTTGAGTTTCACAAGCTACTACAAATTTAATGATATTTGGATGTCTTAATTTTGATAATATTTTCACTTCTCTACATACATTTTTACGCTTTTGTTAATCATTAATTTTAGCCTTTTCATATGTTTTAATAGCACAATATTATGATCCTTTTTATGCCAATCTTACAATTGCATATGATCCTAATCCAAGTACTTTTGATAGAATGTAATTGTCAATTGATTTTTCAATTAAATTTTCAGGCAACACTCCTTATAAGATTCCTTGTTCAAGAATGTTTTCAGTTTACATTTTGACATTTTCACTTACAATTCTTATTTCTCTTGTTTTTGTTTCAGGAGTTTAAAATCTTGGACTTTACTTTTTGGAAGTACCATGGTACTCAATTGGAATATTAACTTTAACAGGACTTTTTGCTAACGGAGAGACAGATCTTTTTCCATTAGATTTATTTAATTCATGGATTATGTTTTGTAGTTCTGCTATTCTATTTTTAGCTTATTTAATATTGTCAACATTAGATGTGTAATCTTTGAGAGGAGGTCTATTCTCAAATTAGAAATTAGGACTGCAATAGTTTATATTCATTAACAGATAGTTATTATTAATTTTTATTTATGTAATTAATACTTGATAACAATAATAAATATATATATGTGCATTTTATGATATAAAATAAACTTTATTTCTTTCAAGTATGAGTATAGAATAATGCTCCTTTTGGATTCCTAACAGATTATGTTAAGCAGGAAGGACAAAAACTATAATCATCATCATATTATTTTTGATGAGTTATTTTCCAAAAACAAAAAAACTTACAATTAGTGTTTTCACAAGATATCAAATTTAAATGTGAATTTTTATTTGCCTTACAACTCTTATATATGTTTGGTAATTCTATACCGGATTTCATTTATAAGTAATCCTTACCTATATTACCAATTTCGTTACAAAGTTTAGATGAAAAATGAGAATTGCAAATTTAACATTTTGCTATCTCTTTATTCATTATTGCTTTAACTAATAATTATTCTAATATATTCTTTTCTATGCTATGTCCACATTTATTTGCATAAGTTTCAACAGTCTCTTGATCATTAAATTCAAATAAATCTGATTTGTTTTATGGTAATAATAATATTAATTCTTGTTAAACTTCGTCTGTATCTACTTTCCTTTACAAAGTAGTATCATTTTATTTCATTAATTAATTAATTTATTTATTTTTAGCCTCGTTTTCAGTCTTAAGTTCCTCTATTTTATTTTTTAAAGCCTCTATTTATTATTAATCTAGTTATATTTAATTCTATTTTAAAGTTAATAAATTTTCCAAAGTATTAATTTAACTAATTTACTTTTTGATGAGTTCCTTATTCTTTAAAAATTAATTCTGTAAGTCTTTTTATTAAATATATTGGTCTTATATAACCACCCTCATTTATTCATCTTTTTCATCTAATTTAGCCTTTAATTCTTAAATTTGTTATTATTATGATGCAATTTATTATAAATTCTAGTCTTGATTCCTAATTTGATTAAAATATATTACATTTATTTACTTTAATTGATTGATAATAATATTTCTTCAGTTTAACATATTTAGTCAACTAACTTAGATTATGAAGGTGTAAAAACAGATTTAGATTGTGACTGTTGTTCTTTAGCTTATTATATAGATAGTTTATAATTACCTTAAATAGTCTTCCCATATGATGAATGTATTGATTTTTATGTAAAATCAATGTTGTAATATACTGAAGATCCTTTTAGTTGTTTTTATAAATATAAATTTAAATTACCTGAGAAGGGTTAATTTTTTGTAAAATAGATTTCAATTTTCCCATTACCATAATTGTTAATAATATATTAATGTAAATCAACAATAAGTGTATTTTTGGTACATGTAAAAATAGTTGGAATTTAGGGCTATGCTATATTTATGAGATTGATCTTTTATTCTTCCATTTTGATATAACTTATTTTGTTTATAATAAATATTTAATCAAAACTCTTACTATTATCATAAAATCCCTTTTCTAAAAATTAAATGTAACTAAAACAATAAATTAGATGTTGTTAAAACAGGATTTAAAAATTTTGAAACCTTAAATAAGATTAGGAATTGTTTAGATTATTTATATCAAAAGAAAAATAATATAAATTAATTTAAATACTGAATACTATTATAATATTAATTTCTATTAACTTATTTTCTGTTTTCAATTAATTTAATTATAAATTACATACAATATAAGGTTTGAATATTCTAATAAATGATAATAATATATGATAATCCTTGTATATTAGTTAGATTATTGAAAAATTTGAAGAATTATTAATTAATAGAATTTAAGTGATAAAAAATTATTAAAAATAAATAAGAGTTAGAGAAATGATTATATAATTGAGTTAACTATAGAAATTATTGTGAAAGTTTATAAAATAAGATGATTATTTTTTATATATTAAGAATTAAAAAAGATGTATAATTAAATATAATTATTATAATAATATTAGTTGAAATAACAACTCATAATTAATCATTCAATAATTAAAATCGTTATTACTGATTTTGCAAAAGTATCTATTCTAATTATTCAAGTCTTGTTGACTGATTACTCATCATTCCTATTTAGATTAACATAATTATAATCATTATTGTAATTAACAATACAAAACAAGCTTCTTTTTGTATAACAATTGAAGGTAATCCACTTTTTTCTTTTTAATTTGAAAGATCAGAATTTGAATTTTTAAGAATTTTACTAAATATATTTTCATTATCTAATTTCATTGATCTAAAGAATTATTAATAAATTTATACTCTTCATATTCATGAGTTGAATAAGAAACTGATAATTTAGATTATTTTGCTTAAGCTTCTAATCTAATTTTCACATTATTAATCCATTTTTCATAATCCTCTTTATATCCTGCCATAGTTCTACTTATAATAGTATTTTTCATTATAGTAGATTTAGTAAATACAACTGACACAAATACTCTAAGTAGACATTTATTATCTTCTGGTTAAGTAACTTCCCATTTTTCTTCAGCTTAAAAGCAATTTCCATATGGCACATCTAAAGTATGTGTTGTACAAGTATATATTAATTTTTGCTGATCTCTTTTGTAAGTGAATAATTTATGCATTCTTGTTTTATCTTTAAAGGGTACTCCAGTAAGTTTCATAACATGTTTCATTTCTCTTTAATACATATCTTAAATATCTTCATTAACTGTCCATTTGGTTATATTCATATCAGTGTCTTTTTCATTTTAACGATGATCATATACTGAATACAAAGAAGCATTATCAGCTATGAAAAAATCAAAGAATTTATCTAATGAAAAAGGGAATGTGAATTTGCATATTTCTTAATCAGTTGAAGATTCTGATTTCAAAAATTAAATTTCAACATCAGTATTATCTATTATTGATTAATCATTATTAGATGATTCAGTATTTACTTATGAATCACTAAAAGTACTTAATGGTTAACCTTATAATAATGAATTCATAAAATTGAATACATGATCTTTATTTTAAAAACTAGTAAAACAATAAACCTTATTATTATTTAAAGTAATTTCAATATCATTTTTATTCTTACTTTCTATTCTTTATATATCATTAACTTTGAAAACCAAATTGATCTTACTGCCAGCCAAATTGGCATAAAAGCAAATGTGATTTTCGGCTATAAAAATCCTACCATACTTTGAGATTAAGCTTTTTAAAGCACAAGAATAGTCTTGGAATATGATTTCTCCTTTAGGCAAGGCAAAAAGTTGAATTAACAATTCTTTAGCTGACATTTAATAATATTATTTAAATAGATATATTTATTTTACATTATCATTTTTTCTATAATTGTGTATTGATAACATGTGCCAATTTTACTATTTCACTTAGATAAGTTGGTGATATATGAGCTGCATTAATATCATAATTTTCTAGTTTATTTCTCATATTAACTAAATCATGAAAGGGTATCATCTCAGTAATATCATTATTTGAGTTATATCTTTTTATTTATTAAATTTCATTGCGATCAGTTTATGCTCTTGGAGATTAATAAAATCCTTAAAAGTGTGTAACAACAGATTTAGGACTACTTATGGGATGTCCAAAATTATTATTAACAAATTGCTAAGGTGATGTTGTTATTGATTTAATTCTGAAATAAAATTTATTTTTACTTTTATTGCATTCCATTAAGAGTTACAGGTGATGATAAATTTTTTGGAGAGCAAACACGTGAATCTGTTTTTAGTTTATTACTGCTATGATTCTATAATCTACTTGATATGGAATCGAGAGTTGGAGCACTACAATTCCATTAAGAATTACTTTTTTTTGAATGATTTTCGTTGACTGCTTAATAAATTGTCTTATCCTATAATTGAATTTGAATTATTTCTCGAATACTTATCAGTTAGTCTTTCTCTATAGAGTTTTAAATTAAAATTTAGTTAGTCACTCATATAAGTTAATAAACAAATAATTTTAATAAATAAACAAATATATCAACAAAAAAGAGAAAATAACATCTTAGAATATTCCTATTGTCATTTTTGTCTTATGAATATTATTATTCAATATACATATGTTTTTCATTTATTTATATTACAAATAATATGATAAATATATATTGAATTAAATAAAAAAATATAATATTAAAGAGGTAAGTATAAATAATATTTGAATATCTTTTCAAAGATTTTAGTAGAATAATTTATAGATTTTAATAATTAATAATCATCTCCAAAGTATAGCATTTCCTCCCTAATCAGCTGTTATCATAAATCCATTTGCTTTGAGGTAAGCAAATGAAACTATTCCATATTCATGTTTCTCTATTTTAGTAAGGACCTTGGCTTATTATATTAAAGTTAAACTTATTGATTTATCGTTGCTTACGCTAGCTATAAATCCTGGTTATAACCTAATGTATTATGAAGCAATACATAGAAATTTTAGTAATTTTATCTTCATGTAAATTAAGCTATTTCATAATAACAGCCCTTCCATTTTACCATTAAAATATTTTAGCTATTCCCTTTTCATTTCCTGTAATGAATTTCTATTAAATTGATTATTTCTTTTTAGAAATTAATTAATCTATAGGTGAGACAGCATAAACAAGACAATCATCATTTATATATTAAAAAGGATTAATATTTGAAAATGGTAATGATAATGATACAGTTTTATCATTATTTGCAGAAACTAGAATACATCCATTTAATAAAGTGAAATCTAATACTTATTGTCCTTATTTTAAGATTTATTCTTCAACAATTTTTAAATTAGTATCTAATTTCCATAATTTAATAATTCCATCATCAGAACAGGATAGTATTTATTCATCAATATCTAAAAATATACTATTCATGCTTCCAGTCTATGATACTTGACTACTTAACTAAGCAGTTGTTGTACTATTAGTAAAGAAGTTTTATGAGAATTGAGGATTAACATGTAAATATTTTATTTTTCTAATAGAATTATTATGAGCTTATGATACAATAAATGTTGGTTTTAATGTTTTCAAATCCCAACTACATAATGAATTACCTGTTTATGGAGAATATCCACTAGATAGTAATACTGATTATCCATTAAATTAAAAAGCTCTTAAAGAAAATACAAATATTCCATGTTTTAAAATTTGAGTTTATTTTTTTAAATTAACATTATAAATTATAATAGTTCCATCAATAATTGCAATAGCTGCTAAATTATCATTAATAAAACAAACATCTATTATATTTTTATCAGATGGTTTAAAAAAGTGAAAAGGTTCCCATTCACTCAAACTCTTACCATCTTATTTAATTTTATATATGCTTTCTTCTAAACAAAATGGTTCATTATTTAATAATTGATATTATTTTTATATGGCTTCAATTTCACCATGTTATTTATACAAATCCATTAGATTTTATATCTTCTCCAAAAACAATTAACTAATACTAACAAGTTTATGTTATAATTTATCAGCCTTTTTTGGTAACACTTATTCAGTTTTAACAATTGCACTTAACATATTATCTATTAATTATTTATTATTAATGAATTTTATTCCTAAAATAACAGCAGGATTATTTGATGCTATTTTTCTAAAATAGTAATTTTAATAATATACTATACAGTCATCATATGAATAAATTGATCAAAGTATTCTTTTGTAAATTATCCCCTCAATTCTTTAGGTGTAGATTCCTCTATTAAATGATATTTAACAAACATTTCTTTAACAGATAGAGAATATTCTGATAATAAATTTTTAACATTTTCTCCAGCTGTACTAAATAACTTTTCAATTCCTTTATGTATACTTAAATCATCCCAAGGTATAGCCAATTATTCAATAATTTCCTTATTCAATATTCTACTTAATCTTGCACTAAATTCACTCATCTTCATTCTATCTACACATTTTGTATCTATTAAACAATCTGCACACATTTTTCTATCTTTATGTTGGCAATCCTATTTTACACAAATAGCTAACACCTTACTATTTTTATATCTATTTTACTTCCTAATTATGTGCTAAACATTTAAAGTTCACCTTCTATTATTATTAACTTTATTAATTATTTATCTATTAAGATTCCTTTGGAGAAATAATGTTTGATTTATCTTCATTCTATTTAATTCTACTTTGTATATTAGATTAATCTTTATTCTAAACAATCCTCTTACTCATTAATTATGGTTTCTAATCCTCATCTAATAAATATTCCATAGGAGTAGTTAATAAATGAAATAGAAACTATAATAATAATTATTATTACTTCTATTGCTGTCATATATTTACTTACTACTTAATTAAACTTAAATACAAAGTCATTTGAAAATTCTGTTATTTTATTTTTCTTTCTCTCTATTTATTCACACATTGTTTCTACTACTCCACGATTCTAAATTAAATAAATTGCAAAATCTAAAGTCTCTGGATGAGCTTCATTTGCCTTATCTAAAATTGTCATAATATAATTATTTATGTACTCTCTAAAATAAGCTCAAGTTAATGTATTGTTTACTCTTTCAATTTAAATGGAAGTCTCTATGAGGCCCAATAATAATTAGTAATTAAAATTGGAACATATTGTTATCCAATCGAAGACAATTTTGTTAAGACCATTTCAATCACAGCTGTAATTTATCTATTCAAATCAGACTTAACTTAATTCTTCTCATCAAATAATTCCATAAATGCTTCTTATGCATCCTTTGATAAACAACTTCTTAAATGTCTGAGATAATCTGAAATTCGAAGTTTCTTACTACAAGAATAATCTATCAAGCATTCTACACATAAAATTTTATTATTGTGTGAACAATCTTCACACATACAAACAGCTTTGATTGGTTCATCAGAATGAACTTGACAATTATAATTATCAACTTATTATGGTTTTGGAGTTCGAACTTATTATTATTGTTATATTCTTTGTGTTTAAGGTGCACTTTCACTAATTTCTATTTTTTTAGGAGTTCTATCATTCTGTTTGCCTCTTGTTGTTTTTTTCTTAGGTTCCTAACATAAAACAGCGTTTCCCATTATATTAATTTAATTTATATTTTAATATCATAATACTTTATATCAACTATTATTCATATTTTACTCTCTCTTCCATCTACACTTAATAATAAAATAAAATTAAATATTGTCATATTTTTAAAACCAACAAAGATTTTGTATTCTTTAATTCAAAAATAATTTAATCAGCTAATTGATAATTTAAATTTTAATATCTTTAATATTTATTAAAATAATAGAATCTAATATCTTAAATAATAAATCATAAAAATTCTGATAGATATTAATTATAAAAAAGAACTAATATGAAATATTATGAAAGTAAATTTGAAATATTTATATTTATTATTTATAATTATTAAGTTTAAAGTAATTTATTTTCTTAAATAGATATTAATAAATTAAGAATTATTTACATTTACTAAAGTGACTCGTTTTATATTATCATCATATATTGAAAATTATTATGAAACTTTATCTACTATATGTACTTAAATAGAACCATCTGATATCAACACTTATTAAAGATTTTATGACTCAAACTCCCCTCCATTCAGATTATAATTTATTAATCAAATTTCAAATCATTTATTAAACTTAAATCATTTGTATTAATAACATTTCTTATTAGATTTTAATAAATCTTACATTTTTCTTTTCAAACCTTTTTATTTGATTGATTTTATTATTTATTATATCTCACTCTTTGCCATATTAATATGATGGCAATTTATAATTAAAAATCAAATTATTTATATTTTGAATTTGACTTTTTAGTAATATAAGTAATTATACTATTTTATTTTCTATATGTAAAACTTAATTAAACAAATTAATGATAAAAAATTTATACTATAATTTAACATATTCATTTGTATTTATTTTTTAAATAATCATTTTATATAAAAAAATACTTTATATTCTAAATATATTATTATTAGAATGTAAAAATAAATTAAAAATTACTTTAGAATTGAATTATTTTCTAAAATATTGTTATTAATCTTTTTAATGAATTTAATAAAATGATTTTTATCAAACAAAATTTATTAACAGATACAACTTAAAATATTAAGATTTTAAACATAACAAAACATATTTTGAATACTATTATTAAATTAATCTGTTGTAATTATGTAATAATAATCAATATTTGTCTAATTATTTTATTCTGAGAGATATTTATTTAATTAATACCTTACTATTACAATAAATTATTCATTGATAATAGGTGTTCTACAAATTGAAAGATTCTATTAAGTATATCATAAATAAAATTTGCTTTTTCATCAGTTTATATATATTAAATTGATATTATAGCCTTTAAAATATTTAAATCTATAAAATCTGCACTTCTATTATACTTTTTATTCCATCATTATTCTTATTCTTCAAATATATATGCTATGTAAAATAAAAGCAAAATTTATTAAAAATACTTTTGATCTTTTTCATATATAAAATATCTCATTATTGTCTTTTGAGAATGATAAGTAAAAATAATTCTTAAAAATGATTAGATTGAAACTATTATTTTATATTGATAAGAATGAAATTTTGATAATGATGCTTTTTGCTATAAATATAATCAATGTTTAAACATTTTCCCAAGAATGTCACTTATTTTCCCTTCAAAATCACAACTAGGTTCTAGTACCATTTTATGGAAAGAGTCTACCCATGTACTACCTCCTTAGTATGCCTTTGTATATTAATTGAAAATCAAACCTAAAATGGAGTTCCGAAACAATGAACACATCCTACAATACATAATACACAATTCACAAGTTCAAATCCACAAAAAGCCATAAATAAGACAAACAAAACTTTCCAAAGTGTACTTCCAATGCTTTTAAAGACTATATAATATGAAATATAACTGTTACTTTTTGATGTGATATCACATGTTCTAGCACAATTATGCAAAAAAGAGTAGTAACTGAACCATTATGGGCAACAAAGAATGCACATCACAATTTTGATAGGCTAAATGAAATATTCAAAAGTGATACATCTGCCATTGAATATTAGTTTTATAAAGATTTTATTATTTGTTAATTTTTTTGTTTTTTACCAATTAAATACTATTTATTTGTATAAATTTATAATGGGGGAAGCTTAAAATTTCAGTAATATGATTTTTAACAACTCATGTTTAAAAAACAAAACTAGAATGAATAGATGAAATTCATCAATCACATTAAGAAGCCATGTCTTTAGATTCAAGTATTTCATCATTTTTAACTTCTGTAAATTTTTTGGAAACAGAAACAATGCCTTTTTATTTCATACCTAATTATTTTAATATTTTGTCAGTTGCATATACTAGAGGAGTGAAATTATGTTGATTTACAATATTTAAGCTTCCACCATTATTTAATAACAAGTATATTACCTAAGAGATATAAATCAAAATATATTACATCTATTTTATTTGATTTGACAGCCATATGCATAGGAGTTCCATCACTGCATAATACATTAGGATTAGCTCCATGTTTTAACATAAAATCTATTAAAATATTATTTCCATGCATAGATGCATAATACAAAGCTGTATTTCCATCTTAATCCATAACATCTATATCATCTTATGTATAATAGAATCCTGATTTTATGATATGATTTGGTTAATTCAATTTTGTATATCTAAGAAGTCTTTCATGTTTAACAAGAAGAACTTTGACTTTAGATAAATTTTAAGTTGTTACTAATCTACCTTATCTACCAAATCCAATTGAAGATGGTTCAGCAGTCTCTTCAGTTTTTAATTTAGTTCTCATAGATTTAGTTAAAGATATTTCTGATTAAGCTCTATTAATTGAAGTTTTGATTCTGATTTAAGGTTTATTAATTAATTATATTGTTATTTCTTTAATATTTGATTGGAATTCCTTTTCTGAATTAAGTCTTGATAACTTTTCTTAATAAATTCGAAGTTTTTTTTGAAAAAATAATTCTTTATAGTTTTTTAATTTTTTATAAGCAATTCTTTTTCGGATAGCTCTTTAAATCATTATAATTGAATTTAATTCTTTATCTGTCAATTTAGGAGGTTCATTTGGATTTTATAGATCAAAAATTGGATCTTATCTTAATGCTTTATTAGGTCCTGATGAATAAAATTTTTTAAAGTTTTCTTTTGTATTCTTATCTATAGATAATACTCCTAATCTATATTCATTTTCTTTTTATTTTTATATCTTAATTCTTTCAGCTAATTTTTAACCTTCTAAACTATCCCAATCATCAGCGGTCATCCCATGAGTAGGAACAAATCCTACTTTAGAAGATGGATGATATTTCCTCCGTTTATCTTCTTCATGATTATATGGTAATGATAGTGTTTTTAATCTTTCTTTATGCACTCTTAATTTTTCTTATTCTGCTAGTGTTTCCTTTACAAATATATTGCTTTTTTCCATTTTAATAAATCGTAGATATTCAACTTTCTATATTATTTTTCTAACAAATATTAAAGCAAAGAAGTTTCTATAGACTTAATCTTTTATAGAGATATTCTATTCTAATTTTTTGCAAATTCTTTAAAGTTTTTTGACTTTTTTATCATGTTCCTTTAGTATTTTGTTATGTTTCATTGATTCTTAGAGTTATTTATCATGTTATTTAATTTATGCTTTTTTTTTAGTTATTTATTCTTTTAACCAATATGATCTAGCTTATTAAATTTAACAATTAAGTGACTAATGATTTTAAATAATTTATTAAGCTAAGTAATTTTCTAAATCATAGATTTATTTTTCTTTGATATGCATAACTACTTTTTTGACTTATTTTTAATCAACACATTTATTCAGTAATTCTGATGTATTTGCAAGAAATTTCATTTCCTATGGTGTTAACCAATCTCCATTCATATATTTTTACATTTTAACTTCTCTTTATAAATATACAGGATCATCAATTTTTACTTAATCAAAAATTTACATAAAGGCTACTTGATTGAAATTGCTTGAATTAATTGCTGAATTATATGTATACTAAGCTTTTAATCTTTCTTTTTAAAATTTGGCTTCCAATATTGGATTCCATTATAATAAATCTTGATTGTTTTGTTATTAGAAATTATTATTTTTAAGAATTTATGAAGTTTAAATAGTTTCTATACCTTTTAAGTTAACTTTTTTATTTTAACTAATGGCTTCAGCAATTTTAATTTGATTTTCATATTCATTTATTTTTTCCATAAGCATTTCTCTTAGTTTTTTTTGAAGTACCTAATACTTACTTTTTAATGTTAACCATTTAAATAAATCATTTTATTATTTACGATTTTTCATTCTTGTAAGTGTAAATTACTTATCTATCAATTATAATTATTTATCCTTCTTTGCTATTTTGAGAATCCATTCATTCATCAATGAATCACATTTCTATTAAAAACTATTAATTAAATAAGTTTATCGTTCTTCAGCTGTCTTCATATTACATAAAGTAACAGCTGACACATTAAATGATTATAAAATCTTTTATGCTGTTCCAAAATGATCATACATAGGTATTTGATTCTAAAATTTGTGTTTTAAAGTATCAATAATTAAACTAGACATAAGTGAATTTTATAAAAACTAAATTACATTATTAAGTATACATCTCCATATCTATTGACTAAAAAGTTTACATCATTTGTTAAAGTTTATGTAGATACTGATTATTTTACTTCTTATTTATGAAAATATCGATCAACAAAAAATTTGTAAAATTCTTCATTTTTTTAACTAATTTTCTTTTCTGGTTTTAAATCTAATTCAATAATCTCATCTGCTCTAGATTGATTTTCTCCATCATATGAAGATTATTCAATCATTTGACTATCCTTTATAGTTTTCTTTTTGAATTGATTAAATGCCAATCTTCTTTATTTACCTTTCTCAACTGTTACTAATTTTATTGTTTCATTTTAAGCTTCATTCAAAAATTCACTGAATTTCTATTCTATTTATTCTTCAGTTTCTAAATCAAATGATTATAAAGGTCTTTGTGTTATAGGAAATCTTGATTATTGTTATACTCTTTATTTTTTCATAATTTAATAATAAACATCAATTGTGTCTCTTTACAATGTCTTTCACTTTAGAATCTGATTTTTTGAAATAAGTACATTGAATTCTTTAAGATAATGTTCTTATTTTTAGATTATCTGGAGATTTATATCTACTAGTTAAAGCAGCTAATTTATTCACAGGTTTCTTATCAATTCCTTCTGATGAATTTAATAGACTTGAAGCTCCAATTTAACTTATTCTAGAGACTCGTGGATAATAAAACTTTTTTGTATCAAATTATATTTGTTATTGCTAGTTTTGTATATTGGGTTCAGTTTTCAATCTTTATACAATCAAAGGAGTTTATATTTCTTTAGGTTCTAAAATTTTCAATGCTTATATCTTCGAAGTAAAATCAGAGAGAGTTTAAGGAGATGATTAAAACACTTATTATTATTTTTTGATTGGTTGAGAATTTACTAACTTTGATAATACACTTTTCACATGTACCATTTAAAGGATATGAGTAATTGGCTTAAATTTTGTTCTTGCTTTACTTAAATTAATAGGAGTATGTCTTAAAATATGAATTATATTTACATAGATGGATTTCCACTTGAGCGAAGAAGTGTTTCCACATTATTTGGAGTTTTATCTAATTCCAAATGCTTAATTTTGATAATCTTTTCAAGTGGAAAATGATCATTATCTTATTTTGAGAGTAATTTCTTATGAATTTTACCTCCACAATCTGTGCAATGACAACTTTAATTGAGAACTTTATCTTCAGAGACAATTTATTTCTTTTCACTAAAGGATAAACTTGGTTTCATTTTAGTATAAGTTCTTGAGAAAGAGTATACTTTATATTAGCTTCCATGTTTGTAAGTTCTTTTGCGAAGTGGCTAATTAGGTCTGGAATGATAATACGATGTTAATGATTATATATCAAATATATTCATAATTATTGTAAAATGTTTTTAATAGCATCAAGATCAGATAATTAATATTTCAATTCATCAGATGTAAATTTACATTTCACCTTTTTTATTTTTACTTTAAAGTTCATTTATTCTTAGATTACTTCTCGTATATCAAAAACATTGTAATTCTTTAATTGAATTATTTCTTCCTCTAAATCTACATTTAATTGAAAATTCATTTTATATTTAATTTCATTAACTTTCCTTATTAAATCTTGCATATCAATTTCTAAATCAATTGGATTTTATTTTAACAAAACCATCAATCCTATTAAAATTAATTATTAATTTAAAGCTAAAGATTCAACACATCCTTTCATATCAGAATCAAATCTATTTAAATTTATATCTTGATTTTCATTCAAACCTTCTTCAGCATTTCTAATTATTTTATTCAAAATTTCTTAAATTTATCTCATATCTCCCCCTTTTTAATTGTAGGTTTTAGATATTATTAATTTAACAGCATTCTAATCAAATTACCTTTAACATATAATTATAACAATTACGTTTATTCAGTTGTTTTAAGAATATCTTTTACTAATTCTTATACTTAATTCAAAGTATAAGGCTCAAATATAATATTCTAATAGGGAGGTACTTTTATTTATTATTTATTTGATTGCATATCTAAAAATCCAATATTATTACAAATTCCTATAAGATGAGTATATTTAGATAATTAAAATATTTATGAAGTTTCAACTTAATTTCCATTAAATAAATTTTCAAATTCATCAAAAATTATAATCCTAAATTATCATAAAATTTGATATTACTGTTTGATTGATGTTTATTTTTGTAATTTCTTTATGAAATCTTCATGAGTATTAATATATCGTAATTATAATTGTTTTGATAAATATTAAATAACGTCTTTATAATTTTAAAATCCCATAGCATTTGTATATATAATTTTGTACTTCTTTATTCTCCATTATTTAGTACATTAATGAATCAAAGTAGTTTTACCTGTTCCTTGTTATCCTGTCAAAAGTAATATTTTATATTCATCATTAGAATTTATGAATTTTTAAATTAAATGTTGCTCTTATTCTCTGAATTTTATTTGTTGAGGTTTTTAAATAGTATTGTTTACTTAATTATCAATTGATTAGTATTGTTTTGGCTATTTTTTTTAATTCTTTTTCTTTTAACTCTTTTTAGGTTGTTTATTTGGCATATAATTATATTAAAATGGGCGCTAAATTCATAAATTTGATGATTTAAACATAATTAATAATTAAATATCCCTTTTTTTATTTGTTTCAATATTTTTAAAGCTAAATATTTTGAATTTTATGTAATTGAGTTTATTAATATTACTTAAATTTTATTATTATTTATTACTCAAGTAAAATTATTTTTAATAAAGCAGATATTATTTATTATCTATTAGTTTAATTATAATAGATTGATATAGTTAAATTTAAGGATATAAATAATGAATGTTATTAATAAAGAGATTTGAATTAGTTTATACTTTATTAGAGTACTTATTTATAAATTATCATATAATTATTAATGTGATATAGACTATAAAGTCATTTAAGACACTCTTTAGATATAAGATTGGTATATGCTTAAGTACCTGGTTATCCTTCATCCATGATTTTGACATATAGATTTTCTTTACTGAGTTCGAATTAGGATTCTAATTTATCTCTTAACAATTCTTCAACTTATTTAGATTGATTAAGAATGGATTTGGTATTATTCTTCATAAGTGTTTTACCAAATTAGGACAATCTATATAATTTACTCTTGATATAAGCATATTGTAATTCAAAATGATCTTCTAACATTTTATAATTTCTCTTGATTCTATCAGGAGTCACACTTAAAATTTATGGATTATAATTGACTTCTAAGACCCAAACATCTAGATTATCATCAAGTAGAAAATCAACAGCAAAAAATTCACCAAATCTAGTTTAAGAAATACTTAGTACGTGCTATCTCTAGCAAATGAATGATAAGTAGCTTTGGTCATATGAATTAAAGACCTATGAATCTTAGGATATAGATATGATTGTAGCCATCCTTTTTTAGCTCTTCCTTATTTGATTAATAAATCTTCCAAACCTTCTAAATACCAATCAATAAAGAATTCTTCATCTTCAATTTCTTGATCATCTTTGTCAGTTTTCACTAAATTTTTCACAATTGCTGTATTACAAACATGAGCTCCTTTTTCTGTAGAATGGACACTAAATGGTTTTGCACATCTTTTAATCAAAGCTCTTATGTTAAAATAGTAATTACCTTGAATATGAATATGCAATGACTGGTTTAGTTGATATAATTGTATAATAGATTCTAAATTCAATTTTATGTCCTTTATATAAGAATGGATTAGAAATATATCTTTAAGCAATTACTTATTTTGAAATATTTCCACATTCTTATCCATAATTATATTCTTCTAATATATCCTTAGTTTCTTTCTCAAATAAAACAGTAATTCCTTCTCCTCTATGTTGATTAGTTTTTAATATATATTATGGCCCATATTTTTTGAATTTCTTTTAATAATCATCTGTTTTAAATGTTTCAAAGAATGCTTTGCAATCATCCTCATCATTTAATCGATATGTCTCAGGAATAAATGAAGCATTCCTTTTACATTCTGGATTAGTAATATTTTTCTTTTCAAAATCTCTTATATATTTCATAAAATTGTCAATCAATTAGTTTTTCATTGCTACAGAACTTTTTCCTGGAATATGACTATATTTTTATAATACACAACCTAATCCCTTACCCCAAACATAGTTGTTATATAAAGATGACACAGTTGTATAAATAAATCCAAGTTAAAGTGGTAATTAATTCTCATATTTATAAGAAGCAGTCTTTGATGGACTTACTTTATCCAATACTGCATATGTTTTATCTAAAGTTATCTTTTTTGGTAAATTTGTTGGTGGATAGTCTCTCCATACATAATAATCTTGTAATACTATATCTGGATGAACCATTTTGTATGAGTCACTCTTTTTACAATACACAGGAGATTCAGCAACATTATAACGAGATTACTAATTATTTATAAATCATCATTTACATTATATTCAGGCTTAAATGCTGAATTTTTGACAAATGTCTGTTTTCTTATTTAGTATACTTCCCCAAAGATATTCTCCCAAAAGTTTCTGACTTATTATTCCTAATTTTGTAACGCTTTTGAATTTGAATACAATAACAATATAATCAATGGTGCTAATATTCCTTTTATTATTAAAGCAATCACCATTAATTTAATTAATTTCTTATTTGTTTTAGAATTATTCTAAAAACGAATACAAATTCATATTTTTCTTTTATTCACCTTTCTTCTATATTCATATGTATTATTATAATTCTTGATCTAAAAATTAAATTTCAATCAAAGATATTTCAATAATTAATTAAATTAATGGACTCAAACTATTTTGAAGATGAGTAATTCAATAACAATACATGGGATGAATACTCTGACAATATGGTTTGCCCATCACCTCTCTTGCTTGGGCATCCTTAAATTAAAAAATTTAAAGATGAAGACGAACTCTCACTCATCCATCTTTAATATCATACTGATACTTTAGATGATGAATACAGTCAACTAAACTAACCTTCTTAAACTAAATAACCTCTTATCAAAAAGAAACTTCACAAAAATCAAAAGAAAACTTCCTTTAAAAAACATTAGAATACCCCTTCAGTGAAAAAAGTACTTAATGATTTCTCTACTTATCCTAAACTTTCAGGAGATAACACTACTCAATAAATTCATTATTGTTAATAAATGTAGATACTTATTGACAATCTTGAAGGAATCCTGTCCACAATCAAATCATAAATTCTAAACCAATACAAAAAGTAGATAAATTAGAAAAATTGATCTTTTTCATTTTTTTAATCAATTTATTAATCTTTCTATTGATAAATAAATATATATAAAGTTCTTCCTCATATAATATATCAGTAATAATATGAAAACTTAATATATATTATATATAATAATTGTATATAAAAATTTATATAAACATACAAATTTTATGTATTCATCTACAATTAATACAAATAAAACAAATAAATGCAATAAAGAGGTGATTTATAAATTTTCTGGAAATTTTACTAAAGAATATTAATATTTAAATTTTTACTTTGAAAATAAATGGAATATATATTTATAATTAATTAATTTATAATTAAAAATTCTTTTTTTAATTATTTTCAATTTATCAAATGGAAATTTGCAAACAAAAAGTCATTACTTCTATTTATAAAAACTAATTATTAATAAGTCAATATTTATAAATATCTGTCATAAAATTCAATTATTCTTTTTGTTAAAATCGAATAAATTTTGTTTATAAATAAATAATGACGTCATAATATTACTTAATTACACGTTTATAAACATTAAATCGGAAAGAGACTTAAAAATTAATGGTATTTTGTAAAACTTATCTACATAATTTTATGTAAATCACTACCATATTAATTTAACAGATAATCTTGAATTACAAAAAATAATTTCTTTTCAATTAAATTGCTAATCAAACCTTTATTTTAAAAAATATAATGATGATATCATAATTTAAAACTTTAAAAGTTATTTCAAGAGCTTTAATTAAATATCTTTAGAAATAATAATTTATATAGTTTAATAAACCATCTTTCATGGAAATAAGTTCTTTCCTTTATGACAATTTACCTCAACCTTAAGAAAATCATGAATAAATTTCAGATGATTGTCATCTATACATATCTAAATCGAATTACAATAAATCAATATTTAGAATTTAAAGTCCAGACCCATCAATTCAAGAAGACTGTTTCTCTAATGGAAACGATTAATCATTCGAAATTAAATTAGGAGAATTTCAATTTCTTATTGATGAAAAGAATGCAATTAATGAAGAATAATATAAAGGTCCTACCAAAAAAGCACAAAAGACTAAGAAACTATACAATAAGAGAAAATTGAAAAATGGACCACTATCAGAAACAGAATTTATAGACATTATGAAAAAACTAGAACAATGTCAGTAGGTGATGAATATGATAGATAATATGACCATTATTTTAGATAAATTTAGATGCTAGTTGTAACAATAGAAAATCAAAAGGATTTAACGATGAATTCTATTTTATATATTCAACATCATCAATAATTTTGCTGTCTTTTAAGACAGTTTATTCACATATATAAATAATCTAATTGTACAATTAATTATAATGATATATCAAATAAACATGAAAATAATTGTTAAGAAACCATAAAGAATTATGGAAACTATAAATAAATTTATTGGGGAAGCAAACTTCCTTGGCCATTATGTTTATGGAAATTCATTTTAGGGTAATCCCTTTAATTTATCTAATCCTAAACTCAAATACCACATAATAATAAAAAAAACATAAATTTCGAAATCTCTTAAGGGAGCCTTCCATTCATTAATCACACTAATAAATTAAGTTATATGCTTACATTTTTGATCTTGATAATCTGCCAAGGCTTTTTTATGGACTCATATTTTTCATTGGAATTACATTAATTTTTGCTGTTTAAACATGAAACTCTTAACCCAAATATTCTACTATTCTATCATTTTTAATATTTTTTCTTTATTAATAAGACACTAATAATTAAATTATCTAAAGAACATAGCTTTGAATATTTTCATTTTATTTTATTAAGAATTCTTCTTCATTATTGTTTTTAACATAAATATCACAAAAATTCTTAACTTCTGAATAGGATGGTATTTGATAAGGTTTTTAGTTAAGAAATTTTAATGAATCACAAAAGAATGAATTTTAATCATTAGAATATAAAAACGTTAAAAAATGAATTAATCCTTAATATTCTGTATCATTAACATAATTTAAATTATTTAAACATTAAAAAATAGTAATTAGCAATTTTGTGTAAAAAGGATAATAGAGTCTTATTGAATTTTTCATATAATTTCTTTAAGGATCTAATTCTCTAATCTGATTGTCGATTTGATATTCAAACTAACTAAATCTTTATTCAATCATATGTGGTTTGAAGTTTTTAAATAAAATTGCTTAAGGACATTCTCCAAATTTATTTTAAAAGATTTAATAAATAGGATGTAATTCATTTATTATAAATTTAGTCAAAAGATTGTTAGTTTTATAAGTAATATCCTTCTTTTTTTAAATTTGACTCATAATTTAATTAGATGATACAACACAAGATGAACAAGCTTAATCAAAAATTAAAACTTAATTATAAATGTTTGATTCATATTTAACAAATTGCCATCTTAAAAATAAAACATATGCTGCTAAATGTGAATATATTGTAATTTGATTGCATTACCTTTCATTAGGATAAACCTCAAAAGATTATTAAAAAAACTTATATAAACCTTGTTAATATGTTATTGTTTACTTTTATCTTCCACATTCAAAAAAAAAACTTCTGTTTTAATAGATGAATTAATTATTTTTATTGAAAATATCAGAATTTTTCAAAAATGGCTTAAACTATTAATACATTGTTTCTAAGTCAGTTCCGTATAAAGAATTAAAAAATATTGTTAAATAAATTAACATCATTTAAGTATCCAAGATTATACTACTTGGTTTAATTTTATACAATAATTTCTATTATTCTATTGTTAAATTTAATTCAAATAATTTAGTAACATATAAATGTTCATATAATGAATATTCTTATAATAGTATAATCATTTATTGAAAAGTGAAGATTGTTAATTGTTTGTTTGTATTACTTAACATTTAATTATTTTCTTTTATTTTTGTATACATGTATTCTAAAATTCTTCTAACTAAGACTAGATATGGATTAAAAGTAAGTTATTTTAATAAAGGATCTTTTGTATTCATTTTCCTTTTGCATTTATTGAAAGCACAATCTAATAATTGTTGACTATTATCTGTTGCATATAAGGCACTATCCTTAAAATTAATTGCACCATTTAATAAATAAATCCAAAACATCATTTTTGAACTTACACAAAATTTTAGTTAATTTTTTTCAATTAAAATATTCTCTTAAAATATTTCTTAAAATGCTTAAAATTATTAATTCATTTGAGCAATTGATGGGTCTTTAAAATATAATTATATGTGTGCAGGTAATACATCTAATTAAACAGAGTGATAAGGATATTCAGAAGGTAAAGCTTAATAAAATGACATTTCTTCTGGGGAAAGTATATGCAATAATTTTATAATTAAAAGTGTATCTTCAATTGATGAAAATCTTTATTGAGTAGTACGAAAGCAATTATTCAAAATACCATTTTATTTGAATATAAGTTCATATAAATTTTGTTATGATCTAAAAAATTCTTAACCATATGAATATTCTTTTTATTTTATAAGTTCGTAACTTACATTCTATAACCAAGATAGAAATTCGTTGCTAGTTGCCTTTTATGCATATTTTAGTTCATCTTCAAATTTGTTCATAATTATTTATGTAATAAAATTAATTCCTAAAAACTTAATAAAACTTACCTTTTAGTTTCTGAACATATTTCTACTTAATATGCTAAATTTATTGAATAAACTAAATCTATAAAATTATAAATTAAAACAAAAATAAGTATTAGACTAGAATTTATAATAAGTTAATTGGAATTAAAAGATTGTTTTAGAATTGAATTTGAAATATCCATAATCAACTTAAAAAATAACATTCATTTTTGAGAGTGACATCCATTATTTTATATTAAAATACACTAATTAATCACAAATGCTCTTAAAAATTTATTGATATTAAAAAGAATCATATTAACATAAAAAATAGTATAAGATTATCTATGTAAAAATAACAAGAATTTTAAATGAAATACAATGAATTAATTAAGTTTAAAATATGAAAATTTAAAATCAATTAAAAAGAAATAACTGTAAAATTGCATTCTAATAATAAAATATACCATAATAATTTGTAAAATTTATAATGTAAATTATTGATTAATAGTTTTAAAAGCATAATATAAATACGGATAATTCCCCAAAAATAAAATGATAGTATTTTTTATATAATATAAATTATCTATTAATTTCTATTTCTAAAATTTATATAAATTGAATAACTTATTAAATACTAATTGAATAATGGTTATTTAAAATATTAATTGATAATTAAGTTTAATATCATATTGAATTGATTATTATTATACTATTATATTTGACATAATCTGATATACTCTTTCTGTTTTCAATACATAAAACTAAATAGATAATATTTAAGATAATCTATTAATATACTTGCATTAATCAATCAATTAGAAAGATATAATCAATTAATATTTAAAAAAGATTGTAATCAAAGATTCTTATTTGTAATTAATGGATATTTACATAAGAATGACAAATTTTATTTTTGTTTATTGTTAATTTATTAAAAATATAAGGATACGATTATTATTAAATGGTTTTTGATTGTTAAATCCTTAAATCAGTGAATAAATTTAATTATTAAATATATTTATTATGGGAATGTATTGTACAAAATGCTAAATTAAAAATGAAGAAGAATTATTTTTAGGCAATTTTATATAATAAAAGAAATCTTAATTATCAGAAGAAAATTTAGATGAAAGTTAGGATATCGCTTCAAGTATTTATTAGTAGAAATAATTTATTAAAGTCTGCCCTCCTTAAACAAAGAGTAAGAAGAGTTTAGTTGAATTGAGATAATTAGAATAGGAATAACGGAAGGAGAAAGCAAACTCATCAGATTTATATGAGACAGAAGAATTGTATTTTGAAGATTAATCAAAGTTTATTGGTAAAATAGAAAAGAATTAAGCAAATGGGGAAGGAAAATTATGGTTATATAATGGAGATTATTATGAAGGTAATTTCTGTAATAATTTAATGCATGGGAAAGGCATTTATAAATATAAAAATGGAACTACTTATGAAGGAGATTTCTTAAATAATAAACCTGAGGGATTCGGAATAGAATTATAAATTAATGGATCAATTTATAAGGGAACATTTAAGGATGGAAAAAAGGATGGATTTGGATACTACAAATGGTAATAAGGTTGTTAATATGAAGGCGAATGGAAAAATAATAATATAAATGGAAAAGGGAAATATGATTGGCCTGATGGGAGGGTATGTAGATAAATAATAATTTCAGTCTTATGTAGGAGATTGGGTAGAAAATTAAATGCATGGGAAAGGAAAGTATAATTGGTAAGATGGGAAATGCTATGAAGGGGAATATTAATTCGATAAAAAGCAAGGGTTTGGTATATTCTACTGGCCAGATGGGAAATAATATAAAGGATATTGGATGGATGGAAAATAACATGGAAATGGTATGATGATTTATGCTGATGGTAAAAAGAAGATTGGTGAATGGAAAAATGGTTAATTTATACATTGTATTGAAAATGATAATATTGAAATAATACCTTAGAATTGGATTGTATGATGACAGTAGGATTTTATATTTATAATTATTTCACTTTATGGTCTTATTGAATTAACTCTTGATTGTATCATAATTCTAAACAATAATACTTAATTTTTAATTCATTTATTTATAACCAAATTCAGCTTAAACAGTTTTTATTAGTTTTTATAATGAACTATTAGGTAATTGTTTTCCTTAATAAAGTATTTAAAGTCTTTAGATTTCTTATTCCTCTAATTCAATAATTTAATTATCTAAATTATTTATTTAGAGTGATTAATTAGATAATTTTTAACTTAGATTATCTTATTTAGAGTCACTTTATTATTATAATTCGAATGATTTTAAAGTGTATTTTTATTTTTTCATGTTTTATATAGTGTTCATAACTTAAAATAGTTTCTTTTCATAATTAACTCTATTACCCTATTATTATTATTATTTGATTTGGTTTTCTTTCATTTACAATTTTAAATAATCATTATTAATTTCTAATTTAGCTTTTGAAATAAGGAAGGTTCTTGATTGATTATCTAGATAACATGGGAAATCAGCTAATGTAACACTTTCATTAATTTACATTAATAATTTAACAATAATTATTATAGATCCTGATATTCTATGTATTATAAGTATATAAGTTACTAAATTTCTTCACTCTGCAATACTTATTTTAAGAACTCTGCTAAATCTTATTTAATTTATTTCTTAGTAAATTTAATATCTTATAGCATTTCTTCTTCTTTTTTTAATTATGTTTGATTAAATTATAATTGTTATTAATATTCCATATAAAATGTTTTGATTCTAGCTAATTCCATTTATTCATTTTAATCAATAGCCTAAAAATATTATTATCTATCCCATTTTTTATTTGGATGAAGTTTATCTTCTTAATGAAGTGCTAATTATCTTTATTTTGTATATTTTGATTTAATTGAATCAATTTCATCACCTAATTTAATAACATGATCTCTTAATTTACAATTTTCCATTCTTAATTTTTGTAAACTTATTTGATATTAATAGATTTCTTAACTTAGTAATTTAATTTAATTTAATCTACCTTCAATAATATAATTAAAATTGAATTATTATCTTTCCAAATTTTTATGTTCTTCTTTATTTATTGTAATTTATGCTTATGATTATCTAATTTAATTGGCAACAGCATGATAATCTACAATTTAATTAATACTTTTAAACATTGAAGATAGATTCTTAAAACTTTATAATACATTAGTAGTTGAATTATTTAATTCATGTTATGAGACAATTCTCTTTTATCTCATTTTATTGAATAAGATTTAATTTACTAATTTTTGATTAGTTTATTTTGATATTTTTTCAGCAGTTCCATGAATTTTATCTTCTTGTAATATTTCTTTTTTATCTGAATGATAAATTTAGAATATATTATGTATTAATTTTGTATTGATAGTTGGACTTGGAAAATGTGGATTATGATCTACTTCATCTTCAGCCAATTTACCTTATTGAAGCATTTATTACAAATTAAATTTCTTTTAATGTTTTTTTGCTTTAAAGTAATTAAGATTAATAACTTCCATTTTTTCATCTTCTGATTAATTATCTTCATCATCTGAATTTTACTTGAAAATCATAGATTATTTCTTTAATGGAGATCTTATTCTCTTTTAACTTACTTATTTACTCCCTATATATAGAGAAGTAGATTTCATATTCATTTTTTTATAATTAATTTTATAATCAAACAAAAATGAATTTATTAGATGATTTAGAAAATAATGGAACTCAATAAATGGATTTACTTAATTTTGAGTATGATTCCTATAATCAATTAATAGTCATTAATCTAATATGATACCAAATGTAGATTTTTATAATGCAATTGTGATTAATGAATTTATGAATAATCGTATTGTAGAAGTCAAAGATGGTGAAGTAGTAAAGGAAGGATATATAACTAAATATAAATTATATCTAGTAAGAACAAAAAAATAAGGAGGGGATTGGGAAACTGAAGTATCAAGAAGATTTAGTGATTTTGAATGGTTATACTAAGAAATGATTAATAAATATGGAGGATACATAATTCCTGCTATTCCTGAAAAGCATTTACTTACTAAAGTTAACTTAGCTAGTTATGAAGTATCATTTTGTGATTTAAAATTTAAACAAATAGTTTTCTGAAAAGAGAAGGAAAGACCTTTAATAATTTCTATAAAGAATACTTAATCATCATCATTTAAGATATGTTCCAGAATTAAGAATTTTTATTGAAGATAAAGAAAAAGTACTATTAAAAAAATGATTTATTAGTTTATTTCTCTTTTGAAAGGGGAATTAGAATAAAATAAAACAATTGAATAAAAATATGATAATCTTTTACAATCAGTTAAAAGTTTATGGCATAGTAGTACAATGACAACGAAAGGATAAGATCCAACAAGAATGTTTGATGGAGGTGAAAAAGATTTAACATATGATGAAACACTTCTTTTATCTTTGTCTATGAAAGGTAGCAAATTAAAAACTGTTGTTGAGGAACATATAATTACATTAAGAGAGGAAGCTAAAACATTAAATGATTAAAATGAATCTCTCTATTCTTGGAGTAATATAGAAATAATATAATTATTAGATGGTTTAGGATCTGCAAGTGAAGAAGATATTTCATAATTTAAATAATTGAAGTATAACAATGAAATCAGACAAAGAAAAATTAATAGAGAAATTGAAGATATTGATAGAAAATTTCTGCATAAATTATAATATAGTTTATTTGAAATAGAATGGGCATTGACTGCTTGTAAAAGAAGGAGAAATTTATAATAACAATTATTGATAGATCAATAAAGAATAGATCAACTTAAAATGTAATATACAGATAATTCAAGCAGAGTATTTATTACAATAATTCATAGAGAGATTTAGAAATGGATGTATTAAAAACTAAATATTAAAAAAATAAAGACAGAAGTGATAAAATGTCCATTATTATGTAAGATGAATTATTGAGTTTCATTTCAGAAATGAAATAATAATTAAAATCCATCCTTGAAGAATGGAGATCTATTATGAAAACATTATCAAAGAATATTATTGAAGATGAAAATGAATGATATAATTTAATATAATACTTTATGAGTATTAATTTATTATAAAATTTCATCATTTTTAATAAACAACTGAAGTTTTAATTTATTTAGAATGGTTTATATATTTAAGAAAAAACAAGATTATTTTTATATTTTCTTATAAGATTTCTATCCCCTATGTTGATATTTAAAGTCTAAGGAATAATTAATTTAATTTTGATAATAATTATTAAATGGGAAGTCATTGTTCTTAAACAGTATAAAATAATACTGTTAATTATGAAAAAAAGCATGAGATTGATAATATCATTTAGGATAAAGAAATTTAAGAACCTACATTTACTACAAAATTGAATTTAAATGTGGAAATTGACAAAGGTGTATATTCAATGAGACCATGTAATGTTAATGATTCAGTATTGGATATAACAACTGAAAGAAATTTACAAGAATCAATACCATAAAAGTTCAATTTAAGAAATTATACAGTTAGTTTCTATCAAAGAAGTATTTTGACGATACAATGACCATTAACAAATCTCACAATTTAGTTTATTCCAATATGGGTTTGAACATACTTTCAGATTTATGTCAAAATGAAGTAGTTTCATAGAAATAAGAAAAACAAAAAAAAGTTGAAGAATATGATGAAGATTATGATTAGATGTGCAAATATGATATTGATTAATTTAAATTTTATCAACCTGCTGTTATGAAATATGTAGATAAATAACTACCATCATAATAAAAGACAAAGTAAAAATACAATTAAATAATAGCACTGTTGAACAAAGAAATCTTAAAAAATGATTTAAAAAATATCAATATATATAAGTTATAATAAATTTCTATATAAAATCTTAAAAACTTAAGGAATCATACTTTTTTTCATCTATCTATATTTATTTATTTTACTTTATCTATAAAAATTCTATAAAAGTTTATATAATTTAACTCTTTATTTTCCATTTAATAATGTATTAATTTTAAGATCTCCAAAAGATGTATGTTATGATAATGATGAAGTATAAAAATAAAGAATAAATTAATATATTATAAACTGAATTATTCATTATCTATGACAAAAGAATTTGTGACGTAAAGCTTCATGACAACTGATTCTTTTATCGGGATCAATTTCAAGCATTTTTTATAATAAATCTCTTAATTATGGATCAAGTATTAATTCCCTTAATGGTTTTTGATTTTCTACTTTAGCAATACTCTCTTTGGTTGTATTTTCCTATGGCCAAATGTAGTATTTCCCATTTGTAGAATTTCTTGTGAAATATTATTTCAAAGATCCTTTTACATTACTGGCCATCCAATAAGGGAAATTTTGATCAGTTATTTTTTCAACTAAAGCCATATGTTCTTACTCATTCTTTCTTGTTTAAAATAGTAATTGTCCTAAAATATTAAAAATTATTGATTCCTACCTATATACATTTCAGCGATTATACAACCAATCCCCCAAACATCACTTTTATGATTCCATTCACTACATTACAACTATACCTCAGGAGCTCTATATTGACGTGTATTAATAATACAATCATGTCCTTCATTATCAAAAACTGCTCCACCGAGGTCAATGATCTTGATTCTGTCATCTTGTGGTAAATATCTAAATAAAGAATTAATTAATATTCATACAAATCATTTTATCCTTTTTTGAATTTGTAATTTTTACTAAAAAGGATATTCTCTGGCTTTAAATCAGTATGAACAATTTTTAAATCATGTAATTAACCAATATACTTTAATAATTATTTACTAATGCTTTTTATTAAAGTCATAGGAATTCCATGATTTTTATAGAATTTCATTAATTCATAGAGACTTGGTCCTAGCTAAGATTAGATGATGGTAAATGATTACTCTCTCAAATACCATGCAATAATATCCTCTATGATGGAAACATTCATATAATTCAACAAAGCTACGACTAAGTCCTTTCCTCTTTAAATGAAACAAAACATCTGCTTCTGATTATGCACTTTCAACATGATTACGTCTCACTATCTTCATTGCATATGTTTTTGAATTTCTTCTCTTTACTTTTAAGACCCTTCCAAAAGTACCATCAAAAATATGTCTTTTTACTTTATATTCTTTAATATATTCTCCTTTCCTGTATTTATAGTGTTAATCATCATCACTTGAAGAACTTCTATTAGATTCATCATCTGTCCCTACAGAAGAAGTAGTAGTAGAACTACAAATATATTAATTATATAATATCTTACTATTTTTATTTACGATTGGATCTTCTATTTGAACGTCTACGTGATTCTTTTGAGGACATGTTAAATATTTTATTTATTTATATTTTTTAATAATTAAATGTAATTTTAATTTTATATTAATATATTATATATAAATTACATCTTGTTTTTAAATCAATATCTTTATACTATAGATAATATAATATGATTGATATCAAAATAACAAATAACATTATTATTATTAATAACCTTTACTAAAATTGAGTATATTCCCCATTATATAATAAAATTAATTTGTATCAATATGTCAAATAGTTTATTGTTCAATATTTTAAACCCGCCTTAATTTACTTTTCATAACAATCCTTATATAATATTCTAATCAATGTTAATGAAACAAAAGCTCCAACAAATGGTAATCCAGCATAAATCCATAAATTCCAAAATCTAGCCCAATGACCATCTTTACAACATTCAAAAAATACTAATCTAATTGTTTTATCTTAATATATATATATACCCTATAGCAATAGCTGGATTAAGACTACTTTTGGCTACATAACTAAGAGTTCTACCAACTCCATATAATCCACTAATTATAATACTATGTTCTAATCTATCACTAGTAAAATCCATCAAGTCATCATATTAAAACAAAAAGCCTGCAGTAAGAATAAGTGATCCTAAGATTTCTCCTATAATAACTGCAAAATATTCTTCAAATGTAGTTTAAGACAAATATGGAACATCATTTACACTAGTACATAATCTATAAATATTTTACTAATTTTTAAAGCAAAAGAAACCAAGCATGCTAGCTAAAAATGCACCTCCAAATTAACTAGCAATTGCCACTGATACCCATAAACCTTTATCTTTACCAGATAAAACAGTAGTAATTGCAGGATTAAATGAACACTTCTGATTTTGAGCAACTAATATTAACATACCATATGCACAACTGAAAACAAATACGTTATTACTTAAATTATTATAATGATTTTACTTGCTGGCATAAATAGAAAATGTTAACATGAATGTACCTAAGAATTCGAACCAGAATATATAGACAGCTTCTTTTTTCATTTATCCTACTTTTGTTTAAGGCATCTTTCCATCTACTTCCCATTTAATTGGTTTATTCTACTATTAAATTTCTTGATTCACTAAATCACTATAGTTTTGTTATTATTCTTCCATTAATCAATAATTATTTTAATTAGAAGAATTCTATATACATAATTTATTATTTTCTGTATAAAAATAAAGGAATAATACAAATAATAGTAAATAGATAATGTAAATAAGAATAGTTTTGTTGAATGATAGAATGATAAATAAATAATGATAATATAAATTAATATAATATTTTTTTGATGGATCAAATGAATAGTAAAGACCTTTTGAATAAGATCAATGTATAATTAAAATCAGCAGTTACAGTATATGCAAAAATTCAAATAGTGAATTATATACTTAATTTAACTCAAGAATTTATAGACATGTAAAAAGGGGGGCTAATTTTAGGGTTGGATAATCAAGTTCAATGAAGATGATTGCTTAATATTTGAAAGAATCTTTGAAATGTATTTAAGCTAATGAAGAGCTTATAGATAAAATATTTATGTTATTGTTGAAAATGAATTTAAATGATGTAATATTAAAAGAATCTGAAATGGGACTTTTGTTTATAAAAATAAAAGATAAAAGATTATTGGAAGATTAAAGAGCAAATGTGAATGATTAACTTTAATAAAAATGGTTGAAAATATATATAAGGTATAGAAGTATTTTGGAAGATTTAAAAAAAAATAACAATTTAAAGGATAAATATGAGGAACGTAAAAAAAAAGTGAAAAGGAATTAATCATCAAGTTCTAATGATTCATCAAATAAAAAGAAAAAAAATAAAAAAAAAAATGTTCGGTATTTTATGAGTATTTAAATTAAATAGTTTTGCAAGAGAAGACATTCTAATGAATTATAAATATTTTAAAAGAGATGATGAACCTAATTAAAGAGGAATGACTATAGAAGAAGTGATAGCTTTTTAAAAATTATATTAAGGAGAACTTAAAAGACTTAATCAAATCAATAGTTATGATATTAAACATAGAGAATCTATGATGGAAGGATAAGAACATAAATTATAATTAGATAATATCTAATAAATGATTGAATAAATTCCCTTTATCAAACCTTTGAGTAAATTATTCAATTAAATTATTATTAGAATTACGCCCTACATATCTTGAAACTTATGATACTAATTTTAAAGAAACTCAAAAATAATAAATGAGAACAGAATCTAAAATGTCAGCTTTCTATAATCGAGATGTAAATATTTTCTACATTCATTTATTTCTTTTAGATACCTGAATAACCTGGTTATAATGAAATCTCCAATACTTAATCAGGAATCCAACCTAGAAGCATTCATCTGGATCCTCCTAAAAGAGAAGATCTTATGTTTATGGTTCAAATCATCTGTAATCGAGGATTTACTGAATTAGAAGATAAACATAAGAATGTCAATAAAAAACAAATCAAAGGCATTTTAAAAAAACCACAAGAGGAATAATCCAAATAGAAGGATATCATGTTGAATCAAGCAAAATAGGATCTCTAACCCAAAATGTAACAATTGGTTCAGATGGTTGAATAGAAACAAAATCATAGCCAGGAAAGCATTCGTAAGAATATTAATTTATTTAAGTCACTTTATTACATGATATTATATAAAAATTAAAGGAAATTGGTGAGGAATAATATATAAAAAATTTTAAATCATTCCTTGAAACTAAGTTGAATGACAAACAATCAATTATAATTGAATAAGAACGCATTAAATCTTAATAAGAATAATAGAGAACTCGAATTGAACAATTATAAACCATCAATCCCGTTCAGGCTCAGAGATTAAGAGCATACAAAACCAAACATTGTCACAATTTTCATTCCTCTATTGGATGCGCAAGAGGAGATAATTGTAATTTCATTCATGACTCCCGTTATCCAGGAAGACCTGCTCCAATTCTTCAAAGTCCAAATTTCCTTAACAAAACCCTTTATCCTTAATCCCATATGTAATCAATTATTCCCCCTTTGCTTCAATAACTAAACCCTGCCTTTCTACTAGGAAGGCTAAAAAAGTATGATAGTTTGTGAGTTGATATTTATTAAAAATACATTTAATATGCTAATTTAAACTTCTATTAGTACATAATATAATAAGTATTGAGATTATTCTAAAAATACATTAAAATGTCTCAAGAATTATTATATTAATTAATGAGCAATATGGTATTACAAAAAACGTATAATGAAAGTATGAATATATATATATATTCACATAATAAGGTAATTCATGATCTAAAACCTTGTTTTCTAGCAAAGGAACCTATTGCTGCAAACCCAATTAAAGCGATTATTCCAAATAGAACCACATTTGAAAGGAAGTCAAGAATCATTATTGAAATTTAATTATTTAATTACAAATGTCACTTTATAAATAATCTTAATGTTAAAAACCAATTAAATATTTAAGACTATTACATTACTTAAATAAATAAATTATTTTGTTATTGATTCGTATTTTAATTTATTCTTCACTTATCCATTTATAAAAAGTTAGAGATTTTGATATAAATTCCAATTAAAAAATTAAAACATGGGTTGTATATGTGTAACTATACCAAGAAAAAACTAAATTATGCCAATGCATACCAGAAATAAGGATTTAGTGTTTACTTCGACTGAAGACATTTCTAAAATATATGTTTTTGGTAAAGTACTAGGAGTAGGGTCATTTGGAAAAGTTATAGCTGCTAAAATGAGGAGTAATCCAATGAAATAATATGCTATCAAAATTATAGAGAAAAAAAAAGTAAAAGGCAGAGAAGACATCTTGGCTAATGAAATATATATTTTGTAAAAGTTGGATCATCCTAACATTATCAAATTTCATGAAGTTTATTAAAATAGAATGAACTTTTATATTTGTATGGATTATTGTAAAGGTGGAGAATTAGTAGAATGGATTCCTAAGAAGTATAAAAGTTTTCATGAAAGAAACATCTAGGAAATAATGAAGAAGGTAAAAGACCATATAATTGTTTAGATAATATCTGCAGTAGCATATATACATGGTTAAGGAATAGTACATAGAGATATTAAAGCTGAAAATATTATGATTACAAATAAGAAGGATGATGCTGAACCAAAATTAATTGATTTTGGCTTAGCAAATAAATTCGATACATCAAAGTTACGTCGTTTAAAATCTTTTGTTGGAACTCCAATGTATATGGCTCCAGAAGTTATTTAAGGAAAATATGATGAAAAATGTGATATTTGGTCACTTGGTGTTTTATTATTTACATTACTCTCAGGTCATATGCCTTTTCATGGTGAAAAAAAAGAAGAACTATATGATAACATTTAAAGAGCTAACGTAAAATATTATAACAATTTATTTTTAGATTACCTTCACATATAATGCTTGGAAAAATGTGAGTGATAATGCAAAAGATATAATAAGAAGAATGTTGCAAAAGAGTCCGAACCTAAGACCATCAGCAATCAATTTATTAAAACATGAATGGTTTACAAAATTGGCAGTTTTTGAAGAAAAACAAATACTTGATCATCAAATTTCCCAAAAAGGCTAAGTATCTCCTTCAAATTCTAATTCCGATAACAGATCTATATATTAGATGTTAAAACAAACATCTTCAAAAGGTGGAAGTAAATTTAGAAAGGAAGTTATGACAATTTTAGTGAAATAATTAAATGAATAAGAATTGAGTAACCTCATAGAAAAGTTTAAATAAATAGATGTTGATAATTCAGGAACAATTACAATATTTGAATTAAGATAAGCACTTATTGCAGAAGTATATATTTATTTATTAATAAATAGGGATCACCTGCATCTTTTGATGAAATTGAAAAATTAGTTGAGAATATAACACCTAGAAATAGTTTTGATGTGAAAAAACGATCTAGACCATCAGTTGAATTAAAATATAGTGAATTTTTGGCATCTTGCATTGATGAAAGGAAGTTTTTGACTAGAGAGAAAGTATTAATTACAATAATATTATTAGTTATGGTCATTATTTAAGTTTTTTGATACTGATAATTCAAATTATATTACAAAAGATGATATTAAGGAAGCTTTTGCAAGAAATGCAAAAGCATTTACAGATGATTAGATTGAGGAAATGATTTATGAAATAGATCCTAATCATGATAATAAAATCAGTTTTGAAGAATTCTGTTAAATGTTTGATAATGCTGGAATCTATTAAAAATTAGATGATGATGATGAAATAATAGAAACTTGATTATAATTGTATAATCTTCTCTAATTTTATCATATTATCACTAATTTCCATTTATTTCATTATATGATGATAATTCTTAAAAGTATTATCACTTAATTTAAAAATTAATAATATATATATATAATTTATATGTCATAAGAATGGATGTCATAAAATTATAGAAAGAGCATTAGATTAAGGATCCTTAGCATCATCTTTAAATTCTAAAGTTTCTTATATTCCAGCCACTCCCATCATTTAACAAAAAGCATCGAATCCAATTTTATTCTCATTATTAGGATCTATTTCAGATATCATTTAGTTAATTTTTTCAAGTGAAAGTGCACGTCCATGTCTAGCAAATGATTCTCTAATGGCCTCTCTTGATAAATGATTCTCATTCTAAGTATCAAAATATTTAAAAATTGACCATAATTTCTCTCTTGTAAAAACACGTCTCTCATCAATACAGGCAGTTAAAAAGTCACTGTATTTAATTACTAAAGGTTTTGTTGTAGATTTATGAGACATAGTTACTGTTATATCATCTAATTCATCAATGTCATATCCAATGTTTTCCATGATTTCTTCAATTTCCTCTACAGTTGTTAAGGAACCCTTAAAATATTTTTAATCAATACTTCTTGTTGAAGTGCATGATGCAACTCTTGGACTGTTATTGTCCCAGAATTATCAACGTCAATGTTTTTAAATATTTGTTGCAACCTTGCTAAATCCTTTTCATTCATTTAATTTACTAAGACTTTCATTACTTCTTTCTTAAATTTAGCACCAATACGATAAGTTTTAAGAATTTAATATAATGTCCTTTAATCATCTTCAGAAGGAGTTCCTGAAAATCCAGTACTTCTTCTAGGAGGTTTATAAACTCCATCTTTAAATAAAAGTTGAAACCATGGATGCTTAAGACATTCTTTGGCAGAATATCTTAGATGTTAACTTTTATTAAGCATTCTCTTCAAAAGATCCTTTGCTTCATCACTTGTGTTTCTCCAATGTCTTCTATCGAATATTAACTAATATATAATTTAAATTGTATACATTTTGATATTAAATATTTTCATAAAGTTCCTGTCGATTTCTACCATAAAAAGGTGGATAACCCACAAGCATACTAAATAATAATACTCCAAGACTCCAAACATCACATTTTTCATTATATGTTCCTTCAATGACTTCTGGTGCCAAATAGACAGGTGTACCAACTCCAGCTTTTAATTTACTATATTATTATGATAGCTTCTTTACTTATAGCTGAAAGCATCATATTTAACTGAAAGTCCAAAATCAATAAGTTTAGGCTCAGATCTGATGTCACGATCTGTAAACATAATATTTTCTGGTTTGATGTCTCTATGTATTATTCCTTATTCATGGATATATGCAACTGCTGATATGATCTATAATTAACATAATAAGTTACTTTAACCATTATATCTCTTGCCTAACCCTCAGTATATGATTTTTAATTTTTGGGTACACTCTCCATAAGTTCTGCTCCAGCACACTTATCCATACAGATATAAAAGTATAGTTCACTTTGATATACTTCATGGAATTTGATAATATTTGGATGATCTAACCTTTATAATACATATATTTCGTTGGCTAACATAGTTTCCCTTCCCTTGACTTTTTTTTTGTCAATCATTTTTATAGCGTATTATTTTTCAGCGTTATTTCTCCTTCTAGCTGTCAGAACTTTACCGAAGGCACCTATTCCTAACACTTTCCCGAAGGAAAATATTTTATGAATGTCAGCTGTTGACGTAAAGATGTATTCTCTGTTTGTTGTTTGCATAGCAACAATTTTATTTATTCCTTTTGGTTAGAAACAACCCATTATTTATTTTTTATTATACTTTTATAAGATCTAAGATTTGCTTAAATTTCAAAAAAAATTAACTCACAAATCATATTCTTTTAATCGAAAAAATCAATGGATTTTGAAGTGTATTAAAAACTATATAAATAAATTAATTTGATAAAATCATAATACATCATACAAGATCCCTAATATAGTTTCTAATAAGATAAACAAATTTTCATTAATTTTCTTATTAAATTCTTTAATCTCCACTATTAAATACAATATTTAATGATTAATAACAAACTCTACATTTAGTTTTCTTAAGGAAATTTCTAAATTCGAAATATCAAAAGTAATTTTCTGATACTATACTCATAACTATTAGAATAAATAACTCATTTTTTAATTATCAGATTTCTTTATATAAATAAAATAATCAATTAGTTTTTATATTAATTCAATAATTATCGATTGTTGTAATTTAGTATAAAATTTATATATTATATTAATTCTCTAAATTCTAAATATAGTCAAATATAATTATTCATTGATTTTATTATCTCAAACATATTAAAAATATAATTATAAAATACTCTTATATCTGAAATTCTATAGAATTCTATAAAATAACAAATAAGAAATATTATTGTTTTCAAAATCTTTCAATTATTGATGTAAATTTAATTGAATAATTATTATATTAATATTAAGAGATATAAAATTTCAACTAAATCAATTAATATATAATACTTAATCAAATATAAAATCAAAAGATAAATTTGTAAAACCTCTTTTAATCTATAACTAATTCAAAGTGGAATAGAATACTTTTTATTTAAATTTTTAAATATCTTTCTATTTTATTCAATGTTTAATGCTATTTCAGAAAAAGTCTATTAAATCTAGCATATTGGGAAATTTGATATAGGAATTATATTATTCATTTCAATTTGATACTTTTCTATATTCTTTTTTTGTTAATTAAATAGTATAAATCCTACTAGAAATTTGTATAAGTAAGAATCAATTTGAATTATTTTATAAACTCAAAGAGAAGAAGATCATATGTAAAAATACTGAAGGATTATTGAAAATATGAAATTACTTACTAAATTCATGAAGATAATAAAAATTCAGAAAGGTTAAGTAAAAATGTGAATAGATATTAAATAAATAACTAATGATTAAAGAATCTTGGCTTATTCAACTATCTTCCCATTAAAATTATATTATCTTCATTAGAAAACTATAATTTCTTTTAGGAATTGGACAGCATAATACATTTCTATATATATTTAAATAGTATAAGAAATATAAAGGATTATTAACTAAGATACTAGAACTAATTTAACTAACTAATAGGGATAAATTTTATGTACTATTTATTAGTTATTATGTTTGAAATTTTGATAGAGCTAATTGCATTAAAATCATATTAGAGTTGGAAAATTGAAAGAAAGTAGTAAATTAGAAATGAAATGGTTAATTAATGGAATCTAAAATATATTAATCCTTATTATTGAGTCTTGTTTATTTTTTAGAATAATAATAATTTAATTCATTATATATGGGAGATATTTAAGGTGAGAGCGGGCAAAACTTAATTTAATCTGAGTCTATAGGTTTCTTTGAGAAAGTGAAGCAAATTATTTTTCAAGTTCTTTTTGTTTTAAGAAAGGATGAAGAATCAGAAGAGTCTTAATTATCATTTTATATATAAACTGGATTGGATTACTTTTAGATGCATACTTTTCCATTCAATAATAATATTTACTATTTATGGAAGGCTGACAATGTGATTGGGTTTGTCTTAAATTTTGTTAATCTATTTTAATTAAGTACTTACATACCTAATATTTCTTATTTTGCTCTTTTGTCATCTGTATATATATTACTTGTAATTATTTTACTAATCATTTTGGATATCATTTATGTTAGTTATTCATTTTCAAAAAATTAATTTGCTGCAACATGGCCTTTGGTTGTATTGAGATCAGTTACTTCACTTGTAGTTACTGTATTGTTTTTGCCAATAACTGAAACTTTATTTTCTATATTATAATGTTAAACAGATCCAACAACTGGAGAATATATAATTTCTGGTTATAGTGAAATTTATGTTGTTTGTTGGTAAGGATGGCATACATTCCATGCATTATTGACATTGTTGTTTATGTTTATGTTTGTTGCAATTTGTGCTATAGTAGCATATGCATTTTTTGAGCCAGGTATGATGAGTGATGATAGAACAGCAAGATAGGATAGTAAAGGGGAAGTGACATTCATTATTAATAAGGTAACATGTTAAGTATTGTATTGTTTTTTGGGGGAGAATCAATCATGGATTTTAGTATTGGCAACATTTTTAATGGCTGTATGGTTATTTTGGGAATATAATTTTGATGATCCTTATTATGACTTTGAGGTAGGAAGATTTTATTCAATAATATCAAGTTATTATTTATGGGCAAACATTTTATTATTGATGTGTAAGATATTTGAGAATTAAGATTTCAATGGAGGATTTATTGCTTGGATAATAGGATTACCATTTATAGTATCAATAATGTTAATGACTAAAAAGTCTAAGATTGATACTTTAATTAAAGTATAGAAGAAGATTAGAAGTGGTAAGGAGATTTGGGCACATATTCGTTATGTTTTGTAACTTATTTAATAATAAGAAAAGGATAGAAATTCTTATATGCTTTTGATAGGATATATTGAGAAACATAAAGAAACTTGTAAATATAATGATTGCTATTTTAAATTTAGTAGAAGAAGGAATACTGAATTAGATATGAATGATATGATTAGAGGATTAATTTAGGAACTTGAAAAGATGTTTAAAGATGGTATTAAGAAATTTCCAAAGAGTGCTGAATTGAAAATATTCTATGCATTGTTTATTATGGAAAGAAAGAAGAATAAAGAAGGAGCATATAAATAATTTGAATTAATAGATGATAAATGTAAACCAGCATTATATCAATAATTTATTAAATACAGATATATGTAAGACATTTATATTTATTGTTTTAAAGGAAAAGTATTAAAGAAAATAAGAAAGAAAATAAAGATGATGATATTGTAGAGGCAATTAAATATAATAATCATTAAACAATGTGTGAAAAGAGTATGCAATAATCAGCAAAATTATAAAAAGATTTTTGGGGAGAATTAAAAGAGGATTAACCTGATTTAGGTAAGTTGATGAAATTGGGTGCTGATATTACATATGTTACTAAAACAGCTAGATAGAATTATGAGGAAATGTAAAAGATATCTTAAAATGTATATTAAAGTGTTAAAATATACAGTAATTTTATATTGTATGTTTTAAATGATTAGAAATTGGGAGGAGAATTAAGAAAAATAGCATAAAATATAAAAGAAGAATTTTAAAAAGAATTTGGAGGTAGAAATGAATTTTTAAATATTGATAATTAACCTATTCCATTTATATAAGTGAGTGCTAAAAAAGCAGAAGTAGGTAAGATAGTAAATGTTAATACTTTATTTACAACATTTTTTGGATATTAAAAAGAAGAATTATTAAATAAATCAATAAATGTTTTGATGCCTAAATTATATGCTGAAAAACATGATAATTATTTAATTGAATTCTTTGATAATATTGTATTAAATCTAAAATTAGAAGGTGAAATTGATAGTTAATATTTGGATACAGATTAAACTTAAATATTTAAACATAAAAATGGTTATGTAGTTCCATTTATATATCATGTTACTCTTAATCTAGAAACAATGAAATATTTGACAACATTTAAAAGTGAAAATACTATTAAAAGTTAAGTCATTTTTATTGTTGATAATACTTCAAAAATAATGGAAATGTCATCTGGAGCAATAATCTTTTTTGATTTAGAATTAAAATAAATAGAAAAAGATGTTTATCTTAACAATTATATACCCAATATTCTATTATAAAATGAAAAACACATATAATATAATCATCAAAGTAAAGATGGATCAGAATGTAATATTAATATAATACTTAATAGAGACATTCTATTTTTCATGTATGATTAAAGAGATTAAATTACCATAGAGAATGGATGAAAGTACTCATGGTAAAGTAAACTAAAAGGATGAAACTAATAATATAAAGACTGGCAAATGGTTAGTTAGATTAGAGAAATTAGAAAAAAATGAAGTAAATTTAGGAGGTCAATAAAAGAAAAATAAGAATTTTGCTGTAAGTACTCGATAACTTATAACAACAAATACAAATACTAATAGTAATCCAAATTCATAATAATATCTTTAAACTTCTAAAATACAAGTTAATTAATCAATTGATGGATAAATACCTAAATTTGATACTAATTTAGAGTTTGATCAATAATATGCAGTATTTTTATCTGAATTATATTCAGAACCTAGATATGATGACTATAAAATGCTTTTAAATTAATAGGTTGAAAGTGATGTGAATCCAGTTGTTGATTATTCTTGTGACATAGTTATTAGAAGATTAATAAGAAATTAAATATTAAATATAGATGAAGAAAAAGAATAAGAATTTTTATTATAATTGGAAGAGGAAGAAGAAGAAAATTCAATATTTAGATTCAATTAAAATTAATATGAAGATGAAGATGATTATAAGATATTTGCTCATAGAAATTCTTAAGATCTTATAAGACGAGTATTAAATTAAGATCATAAACATATTAAAATTACAGAGTTCAAAGTATATTCAAATCTTTGGATATTTTTCATCTTTTTTATTACAATTCTTTAATATTTATTCTGTTAATCATACTTTATTTCTTATAAAGAGAGTATTAAATCAATTTACTTAGTGAATAATGAAATTATATATCAAAATTAAGTAATTTCAAGAGTTTTAGATTTATGTTTACCTTAATAATTTAATATTACTTAATTATATCAAGAACTTTAATATGCTGCTAATAATGCAACAGCATTTAATTAATTTGTTAATTCTGCATTATTAGATTATTATTTTGATAATCATTTTATTACATTAAGATTTTATGATGGTGATTAATATTCTGAGATCAATATAAAATTAGAGAGTGCTTTATTATTAATTGAATCTTTAGCATTAAATACAACACTTTTGAGTAATCAAACATTCAATTATAAAAGCAATATGATATAAAATATTGTTTATAATCATTTCAATGTTGTTCATCAATAAGTTATTGATATTGCTTATGAATTATACTCAAATGTAGAAACCTAAATGAATTAATATGATGTAAATCTATTAATTACTTTGGGAATTCTAATCTTAGTAACTAGTTTAGCAATGACAAAATTCATTACTTTAATGTTAAGTATTAAAATGGATAGAGAAAACATCTTATTCTTATTTTTAGATATTCCATAAAAACATATATCTATTTTATATAAGAAAGTTGAATATTTTATTAAAAATTATATTAGTATAGAAGAATTAAAAAGAAAAAATGAATTAGAAGGTTATGATTCAAGTGAAGAAGAATAAATGTAAGAAGATTAAATTAAAATATAAAAAAATCCAGAAGAAGAAGAGAATTTTATTTAATTATAATTGAAAAGAAAGAAAATTATAGAAAAATACAGAAAAAATAAGTTTAAAGGTAATTAAGCAATTATCATTCAATTTATATTTATTGCTCTATGTACATTAATATTTGCTGTTTACAATATTATCAGTTCAGCTAGTGAAAGAGATTAAATTAGATATTTACTTCCTCAATATTTTTCAGGTTCTATGGATGTATCTGAATATGGAAATTATCTCAATATTTTTAAATTAGCAATATTAGATAATTAATTTAATTTGATTAATTCAACTTCTTATTAATCAGCTTTTGATGATATTTAAACTTTTACAGGTAACCAATTAAGTTCTGTAGACTTTGCTTCTGCTTTGTTAAATCAATTGCCTACATTAAGAGATATGTATTTTGGAATTTATTATGGAGATATTTGTAATGAATTAGGACTTACTAGAAGTGATACTTGTTATACAATTATTGAAGGAAATCTTGAATTAGGAATTTTTAATGTTGAATAATATTATTTATAATATTTTAGACATCAATTATCAATAAATTAAAAAGGTTAACTAGCATATGATCCATATATTTATTAGATAGATTAATCAATGTATAATTATGTAAGAAAAGCAGTAGATTAAGTATAAAGCTATTAATTATCAATGATGACAAATTAGATGGATGAAACATTAAATATTTAACTTATACTTGTTATAATATTCATATTAGTATTACTATTAATTTTTGTAATCTATTGGTTACCATTTCTAACTAGTATTAATTCATAAGTAAATTTAATTAAAAATAAAATAGATTAATTAAAACATATAAATGTTAAATATGATACCAATAGATGTAATTAAGGATAATAAGACTATTAGAAGATTTTTAAAAAATATAATTAAAGATATGAATATTTAAGATTGATAACATTATTATATTTTATATATATTTTTTTATTTATATAAGAATAATATAGTAGTTATGAGTTTCATAATATTTAATACATAAGACTCATTAAACATTAGAAATTTCTAGAATTATTTTAAAATAAAAATAAAAATTTTAATTTTATTATAAAATAACTAGATTAATTAAGGAATAATTAAATTTAAATATAATTTGAAATAGTATTTACACAATAATACTTACTACAAAATATATTAAGGTTGATAGATTGTTCAATTATAATTGTTAATTTTCTCACACATTTAAATTGAAAATAGAAAGATGATAAAATATAATAAATAAGAATTGAAATATCAATAATTCCATACTTAAATATGTAACTAAAACTAACATCAAAATAGCAAATAAAATCAAATATACATTTTTATATATGTGATACTTATTATAATTAATGCAAGAATCATTAGATGAAACAAAAAAGGTATTAAAGTTAAAAAATCAAGTAATTTAAAGAGTCAAAATAAATTTTTAATAATTTTAGGATTTGATTACATTAATTTTTATAATAGATAATGGTATTGATTTGTCATTTGATAATTTTATCAAAAGGAAATGATTATTCTATGATTCTCCATATATAAATTTTTGTTGATGATGTAATGTTTTTAATAAATAAATAAACAATATGTTTACAACTAGTATATTTCTTTCTCTTTGTCTGGTCACCATTGCATAATGGGAACTTTTAAGTGAAGATTTACTTGGATTCTCTGTTTCTGGAGCTAAATGGAATTATAGAGGTTCATGTGATTGGAATAGTGGAAGTATGGGTGGAGGTGGAGCAGTTGGGCAGTGTTCAGATAATGATATCTAATACATTTTAGTAGGGAGTTATAATGATAGAACATACTACTCAGTGTTAAATTTGCCTCCTCATTACTAAGTCAAAGTTATAGTGGATGGCTATTTTTTAGATTCCTCAGGTAGTAACTTTTATTATATTTCCTATGATGTCTAAGGATCATCAACATCTACTTATTCATTACAATATAAGGATAATGTATTAGCAACTTATTAAGTAGCCTGTAGATCATCAAATTGGAATAATTTTGAGATATAAACTTTTATTATGACATTCTCTCATAATGATAATAGTGAAGTAAGATTTCGAGTTTGTGGAACAAATTTTGGTAGTAGTAGAAATTATGGTGTAAGAAGTTTATAGATATATGTTAATAAATGTCATTGGTCATGTTTAAAATGTAGTTCTAGCAATTAAGCAAATAATTGTTTAGCTTGCTTTACTAATCCTTCTACTACTTTAGGTTCCCCTTCAACCTGTAGTAGTTGTCCTGCTAATTAAGCCTTTATTGAATATATTGATGATATAAAAAGTTGTGTAATAGAATGCAATTATTATCGGGTTCCAGATTCCAATAAAGTATGCTAATTTGATGAAAGTATTTATCTTAAATTTATTTAGATATGTTACCCTATACAACATATTTTGTCACTTCAACTTTTAGTTCTACATCTCCTTGGGTATTTGTTCCTGATCCAATTTATTACAATTTAGTATTTTCATAAAAGATTGGAACTATTCCTTGCTAAACAAGCAAAAACTATGTTGGGCCATTTTTTTATAATGAAGGATTTAGTGTAACCCTCTCTATTCCTTATAATATATCATATATACGATTTAGAGCAACAATTGTAAAATTAAATAATTGGGCTGATTATTCAGCAGTTCATGTATTATTAGATAATGTGGAATTTGCATCTGTTTATACATTAAGTTAAGTATTAACAGGTCGAAATGTTGATAAACTATATTCTGATTCTAATTGTACAAGTCCAAGTGTTGGATATTATAGATTAGAAGCTAAATTAAAATCAAATATAACTAATCCGATATTGTTGTTATAAGGATCTATGGAGTATTTATATATTTAATACTTAAAGTTTATCTGGCTCGTAATTATGGGGCTTTAGAGATGTAGTTATGGATATTATGAAATGCTAATCATCATGTAGTTGGTGTGATTTTGATTTGAAATGCTATGCTTGTTCTACAGGATTTCTTTATAAAAATAGATGTGTACCTAGTTGTCCAACTCACTCAGTATAAACAACTGGAGTTTGTACAGATTTTGATCAAGCAGTAGATAGTATTAATTTTATTAATATTTAGATTCAAAATATTTAATTAAAGCATTTTATGATTCTTCCAATACTACTGATACAGATGTAAGTACTATTGTAGGAACAATGACAACTGGAGGCACAGATTTTAAAACATCAGATCACTTTTTAAGCACTAATATTGTTGTGTATTTTAGTTATTACATGGGTAAGCGAGTATTAGGAGGTCCATTAGTTTGGAACAAAGCTACATTTACTAAAACATACACTTTAAATCCACATTATCAATTTAGATTAAAATTTACATTAGTTTTAGGAGATAATTTTTAAGGAAATTTTCAATATACAATTGGAGGTGTTTCTTAGACAATATCATATTCTTAGTGTGCAAATACAGTAGATAATGTTGGTAGGTCTCAATAAGATAGATTCATTACAATTGATAGGACAGAAGTGCATACTACAAATAGTTTTTCAGTTTAACTTAGATGCAGTTCTACATAACAAATTGAAAATAATTTTTGCATTGTTTATGATTATTTCATTATAATTTTAGAAGTAATTAATAAATAATATTTAGTGCACTTAATATTGTACTGCTTGTACTGGTCCAACATGGGCATAATGTACAGGAAAATAAACATTACCAACAGGTATGTCAACACCATCAACCTGTGTTGACAATACTTATTATTTAGATAATACAGTTACTCCTGCAGTTTGTAGAACATGTACACCTACTTATTGTTTAGAATGCTAAAATTCTTATATTTGTACTAAATGTGCAACTAACTTTTATTTGTAAAATGGAAATTGTTAATGTTATCCTTGGACCTATTTAACAGGTTCAAATACTTGTGCAAATTGTCATGATTTATGTGATTCATGTTATGGTCCAAATAGTAATTAATGTTTGTCTTGTAAAAGTTCTTAACATCGATATTTGAATAACAATACATGTGTTTGTTAAAGTAATTATTATGATGGTGGTATAAATAATAATTGTTAATCAATTTGTGGAGATATGATAGTCACAGAAGGAGAAGATTGTGATGATGGTAATACAATTAGATTTGATGGCTGTAATGATTGCAAATATGAATGTTAAAAGGAATGTTTGACCTGTGTTAATGGATAATGTTCTGTTTGTATTGCTGGTTACACACTTTAAAAGACTATGAAAAGATGTTATCCTACATGTGGAAATAATTCTATTGTTAGTCAAGAATAATGTGAGGATAATAATTTGACTCCATATGATGGTTGTTATAATTGTTAATTTTAATGTTAACCTTAATGTACAAATTGTATTTATGGAAAATGTTATGATTGTGATAATTCTATTGGATATTATATTAATTTAGCCACTTTTAAATGTGTTACTTTTTGTGGAGATTTAATTATAGCAGGAGAAGAAATGTGTGATGATGGAAATAATGATCCTTTTGATGGTTGTATTAATTGTGCTTATTCATGTGATTCTTTTTGTGATTTATGTATATTTGGTGTTTGTACAAAGTGTAAATCAGGATTCTAATTATTAAGTAAAAGTGGTTAATGTGCTCCTATTTGTGGAGATAAAATTGTTACATATTATGAAGCATGTGATGATGGTAATTTAATTAATTATGATGGATGTGATTAATGCAATCTTATTTGTTAAGAATAATGTACATCTTGCATTCTTGGAACTTGCTATGAATGTAATACACCTGGATATTAATTAGATAGAAAATTATAGAAATGCATTTCTATATGTGGAGATAATGTATTAACTCCATTAACTGAATAATGTGATGATGACAATTAAACAATAGAAGATGGATGTTTTTAATGTAAATATGAATGTTAGGCTGAATGTTTAACATGTGCAGCTGGAATCTGTTATAGATGCAAATCAAATTTTTATCTTAATTCTGAAAATACTTGTCTTCCTATTTGTGGTGATGGAGTTATTTCTAAATTTGAATCTTGTGATGATTTCAACTTTATTATTTAAGATGGATGTTCAAATTGCTCTTACTAATGTGAATTACCTTGTACTCAATGTATTTTTGGTGTTTGTAAATCTTGTCAAACTGGATATTATTTAAATCAATCTAAAAGGAAATGCTTTCCTATTTGTGGTGATTAAATTATCTAAGGAGATGAATAATGTGATATTGGTATCATTCTATTCGATGAAGCTATTAAAAATAATACAGGTTGTATTAGTTGTTAACTTTAATGCTCACCATAATGTGAAATTTGTGCTTAAGGTTTATGTTTGAAATGTAAAGAGTCTTTAGGATGGTATTTAGATTATGAAACATCTATTTGTTATAGTTAATGTGGAGATTCTATTATAAGCGATTATGAATAGTGTGAGGATTCTAATTCTTAACTAAATGATGGATGCAGTCAATGTGTTTTTAAATGTTAACAAGAATGTTCAATATGTATATTTGGATTATGTTAACAATGCATATCTGGATATACATTAATTAATTAAAAATGTTAATCAGTATGTGGTGATGGGATAATAGCCGGAAATGAAGAATGTGATATAGGTATTATTTCCTTTGATGGATATGAATGTGTAAATTGTAAATATAAATGTTCAGAAGGTTGTGATAATTGTGTTTATGGTCAATGTTTAGAATGTAAAAATAATTATGGATGGTATTTAAATTAACAAAATTAATGTGAATCAAAATGTGGTGATTTAATAATCAGTAATTAAGAGAATTGTGATGAGAATTCATAAAATTGTGAAAGTTGTAATTTTATTTGTGATGATAATTGTGATTAATGTTAATTTGGAATATGTTAAAGTTGTATAACAGGATATAAATTATTTTTAAATAAATGTATTAACATTTGTGGAGATTCAATTCAAACCAATAATGAAGATTGTGAAAATGATGATATTATTCCATTTGATGGATGTTATTTATGTTAATTTTAATGTTAAAGTGAATGTCAATAATGCATAAATGGAGAATGTATATCATGTTATGAAAGTAGTGGATGGTATCTAGAAAATAAAAAATGTGAGACAAAATGTGGTGATGGTATTATAGCTGGATTAGAAGAATGTGATGTCAATTTGAAATTTGATAATGGAGATATTTCATCTAATAAATGTTTTAATTGTCGATTATCTTGTGTTTAAAATTGTTTAAATTGTGATATAGGAGTTTGTAAATAATGCAAAAATGGTTACTTTCTAAATGATTTAAACGAATGCGAAAATATATGTGGTAATTTAACAACTGAAGACTTTGAAGTATGTGATGATGACAACCTAAATGGTTTTGATGGATGCTTCTAATGCTAATATGATTGTTAACCTGAATGTTAAGTTTGTATTAATGGAGAATGCATTAAATGTGAAGATGGATTTTAGTTTGATAATGATACTTCTAAATGTAAATCTATATGTGGAGATATGAAAATTACTTAATATGAAGAGTGTGATGACGGTAACGATGTACCTTACGATGGATGCTATAATTGTAAGTATTCCTGTACAGAAAATTGTGATAATTGTATAAAAGGAGTTTGTTACACTTGTTTATAAGGATTTGTCCTTGAATTTCCAAAATGTGTACCTGATTGTAGAGATATAAGTCAAATTTAGTATCTTAATAAATGTTATTAAAAAGAATGTTAAAGAGAATGCATAATTTGTATTGAAGGATATTGTTATTAATGTTAACATGGTTGGTATTGGAATGAAGTAGAATATATTTGTGAAAGCATTTGTGGAGATGAAATAATAGTAGGATAAGAGTAATGTGATATGTCTATAAGTTATGCAAGAGATGATTCTTAATGTAATAATTAATGCTAATTTGCATGTCCATAATATTGTGATAATTGTTCATTTGGTATTTGTCAATAATGTTAAAGAGGATATTATTTAATAGAAAATGAATGTCATAATTATTGTGGTGATACTATAATGACTGAGTATGAAAGATGTGATGATGATAATATTTTACCATTTGATGGGTGTTTTTAATGTAGATTTGATTGTGAATAACAATGTTCTTTATGTATTGAAGGTAAATGTGAGATTTGTTTTAATGGTTATGAAATAAGAAATGGACGTTGTATTTCTGTATGTGGAGATGGTATAGTTACTATTGATGAAGATTGTGATGATCAAAATTCTATTAAATATGATGGTTGTCATGAATGTAAATTTGAATGTGATAAAAATTGTTAATTTTGTGAATTTGGTAAATGTATATTTTGTTAAAATGGTTTTTATTTACAAGGTTAGATTTGTATTTCAGTTTGTGGAGATGGTTTTATTGTTGGAAATGAGAAATGTGATGATGGCAATTTATTTGATGAAGATGGATGTTTTCAATGTTAATATGCTTGTTAATAATAATGTTAAACTTGTATATATGGGTCATGTATTCTATGCAATGAAGAAGAAGGATGGCATTTAACATCATAAGGAGATTGTTAAACTGTTTGTGGAGATAATATAGTATCTGGAATAGAATAATGCGATGATGGAAATGAAATAAATTATGATGGATGTTATTTATGCAATTTTATTTGTTAAGATGCTTGTACTAAATGTGTCAATGGTTAATGTTATGAATGTAATACTCCAGGTTGGAGATTAGAAGACTATTTTTGTTGGGAGATTTGTGGAGATGCATTAAAGGTTGGAATTGAAGAATGTGATGATGGTAATGATGTTCCTTATGATGGATGTTATTAATGTAAAACATAATGTGAAGAGGCTTGTACTATCTGTTCTGATGGATAATGTTAAGAATGTGTATATGGTTGGACAATAAATGAGAAACATAGATGTGAAACAATTTGTGGAGATAAATATATAGTACCTATATATGAAGATTGTGATGATGGTAATCTATTACCTTATGATGGATGCTATAATTGTAGTTATTAATGTGTATAACATTGTACTGATTGCAGGAAAGATATATGTTATGAATGTAATACTAGTGGTTGGACTTATGATAGTCAAACTTAATTGTGTATTCCTATTTGTGGAGATGGAGAGATTAATGGATATGAATAATGTGATGATGGAAATAAAATTGAAAATGATGGTTGTAGTAATTTATGTGAATATTAATGTCATTTTGCATGTCTTAATTGTGATAAAGGTAAATGTGTAGAATGTGATCGTTATTTGGGATATTTTGAATCAAATAAATAATGTGCATCAAAATGTGGTGATGGATTATGGGAATCTACTACAGAATAGTGTGATGATGGAAATCTTATTAATTAAGATGGTTGTGATAAAAATTGTAAGATAGAAGTTGATTGGTATTGTGACAGTTAAGCATTGCAAATTAGTATTTGTATTTTCAAAAGATAACCAACTATTTAATTAAAATTGTTATCTTAAAATGAAGGGCTATCTAAAATTGAAGTGACATTCTCAACCTTAATGATGCTTTAACCTAATTTTGTTTTGATAGAGAATGAAAACAATCTAACTGATACTGAATAAATTCTCTTCTTGGTTACAATTGATTAATTAACAGAAGGGGATTATGAATATAATATTGAACCAGTAGTTAGTATTTAAAATTTCCCTTAGGATATTAAATACATCATTAATTTAAATCTTTTAAAAAATGTTTAAGTTGATCAAATTAATGTTTTGGTAATTGTTGATAAACGATTAATTATTACTGAAGATTATGTCAGCTTAGAGAAGAATTCTGATCAGATTAGAATTCCTGTTCCATATATTAGTAGTTCATAAGCTTAAAAAGTAGTTGAACTATTTTCTAATGCAAATGAAATTTCATAATATGCAGCATTAAGTGTTTCTATGATTAGTATATTTTCTTCAGGTTATTCAAATCTCTTTATGACTCTTGATACAATCTAATATCTTTATTATACTAGATATATTAATTTGGATTTTCCTGAGAATTTGTAATAAACAATGGACAATTTAAAAAAGTCTTCTTTGAGTTCTCTGATAAATAATAAACTTGGTGAAACAGGATTACCCAAAAATATTGCTTAATAACCTAATTAAACAGTTTAAGAAATGCCAAATAAATTTAAATAAGATAATTTGTAGTATTAATTTGCTTACAATATAAAAACAACAGCTGTTTCTTTATCAGCTGGTTTGAGTATCTTTCTAACAACTTTAACCATATCTAAATTACTTCATTTGATTCCACCTCATAAATTAAATGATCTTGGTTCTATAATTGGTGGAGGAATATTGAAAGTAAGATCAAAATGTACTAAGATGTCTAATGACTTTGTTTATTCAGGAGCTATTAGATTAATAACTATTAATTTTTATGAAATGCAATTTGCATCATTATTATAATTAACACATGTTGATTTCACTTCTAATAGTAATATTGCTAATGCAAGTGGAGCAATTGCAACTCTAGCCTTCTCCTTTATTTTTACTACAGTACTAGTTCACAGAATAAGATAGATTTAAACTAAATAATCTATCACAATGAAACATTATATACAAACTCTTTTGCAATAGGATGATAAAAGTCTTTAAAAGTCAACATGGTAAATGTAGTATAACACAATATTGCTTGTCAAAAAGTCAATATATATGTTTGCAATTGTTTGTTTCTAAAATTAAGGTTTTTATTAAACAATTGTAGTTGCTACATAAGCTGCAGCATTTGTTACTTATTTGACTGTATCTTCACCATTTTCAAATAATGAAGATTAAATTAAATAGATAATTACAGAATTAGGAATGCTTGCAAATACTTTAAGCTTTAGTGCTTATTATACACATGAATACTTTTCAATACCAAAAGAAAGTTTAAATTAATTAGGATGGTTTAATATAGGTATATTTAGTACAATTTTAACTTCAAATTTAGCAATTGATGTTACTACATAAATTAGATTGTTTTATAAGAAAGCAAAGAAAGCATTTAATAAATTTTTAGAATCTTAAATGCCTAGTAAATCTAGAGTTTAACCAATATTTGTATGATATGCTCTTATATATATATATATATAATATTTAAATTTATTTAACATATAGTTTATTCATCAAATATTTTCAACATTATTAAGTATTCTTTTTTAATAAAAAATTTTATAAAATTTATAGTATGAAAATATTATTCTGGTTGATCTCATAAGGATATATGTGGTTACCTAGAAAAATACAGAAATCTGTACAAAAATCTTTACTATTATAACAGGGAATTGATTAAATATAAAAAGTATCATCTAAAATTTAAATTAGATTGAGTTCTCAAATGGAGAAGTGTAAAAGATTACAAATTTTGAAATTGCAACCAATAATATCAAATTAATTAGTGTATGGAAATGTTTTATTTGTTTAGATTAATACTATTATAGTGATATTAATAGAAAAAATTATAAGCATTGAAAATATTATAATACTAGGAATTCTGATTATAGTACTTTCTGGATAAACTTATCATCATGATCAAAACGAAGAAATTATTGTATATTATACTCTATTTTGTTATCTCTTCAATTTATTGTTATATCTTGGAAACATATTAATAATTACATTTTAACGAATGATATAATAAAATACCATTAATTCTTAACAATGCACTATCATTGCTAAATTTCCAGATTTAACAGCAAAATAATTATCAAATTAAAACATTGAGTAAATTAACATATATTATTTTAATAGATTACGTTCATATGAAACTATTAATTGGAGTTAATTAAAAGTTGGTCATATTATTTGCTTATAATAAAATGAATAAAGTCCTGCTGATTTATTAATACTTGATTCTAGTAAAGAGTAGGTTTTAATAAATTTTGATTAAAGAATTCCATGCTCTTGTACTTTTGTTAGTTTAAATTAAACAATTAAAGGAAATATTTTAGATTTCAAAACAAAATTAAGTGGAACTATTTAATTCACTATTACAGATCTTTCAATTTAAGGTACAATCAAAATGAAAAATGATCCAAAACTAACTCCTTTTACTAAAAAGAATATGATTTAAAGAGGAGAAATATTAGATTCTGTTGATTGGATATTTGGTATGGTAATTAGAGTAGGTAATGATTGCATTGCTTAATCTAATTTTTCCAATTAAAATTTTACACAATCTAGTTGGATAAATAATATTTATTAGTAGATTATACTAATATTTATTGTATTGTTTATAATATTATTTGTTCCAAATATCATTTTTTATTCTTTTTAATCTTATGAGAAATATTTCTATAGTAGTATTACTTATTGTTTATTAATAATACCTTAAAATTTATTATGGTTAAATTAATTATGGCTTCTGATTAATATGATAAGAAACAATATGATATTTAATAAACAATAAGATAAAGAATGTGTTAGATAGAAATCAGTTAATAGATTATTGAGTGAAATTAATGAAAATCAATTACTTATTATATCTGAAAATGATAAGAAAGTTCTATTACCAATATAAAAATAATTTAAAATTAATCTCTTAACAATTTAATAAACAGAAATAGAAACTTAAAAAAAGTAGAAAACAAATTTTAAAGGATTTTTGACATTCTCACCTAAAAATATACTTGATATGATTAAAGGAGATATGATATTAATAGATAATCCTTAAGAAATATTTAAAAATAATCATTAAATTATGTAAATAATTACTAAAAATTAAAAATAATATATATTTAACTACTAAAAATTATAAGAATTAATTAAAAAAGCATCACCTACTTTAAAAACCAATTATGAAAAATTATTAATAGATACTAATAGACAATAGACTAATGATGAATAAAAGACACAAGATTTAGATTTTTTATTAGCTGAAAAAAAAGTTCCTAATTTAAGAAATTCAAATGAAAGCTTTAATTAAATTAAAAAACTTTAAATGGCATCAAGGGATGAACTTACAATTAAAACCTTATCAGGCACATAAAAACAATAATTACCTAAAAAGAAAAGTACAAGATATATATTTGATTAATCATTTGCAAAAAAATCATTAGAACGAATTGATTCTATGAAAGATCTAAATAAAGTTAATAATAGTGCTTCCAATATTAATACTACACCTACACCTCCTGTTTCTTTGTAAAAATAAAGAAGTTAATTTTTTGGCAGAGGTGGAACTTTAATAAGATAATTCAATAATAACTCTTCTCTTTAAATATCTCCAATAAAATAGAGTGAAGATTAAGGAACAGACAGATTGATTGGAGATTATTATAATGAATAAGATTTTATAGATTAACTTTATAAAAAGGATGATACTCTTCATAATGAAATTTTATTGATGATTCTAATTACTAATAATATTTTGAGTGTTTTTGATGATTAAACTAGAGAGTTATAATTTAATTTTGGGAATAAATTTGATTAATCATTATTAGAATTTACAAAAATTTTTAATTATTAATTATTATGTAGTACTGAAATTGAAAACTCAAGATTAGATTATTAATTAAAAACATATATAAAAAAGGTTATATCTATAGAAAATTAGGTGAAAGTTTTTGAAATTTTGGCATTTTTAGAACCAACTGAAAATAGAAAGAATACTCTGTCTGTTTTAGTAAGAGATCCTGAATCATTTCTATTAGAAGAGGGTTCTATATTATATACAAGAATTTAAACTAATGAATTGAAAAATCTATTAAAAGGGAAAAATGATTCTAATAACATATAACCAGAATATTATAACTATTATAATGAATAATTATAAGAATTATTATGGGATGGTTAATCAACTTTTATTTACAGTAAAAGATAGTTAAATTAACATCAAACATAAGAATTTTTATAAAAATTATCATAATTGCATGATGCTTATGGGAATAGATCATAAGAAATAGAGATTGAATACTAAAAATTAGAATCATAAAATGAAATTTTATTTTGTATAGGTATTAAATCAGGGCATCATAATAATTAAATACAAATATTACAAAATGAATTTAATATAGATTCTCTTTAAGATGATAAACTTTTTCAAACTTTGTAGATGTAAAATATTAAAACTTGTTTAACAACTTCAGAGTCATATGAAGAATTAATTATTTTTCTTAGATCTCATTAAGTTGTTTAAAAAGAATAAATAGTTCATTTTAATGAAAGAGATATTTAATAATTATAATATAGATTTAGATAACATATATAATATATGTTAGAAGAATAAGATATCATGGGATGTGATATATAAAAACATTTAGAAAAATATATAATCATCAGTAAATAATCATTCAAAATAATATTGTAAGATGATTATCTAAAATATCATTTTGTATTTATTACATAATTTGCAAGTGGATTAGGAGCTTATGAATTTACTGGAAAATGTAATGGATAATTAATAAAATTACTAAAATTAAATAATAAGAAAATAATTACAATTGGAAATTCTCTATAAAATAATTATTTATTTAATAAATCAGATATTAGTTTTACTTTATCTTAAAATAATCGTTTTTTTTGTATAACTTAACCAAATTTCATAGTTAAGAATATTAAATAGATATTTTCACTTTTTTATTTTTATTGTACTTAGTATTTATAAAATTACATTTCTCTTTTAGAAATACAAATATACAGAAGTACTTTAATAGGATTATCAGTTTTTGGGATAAGTTTTTCTTTAAACGATATAAATTTATATACTTTAATAATATTTTATCTTATTCCAAGCAACTTATTAACATTCATTTATTAATAATATTTGCTTATTAATTAAGTAGATTATGATTTGAAACATCTTAATAGTTTTGCTAAAAGATTGAACATATTAAAAAATGAAAAAATATTTAAATAAATAAGTAAAATAATAATAATTGGATTATTTGATTCTTCATTTGTAATTTTATTAGAAAAGGCATTAATAAACTTATCATATAATGATGGTAAGATAAACTAAACATTATAAATAGTATTATTGTATACAGGTATTGAATTATTAGAGAAAAGTAAATTATTATTTATTGTTTTTGATATGTTTAATGATATTTTATATAAGATTAAGCAAATTCTTATTATGATATCTTTAGCATTGATTTTATCAATTAGTTATTTAATAGTACAATCAATTTAAGATAATTAAAAGATTTCATTGTAATTCAATTTTGTAGGATTATTAGTTTTTATATTTATGGTTATATTTTTAGTAGGTTTATCATTTGTGATGTATTAATTATTATAATTCATTAATATTGAGTTTTCATTTCCAATTGATAATGTTTAATTAGATATTAACATGAAAGAGATCAATGATATAAAATAAAACTTGAACTTTGAAATTAATGAAAAAGGATACTTTTAAAATATAAAGAAAATGATAGAAACTTTATTTGAAAATATGGATATTGTTGATGAATAGATAACTAAATTTATAAAAGTAGATTAGACAGCAATAGATTATATGGATAAAAATCATGGATTTTATGATAGAAGAACAGAGAATGATTTTATGGATTTCTTTAGATAATAGAATTGGTAAAAATATAGTTTATTATATGTATTTATATTTTATGAAGTAACAATATTTATAGTTCACTTATACGAAATTATGATGAATAACTTTTCAACATCAATCCTAATAATAATTATTATCTAATTATTAATATAATTATTAATTGTAATTTTATAATTTAAATTCATAAACAATAGAACTTTGTAATAATAATTATAAATATTATCATTTGGATTAAGATTTGTATTTAAAATTCTAATAGATTTACTTTATTTAGATTAAAGTAAGGAATTTAATGCATTTTTATATCATACCTTATTTATTTTATCTTTTGCACTTACAACACAACCAAAAATCAATATATATTTATATGTTGCTTTATAAGTGATTATGTATCTTTTTAATTTAGTATTGGATGGATTCACAATTAATTTTGATAATGTTAATTAAGCTATATTTTGTTCATTAAAATATTTTTTTATAATAATAGAGATCTCATACCCTATTTTTAATTATATATAGAAAATATAATTTTTATAAAGATCATCCTATGTTTATTAAAATAGATTAACTAAGGAATAGAAGAAAATTAATAGTGTATTGGGTCTATTAATGCCACGATTCATTTAAGAAAGAATGAATAAAGGATAAATTTAAATCTCATAAGATTAAGGTGATGTCAGTGTGTTATTTTGTGATATTTATTAATTTGATAAAGTTATTAAAGATTAATAAGAAAAAATTATAGAATTTTTAGATACTATTTATAGAGCTTTTGATTAATTGTGTTAAAATTATGATTTGTAAAAAATTGAAACTGTTGGTAAAACTTATATGGCAGCAGGAGGACTTAAAGATTATGATGTTGTTATAAGTAAGTTCACATTATTTATTATAGATTAAAAAAATGCAAATAGTACTTCTAGAGCCCTTGAAACTGCAATATAAATGATGGAAACTGTAAAAACAATGAAATATGGAGATAATTAAGATGTTCAATTGAAGATAGGAATTCATTATGGCAGAGTGATTGCTGGAGTTATTGGTGTTCATAAACCTTAATTTTCACTTATAGGAGATACAGTTAATACAACAAGTAGAGTATGTAGTACAGGTGAAGCTGGATTTATTACTTTAAGTGAGGCTGCATATTTAAATATTAAGGATAATACTAAATATTCATTTGAATAAAGATCAGTTGCTGCTAAAGGAAAAGGCATGATAGAAACTTATAGATTGATTTTATAATAAAAAGAATCAACAAGAAATTTGACTCCAAAAGTATCAACAAAAGAATGTTAAGACAAAAATTCAATATAAGGTAAAGAAACAAAAAAAATATTAAATTTCAAATCATCTACAGATAAAAAGAATATCCTTAAAAGACCATCTGTATAACCAGCGTAAATTGGAGCTTTAATGCTTGGTGATCATGCTAAGTCACCAAAACTTGTTATAAGATAATTACATAGAGAAACATAGTCTTCTATTATGCCTAATATGATATTAAAATAAAAACCATCAGCAGAAAATTATTAAGATATCAAACGTTTGAATTCTATTAAATCAAAATCATTTAATTAAGTAATTATTATTATATTAATTGCAAGAATGATGATATTCAAATGAAAGAGATCAATCATTCAAGTAATGCAAAAACTCCTGGTTTTTAAAAGAATTGGATTTAAAAACGTCAAAGTGTTTTAGATAATATTTAACCAAATGGTTTAATAATACAAAATAATTAATAAGATTCTATTACATAGATTTAATTCTAAACTGATCCTAAACCATTAAATTAAATTGTATCATAATCCTGTCAATAACAATTATTTTAATCTGGTGTTAATCTATCTCATTAATCTAATCAATAATAATTTTTAAATTCAGCTGATTAATTATTAAAGTATACTGATTAACAGATTGATAACAATAAATAAGAGGGTTTCAATTTTATTCCTAGGCCATAAATTAAGAAGAGAGGAACCATAATTTTGGGAGAACTAATATAAAAAAAGGGAGCAATTATGAAATCTAATACAAAAATAGTATTACCTGAAGAAAGGGATAAAAATTAAATAGTTAAAATATCTGGTGTAGGTGGAGATAGTGATTCTTAAATGGAATAGAAAAGATATATCAGAAATTAAAGATCTCTTAAATTATTATAACTTTAAGAGTCTAGTTCTGCTTTAAAGAAAAGTCCAGAGTCTAATATTGAAAGATTAGAAGAATTAGAAATAGCTAAAAAAAAGATGATTATTACATCTGAATAGAAATTTGATTATTAAACATTAGAAAAAATTAAGAAGTTTAAATTAGACTATGATGATAAGTCTACATTTGAAATTGATAATAATTAATTCAAAAATGATGATTAATAATTGTATCATTCTATTTATGAAGAATACAAAGAATAAGAAAAATCATAGATGAGAACTATTTTAATATTTGTAACTGCCTTAAATTTATTTAAGGGTTTACTTTTATTTATAATAAGCTAAGAATTTTATGATACTTAGATTGAATTAATAATTATATAAGTTTGCTAATTTGTTATATGTTCCATTTTGACAATTTGTTATTCAATGATTTAAGATAAAATGAGTTTAGAAATGCTTAAAATAATTATTTGGATTTATTTTTTTAGTTTAAGTAGTCTATCTATATTAATAATCTTTTTTGAGAAATAAAAGGGTTTTGAAGTAATTTTATAAATAAGTACTATAACAGCTATGTATATAAATATTTATCTTTCATAAATATTAAATTATGAAGATAGATAAAGATTTGTTGCTATATTTATGATTGCAATAACAATTATGATAGTTTATGAAGAATATATTTTAGAAATAATTATTTATTAATTAGGAATAGCAGGATTAACTTTTTTTTATTAAATGCAAGAAAAAGAATTATTATTTAAGAATTATTTAATAAGTTTACAATTATCAACTTAAATAGCTAAATATGAAAACATGCTTTAATATTTAATGCCTCCACATGCATTGAGAAGATTGTTAAATCCAGATTAAGAGAATACAGATACATTCATGGATGTATTAGAAAATACTACTGTTTTATTTGCAGATATTGCTGGTTTCACTAAATATTCAAGTTCTGTTGAACCAGAAACTGTGGTTGATATGCTTAGAAATTTATTCTCAAATTTTGATTAATATTGTTAGAAAGCAGAAATTTATAAGTTATTTACAATAGGAGATTGTTATGTTTGTATGGGTGTTTTAGATTGTAAGAAAAGAGATCCTGCAGGAGAAGTAATTTTTATTTTAACAATAGGCATAAAAAGTCTTAGCATTTGGTTTTAGTATGATTGAAATCATCAATCATTATAAAAAAGATCCATAATATTAGCATCTAAATATGAGAATTGGAGTTCATACAGGTAGAGTATTAGGAGGTGTAGTTGGAACAGATGTTGTTAGATATGATATCTATGGAGAAGATGTTACAATAGCAAATCTTATGGAATCATCAGGATAAGTAATAGATTATATTTATTTTAGGAAGGAAAAATATTAGTCAGTGAAGTCACTAAAAATTTAGTTGAAAGTGAATATGAAGGATTCTAATTTGATTATGCTAAAGATGTTTATCTACCCTCAAAAAATATGACCATATCTACTTACTTTGTTTAACCTAGTGATATAGAATACAGTTAAGATGATTGATTTTTCTTTCTTAATTAATGTATTTATCTTATAATTTACTTTATGATTTCAACAAATAAACAAGTTAAAGATATTCTTTTGCTTAGAATAATATATATATACTTTTTTGGATTAAGTTGTAACAAAAAATAATTCAATTACAATCACCATAATTATTTGAATACTAACTCTATTTGGATATATTTTGATTATAAAAAGTATTTATTAATTAATAATAATTAAATAGTTAAAATAATACATTAGAGATTTTAATAAATAGTAAAAGCCATATCACTTTTATAGAAATATGGTTGATTACTAAAATAAATATAATAAATTTATATTATATAACAAAGATCTTTTCAAATTAAAATTACTATCTCTAAGACTGTGCATTTTTCTATAATTTAAATTATTCAACAACCCTTTTATACTCATATTATAAAATTATTTTATTAAATTGTTGTTTATAAAAAATTAAAAATCCTTAAAAAATATTTAATTTCTAGATTTAATGGAAACTTATTTATTAAACAATAAGTATTATAAAAAACAAAAGAGTTTTGTTAGATTATTTTGATAAATAGTATCTCTTTTTACTTGTTTATGAACCTTCATAATATATATTATAATGAATTTGATTGAATATTTATAATTATTTGGATAAGATTTTTTAAACATATTTCAATGAGATTGAAAATACCTTTAAATAATAAAATCTATTGTTTAAGGATAAGGTAAGCATAAACATAATCATGATAATTTGATTTCACAAAGAATAGGTAAAGGTTCAGGTTTTCTTTTAAAAAATTTGTTTCTAAACAATCCAAAATCTTTATTATCACTCTCCTTATCATTTTTTGAATAATAGTCTTCTTCCTTCTTTTTTGGGTCCGTGCAAAATTAAATTTTTTGTTATCTTAGATAGGTTAAGATTGATTTTATTTTTTGATTAGGTTTATGATACAACTCTAATTCCAATGAATCAAGACTTGAATTAAGGTCTTCTTGCATAAAATATATTTAATTTCAATTAAACATGAATAAATATTTTTTTTTAATATCACTAAAACATAGTCGTTAATTCCAAACCTAATTTATATTAAATTATTACCAATAAAATATATACCTTATAACAATATATCAATAAATCTATTTTTAGTAATAATTTAAATCTATAAATATTAAGATCAAAATTAAAATAACTAAATGCATCCACACAAATTAAATTAAAAAAGTATTAACAAAAATAGTTTAATAATTTTAAATAAAATCAAAGATTTCTATTTACTCAAATGATTCAAATGTAAAAATGATTTTTCAAAGTCTCACTCTTTATAATAATTAAAATAATAGTTTGAATTTAAATTGAAATAAAACATGACATTTATATATGATGTTCTAAAACAAGAAAATAACAATAATACTTAAATTACTAGCTTTTAATATTAAATATTATATAAAAGTATTAAAACATGTTAATTATAATACAATTAGATACTAAATTGATGTGTTATAATTTAAATTATGAATTCAACCTTTATTAAGAATTTAATTTAATTGATTTGTTTTTAATATAGATTGGAAATAGTATATAGATGGTTTAGGAAACTTGGTTAGTAGAATAATTAAAGATATAAATTTTTAACTTGTACTATAAAATGTATCAATTAAATTGAATTAATATAAGAGTATATATATAATTTTATAGGTTTAAAAATTGAATAATTTTTACTACAATATAGAATAAGTTTCAAATAATAGATGTAATCAATATAGATACTTAATAATATATTGATTCCATTTCTTCTACAGATAAAATAGTTTGATATTTAATATCATTTAAGTTATCAATGCTTTAAATTAATTCTTAGTATAAAGTATTAAATATTTTTAATTACCCAACTAAATTTATTTTAATAAGTTTATTAGATAATTCAAGGATTTAATTTTACTTTTACTTAAATAATTATTTTTCTTCTTTGACTTCATTTATAATATCTTCATGATATGGAGAAAGTGTTATAAGCATTGGTGCTATTCTACTTTATCTATGATGATTTAAGATATCTTTTATTTTAACTCTTTTTTAATATTTTCCACTCTTTTTATTATTCAATATTTTTTTTTAAAGATTTTATTCATCCTCTCTAACTTAAGCAAAGTTTTATAACATCTATTTTCCCAATACCATACTAGTTCTTCTTGATTATAATTAAACTTATTTTTTATGATCAATAATCTTTCTAACAGCCATTTTAAATATTGCTTGATATTTCCATTTCTTTTCTTGTTTTTATCCAAAAATATATCTCATTAATTTTTTATGTAATTATTAATATGAATCTTTAACAATATTTCTTTTGAATTGTCTTTCCAAAATTTATTTTTTTGATGCATATTAATTCATCATTTCTCCATCTAATGCACTTATTCTTTTTAATTACTTTGCATTTTCTATATAAATAAATAATAGTTATACTTTTTATTCTAGAAATGCTTTCTTACAATAATAATCTTCTTCTTAATCCTAACTACTCAATTTCAAATAGTAATTTTTCATCTTCTTAAACTAATTGTAAGAATTGTAATACAGGACACATAATTACTACAGAATCTTTACCAGCAATAGCTGATTGTTTACGATTACTATCTTCTAGTATTTCAATTTCACCAAATATATATCCTTCTTAAATATTAAGAAGTGTATTGCCATCTTTATCACACAAACGAATTTCTCCAGCAACTAAGAAAAATACTTCAAGACTAGGAGAACCATTAAAATATATTGTTTCATATTGTTTAAAACAGTATATACTAAAATGAGGTAATATGGCTGCTGCAAAATTAATATCAAAAGCAAAGATGTTAACATTTTCAATTAATTATTTTTGACAAAATGCTATAGCAAATACTTTAAGTTGAGAAGGCAAGGTTTCTATAATTCTGTTATCTTAGTTATATAAATGAAATACTTCTTGTAATTCCAAAATGGATTATTTTCAATATTATAATAATAATAGGAGAATAATTAAGCACTTAATTCTTCTGGAATAAGTATTTGAGACATGAGTGTTTCAAGTGCTTCTAGATCTTCATCAAAACCTTCATTTGAAGATTGTTATTCCAATATTGCTGCTAAATTACCAATAGTAAAAGAATAAAATCCAACTCCTACAAAAATCCATATAATTGTTAAATTATATTACATAGATGTTGTAATAAATACATCACCATATCCAATAACAGTAACTGTTTATATAGCCCAATATAATCCTTGTATATAAATCTTTAAGGTATTATCTTCTTCTGATATACCTTCATATTTTAATACTGAATAAAACAAACAACCAAATAAACTGATTAAAATGAGCATATTTTTAAATATTTTTAATATACTCCATAATTTACCTTCTAATTAAAATAGTTTTTCAAAATATTATGATTAATCTTTAGATGTTTATGTTTCTTAATATATTTATCTTTCATTGTAACTAAAATATTTAACAAATCTCAGTAATTTTAAAAGATTTAAACATAATTATTCAGTAAAATTATTTACAAATAATTTATATGGGATGATACTTATAATATCTAATAATAGCCATCTCTATAAATTAAATAAAAATATAGCCTAGAATGTATTTATTAAGTTATAGTTTTTATCAATTTAACATGTAATTTATTTAAGTATGATATCAATCAAATACAAGCTATCCAATATCAAAATAAAAATAGTCATCACATCCTAAAAATAATTAATATGAATACTAAACTTCTATAATCTGACAGACTTATATATATTGGATACAACATTAAAGTAATAGATGTTTACAATTACATAAATTATTTCCAAACTTGTAATTAATTTGGATAAAATGGCAGCTTTTTTCTTTTCTTATGAATTTATTTAAGTTGTGAAGTTTTATCTGATTCTTTTGTTTAATTAATATGTCTAAAAAATGATAATAGAATCATCAATCTTCTAGATGCAATATCAAATTTGCTTTTTGTTACTCTATCTCTAAAATAATCATCTTCTTCAACAATTTAATCTTAACTAGTAAACTAACTACGCTTTGGAGTTAAAAATGCTCTATTGCTTATTCCACTTGAATAATATCAAGTTATACTGTTTAGGTGAAATAATGAGAGTGGTTTCTTTTGATGTATGTCTACTTTACCTAATTGTATTAAATAGTTTGAGTGAACTATTCAAGTAAAAAAGATATCATACTCTAATCCTGTTTTATAATCCTTTGTGTCAATTGGAGATGAGCAACTTGGATGAACCTATCCAACACTCATTTATATGTTAATTTTTCTAATATTTACAATTACTTAAGCTTTTAATGTACATAATACCTTAACAAAAAATACAATTATTTGTATCACAAACTTGAAAGTTACCCTTAATTGTATGCAATCTAACACATACTCTATTCCATATACATAAAATTATTCATTAAAGTACTGAATTGATAGTATGTGAGACTGTAAGAAAAGACAATATTATACCATTTAAACCTATCAGGTAAGGTAATTATAAATATTCAGAAAATTAACAAAAGATAAAGAAAACTATATACTATTTTAATAGGTCAATTTTTTTATTATTTATGTATATTATAATCCATATCCATAAATGAAAATTTAATACAATTATGAGCATGTAAATAATTGTATATCATTATATATAAATTATATAAAGAAAGAGAACTTCAGTTTAGATAAAACATATTAATTTATAATTTAAAATTATACCTATAGCATCAATTGAACATTCTATTTCTTCTTATCATGTAGATCTATATTATTAAAGTTGATAATATATTGATAGATTATTGATTATTACAGGATGATTAAACAAATTAAGAAACTGACAAATATCAGAGATATATGAATATTACCTTAACGTTTTAACATCCGACCAAGTTTTTTTTGCATTTTTTATCATTTAAAATGAATTGCTACTTCTTTTAGATTTCTTAGTAATTTTTGTATAAAATTTATCAATTCAACTGATATTTCATCAAAAATAGAGTGTTGATATAATCTGTTTAAGGATTCATATATTATTATAAATGAAAATAATCATTATTTTATATTAATCTTAAGGTTCAAATCAATTCGGAAATATCAAAAATCTAAATTTAGAAATAGTTGTTTAAGATTCCAATTCTAAATAGGGAGAAAATAAAAAGATTTGTTTTTATATAGAAGGTATCCTAATTTTAAATAGATTAATAATATTGATACTATATCATAATAATGGGATTAATATTAATTGATATATAAATTTAGATCCAGAAAATATGATAAATTCAACAATTCTTGTATAGAAATTAAGTGTTTATATTTATTAAAATGTATAATAATCAATAATTATAGAGTATATTAATAAAAATATTATTCATTATTAATAGGATTATTTTTTAATGCATTAGTATCCACTAATATTTTTCAATCTCAATATAGTTGATTATTCAATGTTTTCCTTTGAGGTTTATTTTTAATTTTTTTGTTTTGATTGGCAATTCTACTTTAAAACTTGATTATAAATAGATTCTCCAGGATGACTGCATAGTTCCTTAATTATTCTATCTTTCAGAGTATCTTCATTTGTTGTATTTTAATTGGGTTAAGAGGTATATTATTATATATTCATATTAGCAAGTATAAATTATCTCTTTCCTTCTATTTAGTCTAAAGATGGTTATTTTGGTTATTTTGAATTTGTTCTTCTATTCATATTATTATCTTATTTATGATTCTATTAATTATTGATTCTAGAATAGAGTTCTTAATGAAGAGGAGTTAATGATTATTATTGTGGTTATGAATCATAATTTTTTTTAGAAAATTCTGTTTAATTCTTTTATTCTAATAAATTATTATTTACTAAAGGATATTGATATTAAGCTTAAATAGATGAACATATTTACATTTTTGACTTATATGATTGGTTATTAACTTAAAAGTTTATGGTATTGCATTTGTAAAGTGTTTTTAATGTTTAGGTGTCAATTATCGATCTTCAAAACTGTTTCTATCAATCTCTTTTGTTTGTCTTTATATATATAACTAATTAATATTATTATTTAATAATTAATTTGAATTTTCTTCTTATTTTTAACCTTCAATTTTTGTATTTTACTTTTCTGATTATTAAATAAAACATTTATCATTCAATTCAAATTAATTATTATTTATTTAATCTGCCACACTGATATTATGTTTAACACTATCTCTATCATTAGGAGTTACTTAATGATTTTTCCTATCTTGAAAAACCTTAAATTACCAATTTTCTGGAGTATTAGTATAAGTATTACTTTCTATCTTTGAATTCTATAATATTGATACTGGATTAGAAAATGTATTCCCTTTTTGTTTTTACTATTGTTATAATATTTAAGTTGAGCTTTTTCCAGGAGATAATATGTGATCTTTAACTGGATTAGAACAAGTACTCTAATATATATCATCACCTTTCAATAATTCAAATACCTTCATATTTATTGGAGAATTTGTAGCTTTACGTATTATTTTTGGAGTATTTTAATTTTAAATTTAATAATTAACTTATTCAAAGGAATCTTCAGTATTTAATAATAAATTATAACACATCTTATTCATTGCAGTTAATATTTAATTATATTCAAATTAAATTGATTTTTGAATATATTCTTAATTAAATTCTTGAATCTATTATTTAACTTAAGACACTTTTTTATCATATCTACTCATTATATCTTCAAATGGTTTCATTTCCATATTTTTAACTATATTTTCATGATTTGTAGTTATATCAATTTCATATTATTTTAATTAAGTATCAATTTATTAAATAAGACTTATATTATCTGTAACTTAGTTTAATTAATTTATGTGATCATTTTCTATTTTAGACAAATAAGTTAGTTTCAATTAATTAGCAATATTGATAACAAATTCAAAAAATAAATTACAATTATCTTTTTATTCCTACAATTACTTTGAAGAATTTATTTATAGATTATTTAGTTTCTAAAATTTATTTGAACATTATTTTAGAACTTCTCTTAACTACTCTTAAAAACTCTAAATTCTTTATTATCTATAAATTTCAGGTTATTTTTCTTATTTTTCTTATGTTTCCTCTATTTTCAATCCTTTAAGTGCTAAATTCAAAGCACATTTAGAACAAAATAATTTACTAATATCTTATTGAACATAATATTTTGCCTAATTTAATTATATTGTTATACTTTTTTATTTGGATGTTTTGCACAACTATTATTGCATTATTCTTTCTACTTGAAAATATTAGACTTCTTTAGTATTCTTTCTTATTCAGTTTATATAAATGATTTTTCATCTGATTCAGAAGAAGAAATTTATACACTCATTATCTGTTAAAAATATTTATAAATAAATAAAAAAGAAGAAAGAATAGGTAGTATACAAAATACTATATTCATATATATTTTAATAAAAGAAACACTAAACTTCTATCTAATTTTATATCTTCTTTATTTTAAATCTTTATTGAAATATAAATTTGTTAACTATTAACTTTATTAATATTATAATTAATTATAATGTTGTTGTCTTTAATATTTTCAAATTTAAAAGCAATACATAATATTATATATATGTTATTGAAATAAATGAAAGTTCTATAATAAATTTAAATAGATAAATTATATTATATAATTTCATTTCTTTTTATGAATTAATTAGTAAAAATTCTAAAATATTTCTTAATTGGTCATTTTTTCTGATGAAAATTAAATATTTTGTTTAAAAGAATTTAATTAATCACTTAATATCTCTTTTTCAAAATTTTCATAATTTTTATAAATACAGAATTATATTTTTGTTTATTATAATCCTACAAATTAATTTGTATGATATCTTTCAATATCTAGACAAGTTTATTTGAAATTAAACCTATTTTAAGGTCCTAAACTACTTGCAAAATATTAAGCTATTATATATCCAATAGTATTAAATTATAACTATTTCATATTATGAATTGTTTATTAATTTTAACAATTTATTTATTAAGATTTATTATCAATTTAAATTAATTAGATTGAAGATACTTCTTATTTATACATTTCCATCATCTATTACAAGGTTTAGTTAATACTTGTTATTTTTTCAAAATAATTTCTTTATTCCCAATTTCTTTTATAATCATCTAATTAAAATGGTTCAATATTTTATAATTATGTTATTATTGAATTAGCTACATTTAAATTAGGATGGGTTAAAGAAATTTATAAAGAGTTTTCAAATTTTTTAGATTATTTTATGGATAGTTTAATTGATTTTTTTAATGGTTAAACTTGATTTATAATATTAGTATCACTATGAATAATAGATAGCAATAATTTAATAAAGTAAACTAAATTCATAATAATAGAAATAAGTTTTTATTTATCAGTTGTCAAAACTAAGTTTTTAAGATTTGAAATTTGATTTTATTGTTTATTTTTTTTGTATTCAATTTGAAGGTTAAGACATAAATCAATTATAAATTAATCCAATTTTAAGATATTGATATCACTTTTAATTTATTAATAACATATTTAATATAAATTAAATAGATTATTATTTAAATTGTAAAGGAAATAATTCAATTGCAATTATTATTTTATGTTTTGTTGAATATATGTTAAGTATTCGTATTTAGATATTTCACGATAAAATTATTAAATAATTTCAAGTTAATGATTGATTTATTGTAAACTTAATTTTGAATTAAACTAGAATTAAAAATAATTTTATTACATATTATTATTTATCTCTTTATTCAATTGCATTTATATACTTATCATATTTATCCTCTTCAATTTCTTCAAATAACAATAATATTTAAGGTTAAAAGGAATTACAATAAACCTAAGTAACTTTGAATTTCCATAATTTAGACTTATTTTATTCTTCTAAAATAGCAAAATATTTTTGAACAGGATGTTCTTCATTTTTCATTTTAAGTTCTTATATTATTAAATGTTCTATTTTTATATATTATTAGGTATTTTAATTGTCTATATCAAAGAAAACTAATTTTCTTAAGAAATCTCTGAATGCTTCATTGTTTTATAAATTGAATGTATCCTTAAAATGTTAATTTATCTTTTCAATATCCAATTAACCAGCTAATTTATTATATTTGACAATAACTACCCAAGAGGGTAATAAGTCTTCTAAAATATTATCATATTGAACTTTAGATAAATTGACTAAAAAGTGCTTTCTTTTGATTATCTCATACTGATATCTTAATAAAACAAGTAAAATAGAAATTATACAATGAGAGATGATAGATTATATATCATATGTTTAAAAATTATAGAAGTTTGCAATTTAAGTTAAAAGAAAGAAACATGTTTAAAAAATAAATGAGGATCCAGTTATATAAATTACTATGATAAATATAATATTTCTTACAGAATTTTAGAATTGATGTATGATAACCATAATACCAAAGGTCAGATTCTGATCCAAAGAGTCTTAAACTTTCAACTAAAGCACTCATTAATAATATATTAGTAGTAACGAAGATTTCTTTATATTTTTGATATCTCCTCATTCCAATATAACAAGCCAATATTAATGTTAAGCAAACACTAGCCAATATTTAAGGTATCAAATTCTAATATTGATTATACTTTATGATTATTAGAATTATATAGAGGGTAATTGTTGCATATAAGTATTCACGTCTATGCTTTAAACCAATTAGCTTTGATTATCGATACATCTATTCAATCTCTTGAGACACATACTGTAAACTATATGTTTTAATCATAAGTTTATAATATTTAAGAATAATCTTATTTATCACAAAAAATGAACGATTTCATACATTAAATTGAATAAAAATTATACTTGATCAATTTATTATATCTATATAATTTAAAAAATATTATTCTTTAAGTTATAATAACTTATATTAATTAAACAAACTAAATAAAATAATAAATAAAAATGAGTTATGAAACTAGAGTAATTATGAATTATTAGTTTAATACTTGTGATATTATTGGAAGAGGGTTTAGTTCTATTGTATATAAAGGGATCAATACTATTACAAAAGAGAATGTAGCCATTAAAGTAATCATTATTTATTATACTGTCTTAGGTTATCAAGAGACAGTTTTCTGACCAATTGCCACTTATTTAGAATGAAATATAAATCCTATCCAAACTACAGGGACGCAATATATTAAAGTTTTATGAGCATTTCACAACTTAGAACAATATATATATTATCACTGAATACTGTAGACAAGGAGATCTAGCATAGAAATTAAAGTAATTTGGATACTTGAAATAAGAATATGCTGTAGCTATTATTCGATAAATCATAGATGGTATTTATGTGATGGCTTAACAAAGTATTCTAAATTATCATATGAGATATTATACATAGAGACTTAAAGCCATAGAACATCTTAATTAATGAAGATGCCATTAAAATAGCAGATTTTGGATTCGCAAAGCCATTAAATCAATTATAAAATGAAATGAATGTTGGTACTCCTCTCTACATGAGCCCAGAAACCATAATCAAATCATAATATAACGCCAAAAGTGATATTTGGAGTCTAGGAGTTCTCTTTTATGAAATTTTATTTGGATGTCCACCCTGGTAAGCATAGACTGAATAAGAATTGATTTTTAAAATGCTCAATTAACGTATTTCATTTCCAGATGTTCCTCCTGTTTCTGAAACAGTAAAAGACTTTATCAAATAATGTCTAATAGTTGATCCATATTTAAGATTAGGAATTACAGAACTCATTAAACATCCATTAATAAAAAGAACAACAAAAAAAACAGAAAAATTTGTTAGGCCAACAGATACCGAAAGTACTTAATAAACTATAAAATCTGAAATTCCAAATAGTTCAGAACCATGGACTTCAAATAGTTCTAATAAAAAATTAGTATATGTAAGTTGTAAGAATCCTTAGGTTAATGTAATTCTAAATAAGTATTTAAATACAAAAAACAATTAAATTACTAATAATAACACTATTCCTAAAAATTAATCTTTGTTTGATGAAATCTAATTGATATTACAAAGTCAATTCTCTTTGTGCATATTTTTAAATAATATAATATCAAAATTAAAAGATTTCAAATTGATTACACCTTTATTAAATGAAAAATGTAGAATTATTTTTTCAAAACATCTATAAAATATCAAAGAAACAATTTATAAATAATTGATTGAAAGTGATAATAAATTTAAATTTAAAGATTGGTAACTTTTTTGTAAAGAAAATGCTTATAGTAGATTTAGTGCTAAATTCTTATTAGAAAATAACTAATTTACTAAAACATGTTTAGAATATAATTAAATGATTAAATCTAATAAATCATTAATAATTGAGTATTAAAAATATGATTCAGAATTCTATTAAATTTTGTTTGGATTAGAATGGAAGGTTATTAAAAAGATAATTAGAAATTTAATAATAGAATTTAATCATATTATTGCTTAAAATATTAATACAAGTAATTTATGTAATAAAATCAGCAAATCCTAATAAATTGAGATATCCTTCTTATAACAATTATATTATTATTTTGAAATTGTTGATAAATATTACTTAAAAGAATTTGATGAAAAGAAATTCGCTCAAGAATCTAAAATTTAATAATATATGGTAGTAAAAGAATTGAAAATATCTGATTACTTAGAATTAAGATAACTAATAAAGAGACTAATGAAATCATGAAATATAAATATATTTCATAAATTTTGTATAAAATCATATGAAAAACAAAGTAAACTTAATAGTATAGATTCATTTTTTAAAAATCCATTAAGAGTATTCTAAAGAATTTCTAGGTTTATCTAAAAATATGAATCTATTTTTCTTTTTTTTATGTAAATTCACTTGAAAGTTGTGTAATTTCTATCTTTTTATTAGAGAATAATACTATCAATTTTTCAATGTTTTCCACTTCATTCTTATATCTCATTAAAGATTCTATTCATGCTTTCCTAATAATATATATAATGATTGATTACATTAATTTAATTAATTTAGTGTTATTTGATTTATTAGATTAATATTAAGATTCAAGAGTATTATTAAACTTTATAGATTTTTAATAATTATCTTTTATATCTTATGATTATTGAATTTACAAATTATGAGATTTTTTTATTATTTCAATATGTTTTGGTATTTATTCAAAGTTATTATGAGGTTATCTGATATTTAAGTTATATTTAATTTCATTTCTATATACTATTGAATTTGTTCCATTTCGTATTGATTAAACTTCTGTTAACCTTGGTTAATATTCACTTGATCGAAATCCATCACCTTTAATTGAGAGTTTTTGGCAAGATCTAAAATTTTGTTTCTAACGGAAACGATCCATAATTCTTGATGCCATTTCAGTAGCTTCCTTTTCGATATTAATTTCACAATTTAATTAATAAGAAGACAAACGGCCATTCATTTTTATATTATATTTTATTTATTAATATTATTTAATAATTATTCAATACACTCTCTTTTTAGGAGGAACCGTATCAAATTCTATTGGATCTTAAGTCTTAGTGATAACCTATAAATTATAATAATAATTAATACGTCTCTATAAGTTAATTCAATATCACCACTTTTAGTGTCTTTAATTCTTGCTAATGTATGTTTCATCCAATTCTTATCATCTCTATCTGGAAAATCATCACGAGCATGTGCTCCTCTTGATTCTTTTCTATTTAAAGCTCCTTCTATAGTCATTTTACCTTATACTGAAATAATATTTAAATATAGAATTACATAATAAATTATCTAATTCTAATCCTTCAATCAAATCAGAATTCCATACAAGTCCTTTATCTTTAATTCTAATATCATCTTTCCTTGAATAAATTTCTTTAACTTTTTCAACACCCTCTTATAATGTTTTTTCAATTCTAAATACAGCAGCATGTTTCTGCATTGTTCTTTGAAGATCTTTTCTAACTTAAGCAACTGTTTAAGATCCTTCATGATGTCTTAATCTATCAATTCTAGCTATAGCAGCTTCTCCAGCATTTTTAGGTAAATCTGGTTATTTCTATCCAGGTTTCCATTTCTCACCAACAAGATTAGCAGCTTGTCTTCCAAAAACAACTATATCTAATAAAGAATTGGCTCCCAATCTATTTGCACCATGAACTGAAGCACAAGCAGCTTCACCAGCTGCCAAAAGTCCAGGAACTACTTGATCTTTGCCTCCAACTTAATTAAGAACTTCAGTTTTGAAATTGGTTGGTACTCCACCCATATTATAATGAACAGTTGGTAAGACTGGTGCAGGTTCTTTGGTAACATCAACACCTGCAAATATTTTAGCTGCTTCACTAATTCCTGGTAATCTTTCATGTAAGAGTTCAGCAGGCAAATGATTTAGATGCAAGTAAATATGATCTTTTTCTGGTCCAACTCTATAAATGATAATAATCTAAGAGGTACCCTCTTCCCTCTAAAATTTCCTTAGTCATAGCTCTAGAAACAACATCTCTACTAGCTAAATCCTTAGCTGTTGGAGCATATCTCTCCATGAATCTTTCTCCCAATGAATTTCTAAGGATACCACCTTCTCCTCTACATCCTTCAGTCATCAAACATCCAGAACCGTATATACCAGTAGGATGAAATTATACAAATTCCAAATCCTCCATTGGTAAACCTGCTCTAATTGTCATACCTCCACCATCACCTGTACAAGTATGAGCAGATGTGCATGATTAAAATGCTCTTCCATAACCTCCTGTTGCTATAACTGTATATCCAGCTCTAATTCTATGGATTGACCCATCTGCCATAGACATACAAACAACTCCTCTACAAGCTCTATATTATATTAATCACAACAATTAAATTACCCTTGGTCATCCATCATCAAATCAAGAGCAAAGTACTCTACAAAGAATATACAATCATATCCTAAAGCTCTTCCAAATAAAGTATGTAACATAGCATGTCCAGTTCTGTCTGCAACAGCACAACATCTATAAGCTTATCCTCCTGTTCCGAATTTCAAACTCTATCCTCCAAATGCTCTTTGATAAATCTTCCCTTCTGGAGTTCTTGAAAATGGTAAACCATAACTTTCCAATTCATAAACTGCCTTTGGTGCCTCCTTACACATATAAGTAATAGCATCTTAGTCTCCCAGCCAATCAGATCCCTTTATTGTATCATATGCATGCCTAGATATGTCTTAATCACTACCATCTCCAATCATCTTCTGTCATGTTTCCTAATGCTGCATTAATACCTCCTTAAGCTGCTACTGTATGAGATCTTGTGGGAAACAACTTTGAAATACAAGCAGTCTTAAACCCTAACTCTACTAAACCAAATGCTGCTCTTAAACCTGCACCTCCTGCTCCTACAACAACTGCATCATATGTGTGATCTATCACTGTATATTTGTCTGTCAGATGGCCCTATCAATTATATGCTTTGGTATTACTTAAGAAGGACCCACTCCTGGTTTATTTTTTGACACTACACAGAATCGATTAACTAATTTTGTGGCTTGTTGATTGTACAAGGCCTAAGTTGTAATTCTGAACATTGGATTAAAAATATATAAAATAAGATATTATTAATTATGATCAAGAAATTCCTACTCATGCCTATAATTAGCTATGTTGTTTATTTGTCAATTCAAATTAACAGAAATGAAACCCATATCATATCTATCTTGAATATTGTTGCCAACATGACTGGATTTTAATCTATTGATAATACAGCATGGATCATAATCTTTAATGTTTTGGCATTTTCAATTTTATTTGGAATATCTTACATCAATTATGCATTAGCCATCCTACAATTTATTGTCCTTTTTTTGCACATTTAGACTTTAGATGACTTTGAAATTACAGAATTAAGTCAAGCATTTAAAATTGTTGCAGCTGATATTGCTATACTTGGTGTATTATTAGCAACAATTAATTAAAAAAATTAACAAAAAGTTGAAGATGAAACACAACCAAAAGAAAAACAAGAATGATCAATTAATTAATATTTATATGTATTATAATATTATTGTTTATACATTAATATATATTATTATTTCTTATTTTAAGCTTATTATACATTTATTTTCATAAAAGCATGCAATTATGAATGATAAGGATTTAGTAATTTAATTGTATTTATTAATCATTATAAATAAATCCTTTAATATTCTTATTGATATAAAATGAATATCTCAATCTTACTTATCTTAATGATTATCATCTTTTATTTATTATTCAGTATTTTATTTTGGTTCACTATCTAAATTTTGTGTGACAACAATCTCTTTTTCAGGAGTAGGTAACCATCTAGGTAGTTCTACACTTTTATTAGTTTTAAGATGGTAAGTATGTTAATCTTCTTCTTTAATCATGTGATTGAATTCCTTATGAGGTAAATTTTTAGCTTTTTCTAATTTTGATGTCAATTTCTTCTGAACTTCTTGTGATCTCAATAATTTTTACATCATATATGATTCTTCCATTTCCATCTTTTCCTAATAAGCCCTATTTTATTCACATACTCTTTTATTTTCCAATTTTGCTCTAAAGCTTAATTTAATAAGAATTACTTTTCATTTTCCTTATGAATATGAGATAATTTTTCATTCCAATAAATTGATATATTAGTTTTTGATTTTGACAAATTTTCCTAAATTTGTTCTCTTCTCTCTCTGTTCTTTGTAATAAAGTCTTACTTTTATTTATTAATGAATTTAGAATTTTTTAAAGATATTTCTCTAGATTAGATGATATTTTGTAAGTGTACTTAATTCTTTTATATTCTTCTAATTTTATTTATTCCATTGCTTTTTTAATCATAGCTAATTATTCTTCTTATTATTTTTTGTGGCAATAATTAAATTTCTATTTATCTTTCAATAATTCTTCATCATTCTTTTAACTTAGTTTTTTCTAATGATTTTCAATTTAATAATATTAGTTACTTATTCAATTTATTAATGATGATTCTTTTTCAATTCAATCATAGATTTAGTTTTCTTTTTAATTTCATCAATTTTCTTAGATAACTGTGCATCACCTCTCTTTAATAATTTAAGTCTATTTTTCATCAATAAGATATCTTTCTCAGTCTCTTAACGTAATTTACGAGTATGCCATACAGTTTCTTCATTTTCTCTTTAGAATGATAGACGAGAAGTCTTCATTTTTTTATTTATTTAATGAAATCAGATTTTATTTGTCATCGAAAACATTTATTTAAAGATTCTATATATCATATAGAAATCCAAAATGATTAGTTACTTTTACTTAATGTATATAGATAATTTTTATCATTCAGACAGAAGGATTGGCAAAATATACAATAAATTTAAATTGGTCTGTAGAAATTAGTTGGAATACTTTGAACTCTGATCCTTCATTTGGATTTATGTTCAATTCAAAAATTAAATGGTTTCATGCTAAGCCTAAAACAATAGAAATGTTAAGAAATGCTATTAAAAAACACATAACTTCTACAGATTTTCAAATATTTTATAATATAGGATCACATATATCTAAAGGTCAAAATAGTTATTGCTATGAATTCATATAAAATAATGATGATAAGTTGAATTATGTTGTTAAACTTATAAAAAGAGAATAAATAGGAGATTTAAACTAATTATACAATGAACTAAATATACTTAAAATATTGAATCATCCAGGACTTCCAAAATTTATCGAGTTCTTTAAAACAAATAATACTTATTATATTGTAATGGAAAAGATAGAAGGATAAAAATTGAGTAGATTGAATTCAACAACAAAATAATAATTAAGTTTAATTTAAATATAGTAAATTATAATTGAGTGCTTAAAGATTTTATAATACTTAGCACAAATATAAGTTATTCATAGAGATATTTAACCAGATAATATAATATATGATTAAAAGCTCTAAAATGCATCAGTAAAATTGATTGATTTTGCCAAAGCTACTATTATTGGAACTGATCAAAAAATATTAGGTACTCCAGGATTCATAGCTCCTGAAATTTTAAAGGAAAATAAATGCTCTACAGATTCAGATATGTTTTCCTTGGGTTGTGTATTTTATAAATTGTATATTAATTAATTAATTAATTTTAGATTAGTCAAATAAGATTTATTTTAAGGAGTCAATAGAGAAGAAACTATGAAAGAAAACCAAAAATGTTTATTTAATCTTAAAAATCTTTAATTGATTCGCATTCCATAAAGTGCTTAACATTTGTTATCTTAAATGTTATCATTAGATCCTAAATAAAGAATTAAACCAAATGAAGCCATAAATCATCATTTCTTTAAAGAATCTATCGAAATTAGTTCCTCTCCTAAGTTTAGCACCAAAAATTTATCATTAACTAAATCTATAGGAAATTTGGATGCCATTTTGACAAGTCCTACATAAAATTAATAGAATTTATTGGATTAATAGATCCTAATTGATTACTTTTAGAATGAATTACCACCTATCAACTAAGTTCCAGTGATGAAATAAGTCAAAGGAGGATACCGTTTTACACATTCAACTGACACCGATACTTTAAAGAAACTAAAGGCTGAAAATATATTAAATTGATATCATTCTCATAAAATTGATAAGTTTTTTGAAATTAAATCTTAAATATATAATAATTCTGTTAACTGTTTTTAAAAATCAGTATTTAGATTTTTATTTTATAAATATATATATTAAATAATTTAAATTACAAAAAGCTAATTTATACTTTTGATTTAATATATTTATATTTGATGTGTCATGCAATAAATTAAAAAACCATTAGATTTATTATTCTTATATTCCATCTTAATATTGTTAAACAAGTTAAAATTATAAGAATTATTATGAACTTATAATCTCTATACTAATTAAAATGATGAATTTATATTAAGAATTTAACAAGGCTATTAATTTAAAAAAATAACTATGATAATTTGTTATTCTTTTATAAATACACATTTTAATATATAATTGAAACTTTAAAGAAAAAGAGGTAAATAATATGTAAGAAAAGATTGGAAGGGAAAATAACAAAATTGCAATATAAATAATAGAGTAATGTAGAAAAGTAATTTTAGATATAAAGAACAAATAAATTAATAAATTTTTAATAAAGATATGAATCTATTATTATTTATTATTATTTCTTTATTCTTCAAAATAGATTTAATGAGATTTTATAAGTTTATTGTCTTTGTTTCTATGAATGTTATAAAATCTATCATTTTATAACGACTAAAATTTTTTCAATTTTTTTATAAAAGTGTTGCTGATATCTAAATAGAAATATATTAAATTTTTTATTATTATATAAACTCTATTTCTATTTCTACAAAATAATCATTTTTTCAATATTATAAAATGAGATAAAAAATCAAATATATTAAATAATATTATATTATAAAGCTCATTAATAAACATTTAATATCAGAGTCTTATAATAAATATAGTAAAATTAATTTCTATTAAATAATTAAGAAATATATAAATTTAATGTAATGCGTGAATGGAACTAATGAGTTTAAAAAAAAATTGTCTATGCAAGCCTCAGATTATATTAACCAAGAATAACTGAATTAACAAACTACTGATAAGACATAAGGGTTTAATTTTTATAATTCAAATATAATAATAAATCAAAATGATAATTTTAAAGGATAAAAACATTTCAGTACTAATATGAATTTTGTTAATTCTTCAAATCTATAATTTTAAGGAAAAGCAATGACTAACAATAATTAATTCTAAATTATGCAATTCTCAAATTAAATTGAATAATCAAATAAAGAAAAAGAAAAAGAAAGTCACATTAAAGATCTAATGAAAATTTCATAAAAGGCAGTTTAAAGAAGGAAGGAAAGAATTCTTGAGAAATACATGTAGCCTAATTAAAATATAATTGAAGACTAATAATCATGATTATATATAAATATATATTTGGATATATTATTTTTATTTAATAAAGAACAATTATTATTAAGTTATAGATGATGAATTACAAAAAATTCCCAATATTTTTTTCAAAAGAATATCAATAAAATTATAATAAATCTTAATAGAATACTTATTAAGAAATTGAATTGAAAATTAGAAACACATTCTCAACTAGAGATAAAATTTTAAACTAATTTAATAAGTTTGAATTAGATTCACAAAAATATCTAATCATAAATGGTTGATTTATTTTATAATTTTATGAAAATATTACCAACTTTGCTTAATCTCTATTTAATCTAAATTTAAATACTTATATAATCTAGTATGATAAATGAAAATAAAATGTCATAATCAATTCTTATTCAATCTTTTTATTTAAAATTTTAGAATATCAATATTAGATTAGATAAGATGATCATCTAATTAATAATATAAGAATTATTCAATTATCTTGTGCTTATTTCTGTTGCATAATAATTTAATAAATTTGATCTGCATCAATGGCTGAATATATTGGATTATCTTGACTATCTTCATAATCATCTTCATCTTCTTTGTCAAAGAATTTAGTATAACAACCAGGGAATACTTCTTTATCAATTTTGATTTTTCCTCTCACAGTTTTAATTTTATCATCTTTATCTTATTTCATTAGTTCATTTTTCTTTTTCTCTATTAATTTCATTTATTTCTTTGCTAATTAAGCTGTTCTTTTTTAAACAGGTTTACTTTTTTCAGATTTCTATTTATCTGTATTGTTCATAACATCCATTACATCAACTAATAAATCTGTTTTTAAAGTTGCTTTCTAAATTTTAGCTTCATTATACCAATCATAAAATGTTTGATTTTAATCAGTATTGCAAACACAATAAATTGGACTCTATTTAATTTCTTCCATATCAGCTTTTGTAAAATTAGTTCCACCAGTTACTTTATTAATTTCTTATTCAGTTCTTAATACATCTTCATCTTCAGTATTTTCTGGACTTGAACTTAATAAAAGTGCTTCATCCCATCTTTTAACTTTAGTTGGTTTTTTATATTTTATTTTTTTTCTTTCATCCATTTTAATAAAATCTGGAGTTTCATCAGATGGTTTTAATTCATTACAAGCTATCAATACAATTAAATCAATAATAAATATGTTTTAAAGAACTCTAGCAAACTTTTCTGGTGTAATCNATTATATATAAATATATATTTGGATATATTATTTTTATTTAATAAAGAACAATTATTATTAAGTTATAGATGATGAATTACAAAAAATTCCCAATATTTTTTTCAAAAGAATATCAATAAAATTATAATAAATCTTAATAGAATACTTATTAAGAAATTGAATTGAAAATTAGAAACACATTCTCAACTAGAGATAAAATTTTAAACTAATTTAATAAGTTTGAATTAGATTCACAAAAATATCTAATCATAAATGGTTGATTTATTTTATAATTTTATGAAAATATTACCAACTTTGCTTAATCTCTATTTAATCTAAATTTAAATACTTATATAATCTAGTATGATAAATGAAAATAAAATGTCATAATCAATTCTTATTCAATCTTTTTATTTAAAATTTTAGAATATCAATATTAGATTAGATAAGATGATCATCTAATTAATAATATAAGAATTATTCAATTATCTTGTGCTTATTTCTGTTGCATAATAATTTAATAAATTTGATCTGCATCAATGGCTGAATATATTGGATTATCTTGACTATCTTCATAATCATCTTCATCTTCTTTGTCAAAGAATTTAGTATAACAACCAGGGAATACTTCTTTATCAATTTTGATTTTTCCTCTCACAGTTTTAATTTTATCATCTTTATCTTATTTCATTAGTTCATTTTTCTTTTTCTCTATTAATTTCATTTATTTCTTTGCTAATTAAGCTGTTCTTTTTTAAACAGGTTTACTTTTTTCAGATTTCTATTTATCTGTATTGTTCATAACATCCATTACATCAACTAATAAATCTGTTTTTAAAGTTGCTTTCTAAATTTTAGCTTCATTATACCAATCATAAAATGTTTGATTTTAATCAGTATTGCAAACACAATAAATTGGACTCTATTTAATTTCTTCCATATCAGCTTTTGTAAAATTAGTTCCACCAGTTACTTTATTAATTTCTTATTCAGTTCTTAATACATCTTCATCTTCAGTATTTTCTGGACTTGAACTTAATAAAAGTGCTTCATCCCATCTTTTAACTTTAGTTGGTTTTTTATATTTTATTTTTTTTCTTTCATCCATTTTAATAAAATCTGGAGTTTCATCAGATGGTTTTAATTCATTACAAGCTATCAATACAATTAAATCAATAATAAATATGTTTTAAAGAACTCTAGCAAACTTTTCTGGTGTAATCATCTTTTTTAATTCTTCTGTTATTACTTTATAATCTTCTTTATGATTATCTACTACATAAGTCAATAATTTAATAAGCATTTAACAACTTTATATTATTTCTCTTGCAGATTAATCTTTAACACTAGAAGGTTCTCTTGCATTAATTTCCAAAATTCTTTTTTTTGTAGTATCTCTCATATTTTCAATCTTAGGTTGATTATAAGCAACCATTTTACCCATCATTCTATTTAAATCAACTAATTTAAATTAAAAATGAGCATAGAATTTCTAACTCAAAAAACATTTATCTCTAATTTAACCTATTGCTTCATATTCAGCTTTAACTGCATCCCAATGACATTTATATTTTACACAAATATGCCAATGTGTAACTGTTTCTTCTGCTGAAAATATTTGTCTATTAATTTTTGGATCTATTGCTCTCCATCTAGCTTATACCATAGGTTTATGGGGTATAGAAAGACCATAAATTGTTTTCATTTATCTAGTAATTTCAGCCCATTTTGCTTCTCCAAGTGTACCAACCAATTCAGTCAATACTTCATCAAACTAATGTTAATATTTATCTATACCCTTGGTGTATATATTGGATTATGTTTAGGCATATAATAAAATAATTTTATTATACTAAACAGGCCATTGATTGAGTTTGCAATTAACCCAAATTAATGCAATGATTATGTAAAATGTCTTTTAATATTTTTCTCTTATTTTTTAATATTAATATATAATATTTATATTATTCATTTCTTTCCAAAAGAAGTTTAATTAGCCATTTCCAATACTTATTATTTGAAAATATGAATAACTTCATCTATTATAGCATTCTCCTCTATAAAATAATCTTGATATACTTACCATTTCTTCTATTCAATTCAGTCTCATATAATTCTCTCAATTCTTACAACGATGCTGTAGCTGCATTAATAGNTCTTATTCAGTTCTTAATACATCTTCATCTTCTGTATTTTCTGGACTTGAACTTAATAAAAGTGCTTCATCCCATCTTTTAACTTTAGTTGGTTTTTTATATTTTATTTTTTTTCTTTCATCCATTTTAATAAAATCTGGAGTTTCATCAGATGGTTTTAATTCATTACAAGCTATCAATACAATTAAATCAATAATAAATATGTTTTAAAGAACTCTAGCAAACTTTTCTGGTGTAATCATCTTTTTTAATTCTTCTGTTATTACTTTATAATCTTCTTTATGATTATCTACTACATAAGTCAATAATTTAATAAGCATTTAACAACTTTATATTATTTCTCTTGCAGATTAATCTTTAACACTAGAAGGTTCTCTTGCATTAATTTCCAAAATTCTTTTTTTTGTAGTATCTCTCATATTTTCAATCTTAGGTTGATTATAAGCAACCATTTTACCCATCATTCTATTTAAATCAACTAATTTAAATTAAAAATGAGCATAGAATTTCTAACTCAAAAAACATTTATCTCTAATTTAACCTATTGCTTCATATTCAGCTTTAACTGCATCCCAATGACATTTATATTTTACACAAATATGCCAATGTGTAACTGTTTCTTCTGCTGAAAATATTTGTCTATTAATTTTTGGATCTATTGCTCTCCATCTAGCTTATACCATAGGTTTATGGGGTATAGAAAGACCATAAATTGTTTTCATTTATCTAGTAATTTCAGCCCATTTTGCTTCTCCAAGTGTACCAACCAATTCAGTCAATACTTCATCAAACTAATGTTAATATTTATCTATACCCTTGGTGTATATATTGGATTATGTTTAGGCATATAATAAAAATAATTTTATTATACTAAACTGGCCTTCAATTATGTTTCCCAATTATCCCAAAATAATCCAATGATTATATAAAATGCCTTATAATATTTTTCTTTTATTTTAATATAAATATATATTTATATTAATCATTTCTTTCCAAAAGAAGTTTAATTAGCCATTTCCAATACTTATTACTTAAAAATATGGATAACTTCATCAATTATAGCATTCTCCTCTAAAAAAATAATCTCATTTAATTACCATTTCTTCTATTCAACTCAGTCTCGTATAAGTCTCTCAACTCTTACAAAGTTGCTGTGGCTGCATTAATAGCATTTTGAGAATCCTTTAATACACTATTGGCTTTGGCTTAAACAGCAAGAGCTGCTTGCTCTTACTATACAATTATTTTATATCTTTCATACCACAACCAATTTATCTTATAATTAAGTCTTTCTCTAGATTTCATCATTAAGATGAGCCACTTCAGATTCAGTATCTGCTAACCAATCGGCTAATTGATAATAAGCAGCAATTTCATTGGCTTCCAAATTAGCTAATGATCCTTTTAATTAATCTTCAAGATCTGAGAGAGCATTATAAACCAATTGACCAATATTATGTCCTGGTTATCTGTCTGATGATGATCCTTCATCTTGACCAAGAGCATGCAATTCTGCATTACCTGATGCCTATTCTGCTGCTAATTATGCAAATTTAGTCATTGCATCTTAATTAAACAATTGACTGTATTATTTCAATTTGTCTGATACATTTTATACATTAATTTCAACTAATGAAGATGGTTGACCTGTTAAATATCCACTTAAATCATTCTTTAATATTCTAATAACTCCTAATGCATCATTATGTTATTTAATAGCTCTCACAAACAAACCATTTGAAAAACATCTCAACTCTTATAATTCAACAGATCTTCTATCAATATCAGCTAATCTTTATGTAGCCCAAGCTATATAATCTGTTGCTTCCTATACATTCATATTATTCTAAAAGTTACTCTGTATTCAATTCCTATTTATTCTCTTCTAGCCTTTGCACTAGCCCATGCCTTTTAATTCAATTCATTCACTTTTGATAAAGCAGCTATTCTAGCCTATCCAATCTCCTCATCTGAAATGTTCTTCTCATCTGCCACTCCTTAAGCTTCGATATTGCTTGTCTTCAAATCATTCAATAAATCATAAACAGCCTATACTGCATCATTTGATTCAGATCCTGTCTTTTATATATTATTGTAATAATTCATACTTATAAAAGCAATGAGAAATCTATTTCAAATCCTCTAATGCTAATTAGACATATCAGTGATAACAATAACACCTTATTCATTTTGTAATTAATATAATTATAATATAAAAACGGTAAAATGCATTCCATTTTCCTTTGATATCAAAATCATTAAAGAATAGAATATGAAATATAAAAAATACTTTCTAAAAGAGTCCATCTTTTCCTATAATTATTTCCTAAATACCTTATCATTTCAAATTTAATTTTGTAATGATTTTGGACCCTTACTATAATCAAAATATTAATGAAAACAATTTAGAATATTTATTTAAATTGATATTCTTTTTAACATGATTTTTCTGTTTTATAAATTAAGCATTCAAATTTGCCTTAATGATTTTATGATACTGAATTAATATCTATAATAAAAATTACTTTATTATTCTAAAAACCCTCCTTTAAATTCTATAAGGAGTTTATATATAATTGAAATTAAATTACTGAAAATTTGTATTAAATAAATATCAATTTTTTCAACTTAAATTCAAATCATTCAAAAAAACAAGTAGACATCAAATATTATACATTTTATAAATATAATTGACTTCATTCGCATATCTTAATATTAAACATTCAAAATTCATTTTAAATCTCTCTAAATTCAATTATGCAATCCTAATGATTAATTAGTATGCATATACATTCACTTTTGAAATTACCAACTAATAAAATTGGTCATTTACAAGCTGATCATACTTTATCTTAAACCGTATTTTATAATATCAAAAAATAATAATAAATTATTGATGAATACAAATGCCTAATTAATAATAATATAAATCTAATCAATTTAAAGAACAACAAATAAATTTATTAAATTATTCTAATAAAAAAAAGCTACTAGTAAATTAAAAAATAGAAAATATCAAGTAAAATATTTTTTTGTTTGCAACAATTCAATGATGAAATATGGACTAAGTAGATGAACAAATTAATCCTTCGTTTTCGATAATTTTAAAGACAAAGGTGCTTCAATCACGTTAATATTAAAAATATGAGTTTTTGCTGCTTAGTTAGATGATTCCAAAATTAATAATATTATGATTTAATTAAAATTTTGTAATTTTAAAGGTTTAAAACAGAAGGATTAATTAAACAATTCTTTAATAGATAGAAGTAGGTAATGATGATTTAAAGATTGTAGTAAAAATTATTAAAAATTAATTGGCTGACAAATGAAATTTATATGGAATTTGAAATAAATTAATATTAAAAAGAGAAAATTAGAAAAAGTGGTATAAGGGTGCATAGTTAAAGTAAAGCGGAAGGGAGATTAAATTGCTGAAATTAAGAAATTCACTTAAATTGCATTAGAAATTTGATATTCAAAAGGTTCAGAATTAACATTAGAAATAAAACTAATATTTTAGAAGATTTATAAAAATATTTTGGAATCTAATAAGCAAAAGGAAGTGTTTATAAAAGAGGATCAGGTGATTGAAAATGAATTTTCAAAGAACTATACACATTAGTTGAATTTTCGAAAAATGGAAATATTTCTGAAAATAAATAATAGAGTTATTAAGAGGGACAAATAAAGAATTACACTTTATAATAAAATCGAAATATTTTTCTTCATTTTGTTTTGTTTTGATGTATTATAGTATTATAAAATTGTGAATATTTTATTTTTAATTTTTAATATATACAAATTAAATATGTTCTATTTGAACAAGATACTTTTCAATAAATAAATATAATTATAGCAAAATTTACATAATCATATTGCTCATTAAGTTTAATACAATCTTCCTGAATGCGAAAGAAATTATAATATATCTAAAATATGAGACAAGTATCGTTGTAAGAGATATCAACTATTTCTTTATGAATAATAATTAAATTTTCATCAAATATATTATATTTAATGTAAATGAGCACAAATAGGACAGAGAATGGTCTCTTATAAGATTGTTTTATAGGACCATGTATAGAGTAATCTGAAGTAAATATATATAAAAAAAATTCACCTTCAAAAAATTCAATCTCTTCAGAATCAAGTTAAAAGCATAATGAAATTCCAAAATAAGTTGGAATAGCATCTATAAACTATTAAATTTAGAATTTAAAGAAATAATTGTCCAACAAAAATTAAAACAATTAGCAAACTTTAAATAATTTTTTTAAGGGAAGTAGAAGAAATTTAATTGAAGGAAGAATTTAATAAATTGATAAATTAGAAAAGACTGGTAAGCAAGAGACATTTAATTTTATGAAAACAATAATAAAATCAAGCTTAATTAATAAATTTAGGCATAATCTACTTTCTTCGTCTTATGTAATACCTTAAGACATGAGATCAAAATTAGAAAAAGAAGGCTATTTATAAGAGTAAAAAGATAAAGCAAAATTGGCAAATTAAGTTATTGAATTGTAATAATTTATTTTATTAGATAAGACAATAAATACATAATTTACATTAAAAAAAGTTAATTAACCTATTAATGCCTGATCGAAATTTTACTCTGGTCTGGGATTTGATTTCATTACTGCTTTTATTTCTCAGCCTATTCTTATCCTTACTCATAGCTTCTTTTGGCTAAAATTTTAATACTTGTAAATCTCTAGAAATTATGATAAATTTTTATATTATTTTGGAATTCTTATTTTCAATATATAGACCCATTATAATAAATGGTGAAGTTGTTATTGAAATTTCATAAATATGGAAAAATTATTTAAAAACTTAACTATTAGAAGATGTGGTCAGTTTTACTATATGGTTTTTAATTTATTTTGATTTTAATCAACAACTTATTCTGAATGAAGGTATGGCAATTATATAATTTTTAATTACAATCAGGAAGATAAATAGGAAATATAACATTTTAATAGAACAACTATATTTAAAAGGATTTAATAGTAATAAACTTAATATTGTAACTTTAATAATTATTATTTATTTTTTTGCACATACTATGGCATGTTTATGGCATCATGTAGGAGAAGTCACTTAATAGCATGGATCTTGGTTGAGCTATTACAATATTCTTGATGAAAATTTATGGATTAGATATAATTATTCATTTTATTGGGCAACAATGACAATGGTAACTGTAGGATATGGTGATATTACACCTAAGAATTAATTTGAAGTAGTATTTGCAACTATTATCATGTTATCTTCTAGTTGCATGTTTGCTTATACTATGAATTCTATTGGAGTAATTGTTAAAACTATATATGATTAATAAACAAAGTTTAAGTAAATCATATATCTATAATTTTAGACGAACTTTAATTTTAATGAATTAATTCATGTCCAAAAATGAAATTGATTAATAAATACAAAGAAGAGTTAAGAATTATATCAAGTATAATATTGAAAATAATGTTCTTGAAAATTAGGAGGAGACTACTAAAATAATAAATGAATTACCATTAAATCTAAAAAAATAAATAGAATAAGATATTCAATATAGAGTAATCTAAAAAATCAAAACAATAACTGAGAACTTTTAAATTTAGACATAAAATAAATTAAAAAGTATCTTAATTGAAATGAAATTTACTCCTAATGACTATATTTATCATAGAAATGATTTTAAAGATAATTTTTTGTAAAATATATTATTTATCTATTTAGATATTTTATTAAAGAAGGTGAAGTGTAAGTAGTTGAAGAATAGAGTTAGAAAATAATTAAGATTTTGAAGGCAGGAGAAACGTTTGGGGAATTTTAATTTTTTACAGGTCAAAATACTAGAGAATCTATAAAAAGTGTAGGATTCACTCAATTATACAAAATAGATAGAGAACAATTTATAATTATAATAAAAAATAATTAAAAGGATTTTGAAAGATTTCATAAGATTAAAGATAGCATACTTTATACAAAATCATTTTCAGCTATTTAAATAAAATGTCAAATTTGTGGCTAATTTAATCATATTTAAATTGAATGTCCTTATATGACCTATTAACCAAATTTATATATTAAAATTTTGAAGATGAATCAATCATAAATAAATTATAGGTTTTTCTAAATAAGATCTCATAAAAAAATTAAATCATTAATGATTTTATAATAAAATAATTTAGCTACAAAATAGATTTAAGAAGACTATATAGATTCATTTAATACAGAACATATGGTAACATATTAAGTCTCAAATTCATTGAGTTATATACAAGAGTCTGAATTAATATCGGATAATAAATTAATATCAAACAGATCGTTTCCAAAACAAGATAATATTAAAAATACAAATGGAGAAATTAAATAATGTGATTAACTTTATCCAAAAAAAATTGAAAGTGAAAAAAAAAACTAATCTTAAGTACTTTAAAACAATAAACCATCATTAATAGATAATGAAAGAAAAAAAATGATGTTAAAAGAAACATTGATTTTTTAATAATTAGATTAATTTTAAAGATTATCTCATTCGTATGATTTAGTAGGATTTGATAAAATTCATAATTTCACAGAATATCTTCCTCATAATAATTTCAATTATATTATAAAATAATACTACAAAGAAAAATACAAATTAAAAAATTCAAAATAGCTTAGAAGTTAATTTAGTAAAAGAGATTAATGAAAGTCTTAATATATGTAATAATTAATTTTATTAAATTAAATTCTATGACAATAAATTACAATTAAAAAATTAAAAAAACCTCATTTTTATTATTATTATTATTATTATTATTATTCTAATACTGCTTTTGCTGCTGCTTAAACATATATTTTATCAAATGCTAATACATTTCCTGCTGCTTAAAATCCTTCTTTGCTTAATTCACTAGCTTAATCTCCATATTTATTTTTAATAATCTAAAATGATTAATATTATAATTACTTCAGTAGTAGCTTAACCAGTACAATCCAACAATACACTTAATGCTTCTGTTAAACCATCATAGATACTTACAACAGCTACAACAGCAGCTCCTCCAACATTTTTAGCATCATCATAATATTTATGTTCTTACATTTTCTTACCAGTTTCACTATTCTCAAATTGTTTCTCAGCTTCATCAGCAATCATCTTTCCCAAATTGATCAAAGCATCAACTTAAGCTTTTGTAAATTGAAGTATAGCTTTAGATCCTTTATTAACTAATTTAACTTTATTTAATGTATCTTCAGAAACTTCTTTTTATTCTTTATCAGTGATCTTCTCAGAAATTAATTCACCTCCTTTTTTAATTCCTTCTCCAATAAATCCAGCTACAGAAATTAAACCTTATCTAATAGCAATACCTCCTTATTTAATATAATCACTAACTCCAGGAGGTTTTTAACCTTATCCAACATGATCCCATAAATTGACTTACATTATTCCAGTTCTAACCATTAAATCCTGTTGAGATAATTTTTATTATTCATTTAATTATTTCATGTCACTTCTACCTTAATATATAGACTTGGACATAACATTTTAGTGTTATTTTTGAGAAGAAATCACAAGTCTTACATTAATTGACAGAATATGTTCAAATGTATCAGATATCTAATCTTATTTTTCTACAATGATTCCATAAAAGATGTCATTAAGACCAGGGAAAATGTACATCTTGCTACCATTAACTAATTAAGCCACCATCACAGGGATATTTTTTTGTAATGTGTATTAGAATTGACTAAATTTTAAGAAAGATAATTTAAGTTGTTCTGATTAATAGATCTAATAATAATTATATTTAGTAATACCTAAAGAATTCCAGCATCTACTTATTTTGGCTATTGATTTTTAATTTCAAATAATTTACACTAAGGAACTTCTAATTATAATTATAATTGATAATCCATTATTCTTTCTTTAATTAAAATAATTAATTAAGAATGAAAAATATATTCATTTCAGGTGGATGTAATTCAGTCTATAATGGTCTTGATGTTTGTTAATTTGAAGAAAACTAACATTTGATAGCATTTCCTTGTAGTAATTAAGTAAATTTATGAATATCTTAGATATTAGTGTATGACATTAAGAAATTAAAAATTATATATTCTTATTCAACCTTTAATAAGAGAGTTAATTTTGTAAGATTTTTAAATGCAACTACTTTGGTAGCAGCAGATGGAGAAGGTAGAATAGCAATATTTAATGATTCATAAGTTTTACACGAAACAAAATTAAATGAATCAATATAATTGTTCAAAATCATAGATAAACATATAATAACCTTATCAATTGATGGTCTTGTTACAGTACTAGATTTAGAATTAAAAGAACTATCAAAACTTGAATTTGGTAATAATGTGATGGAGAATATTGATGCAATATAATTTAATAATCACATTTTTGTTGCTCTTAGTGGCGTAGATACTCAAATTCATTTATACATTTTAGAAAACAATTAATTATTATATAAGGCATCTGTGAAAGGCCATTAAAGAAGTTTAAATCATTTACAATTTCATTTAAAAAATAAAGAATATTTGCAATTAGCAAGTGCATCAAAAGACACATACACTAGAATTTGGAGAATCTATAAAACTAATGAAGTAGAAGCCAAAACTAAATCTTTTAGAATCGATTAATAATTGTATAGTTTCAAATTGGAGACTATTCTTTAAGGACATATTGAGGAGGTTTCATCAGTGAATTGGTTAAATGAGGACATTATTTTGACTGGTTCATTTGATTATAATGTAATTATTTGGAAACTAGATAAAGATACAGGTTTATGGTTGAGTGTTTCAAGATTAGGATAGACTAGCGGGAATAAGAATTAGATATTTGGATTATAAACATCATTTGATAAACAATATATTATATGTTATACTTTAACTGGTGGAATTTATATTTGGAAATAAGAATAAGATAATTGGGTAGAATTACCTGTAATAACTGGTCATTATGCAGAAGTGACAGATTTGGATTTTAAGGATTATTTATTAACTTGTAGTATAGATTAAACTAGTAGAATATTTGCTAAATGGATTCAAAATGATACTTATCATGAAATATCTAGACCATAAATTCATGGTTATGATTTGAATGCTATTAAATAAATTGGAAATCAAATTATAAGTGGAGGAGATGAAAAAATATTAAGAATGTTTAATCCTTCTCCTTTTACTATTAATTAACTTAATTATTTAAATGAATAAAATATTGACTCATCTGTTTTTTTGAATTAAAATATCCCTTCACAAATTATTAATTATAATAATAGAAAATTTAATGAATTTAAATTAGCAACTGAAGGAATTCAATAGGCACTTGGATTAATGAATGTATAAATGCAATTTGAAGATGAAGAAGATGAGAAGTAATGTATATTTTAAATTTTATAGTGTCAAAAATAATGAAGAAGAAATAAATCTTGAAGTAAAATATGGATAACCTCCAAATGATGCCCTATTGGCTAAGAAATCATTATGGTCTGAAACTAACAAATTATATGGACATGGATATGCAATTTCAGCTATTGCTATTCATTAAAATATAGCTGCTTCATCTTCTGTTGCCATTACATCTAAAGCAGCTGAAATTATTATATGGGATACAAATACATTCAAAATTAAATAATTATTACCTTGTCATAGTTACACTATTGTTTAACTAAACTTTTCTAAGAGTGGCAAATATTTGATTAGTGTTAGTAAAGACAGATGTTTAGGAGTATTTGTTAAATAAGATGATAATAACTATTAATTACTATCTAAGTCATAACCTTGTTCAAGAATTATATATACTTGTTCATTCAATAATGATGAATCTCTAATATTTACTGGAAGTAGAGATAAAAAATTTAGAATTTATAAAACTACGGAAGCTTTGTTGCCAATTAAAGAAATAGAATTTTCAGATGAAATAACTGCTATAGATTCTGTTTATCTTGATAACAAATAAATAGTAGCTGTAGCATATGGTTAAGGATAACTTGAAATATTTAAGTTTACATAAACTCTAGAGTTGAATTTATTATCTAGTGTAGATAAATATCATTAACATTCAAAAACAATTAATAGAATTAAATTTAATAATAATTTGCTTGCTTCATGTAGTGATGATCACACAGTCAGAATATATTAAATATGAAAATATAATATTAATATTATTGAAAAATTGATTTAAATCTAAAAAATTAGTCTCTTAAATAAAGTATTTTTTTCTAACATAGAAAAATATTTATATTTAATAATTAAAAATATATATTATTATTCAACTTTAAATAAAGTATTATGTATATCACATANTTACTATTAATTAACTTAATTATTTAAATGAATAAAATATTGACTCATCTGTTTTTTTGAATTAAAATATCCCTTCACAAATTATTAATTATAATAATAGAAAATTTAATGAATTTAAATTAGCAACTGAAGGAATTCAATAGGCACTTGGATTAATGAATGTATAAATGCAATTTGAAGATGAAGAAGATGAGAAGTAATGTATATTTTAAATTTTATAGTGTCAAAAATAATGAAGAAGAAATAAATCTTGAAGTAAAATATGGATAACCTCCAAATGATGCCCTATTGGCTAAGAAATCATTATGGTCTGAAACTAACAAATTATATGGACATGGATATGCAATTTCAGCTATTGCTATTCATTAAAATATAGCTGCTTCATCTTCTGTTGCCATTACATCTAAAGCAGCTGAAATTATTATATGGGATACAAATACATTCAAAATTAAATAATTATTACCTTGTCATAGTTACACTATTGTTTAACTAAACTTTTCTAAGAGTGGCAAATATTTGATTAGTGTTAGTAAAGACAGATGTTTAGGAGTATTTGTTAAATAAGATGATAATAACTATTAATTACTATCTAAGTCATAACCTTGTTCAAGAATTATATATACTTGTTCATTCAATAATGATGAATCTCTAATATTTACTGGAAGTAGAGATAAAAAATTTAGAATTTATAAAACTACGGAAGCTTTGTTGCCAATTAAAGAAATAGAATTTTCAGATGAAATAACTGCTATAGATTCTGTTTATCTTGATAACAAATAAATAGTAGCTGTAGCATATGGTTAAGGATAACTTGAAATATTTAAGTTTACATAAACTCTAGAGTTGAATTTATTATCTAGTGTAGATAAATATCATTAACATTCAAAAACAATTAATAGAATTAAATTTAATAATAATTTGCTTGCTTCATGTAGTGATGATCACACAGTCAGAATATATTAAATATGAAAATATAATATTAATATTATTGAAAAATTGATTTAAATCTAAAAAATTAGTCTCTTAAATAAAGTATTTTTTTCTAACATAGAAAAATATTTATATTTAATAATTAAAAATATATATTATTATTCAACTTTAAATAAAGTATTATGTATATCACATACTAATTATTTAGAAGCAATCCAGTTATAATATATGAGAAAGAATTTAAATTCTATAAAATTACAATATTTTTATGTTTTTAACTCCATCAAACTTATTTAACAATGATGGATTTATTATATATTAAATAAATTAATCTATATAGTATTACATATATTAATGAAATTTGGAAGTGTATTTAATCCGAGAGGTGTTCTGGAGATAAACTACAAAATATCATCCATAGATGCTTATTAAAATGTCTTATATACTGGAGATGAGAAAGGCACATTAAATAGGTAAATGATTAAATTGAATTAGATATCAATTATAGCCTGATTAAGCCATGATTATTCAAGCTAATTAAGCATAATCAAAATCTTTAACTAAATCGAGGATTGATTAAATAAAAGTTTTTCCTTAAGCAAATGCTAATCTTTTAGTTTTATCAGATTAGACTTTATATTTTGTTGAAGAAAAAACTTTAAAAGGTGAATAAATATCAAAAGAAAAGGTATCATTATTTGCCTTAAATGAATTTTCTAAAATAAATTAATTTGAGATTGTGATAGTGACAAAGAAGAAAGAAGGCTTCATTTTATAATATAATTAGAAAGCAGGAAAATTTGAATGTATGAGAGAGAGATTCTTATTGCCTGACATCCCTGTAACAATATCATTTATAGGAAACTTATTTTATTTTGGAATATCAAAGAAAAATTATTCTGTGATAAATCTTGATGATAAATAACTATAAGTAGCAAATTTAATAATGGATATTGGTAATAATCCATATATCAAGGCTACTGATAATGATGAAATATTAATAATAACAACTAATAATATAGGTATTTTTATTGGTAAAGATGGTTAAATGAAATAGAAAAGTACTATTTAATTACAAAATAAATCAATATAAATAATAACTATTTTTAAGTAATATTTAATAGTACTATTTGATAATTTAATTCAAGTATTCAATTTATTAGATTCTAAACCAATGAGTGATATATAATTACCATCATCAGCAAAATGTATTACTTAAACATCAAATCATTTATTTTATGGAAGTTCTACTGAAGTAAGAGTATCAATATTATTAGATTATATACTTATATTAAACACCTCCTGAATAATAGATTTAGGATTTACTTAAGTAAGGTAAAGTGGAAGATGCACTTCAAGTATTTTAATAATACAATTAAAATTCAGATGCATCAAAAAATTAATAATTAGAATAATTAAAATTGGATTGTGGTTGGGCTTTGATAAGATAAATGTAGTTTTAGAATTCATTAAATTATATATTATAGACAAATTTTGAACCAAGAGATTTTATTTGTTTATTTCCAGATTATTATTATGCTGTAGAGAAATTAGAATCAGTTAATTAGAATCCATCTTAGAATACTATATCATTAATTATTAATAAATATGTAGCAGAATACAATAAAGGTGATCCAAAGAAGAGTTAAGAATTGAAATTATAAGCAAGAGATTTCTTGATTGAAATTTTAGAGAAAAAAAGATCAATTTTAACATCAACTTAATATGCATATTCTATGAAAGATAAATTAACTTTATTAACTAGTACATAAATATATAATTAAAATTAATGGCATGCTATACCATGTGAATAACTTTTAGAACTTATAGATTTTGCATTAATAAAGGCATATTTAGAAGCTTAATAATTATCAAAATTAAAAAGTTTTTTATCTTGTAATCAAATATATTGTTTATCTATGTATGCTGAATTATAAGCTATATTTTAAAATAATAAAGCTATTGAATAATAATAAGGTATTTTAGCTAGATTTTATGAATCATTTAATAAAATTGATTTGTCATTAGAAGTTTGGAGAACAATTGGTGGTGATTCATTAAATTAATAAGTTTAATAAGAGGCTTGTGAAGAAACAACAAGAATTCTTAAGTAGAATCCAGATAAAAATAGAATATTTAAATTTATTTTATGGGTTTTTAAGAAACAAATCAAAACTGGAATATAAATATTCTATGTTAGTGAAAGTATAATATCACCAGATTAAATGTTAAAATTCTTGGATGAATAAGAAATGGAATAAGATTTAAAGAGGAAATTAAAGGAGAAATATTTAGAAGTTTTAGTATTAGAAAAATAGACAGAAGAAGAAAGATTTCATACTTAATTAGCATATTCATATATAGATTCTTTATTTAATATATTTCCTAAGGATATTTAACCATCTTAGATTGATATGAAAAAGAATTAAATAGCAGGAGATATATATTAATCATTAAAAAAGTTCTTGAAAAACCCAAATGCTAAATATAATTCTTCTAGTATTTTAGAAAAAAAAGTAAAGGATTCATGGATGATTGGGGAAGTAATCTTATTGTATGGAAGAGAGAAAAGACATGAAGAAGCATTAAGTTAATTATTAAATCTTGGATATTATGATTGGGCTGAGAAATATTGTTGTGAATACACTGATAATTTATTAACAAAATTATTCAAAAAGGTATTAATATTAAATAAATTTATAGTATAAAGAATTATATTTCTTTTTAGAAGGTAAATAAAAGGAAAGATCAAATGATCAGTAAACTTAATTTGCATTTACTTAAGTTAAAGTAATAAAATTTATGATTTGAATTTAGATTACAATTAACAATTTCCTTAAAAAATATGCAACACATTCTTAATTAAATGCTTTAGAAGTATTAGAAATGATACCAGAGAATTGGATATTAGCTGATTAAGGTGAAGATGATGGATTATTTTAATTTTTAAATAGTGTGATAAGTAATTACATATTTAATTTAAAAAAGGTCATACATTACATTAGAAAAGATCAACAAAAGCAGCATTTCATCTATCTGATATGGATTTATTAAATGTTGAATGTTTGAATGCTAGTACCAAATAAGCTAGTGTAAGGATTACATCTGATAAGAAATGTGCTGTTTGTAGTAGATCTATAGGTGAAAAAGTAAAAAATATTAATATATTTTTAGGTGTTTGTTGTTTATCCTAATGCTGTAATTGCACATCATACATGTATTAAAAGTAATACTGTATGTCCATAGACTGATAAAGACTTTGAAAAGTATTTTAAAATGTGAATGTGACTTTATCAGATAAAATAGAAATTATATTTTATAACTAATTTTTGTACATAAAGTTAAAAATAATTTATTAATTAGATATTTATTCATAATAAATTCTCTTGTCTTGATACCCAAATGACATTCTATGCGATATAAAACTATTAAAATTTCTTATCGCACCATTTCTATAATCTCTATAAACACTTTAATATAATTGGCTGATATTCAAATCATTCTGAAATATTAGTTGTATTCTCACTAGGATTTTAATGTGAAACAAAAAATTGAAAAAACAATAATTATTTAATGTACCAGAACATATTCTAGAACTACATGAACACTCCATAAAGACAATACATACCATAATGTCCTCCTTAGTACTATTATCCTGTTTAAAATCCATTTTATCCATAATACTCAATATTGTAGGCTCAACCTGTTCTCATCATCAAGAAGAAAGATGATCAAACAAAACAAGAGGAGAATATAGTTTAAACTAAACCTTAAAAGACTGTTTCTATTGTTGATTTTGAGAAAACCTCTGAACAGATATAAACACCTTCAGTTTAAATCTAATCTGATGATAAAGGGAGCAATTTAAAACCTAATTTGCTGGTGGACTCAACAAATATATAAAAAAATTTCTCTAAAGCCATAGTCTAATATGCTTTGAGATAAAAAAAAATTGTTTATCAGATTCTTGGAGAAGAAAAAGGAAATCAATTTCTTTAGTTCATGAGCGAACTTGTAAATCAGCTCAGAAATCTATTTCATTTAGTCAAATACACATAAGATGAAGAATATCTTAAAGCCATTAGAATTTTAGGGTATATTTTTTGAAAAATAATAGTAATAACTTTTTAAGGAAAGAAAGTACATGTTATATTTATAATTCAAAAATAAGATAAAAAACCAGTCACATAAAGCACAAAGCAATAGTAAAAAAAGTCCTATTAAAACTTTGAAATTTACAATATTTTTTTTTTATGTATGAATCCAGTATCTTGATTTGTCAGAAATTAAAAATAAAAATTTAATACAAAATTTTTTGTTTTATAACTTATTATCTAATTAATCTAATTAATACATATTTTATTAGAAGTAGAGAATATATTTTAACCTAACTCAATGAGACTATCAGATCATACAATATATAATCCTATTATTTTCATTCATTTTTCTATATAAGTGTTATCTATTTATTAAAAATATGCTTATTAATTTTGTTCAATAATACTCTAGTTTTCTTAGTAACCTTAAAATTTATGACTACATTTCAAAATATAATTCTCTTGAAAATAATTGAAATTCATATGATATTAAGCTTTATCAAAGTGTGATAATTGGATTCAATTAAATTTTGTAAGGCCATCCTCTTATTTGTATATTAATTAAAGCTATTTAATATGAAGGTTTTGTATAATTTTATTATTTGATAAATGAAACCTGTTTCGAGATTGATAGTGATCCTATTTTAAATTAATGGATTGGGGTTTTCAATTTATTACTATTTAACATCTTGGGAAAATATGAATTTAGCATATCTGATGATCTAAGCTCTTTTGGCTTTATTATTGTTTTTTTTTTAGACCAAAAATAAACCAACACAATTCATTGGAAGCATAATATTGATACAATTAAGCTTATGTTTATTTGTTATTCAAAATGAAAGAAATTCATAGAATGAAAGTACAGCATATGTTATAATTGTTCATTTTATCACAACACAACTATTTGAGGATTTTAAAAGATTTCAAACATAGTATTTTTTTGTTAGATGTAGATTATTTTGGCTGGTTTTATTGCTTTAATCAAGTTTTTTGTAGATTGTTTACATATCTTAAACATCTTAAATTGATATATCCTTTTATTAATGCGCAATTTATTTGTTCTTCTCTTTGGTTATTAATTTCACAAACGGAATGTAAAAAGTGATAATACCAAGAAATAAATTAAGTGATTCATAACGAAATTAGAATACAGATTAATTAATAAATAGAAAAGAACGGGCATCTTCATAGTCAGATTCCGATAAACTGTCTCCAAAAAGTAAAGAATACCCATTTTCTCATTTTTTGATGCCTGATTACTCGTTTCCAAATCAAATTTTAAACTAAAACATACTGGATGTAATGATGTAATTTACACATGAAGGGTTAATGGTTTTAAGATTAAATTAATTGAATTAAGACATGGAAATAGTATTTTCAAATATAGCATCAAAAACATTATTTTCAGTTAATTCAGCTAAAGAAATAATTGATATTTTAAATTCTTTAAACAGTCTTAAATATTAATAGCATGATTAATAAGATGAAAATTTATTAATGATGAATCAACAAAAATAATTATGTAAGAGTATGGCTTTCCTAAAGAGTGACCAGATAAATTAATCCATTAATCCACATTACTAGATTCTATTAGAAATGAATCAAGAAAAAAACATTGTAAATTAATTCAAAGAAATATTTAGTAAGTTTAAATAAAATAGTTTTTAGAATGAATTTTTTACATTACATACAATATATCCTAATAATGGAGTGACAATGTCTTAGAGTGAAAGAAAGACTGAAAAAATGTTAGAATTGACAATAACAAAAAAAGAAAATAATTTATTCTTCATATTGATTAGAGATATTACACATAAATAAAAAATCAAATATTTAAGAGAATATGATCTATAAAAATCTAAAATGTTATCTTATGTAAGTCATGAATACAGATCTCCATTAAATTGTATTATTTAAATGATAGAAAATGTATTACATACTAATTAATTAACTATGGATAATTCTGAAATGCTTTAAGCTGCTTTAGATAATTCATATTATATATTAAATTTATCAAATGATTTATTGGATTTGGCTTAAATTAAAAATGGTAAATTTGCATTACAATAGACAAGATTTAATTTGGAATAATTAATCAAAGAATGTTTAAAATTATTTGCATTAAAAGCAAAAATATTAAAATTAAATTTATCATATATTTATGATAATAAAGCTCCTTTTATAGTTGTTAGTGATAGAAATAGAATTAAATAAATTTTAGTAAATTTATTGAGTAATAGCTTTAAATTTGCATCAAATTAAATTACAATTATTGTATCTTATATAGATAACACAACAATTAGAATAGGTGTATAAGATGATGGTATTGGTATATCTGATGAAGATTAAAAGAAACTTTTTAAATAATTTTCAAAAGTAAATTCTGAAGAAAGTAGAAAAAGAAATGAGAATGGTGTTGGATTAGGATTGGTTATAAGTAATCAAATAGCAAGTTCAATTGGTTGTGGAGGATTATAAATAGATTCAAAATTAAATTAAGGTACCTATTTTTTCTTTAATTTGTAAATCTAATAAACTAGATTGAAAAAAGTATCTAGTTATAGAATAAAAGAAAATCCAGGTTAATCATAAGATGTTGATGAAGGTTAAGCATTTTTATTAGAACCTAAAAAGTCAATTGATTTAGAACCACCACCTATTAGATGTTCTCATATTTTAATAGTTGATGATGAAATTTTTAATGTTTTTACTTTCATTAAACTACTAAATAAAAAGTAAATATTATACAATAATTAGAAATATTGTAGATATAGATTCAGCTTCAAATGGTAGTGAATGTATTGAAAAATTAAGAAACAAAAAATGTTGTTAGACTTGTAGTGGTTATAGAATGATATTTATGGATTTAGAAATGCCTATATTAAATGGTTTTAATGCTGCAAAGGAAGTACTTAAGATTAATCCTAATTAAATTATTATTGCTTGTTCTGGATATACTGATCATAAAGAGAAAGAATAATGTTAAAAGATTGGTATTTTGAATTATCTAGTAAAACCAATTAGAGATTAAGAACTAACAGATATTTTAACAACTTATTATTTTTGATTTTGTAATATACATAATTTAATAATTATAAATAAAATCCTTGAAAAGATTGATTTAATGACATTGACAATTTATATAAGGAACAAAACAATAAAATGAATTCAGAATAATTTAATCCTCAATCATATGAACTATAGAAACTGTATTAAATAAGAGAGACTTTGCATTAATAATAAAGGTTATAATAACTAAATACATTGTTATAATAATAAAGAATGTAAATGATGAATTCTCCAATATAATAATAATCATCTTCATTAGTTAAATAAATTGATTAGACTTTTGATACTAATACAAACAATTCTTCAAAATTAACTTCTAATAAAAATGCTTATTTATTTGCTTAAAGATTAAAAAGTAAAGATTCAATTTAAGAATTAACTAAGATGATTAGAATATGTCCTTTAAATAATGAGTAAACATAAGAATTAACATCACTTATTACTGAGAAACTCTTATTAAAATAATAGAAGATTGATTATGCTTAATAACATAATCTTATCATTTTACATTTACAAATAACCAATAAAATGTCTATTGATATACTCTAATTTTATGTATTATTATTTGTTAGATTTCCTAATTTATTGACTATTGTTGAAATAATAGAGAGTTGGTTATCTACTTCAGAAAATGCTGTTGCTTATTTAGAAGAAGTGTGTTCACATTTTATTAAAGAGATATCAGGTACATTAGTATAATTTGTATGCAATAAGGATAATAAAAATAATTATAAAGTAAGAATATTTATTATAAAAAAGGGTAGATTAGAAATGTTAAGATTATTAATTAAATATATAGGAAATGAGGAATTATTATCAGCATTTATAATGTTAGATGTAACTGAGATGTTAGAGAATTGTATTGAATAACAATTTTATAAGGATACTTTTAAAGTTATAGTAACCTTTTTTGAAAATCCTAATTTTAATCATTATGTATTAAAATTGAATTTTATATTAGAAATCAATAGAAAAAGCTATTAAAAAATTATATGATAAATTAATTCCTGAATATAAGTTATAATTGGATTCATTAATAAAGGAATATAAAAGAACTTGTGATAAAAATAAAGAGAAGCCACTTTAAAAATCAGATGAAATTTGATATTATATAATAATG